ACTAAGGTTCATTGCCAAGAGGTGGTTCTAAACGTCCATTAACAGAATTAGAGTAACGGTACCTTACTCCCGCATTGTTGCATCTTCTTATCATATCCTTAAGAGCGCCTTCATCTCCAGATCTGGTATTGAGACTGTAGCTGATTGGCTGATATCTCTCCCACCATGTTCTTTCATCACCAACGATAATGTTTTCAGAAGGAGGAGATATCTAGAAATCGAAAAACATTTGAGTCCATCATGTTTGTACAAGGTTTGTTAAAAAATAACTTTTAAATTCCAGTTCACAAGTTCAAAAGCCTTTGTTAGTTACCATGTGCCATCGAAAACCGATTATGACTATGAAAAAAGGGCCTGTACCTTTTGTTTGTTTGCGACAATTTTTGCTAGATATGTATATGTTTTCTATATATAGTTCTCTATTTTTTATACAAAATTTCGTACATTAAATAAATACATCCTAAATGTTTCTTCCATTGTTTCAGGTGTTTACTTAATTTGATCGCGTAGTTGAAGTATGAACCATTTATTCTAATATATCTAATAGATATTTTTAATTACCTATCGGGTGTGTTGTGTGCACTTATTCCTATTGTAGTGTTACTGTGTTATCATATGAAAAGCAGCGGTTATCAATATCTTCTTTGAGTGCGTAACCGATAAAAGTTGTCAAAACCCAACATGTGATGCCAAGAAGGTTTACTCTACACTTCTCAATTCTGTTATCCGTTCATAAATGATTAATAAATAATTATTTTCGGCACAGTGAGATAAGAGTTAGCTACTATCATGTATAATAGAAAAACTAAACGGATCAAGTGAGTCAAAAATAGGCACATACAATAAGACCATAGTCTCTTCTCATTTGACAACGCTGTGATATATAAATTTCTCATCTGCTCTACCGACAGTGCCGACTGTTTGGCAACGTTGATATGACTAACCTCGGTAATCGCTAGAAAGGGTATCACGGCAGCCACCACCGACTACGAAACTTACAACCATCGGTCACACAGCGACGCAAGTATATCCATATCCAGAGTCGCGTGTGTTAGGAATAGGTCTCTATAATTCTTAGTTCTAAGGCCAGATGTACGAGTACGGGGAAATACTCGTAGATGATGCATGAAATATGTCTGATCAGTTCATAGAATTACCGGGATTGGAAATGTATAAATATACTAATGCCAAGACATTGACGTATACCCTCCCCCACCCCATACAGCCCCTCAATATTGAGCTTCTACAACAACATTTTTGAAAATGATCAGGAGCCTCTGAAACGTCTTTTTGCCTTTAGCTCTGCTCTCACTTGACCGATTTTCAAGGATTAAAAAGCTTTTTCGTTCTTGTCACAGTAGAAACCTTTTAGGAAAATGTCATCATATATCGGTTTCCAAGTTATAGACGGGCTAATTATTAGCGGATAGAAAGGCGACGGAAATAAGGGACATGATTTTTAGTGATGTAAGTACGTCATATATCAAAAAACTGATATCTCATTTTAGAAATTTTTCGCGATTACAATACTTCCTCTCCGGTGGCATGGGAAGTAAAGCACATGATACACATAAAAAATTGCAATAAAGATTTTTAGATAAATATACGAGCACCAACAGAAAATACCTTATATCAAAACTAAGATGACACAAAAATATTAAGAATTTTTGCGACTTCTATCGTACAAGATCGGCACACCAGTTACTGAGAATGCGCGCACGGAAATGATGATCCGATGATCCGAAGAAATACTCACCTGGACTCCTGCAAATCCTTTGGGTCCCAAAAACTGCTCACATTCATTTGCAATATCATCCCATGACCATTCAAACATCTGCACGATGGAGTTTCTCCCAGGGGCAAAATTGTTCTTTTTCTGGGCGTAGCATGATGTGGCTAATGCTAACACCACCGCCAGTTGTACAGTTGTTAGCCCCATGTTGACAAATACAATAGGACCCTCGGTTGATTCTAGTTTTTTGTCTATTTATACCTTAGTAGGTACTTGATTAGAAGTGCGTACAACAGTGGATGGAAAAATATGAGTTTGAAGTGCTAATTTTGTTATCTGTTCAGATCAGTGCTTGAACAGATGATGGGTTTCTTCTGCTCATAACTAGAAATAAAATTTGATGAAACATAATATATGGGTGATTGAAAAATTAATATGAACTGGAAATCTACCGACTTACCAAATGGGCTTTTTGGTGGTTGCTTCGTTTTGCGAAGTATTGCGTTCAGGGGAAATTATTGAGATAAAATCGTTTGTAAGAAATTGGTTCAAAGTGTTAATGAAGTGTATATGTTTCTTATAAAATTGTGTATTCTAACAGACCTATGATATTCTCGTCAGTACATTGAGGTACTCAATTTCGGAAAGTTCGAATTATCCCAAAATCTGCTACTGATCGGATTTGCAATAAAATATTCCTTAGACTATCTATCTTAAATACCCGAATTTATAGAAATTTCATTTATAAACTATAGTAAACAACGTATCTCCAAAAGTTAACCAACTTTATTATATTCACCCGTATACATGGTAGATATTGAAATTTGCTCTTGATTTCTGAGAATGAAAATGGATATTTCGTGTTTGATTTCCTGATTTTAATCTTTTACTGAGAATGCGTGATATCATCACGTGAAACCACTTAAGAAGCGATAATTACGAAACTCTTTTCCTAGGACCTAGAGCATCAACGGAAAACTTATATCAATATAGGAAACAACCATTTCTGGAAGAAAGGGTCTCATTTGTCAAGCAACCATTTTCTGGGATAGTGTTCCATCTCTTGAGGGTCAGAAATTTTCGCATATTCAGAGTGGCCCATCCATGCGTGGACGGAATATTATTTTGGGAAAATCTAGTCATGGCATGTCATACATGACCTTTGACTTACATATCAAAGTTGTGATTTTTTTAAATGGAATGCCTCAAATTTTATTGCATGTTTGGATAAACCAATTCAAAAGAAGAGGAATGATATGACATACTATGGGGTTTCGGTAATTAGCGACTGAGATGTAAGGTGTTTTGTCCAGAATAACTGTCCACTTCGGCAACCCCTCAATCCATCATTTTGAAATTTGGAGTGCTGAATTTTGTATAAAAAAAACTTACATACCTCAGCTTTAGCCTATTTTTACTTTTTCGAGTTTTCATTTTTGCTCATACAGGGTGGTAAAAAACGCTAATTGTACTTTTTCTCAAAAATTTCAAATGTATCACCCTGTATATTTGTGCAAGTTTGGATTCAATTTTTTTATAAACTTTTTTTGGTATAAGGTTTGATTCAGATAAAATCACTAGATTTTGAGTTATTAAGCTTTTAATGGAACAACACACCAAAATTAAGGAAAAAAATCACATCATCCTTGGAAACAAAAGACAAACAGTGGGCTAGTTCCATATTGCGAGTACAGATTTGACGTAACAATCAGAACAGTATAAATCAGCTTCAAGCGTGATAGAGAAAAAACTATAACAACGACGTAAACAAACAACTATCACTACTCAAGACCTAGGTATAGTTTGTTCGTACAGCCTGTTTGCTGACAATCAGCGAACTGATAGTCGGCGAAAAGTCATGTCTTAGTTTACGCAGTTAGCTGTCACTGACATGTCGCAGACTGTGTTGATTGATTACATGAGAACGTTATGAGTTGGCTGAGAAAGGTAAGACCGATTACCGACAAGTCATCCGCTGTTCGTACAGAAATTTCTGACTGTTTGATGACTGTCAAATTAGTCAGTAGATAATTTGCCAGTAAATTGTCAGAGCTCGAAATCAAGTACAATCATTATTCGAATGTAAAATTTTTCAGAATGAAGTAGACAATTTTAGAGAAATTGAGGTATGTTCATTTGCTGTAAACCAGAATGATCTAGAATTTTTCGTCCAACTGTCCGGATGTGCCCGAATTTTCCTCTAGAGATGAAAACATTTTCTAGAAAAAAAAATGTCAAGTAGATTACTCAGTAATTCCCATTCAATTCTCATATAAAAGTATAGACATAAATTCGAAGAAATATGATTCCACACATCAATTGACCAGTTGAAGAAGTAAATACATAGTACGAATTCTGAACAAACGTCTGCAGTGATTAAGAAATGAGAAATGTACAAATTATTATGAATGACTTTTAATAAAACTCAGATAGTATAGTTTTTGTTCCCTTGTCACCCAGCCTCGAAATGTATGCACAAACAGTATGTATATGTATATTCTAGCTACGTAAGTCCAGCCCAATGCTGATGAAAAAAAACAAAATAACGAATTCTGGAGATTTTGTGATACAGCTTCTTTTTCACGGGTGCCCACGGAGAGGGAGTGGCCGACTGTTTCTGCAGGGGTGGAAATAATATTTTCCCTATACAGGGTACTTTAAATTTGACCCTCATCATTAGGATCTCGGAAACTTTGTCCACAAACCTTGTCAAACCACCTGACAGACTCATCAAAATCAGTCGTTGCAGATTTGCTATCGAAAGCATAGAAATGCGATGAGGTTTAAAAAGTATTTTGCTTCTGATAGAAATCTGAAAGTCCAGGAGGAGGTATGGAAAACTCAATTTGCTTCTGGTGTCAAATAGGCGGAAATTCAATTTCTTCATCTAAATACCTCTAGAAGTTACTGCACTTCAGATACAAATTTTCATCTTAGCTAAAGATCACGTCTGATCAAACTACTTCATAGCAAGACCGGTTTTAAAAATTTGATACCAGGAATATGGAAACATGAGGAAGTGACTCACTCCTGGCATCGAAGTGGAGGCAAACATTCTTCATACAAATATTTGTCGGTGCTTCTGTGATCCGGATTCAAACTTTCTTCGCAGAAGCATCATCCGGCGTTGAGATTTATTATTGGGAGCAAAGAAAAACTAAGATGGTGTTTTGGTGATAATATCTCATAAGATCCACGCATCCAGTGAAGCTCTTGCAGAATTGCAGAAGGCTTTGTGATATTGGAAAAGAAAGGAAACGCAACGTAATACATATACAAATATTTATTCAAGTCACACGTATATTACAGGAATCATAACTTCGACTGCAGTCTAGCTTTTACATGAATAGCGACAGCCCCATCGAGGTTGGCATTGACCTTAACGCGCGCCTTACCGCTGCTATCGACTTTGACGACCTTTCCAGTACATGAATTGTTCGATTTAATGCCGGTAATGAGGTCGCAGTAGGTCCCCGCTGGAAGTGAGGTCTGTATGTCTGCGTTGATGTCTCCGGCAACCGTGAATGCGACGAAGCCCTTGTTGCCCCGACTGAACGCAATCTGCTGGTTGCCGTCGGTCCACCAGTCAGTTAATTTAGTACCTGGAACATCACAGACCTATCAGCAACAGTACATGGAACATTTCGAGGGTTTGCCAGGTAAATTTTCAGGTGAGCTTTGTATTCGATGGACAATCGTACAGCAGAACAAAGTATAATTAAGTAGTGTCGGACAATTGTCGTACCTGCTACAACGTTTCTAAATTCAACCATGTTGTAAATTTGGCTCCACCTGTGCTCACAAGTCCATCCATTGCTGCAAGTGTTGTCAGGTTTGACACCAGGTCCTAAAATGTTACCGTTATTGTTTGGAGGTCCTTGATCATTGCTATTGAAGCTGTAACCAGAGAACAGCCGTGTCGTTTCACCTGTAATAGAAAAATGAAGTTGCTAATTGTCTAAGTGATACATCAATATCTCCCGAATCTCATCTTCCAGTCAAACTGTCCATTGGATCTGGAATATTATCATTATTTTTGACTTCAAGATTTTGCATTTAAAATTAAACCACTCAGTTGTATCTAATCGTTGAAAAACATACTCCACCAGGAAATGCTTAATCCATTTGGGAGCTGTCGCTATCTTTAGGTGCCAGCGTTGTAACTTCTCCCGACTAGTGCCGCAGATTTTGAAATTTGCTTTTAGGTCTTCGATACATTCTGAAAATAGTCTAATCATATTAGACGAAAATACCCCTGGTTTGCGAAATAATTGTGTAAAGTCTGGTCTTATCGATGCAACTTGTTCAATGGGGTATTTAAAACATGAACGCATAAAATGGGTACACCAATTTTTGTGGGAAAACTTTTTATTCAACAACAGAGAATGAGAAAAAGTGTTTTTTGGGATGAAATTGAAAGTGTTGACAGGAACGAAAAAACTTTTTGAATAAGATTTTTAGATATTTATGAGACCTGTAGAATGAGACGTACGTAAAAATATCCCACTAATAGTAAAAAAGTTATGTTCAAAACCGAGGCAAAATGCAGATTTTGGCACTTGTTTCAAATGCGACGAAAAGTTCACGCAGCTACTTGAAATTTTTCAAAAAATTATAAAGCAATATCATTTGTACTTAATTGAGCCATAAGTACGCATCATAAATCTAATTTTTAAAACTTGGTGTGTACCCCAATGCTATAAAACGACTATTGTTACCCCAATATATGTCTGGAGATAAAACTAAAATTACAAATTTTCGTCCAATTGGAGTTATTACGAATTTCGCTAAAATATTCGAAAAGTGACTTAAAGAGAGATTATCAAGCTTTTGATCTAGTAATAATGTTTTGTCAGAAAATCAGTTTGGTTTTCGCAAAGGCATTCTCAGATGCGATACTTAAGCTTACAAGAACCATTGCGGCCTTCCTAGACCTTGCACAGGCATTTGACACAGTGCCTCATGACTCCCTTCTATATGTCCTCGATATTTATGGGATCAGGGATCAGGGGTGTTGTGTCGAAGGTTTTTGCGAATTACCTGTCAGGTAGAATACAGATGACTAAAATCGGAAATGTGATCAGTCACTCGTCAGAAATAGAAATGGGCTTATCACAGGGCACAGCTATTGGGCCATTACTATTTATAATATATATAATCTCTTTGACAGATATTATTCTAGAAAATGGTATGGTGGTTTCATACGCTGATGATACCGTCGTGGTCTTTGTGGCGGAAACATGGGAAGAGGTATATGAAAAAACATCTCTTGGGTTAGAAAAATTAAAATGTTGGCTTGATTCATCTAAACTTAGTCTAAATGTGGATAAAACTAATTATATAGCCTTTATCTTAACATCTGCAAATCGACCAAATTTTAACACCATACAAGTAAACGGTTTGAAAATGAAATAAAAGAGGTACCATACACCAAATACCTTGGTATAGATCAAAATCTTAAATGGAAGCAACATGTGCTTAGGTTAGTTAACAATCTACGAAAACTAATTAGAAAATTTTACATTAGAAATCTAATATACCCAATAGTTTCACAAACATAACTCACAAACATAAACTTAAGATCAATTGACTTTATTGGTCCGAAAATCTACAATATTTTGCTTGGGACACTGAGGATGATAAATAAATTAAAATTGTTTAGCTCAGAGTGTAGATCATTTGTTGTGGCAAACCTTGATAGGTTCATAGCCCTTTGCAAGCTAAATATGCAAATGTTTTGATCAGTTTTTTTATGTTTTTTTTTAGGAATTTAAATTCTGAGTTGGTTGATTTTTGACCTTGTTTAAGCGGATACAAAGTAATTGGCATCACATTATAATTATATAGATTGTCAAATAATTATTTGATCTGGATTTATTTTTTTTTACTGTTTTATTATTAAAATGTTACATTACACATTATTTAAGATTGGTGCATATGGATATTAAGTTATCTAGGTACCACATAAGAAAAACTATACATGTTTTATTTTAGTGTAATATATAAAACCACTGTATATATCGCCATCACTTTGTAATATCTTGTATTGTATTGTGGTCGAATAAGAAGTTTTCCCACAAAAATTGGTGTACCCATTTGAACAACTTGCATCAATTAAACCAGACTTTACAACTATTTCAGACAAATTTGCTAATATAATTAGGCTAAATACGAAATCTTAGGAATAATTATGAGAGGGGTTAATCTGATGTGTAAGAAAAAATATTTAAAAAAATTTTTTTGTCACTTTTTATTATTTCTAAGAGAATCAGTGCGGCACTACCTGACATGTCTATGACGATGGACATTGGATGAGAACGTCTAAGCACAGCACACATACCCTTGGAGAATACTTTTAATCAGTGATGTAACGTGAAGATTGAAGATTAAAGTTTACTAACCATGTGGATGAGCTAACATGAAAGCAGTCGCCATTTTGTATTCCTTGGACTCCTTGTAACTAAGAATGCTGATGCCTCCGCTACCGCTCCTCTGCGTATCGTGGTTCTCAATAAAAACTACCGAATCATGGGGCTTCATCAAACCCCATTCAGTGCCCCAGTTTTTTAGGTACTTTAGTGGATTTTTGCCCTGGAACGCTTTGCTAAGTTCAAATCCGTGTCTGAATTCCAAAACATTGCCAAAGCCAAGGTATTCTTCTCTTTTAACTGCGTCACCACCTAGAGATACGAAAATGACATACAAAAAAATTTACTACACCCAAGAATGATCAGGTAGTTCAGAAGTGTATGAAAAGGAATTTGTTTTGACTACGCCCAAAAAAAATAATGAGAACAAGAACAATTTGTAACTTTTTTTGCGCGAGGAGTAAAGTATGACGTTTATGTTAATTCTGTTTTTCACAATTTTGCATTGCATGCTAGGATGCAAAAGTGTAAATCCTGCCTCAGCTTTATAGAATGATGCATTCTTACCGAAATCAACGACTTCTTGGTAATAGAAAGGCCTTGAATTTGGAGGGAAAAATTCCGTGTTGAGATTCTTTACACTTCCGTAGATGGCGTCCAAATCAGCTGGCCAGATATGTTTCGCTGCATCAACTCTAAATCCTGCGACACCCAAGTCTACCAAGTGGTCCATAACTTCGATTATTTTGGAACGAACGTATTGCTTACTCTGAAAAGTAGAAAGCAAGGTTTTGTCATAAAACTTAGATTGACATCAGAAATGTATGATATTTACTTCAAGGTACGCGTCCACAGGTCCACAATAAGTGTGCGCTTACTATGGCATTAAACAGGGTTTTAGAATTATTTGTATAGAATATGATACGTACAAAATAGACAATTCGATAAAATAATTACCGAGGCCTCAGGGGAGACACTCACGGAAAATCGTCAACAATGACTCATATAATTAATAGATACCCACTTAGTAGACGCGTCACCTTCCACAGCATTGGAAAAATGACGTCAAGTAGGTTGACCTTGCTCATGCTTCGTAGCGCTGTCATGGAGGATTATATTCGGCACAAGTTGGAAAATTAGAATAGATTTGACAACAATTCGACCAAGCCTACCGCCCTAACGACCACCCAGCAAGGCGTTGCATACAGGAATACATCCGTCATCATTCAATTGTCCCTTAGCATCGAAGCAGACGTGCGCAAGTTCAGTTGTCCGGCACGTGTATATCATAAATAATAAATAAAAATTTTGAGGACAAACGTACATCTATAATGTATGAAATATGACGGGGTTGGAAACGTCTAAGTAGCGAGCACAAAAAAATGACATATACTCTCCCCCGCACCTACAACCATCAACATACAATTTTTAACCCTTGCCAAATATTTTCTGAAAATGATCAGGATCTTCAAAAACGTAAAAAAAAACGAAATTTGAGCGAATTTTGTTTTATTTGTTTTCTACCTGAAGCTAAGCCGCTGCTGTATCCGTTTCCAAAAACTGCAAAGCTTTCACGTCCTTAGCATTCTAGTAACCTTCCTAAGCTTCGTCGTCAGTATCGTAGGAAGTAAAAATCCGAGTAATTCCGAAAATCCCATTGCAAGTGGACACCGCGTTGGATACCTGACTGTTGCTGATAAACTGATCCGCTTAGTGGAAACAACTTGATGCGGACCCATGGGCGCATACCTTTAGAAAGACAACGAGATGAAGCTACTGCACCAGTGGAGTATTAAGAGTATAGACGACCGATCATCGTAATTACCTGATCTAAGTCTGGTAAACCTACAAGTTCGCAGTTTCTGACCTCGGCCGCATCGTGATAGTTGTTTATCGCACAACTTTTGTGGAAATCTCCTTTGCCATATGGAACAGCTGGATAAGATCTGGATCCTGGATTGCAGTTATTTCCAGCCGTTCCGGTACCTCCAGAAGCAGCCATGTGGTTGATAACAATATCAGGATATACCCTATAAAAAAAATAATTATCATAGGGCGCGTTTTTGTCCATCAATTTTTCACACCGATTTTGCAATTAATCGAATATTGGTATATTAAGCAAAATTGTGAGGTGTTTGATGAATAAATCGTAAATTGTTTCGATCACATTGTCAACAATCATACAATTTGAATTTGGTGTTCTCAGATTTTAACATGGTAGATTTGATTTATAAAAAAGGACACCCGTATACTAAAATTGAGGTGATTCTGAATGTCCTTTAACAAAATTAGTTTAACGGTACCTTACTCCCGCTTTGTTGCATCGTCTTATCATATCTTTAAGGGCGGCTGCATCCCCAGATCTAGTTTTGAGTTTGTAACTGACTGGCTGATATCTCTCCCACCATGGTCTTGCTTTAATAATGATGTTTTCAGAAGGAGGAGATATCTAGAAATCATAAAACATCTCAGCAAAAGGAAACTATACAAAACTTACTTCTTAAGTTCAAGTTTGTGTTACGACCTGCCCATCGAAATCAGATTTTGAGGTCTGAATTGTGATTAAAAACATACAAGAAATTAGACATCACAGATTACTTTTAAAAAATGAGATAAAGAATTATTAGTAGCTACACCACAACACTACCGAATATATATGTACAATGTACAAATTTGCAATTGTATATGAATCATTTTTATACAGTGTTCCGCGAGGAAATGGTAGGAGTATGGACCGAAATCTGTTCATATCTGAAAGTAAAAGAAATCTAAATTGATTTTTTACGGATTTATATTATATATATATATATATATATATATATATATATATATAAAGAGAAAATTATCATGCGGAGAAAGGTATATAACAAAAATAGGAAAATAATGGACAAATTCCGCAAAAAGTGGATTCGAGCAGAAAATAGGATAGGTAACCCGAGCGATACGTATTTCTGCTGGTTGGCTTCATCAGACCCGAAATGAATGCACATATGCAACTACAAAAGTAGATACACATGCCCACACATCCGGATACGGGTGTAACCTATGTAGATATATCTATCTAAACAGGCCGGATTTCGACTAAAACGCGTAAGATGTTTTTTGAAGTAGCCGAGTGTTCTACTGCAAGTGTTTTAAGATAAGAACGAGAAACAGAAAATTTTAAAATGTCGATTTTTGGCGTATTTCTCCCACATTTTGTGATATTCATAGCGCCTCCAGAGCACAAGTCAATAGGACTTTTCTGCTCCTTTTGAAACGACACATATGGCCGAATCAACATTGTTTAAAAATGAGTGGACGAAAGTCAGCGCATAGAGTTGTTACCCACAGTGTCCTGAAAGGTCTCCAATGGAACCTCAGCTACTTCAGAACGCATCCATTTCAAATCATAATTCGCCTGCAGGCCGACTTGCGACTTACAGTAACAAAGAATTAACGAAAACTAGTCGAACAGTAAATAAGTCCAGGGTGGGATTCGTTTTTTAACTTGTTTGTATTTTATCAAAAGCAACACCTTCGAAGCTGAATATATTGGAATGTTTGGCTAAGTACAAAAAAACAATGAATGGTGCTTATTTTTTTGTTATATCGGATGTTTTTTAGTTAAATATTTTTATTTATTCAGATATATTATTTCTACCAGTTTACGTCTCACAAAACTCAAGAATTTCAATCATTACCGACATGACGTCATTAACATTTTATAAAGTAGTGTGTATTTCTTTGCAAGTGCCTACGTCACTTGTACTCTCAATTTATCCTTATCTCTCAAAAAGGAACAACATACGATATAAAAACTGATGTTGTACAATAACATGAGTTCGTCTCCAAAAAGAAACGACATTCAGGAAATGCGATAGATTTGACTCTCCAGACCAACTCAGAGTTTTGAATAAAACGTTGAAAAACCCAATATACAGATCCGGACTCAGCATTTTCAGCATAGTTACGATTAAATGCTCTCAACAAAACCCTTCATTAGATTTAGAGACATAATAATATACACATAGGAACGTCCCACAATAAAACAAGTCCGGATTTGCATACTGTATTTTTGTTGATTTAATTTCAACTTGGTTTGAGAGATCTAGTCTAGTGGATTTGCATACTGCCGTTTTCCTCCTAAGCATACTGTATACCGTTGCCCTTTTAAGCAGAACTCGGTTGGTAGAATTAAAGAAATTAAAAGAATCAAAGATCAATTTTGCCTCTTATTTATATCATGTATCGTTCTTTTTCTACGAAATAATAAATTCATAGTATAAGTTACAGTTACTTGATATGATACAGAGAAAAAAATGGACTCGGGCCTTGGAATTCAGAGTTCTGTCATGGTAAAGTTTGAAATTTGAGTTTTGCGTCACATGAACTGATAGAAAGTAAACAAAACTATTTGAATAAAAAACCAAAAGAGATGCACTCAATAAATTTGGCGACTAATTGGCTTTTGTTGCGTGAAAAGTGTTGCTTTTGATAAATCACAAGAAAAATTGAGTACGGTCCTGGATTTTGTAGGCGATTAGTTTTACGATACTTTTAGATAACTCTGTTATCATGTAATATACTAAGTGACATATAAATCCGAACACTCAGTTTAAATGGTTTATTTTAATAAAAGTTGGTGAATGTATTTATCTTACTGTAAATAACAAGTGAAAAAATTTTCAGCCTTATCAGTTGGACATTCCGGTTTTTATACTGCTTTTTTTTTAATTCATTAACGCTCTAAAAATGAATATTTCAGCCGAAATCGGTTACGATGCCTAGAGTACGGAGACCTGTACGATTTCGTCAACTTAGTGAGTTTGAAAGGGGCCGTATAGTTGGACTTCGGGAAGCTGGACTTTCTTTTCGGGCAATTGCAGTTAGAGTGCAAAGAAGTGTAGACACTGTGGTTAGGTGTTGTCAGGCATGGCTTCGAGAAGGCCGTACGCAAAGAGCAAGGGGCACTGGACGCCGCCGTAGAACAACAGACCGTGAAGATCGCCGCCTAAGATTATTGGCCTTAAGGGACCGTTTCTCCACTACCAGGTCCATTGCAAATGAATGGTTTGCAGAACACGGAAGACCTATTGGCATGCGAAGTGTTTACCGACGAATGAGAAGTTTTGGCTTGTTTTCATACCGGCCACACTGGATCCTCCCTTTAACTCGAGAACACCGACCTAATCGCCTTGAGTGGTGCAGACAACGGTCACTCTGGGATCAGGAATGGAACAGTATTGTCTTTCTTTAGTGACGAGTCTCGATTTTGTTTAGGCATGCACGATGGTCGTGCCAGGGTTAGAAGGCGACGTGGTGAAAGGAGAAATCCACAGTTTTTTGTTGAAAGACATGTTCATCACACTGTTGGAGTTATGGTTTGGGGTGCTATAGCTTATGGTTCCAGGTCACCTTTAATCTTCATCAGAGGTAACATGAACGCGCAGCGTTATATCCACGAAGTTCTAGAACCCCATCTTTTACCCTATCTTGACACCCTGGCAGATCCAACTTTCCAACAAGATAATGTCCGACCACATGTTGCAAGAGTCACAATAGACTTCTTTCAACATAATGATGTCACATTGTTACCATGGCCACCAAGATCTCCCGACTTATCCCCAATTGAGCACGTGTGGGATATGATGGGTAGGAGATTGCTCAATTGCAACGTCCTCCTCAGACTCTAGACGCACTTCGAGAGGAGTTGGTGGTTGCCTGGAATGAGATACCACAGGAGGACATTGACCACCTGATCAGAAGCATGCCTAGGCGCGTTGGAGAATGCGTAGCACATCAGGGTGCATCCACACATTATTAAAGGTCAAAGGGCTTTAAAGCAGTGCAATCATTTTGAAATTTTTATCATTTACTTATTATGCTTCATTACGTACTTATACAAAATTTTATTAAAATAAAACCATTTAAACTGGGTGTTCGGATTTATATGTCACTTAGTATAGTTCATCAAGTTCGGTTCAATAGTGTCTGAGATATGTGACATTAAATGATAAATCCGTAAAAATACAATTAGAACTTTTTATTTTTTAGAAGGCCTCAGTATATGCAAACTTGTTTCAAACTGACATTCGAGGACTATATTATTACTTATTTAATATTCGCGACAATTGTAGCTTGATCTATGTATTCAATATATTGTTCTTCTATACTAAATCAAGTACATCAAATAAAGGTAGCCGAAATTCCTGAAAAGTTTGTTCCATTAAGCAGTTATTTGCATCGGCAACTTAAAGCATGATGGAGCTGAGCCGAAGTAATCTAGCTGACATTTTTTAACTTCCTATCATGTAAGTGCCTATATAAATTCCGATAATATACTATCGTAAACACTGAGCGGTATACATGTTAATGTGTTGTCATATAAAAACCAGGTATCAGTACCCTCTAGAGTAAATAACTGATAAAAAGGCTTCAAAAATAAAAAATATATATGAAAAAATGGCAATAAAAATGATTCTTGGGAAAAAGTGTCAAGTTCGTGTTTTCTTATTTAGCGTATATGTCACTATAAAAAGAACATATTTCTCAAAATATTAAATATATGAGCACTCACAGAATATTTTATATGAAAAATAATTATTTTTGTAGCTTTGTTACTACAAAAATGCTTAGCATCAACCAGGACCAGACATACGAAATCAAATATTGGCGATGTTTCGACATTGTTTTGCGTTGGAAACTTCCTCACCAATGAACCGATTTTTAACAATCACGGCTCCACTACGACCACAAAGTCTCTATAACTTTAGCAAGGTTGGTGCACCAGTCACTAACAGTGCGCGCTACAAAATGATGAAGAAAGTCCGGGCAATAAATGTAACATGTGTTTTAAAGGCGCGGGTACATACGCCGTGTATGGATTCGAAAAAAAAAAAAACGCTCACCTGAACTCCTGCAAATCCTCTGGGCCCCAAAAACTGCTCACATTCATTTGCAATATCACCCCATCGCCATTCGAACAACTGTACGATGGAGTTTCTTCCGGCGGCGAAATTATTCTTTTTCTGGGCGTAACATGATGTGGCTAATGCTAACAGCACCACCAGTTGTACAGTTGTCAGTCTCATATTGGCAAATATAATGGGACATTTACGAGTTTTCTATTGAGCTGTTTATATATCACAGTAGTCGATTAGGAAAGCGTACAGTAATGGATTAAAAATGTGAATCTAAAGTGCATATTATGTTATCTACACTTAGAACAGTACTTGATTAGATGATGTATTAAATTGCAGTTTTTTTTTTGTTTACTATACCTTTGATCTAAAAATGCATTTCCTGTCATAAAAGTCTAACATAAATTTTGAGTTCTTCTACCTTAACTTTTCTGAAACGGTTCAATCAACACTACTACTAATTTTCCGCGATACCATAGTATACCCATCAATTTTTATGTACATGAATGCATCTGTATACATTTTTTTGAGGCAAATGTTGTTTAAATAACATTTTTGTCAGACCTTCAAAGAAAACTATCGAGTTATATAGTAATTTAAAATTCTTGTTGCTTGTAATTTTGAATAACTATCGAGTTACACTTTCCAATACTTTGATAGATAGAGTTTGATTATTTTTCATATTTTTGTCACTTACTTTATCTAATATCAGATTTCAAATAACTACGAATTGTTTTGGTGGATTTAATCTATGTTCAATGTATAACACTTATCAGCAACTTAAAATACCCAATAATTAAAGCAAAATTCAAATGAATATTAAAATCAACATACATATCGTCAATTTGTTTTACAATTCCAGCTGGGCATTTACCACATACGCGTAGTTTCCCATGGGTTGCATAATAAATAAAATTATATCAATGATGTTTATAAACACAAATATGACAGTGATTTGCGGAAATGAAAGGAATTATAGGATTCAAATCCAACTTAGTGTGGTAAATAAATTAACGCGGAATATTTTTCTTTGTTAAAGATATTGAGGTACACATCGATAAATATATAAATATACAGGATGTCAATAAAGTATCTAGCTAAACATGACTTCTGCAATGATACGTTATAGAGATACAGAGCATCAAACTATGCCTTCAAAATAGCTTTTACAAATTTTCCTTTCGGTATGAAAGTTCGATTAGAGGCCTCTGTGTTAATCGCCCTCACCTCTGAAGGTAAGTCACCCAGTTTCCTTTTTTATAGCCATATGAAGTAGACCACGTACATCATCTTCCGTTGTTCCAGAAGCTGCCCAACCTACATAAAGCCATGCTCGACTTTGAAGGTGGTTGTAGACTCGCCTGTTCCAAGTACAGCCTTCTTCTTGCGCCAGTTTTATGGGTGGTACTATATGCCACAGTCTTCTTGACCTCCACATCTAGATCTGCCAGTTAACCTTCGTTCAGACTTGTTTTTACGTTATCATTTTTTGCTGAATCTAAATTTTTTGAAGAATCCTCCTTGATTTTGTTAAAATTCCTTCTGTGTCTGTGCCTCTAAACGCAAATTTGTCGCTCTTTGCCTCAATGAGACATTTTGTTATTAACTTATCTCCACTGATTTGTATAATTAACCTTTCGTTTGTTTCTCTTAAAATGATACAACACTAACAGTTTTTTTAGATCTTCGCAAGTGATAATGTCAATATTTTTTTACTATATGAAATGTTAATCACGCTTGAGATATGCATTTTCAGTTTGGTGTACAATGCGACTGTATACATAATAGACAATGAGAATAATATCTTTAGTTTAAAAGTTATCTCCTCTGGGAGTACTGTCACCTTTCACATGATGGGCTAGTAAAATTTCATCTAGGTGAGCAACAAAAAGGATCTTAACAAATTGTACATAAAAACCGATTTATCTGGGCCCTACGATTATCACGGAAAGTACGAAGTTAACACCAACTGATATTTTGCTATCACAAGCTGCAGAAATGGAACTGCATCATATGAAAGTATAGCTTTGCATCAATCAATTTTTTTGCTAAAAAGGTGGAATTCAGAATCACCCTCTGATCAAAATTCTGAAGAGTTCGTGTTTTAGTTCGATTATAACATCCAACCTTCTTCAATCTCGACAAAAAAAGAGGCTCGCTGTTACGCATTTCCTCAGCATTATCGAAAAGTATATACTGACGCATCCAAAGTCGACGCAAAAGAGGTCTCTGGAGTCCACATACGTCAATTGGGGCACAATTTTATAAGAATCCCGTCTTCCTCGTTGCCTGAACATTTGTGCATCAATCAAAAAAGCTTGTAAAATTGCGCTGTAGAACAAAATTGCAAATACCCTAATATGGTCAATTTGTCAAACGACTGGATGCCAATACTGAACACGGCTGACGGCAAACTGTATGACTACTGCATCTTATGGTTTTCGTAAGCGCGTATATACCTGAATGGGGTTCTAGGAATATTTCCAATGGTGTCTTTATAAGTTATATAGAAAAACAACTTTAATATTTTATTACTCATTTATAGGTACATAAAAAATATCTTCATTACTATTCATAGAAAAATGTAACATTTCTCAAAATATATACATTAAAAGTGAAATATACACCCCAAAAGGGCTTTTTAACTCATTTTTTAAAAACAGAGTAGATCGAATAATAGCAAGAATGGACTTCAAGAGATCATTTCTAGCTATTTCATTGTTCTTATACAAAAAAACATATTTCCTTCTCTGTCTTATTTATAAATACTAAAAGCAATATTTGTCTGCCTCAATTTACACATCCTTGGCATAAAGAAAACCATCTCCCTGTTTTCTATTCTAGATCATTTATCCACTGGGTTTTCATTAAAAATCAACGCATATTATTCTTTTTGTGCATTTCTTCTTCTTCCTTATAAATCCCGCTACATATAAAATACCCTCTGGTCATTTTATAAATTATACAATAATTATAAAAAAGCACGAAAACCAACGAAAAAATTTTGTACCAATACAAGCGACAGACTAACAGGTACAACTGATATAAAACAGTGGCCAAATGGATAACGAATTGTACCGCAATTATTAAGGTGGGGTTTTTGAAGAGACACTGGAAAGAAAAAAAAAAGCGTTAAGATATAAAATTTGTACTTCTCACGCAATTTTGTCATCAATTACATTTCGTTGATTGACTAAAACAAATGCATGTGAGATAAGAGAGTCAACCTACTTGTAACATATTCATTTCTAACAGATTGAATATAATTATTGTGATTTTTTTTATTTTTGTTTATATAACGTGGAGTCTGTTCTAGTAATAGATGCTAAAACGAAGGTGGGACACGTAGAAAAAAAAACGCACAAATATGCAAAAAATTGGTTCGGCTTATTCAAAAGGCTCGAATGAAACAGAACCTTTATTACGTATGTTCACTAATGTAAAGATTCTTTCCTAATTAATTTTTCTTCGTACTTTCGTCATATTTGTAAATATGAAAATAAATCAAGATTAACGGGAAACAGAAATCGATTAATAATACATCATATTTCACTGATACCAAAGATGCAAAAATGAATTTTGAATTAAAGTTATATTTCTGATTTTTTGGTTATACCTGGACCGATTTTCAAAGCTTCTTCGTTCTTGTATAGTAGCCACTTTGCGTTAAAATTTCACCAAAATCCAAGTGGTGCTTTAAGAGAGACGGACTGACGGAAATGAGTGACATGGTTTTTTGTGATGCATACGTTCACTTCGGTTTGCTCAGTTTACTGAACGTTTTTTTTGTAACAAAACTAACCTTGGCTGACATTTGTCCCCACTTGTAGCTGGTTGAGTTTATTTTGTTTATGTGCAAAATCCACTGAATTCAATTTTGATCAAAGACCTTATACCTTAACGAATGCTGCCGTTCAGGCAGCAGCGGTGGCCGCAGTAGTAGACTCTTCGGTCTCCTGATCAGTCGCCGTGCGCTGTGCGGGTTCGAGACCCGTCCCAGGAGAAATGTTTCTCTTGGCTATGGATGTTGTGATTGTCCGTAGGTGGTAGACGGTCTCTGACTGTCGAACGCGGAGGTACCACCCGGCGGACCTCGTAGGCGGAGCCAGAATGTGTGCATGTTGCATGCACACGTGTGCCCTCGCCACAGTCCGTGTGGCGTTCCCCCCTTTCCCATGTATCCCCCTATAGCCCCACGGTATCCAATGTGTGCTTAGGCCATAGGCCTTCGTGGTAGTTGGAGTATAAAAAAAATGAATGTTCTGATCAACGTTACAATAGCTCAGCTTTTTTTGAACCCTCATCTCTGTATGGACTGTTTCACTTCGCTGGCAAAACGAACGCGACTAATAACTTAATTTCGAATGTTTTACAACAGTTCGCCGCCAATTGGCGTGGGACGTGAAAATCATAAGCCAATGTAGTGAAACATTTGGTACAGAATTATAACAAATACGTATTGACATGGAAATTTACGTTTTTCTCAATCAATTATGTCAAAAACTATTTCACATCTAGACAAAAGCCGTAAGTGTTAATATGACCTAAAACCAGAAGATTTTAGAAAAATAGAACTCAAAAAAATCACACATCGAAGATTTTGGTAAATGTTTATTTATTTAATGTGGATACTTACGTAAAACTTGGAGAGTCCACTGTTTCCTGGCTCGCAGCTGTTGCAATCCCCTGTAGCTCTCCACACATCCTTACCATACTTCACTAAAGTTCCTCGAGGCCATAAAACCTCATCCTAATTAAAAGAAAAACAGGTCATTATGAGCCATGATACAAATTCGTCGTGAACAGTCGTTTTAAAGATGAATACATTGATATATTTAATAGGTTGTCTCTTAAAATGGCATCAAGAAAGTCATAGCCAACAGTTGGCACTGCTTGATGTTTACCTGAACCATTATTTTCAATATCATACTAATGGGCGCCCTTTGGGGGGGGGGGGGGGGGTTTAAGCGGGTCATAGCCCCCCCCTGGCTTCTGCTTCAAAGTGAAATATTCTTAATAAGATAGCCAATCCTTGTGTAAGAAGTGGCGTGTGAGTTTTTTTTTGCTCTTCAAAACCAGTGGGTTGGCTAGTTCTCAGCATTTTTTATTCTGCACAACCTATATGGGCGCTCATGATCATACTCCAAATAGCTAATAGAACATTAATCACCTTTTAGAGTTATATATTTACATTTTTTGTTTTTGTAAACGTCTTCTTTGTTGTACTTTTAACCCCTTTTCTATTATTTTCTCTTTATCATCTGCTTGCAAGATTGCACAACCAGATTTTTTGCTTTTTCTTTTATTTTTTTTTTCATTTCTTGTTTCCTATTTTATACTGCTCTATGTTTTCGTCCATACTTTCAAACATCCTTATTGTAATTTACATCTTCAACTTTGTATACTCGTCAACATAAAAAAATACTACAGTTTCTACTCCGCATTCTGGAAGATATCCAACTGGAGACCATTTGTGTTTTGCTAAATTCATTCACTAAAGAAGGGAATCCAAATAAATGTAATGTAAAAATTTAGCCGCCTCAACTAATTTTTTTTGAATAATCAAAATACGTGCTTATTACCCTTGTACCACTTTACAAAGCTGATATCAATAAATCAAGGTCAGACATACAATAACTTTCACTCCTTTTCACATAATATCCTATTTTTCGGGTTTCAAATTAGCATACATAATATACAATCATTCACTTTATGTCTCAGTTGGCACTATCGATACTTGTACACACAAGAAAACTCATTCGAATTATGTAGGCCAATGATTAAACTGTTTATCTAGTTTACGCCACCAAATTAAAGTAAAACTCGCAAATTAATTACAAATCATTGATGCAGGTTTGATCAAGTATTTTGCATAAATTGTCAAGTTCTTGCAGACTACATCAGAATGCACACAAATAATGTACGAAAAAACTTTGTTTAATTGGAAGCTAAGAAACTTGCAAATGCATGATATCAAATCATAAAATGTCTTAATTCCCCAAATATAAATAATCCAATGAAAATACAATTCAGGCTTGCAAAAATTCCCACAAAGCTTTGAGTACCAAGGCATTTCCTATTCAATAGCTTTCTACACAAGCTTTTGATTCTTCAAGGAACATATGTATCGCTCGGGTTACTTATCCAATTTTCCGCTCGAATCCACTTTCCTTCTTTTTGCGGATTTTGCCTATTATTTTCCTATTTTTTTGTTATATACCTATCTCCGCATGATCATTTTCTCTTTGTAGATCCTTTGGGCTTGAAGTACCACAGGAAGTGGTTATAACCGGCCGTGTGGTTGCGGTTAGATGTCTCCTAGAACATTCGAGGTCTTCTAGCCATCTTATACTACGTGTGTAGGTTGGCTCTTGTCGTAGACTTCGTGTGTCGATTTTATCCCTCTCCATCTTCGTTCCTTCAGGTTATACCTGTATCCGTATGAGTGGGCATGTGTATCTACTTTTGTAGCTGCATATGTGCATTCATTTCGGGCCTGATGAAGCCAACCAGCAGAAATACGTATCGCTCGGGTTACCTATCCTATTTTCTGCTCGAATCCACTTTCCTTCTTTTTGCGGATTTTGCCCATTATTTTCCTACTTTTTGATATATTATATATATATATATATATATGTATACATAGTGTGATATTTAATGATTAAATGACATAAACAAACAACAACAACAAACAGTAATGCATATAAGCAGATTTCACAGACCACTACACCTCTTAAACTGTGTTAAAATAGAAGTACTTGAACAAATCTATAGAGAATTTTAAAAAAACTTCATATGAATGTCTTAACTTTTTAGACACAGGGTGGTAAACTTTTCGAAAATAAACAAGTGGCGGCTTTTCTTAAAATAAGGATAAAAAAATTAAGTCTGCATTAATTTTTGATCTCGTGAAGCTTTTGAGTCCCACGCACGGTTTTCATCTAAAAAATAATAACTATTTCTCTGCATCGCGATACTGTCATATTATCGATATTTCATCAGAGGCATGCAGACAAACGGTATCTATTTTTTTTAGCAAAACTCGTGCAGCGTATTGAAATCAAGATCAAGAGATAGGATTTGCTTAATGAATGAATGAATGAATCTTGAAGTAGAGGCATTCCCGCCACCATAAGGAGCCAGTGCATAGGCCGCTTAAGCGGGCCCTTATGCACCTCTACATTCCTTAGATCACAAGCTTCGCCCTTTTAGCGAAGTTGAGAATCGCCTTGAGTCCAAGCTGCTCGATGTCCTGAAGGTCCAAAGTAATGGACCCCAGTATAGTCTGCCTATAGTAGCTCAGAGATTCACAGCGACACAACACGTGCGCCGAGGTCTCTTCCTCTACCCCGCAGCGTTCACACAAGGGATCCTCAGCCACCCCCATCACGTGCAGGTGGCGCCTTAACGTGTTATGGTCAGACAACAGTCCCACCAGCAACCTTAGGTTGGCTCTATCCAGAGATAGGCAGAAACGTCCATCCTTAGCATTGGGCCCTTCGATGAGTTCCCGAGCCTGGCGGAGATGTCTGGAGATACTTCTCCATTTCTGAGAGTGTGGTCTTGCAACCCACGTCTCCATTTTCCTCCTAGCTCTATGCGCGGTCGCTCCTAGAGCTGGCTCAGGACCAACGAGCTTGCTGACTGATCCTATCTTCGCCAGAGTATCCGCCGTCTCATTGCCCCTTATCCCAGCATGCCCCAGTACCCACATTAACGATACCGGATGCCTCGCTGCAAGGCAATCCAGAGCCTCCCCGCATTGCAATACAAGACTCGAAGTAATCTTACAGGCACTTAGTGCTTTCATTGCAGCCTGGCTGTCGAATAAGAGTGTTATTCTTCTCCTAGGCCCACCCTCCTCCAGAATATGGGATACACTAGCCAGAATCGCAACGATTTCCGCCTGGAAAATAGTGGTGTATCCAATTTGAGGCAGAGATAGCCTGGTTCTAGGCCCAGAGACCCCAGCACCTGAGCCCTCTTCGGTGACCGAGCCGTCCGTGTACCAGACCTGCCCGCTCACTCCGGAGAGTTCCCGGCTACCGGCGTCCCACTCCTCCCTCGTTGGATACTCCACAATAAACTTGCGGTCAAAGCGATATTTAGGGGTAATACGATCACCCCTGCTTAGAAGGACGGGGTCCTCCATTTGCAATTCCACTAAGATGGCAGTATGCCCGACTCCACAGTCGATGAGCGATTACTCTCGCTTCACCGCGGATCACCAGATCCAACGGTGGGAGATCCAACAGAGCTTCCATTGCGCTCAATGGTGTTGTTCGCAATGCGCTTGTAAAGCTAATACAGGCCAAACGCTGAATTTTATTGAGTTTGACCTTAGTAGTCTCAGTTTTAATGCAAGGCCACCAGACCAGGGAGCCGTATAAAAGAGATGGACGTAGTATCGTCGTGTAGAGCCAGTATACCACTTTGGGTTTAAGCCCCCACCTTACACCGACAACGCGTCTACAGGCCCACATTGAATTGCGTGCCTTGCTAACCTTATATTCAACATGCTCTCTCCAGTTCAGTTTGCAATCCAGGATAATTCCCAGATATTTCACTGATTGGGATAGAATTAGTCTAGTCTCAAAGAAGGTCGGCATGACCAGCCCTTCAAGCCTTTTTCTCTTAGCTCGATCTTTTCAGCATTAATAGAAAAATCGACTTCCCTACACCACGATTCCACATAGCGCAGAGCGCCCTGCATAATTGCCGAGACTGTTCCACAAAAACGTCCCCTAACTACTATGCTTACGACATCAGCATAGGCTTGCACGTAGACACCCACACTGCTGAGCCTAACTAGGAGTTCGTTCACCACGATGCACCACAGTAGGGGTGACAGAACTCCGCCCTGAGGGCAGCCTCTAGCTACGCTGACGCTGCAGCTTACGTCATTCAGCATAGCATATGATTTGCTTAGAACTGATTGCGGATTTCCAGACTAATTTTTGCTTTAAGAGAAATCAGTGGCGTACCATTAATTTACGCCAAAATAGGCAGGTCAAATTCCGTACGTGCGCCAATGGTGAAAATTAAAAAATACGGTAGATTGATACAAAGTAGATGTGTGCCAAATTTCATTAAAATGTCTAGAGTGATTATTACAGATATTAATGAATGTTTATTTTTGTAAACTTTATCACCCTGTATCTCAAAAGTTAAGACATTAGACCCTACGTTCTTCTTAAGTCGCTATTCAATGAGGAAATACTCAGTACATATATTATATTTTTTTTCCTTCAAAGTCGATACAGTGATTATGAGTGAAAGTGATGATGATGGTGGTGACAAAAATACTAATAAAGAAATAGGCTAGATGGCAGGCTGCCAGATAGCCCGACAGAAACGAGTAACGCAGATGACATGAATTTTCCGTCCTAAAACATTACACTTTTGCCATAATTCTCATTCAATTGTCGAGAGTGAAACATGAAAAATAAATCTAAAATTTACAAATTTTACCTTCCAAGCACTGTTAACTAGCAACATGCTTTTACTGGTCTCTATCTTCTCCCAACTGCCGACATGGAGAGCGGATCTGTGAAGAATGTCATAGAACCTTAGAGAGAGCACATACTCTGATAGCGCTAGGAAACTGCTCTCGAATATGAAAAGGATGTGTTGTGATGCCCACAGTACGTCGTAGAAAAGGGCCGACTGAAAAAATGGAATCGGCGGAATTTACAAAAATGGTCCAGTCGCATAGATTACATTGTAGCTTCAATTGTTGATTTTGTGATAACCCAGTGATATCGCTTATTGCAAAATTATATCGCGCAGAGCTCCTTGGAGTAAGGAGATCAACATCGCTCATAATAACAACAAAACTGAGATTAACAGATATCCATAGAATTATGGAATATACAGGGTGTTCCTTAATGATATGCGAATATTTAAAGGTGTGAATCTATGTTAGTTTGCTTTATAAACTATGGTCCAAAAATGTTTCCTTACAAAAACTCGGGGTGTTGAAGTTTTAGGAAAAAAAATGGCGTACGGGTATTGACTTCGATAGTTTTTAAGAAAAAAATCGTACGCCAATGGTTTTTTGACAAATAAAAATTATTTTTGAATTCCCCGTTCAATTTAAAACAAATGATCTCTCTTGAATTGTTTTCCTTCAATGCTAAATTTTGAGTAAAAAAATAAAAACCGTTCTATTTATTGTCCGAGAAAATTAATGTAATAATTGACGAATGCAATTTAGCAATAAATATTTAGTTACTCTGGAATATGTCACTGGCTTTTGACATCTGACAAGTCTCTGTTATTCAAATGTTCGCTGTGACATCTTTTTCATTATTTAGTTTTTACAATCTTTTTAATAATGGTGAATTATTCAAATGCAGAAATCTCAGAAATGCTTTACGTATGTGGCCTTGCCGACGGTAATGGTGAGTAAGCCAGACGGATTTATCACCAGAGATATCCCGATCGTGCTTTGCCAGATAGTCGAACCTTTTCTAATATTCATCGTCGTCTTGTTGAAACTGGTTTTGTCCGAAAAGGAACATCTGAAGGTAGACCTCTAAGTGTGAGAACATCTCAAATTGAGGAAGCAGTGCTGCACGAAGTCCTTTTGTCAGTTGTATCTTCAAAAAATTACACAAAATCCGCAATTTGAATCAACGATTCTGATCACGGACGAAGCTAATTTTTCTCGAAATGCCATTCAGAATTTCCACAATAATCATTTGAGGGTAGAAGAAAATCCCTATGCCGTAACCGAAACCCATTTCCAACGCCAATTTTCGGTTAACGTATGGGCAGGCATTATTGTCAACCACTTTATTGGCCAATTCTTCTTGACGGACAGAATTACCTCAATTTTTTTCAACAACAGTTGCCTTTGCTGCTTGATGATGTTCTGTTAGTAATAAGAAACAACATGTGGTACATGCATGATGGTGCACCAGCGCATTTCAGTGTAGCGGTTCGTAATTATTTATAAACTGTTTATCCAAATCGTTGGATTGGCCGCGGTGGGCCCCAAGAATGGCCACCAAGGTCCCCAGACCTCAACAGTTTAGATCTCTTTTTGTGGGGCTATCTTAAGACACTAGTGTACGCAAGTCCTATTAGCACTGTAGAGGAATTAAGAGAAAGAATAGTTGCAGCTTGTGATAGAATAAAAAACACTACAGGGATATTTCAACGAGTGCGCAATTCCATGAGAAGGAGGGCGGAAGCATGCATACTAAGTGAAGGGGGCCATTTTCAACAATTTTTGTAATCATTTCGTTGGTTTTAATCTTATGTTTATGTTGGCAGTTGTTTTTGTTCATTACACCTAATGTGTTAAATTTTTCCAATTGAATTAATAATAATTTTGGAAGTTAGACAATAGAACGGTTTTTATTTTTTTACTCAAAAACGGCGCATCGAAGGAAAACAATTCAAGAGAGATCATTTGTTTTAAATTGAACGGGGAATTCAAAAATAATTTTTATTTGGCATAAAACCAATGGCGTACCATTTTTTTCTTAAAAATATCGAAGTCAATACCCGTAAGCACGCCAATGTTGAAGGTAAAAATTATTTTGGCATTGAAAAATATGCAACTTTATTAACTCTCACTACGTACTAAATATCAATGAAATATCTGAAGCAGTTCTGAAAATATTAATTAATTTCCATTTTTTTCCTAAAACTTCAACACCCCGAGTTTTTGTAAGAAAACATTTTTGCACCATAGTTTATAAAGCAAACTAACATTACTTTTTCATGTAGCTTTACACCCTTAAATATTCGCATATCATTAAGGAACACCCTGTATAATTTAATTCAAGAAACAGTACCAATTTTATAACATAAAGTACATTCAAAAACAACTCACGGTGGGTTTTTAATCCTTGAAGAAAAAAAGGAACATTTTTAGTGTCAACGATTTTTTGAAACATCACGTTTTTTAGAAAAATTCTACTCAAGCCGTTTCTTGATCACTGGTTCAACCCCTCTTTAATCTTGCTGTATTTCCGCTTTAAAAATATTGCAAATCATTCTTGAATATTCCTATACAGGGTGTCCCAGTTGCATGTCAATCTTTCGTATACATAAGGAACGCAAAAAATTATACCGCTTAGTAGACCGTATCTACTGTAGGACCAGAACCTTACCTGCGCAAAACATACTGGAATAAACCCAGCATAATAAGCGTTGACAATAGCGCTGAACAGCATCACTTTTATCCTATTGTTGAAATTAATGATCAACTGTTCGGCTTCTTTCCGAATATCCTTTGGATTTGTACTGCAAGCATGCAAAGGAGGGAGGGGGGAGGTCCATTGTACCAACTCGAATGCAGGATGGATTTGGAAGCCGAACAGTATAAGATATACGCATATACTGAAACAAATATTTATTATATCCCATTTGTTGAGGAATACCGGGTGATTCTCCAAGGTGACTCACCCCTAAAACTTTTTTATTATTGAAGATAAAAAAACGAAGTTTGGGGGCTATGTATTATAGATTAAATTTTTTTGGCATATTCACTTGCTTTAACGTACCTCCGGTTTGACCGGGAACGACTCCAACTTTCGATTTTTAAATAGGACACCCTATATATTTTTACTTATTTCGATCGAAAATAACATTCTGAACCCAACAACACCTCACTTGTCAATATTTGACCAATAAAGTCATTTTTATTTCAATTTTCATTTTTCGATGTAGAATGCCATGAATTCTGTAAATCGCTTCATTTTTAATCAAGTAACATGGGAAAAATACTATTTTGAGGCGAACAACCTTACAGACGTTTTAAAGAGTTTCTAAAAGTTACAAACACTATTTTTTTCGGTTTACTTAATTTCGGCTTTTTCTAAGAGACCATTTTCTAACGAATAATTTGATACACCCTTATTTTATTTTCACTATTTTTCCGAATAAAAAGAATATGTCAAAAAATGTAAGTTCATCTATAATACGTAACCGTCAAATTTCGTTTTTCTATCTTCTATAATAAAAAAGTTATGGGGGTGAGCCACCTTGGAGAATCACCCGGTATATTAAAGAATAGTATTACGATTTCTAAGCGCCACCCTATTCAACTATAGTTAATTCTAGGGCCTCTTCTAGTATCAAATCCTGAGTGGACGTTAGTGATCATTCTAGTCCTCAAAGTTCATTGGCAGCGGCTCTGAATGGTTCTACTAATGTTTTATTTCTGTGAATTCTAGTATAATCAGCTGTGACTGATTCAGAGAGGGGAAGGAGGTATCCTGGGGGTCCAGATCCAGGTAAAAAAAATTCGTCAACTTGCAGACTAGGTAGTTTTTTAGGGCGCAAGCAGTCATTCCACGTTTGCTGACTAGAATCGTTGTGAACGTCCATCTATGGAGGAATCACTCAACTAAGCTACACGCATTATTGGTTGCATAGTTTTGTGAGGCCAAATGGTCCTTGTCTGTCTGTAGTTTTTATCTCTGAGAAGAAAGTTGGCTGAATAGCAAGATCCAATCTGGATGATTATGTATATTGGACTGCATGGGTATAAAATCAGTGATATTTGCTGTGTGAGAAAATCATTACTGAATATGCTGCCAATGAAGTATATCTATTGGCTGTGCCCGACAGGTTATTTTTATGTTGTGCTTTCTGGAAGAGGTTATGTTCAAAGTTATAAATTACGAAAAACTGAGGAGAATTACGGGAAATGATCACCGCGCCCGCGTTGTGTGTAATTACTGTTACCATGTATATGGCTTGTAATTCGACAGTGTATAATGTATATAATTATTTCTTATCTCTCTCATTTTTGAAATTCAGCAAATTTGAACTCGTATATGTAATTTCCAGAATAGATAAGAAAAAGTGGATGCGCAACTAATTTCTAGCTTTGAATCTCAATTAAAAGTGTATTTGAGACAAGAATCCAATGTGATTATCATCAACACATACAACTTACAGTTTAGACTTCCAGTAATGCCATCTCGAAGCAGATTTTACATCATATCAGAGCCAAAGATTGATAACAAGGAACATTTTAAATGACAAGTAGTATCGAGTAATAGCTTGGTTGAAAGGCCTTTCGAAGTCCTTTATTTTGACGTTTCATTTTTCAAAATCGGTCAATTTGTTTCCAAGAAAATAAAAATATTAATTCGACAGTAAGAACGTTACACTCGACCTTGATACGGTAGGGTGGGTTGTGGGCTTAAAAATCTTCGCCAATGTGGACTCTGGTTTCTGAGTAAAACTCTTGTAGGCCTGTGTAATGCAAGGCAAGTTTGCTGTCAAACGGAAACGCACCTCATGGCTTGAAAATCTATGTCAATGAACTGATGAAGGCGAGGGTGATTGTCCATGTCTATGAAGAATATGACACCAGAAGAAGAAGAAGGTCAAAACCGTCGAGCGGCCTGCGATTTAACCAGTCGCTCCTAGGTTTAACCTATCTTACGTCATTGAAATACCCTGCAAATACTTACGGATAACACAAATACAAAATTTTCTCCACATGATGCCGATTCATAATATGAAACCCGCATATCGAAAGCGTTAAGCTCAGTACTCCAAACAAAAACAACCTGAAACAAAAAATGGAGTCAAGTAGATTGACTCTGTACATCCCACGCATTGATGTAAATCAATATAAAATTGTAGGAACACAAAAAGGTTAACTGTTATTAGTGATAAGTGAAGATGAGACATCCCCGATTTCACTGCCAACCGATCACTGGGAAAAAAATATTTATTTCGAGCTAGAGTCATCAGACAATTGAAAAACGTCGATAAGTACCATTATTGGGATACCAAAAAATATAAACGGTTTATAAAGAATGATCTAAGGTCATCAAGCCTCAAGTTTGAGTTTATGTTAAAATTTGTTTTTCTTATAGTACTACCACCACTGGACCAACTTTCAAAACCTACAAGCTTTTTCCTTCTTGGCATGGTAGTCAGATGTGAACATTTCATCGAAATCTGTGTGCTACTTCTCAAATCATAGGGGGCCAACCGGACAGATGACACTAGACAGAGACTGATGGAAATGAATCATATGGCTTTTCGCCATCGAAAAATATATCAAATCGCAAATAAAAAATTTTTCGCTTTGAACGTCCAAAGCTTTAATTTTCATCTAACAGACAGTGGATTCGAGAACCACTAAGATAACATTTTTGAAAATGGCTGCATACCATGCAAATCAATTTAGAATTTCTGGATCACTGATAATTTTCATTACGCATTAAAATTATCAGAAAATAAAAAACAAACTTTCAAGCACACAAATATTAATTATGTTTTTTACTGGTATTTTAGGATTTTTACCTCGGACCAAAAAGCAGTATTCATCGATGTCCAACAACAGTTTACAAATTTTTGCTTTCCATCAACTAAAAATCAGGAACTGTATACAAACATAGGTAGTTTGACCATACTTTTCTATTCGAAAATTTAAATAGCACATAAGTTAGTGACACTTACTGTCTTTTCAATATTCTCAATGTTTGTACAGGTACAAGAATTTAATGCTTTAAGCTTATTTCTTTCTAACGGGCATTTTTACATAAATTCTGTAAGATTCTGCAAAATGTGTGTTTGTGTGTATTTCCTCCAACGGGATTTTATATAAGAATTGTTGCTGCCAATATTCGTTTTTTATAAATAGTTGCATAAATAATTACATAGAAGGTCAACAGAAAGTGATCGAATGCAGTATCTTCCTTATCTTTGTTTTGGCCGTAACACTTTCAAGAGCAATTATGCGATTCATATTCCGGTTGACTTCCCATTTGCAATAATGCTTGATTACAATAAAAAAAGCTACAATGTATCTAACATGGTGCACCTTGGCCTGAGAATTTACTCTTTTACATAAATACTTGGTCAATGGTAGATCATAGACATGGTCCTTTGGGGGCGGCACTATTTAAGACAAAAATAAAACATTCAATATTGTTCGAACTTTTTTCTGGAAAATAGTGTGTGTGTATTCATGACTTCACATACACACAAGACTAATCAAATAATTGTCTTTTGGGTGAATAAATACGTGTATTGTCCTTTCAACTGGTACATTAATCAATTTCTCTCTTGGATTCAAAGAAAACCATGACCGTCAAACTACACTAATCGTATTCTCATTTAATTCGATTTCTTGCCAAACTTGGAGAAACAATGTGCAATGTTTCACTTGGATATTCGCGCAATCTAACAACGTTATCGAGGAAGGTGGGACAAACCTACGATGGCTTATTATTGCTGGAATCTTCGTCATGTCTAAAACAGTTACCTCATTCTACAAAACCTTTTATACAGTTTTATCTCATCCATAGTAACTATTTGAAATAAGGTGTGTAAAAAATGACACTTTTGTAACATGAATGTAAAAATCAAGCAGAAACCTTATTGGGAATGGCTTCCGAATATTTTGGTTTGAAAATTCACTGTTTTAGGACTCAATGCGAAGCACGAAGTTGTGCATCGACCCAACGTTTTTCTATGAGTACTTTCCGAGATACTTAGCCTCTAAGTAGGGAAATATGTACTCTATTACAGCATATTGCGCGTCCGGTAAATGTTATGTAATAGCTGTTTCATATTTACTTATGTTCGTATCATCATCCCTACTGGCCGATTCAACAGCCTTGCTTTTGTGACACATGCACAGGGTGACCCAAATGAGACAACATTTTTGAATAATCGTTCATGATGATCGTGCATTGTCCCAGTGTATAATCCTGAACATTTCAAAAATGTTCAGGATTATACTCATTGATTTTGAGACACGTATTTTATCTAAACAAACATGAAATTATCTTTAACTGTTCCTTAAAACATTCAAATAAGACAACCACTGTATTTACACCATCTAAAAATGCAACACTGATTCTAACTGATCAACATATTTTTATATTTTTTAGACAAAGGATATATTCCAAAACTCGACAAGACCCAGAAGTATCCAGGTCTATAAAAATATGCATCTAATATCTGTAAAAAACTTTGATGTCTAAATCTAAATAGTGGGACACCCTGTATAATCTTAAATATTTCCAAGGAGATTATGTAGGATCATTCCGAATAATCCAAAATATGTTTTAATAGAGTACGAAGCGGAAAACTCGCGCTATATCTCGTTACCTGCCAGTGGAAAAACTTTGAGCCCATACAGGCTTTTGATCCACGTGTTGAGATCTTCTGCATATTAATTTAAATAAATACAATACACAAATACATTTTTTTTAAAAAAGCGTTTATTTAGCTGTTGATGACGTGACCTAAGAATTACATTTTTTTCCTATTTGAGATATTTAAATACATCCTTTTTCCATCCTACTGTCAAAGCATTACGGTTTCATTTGAAAACCTTCGATTAAGGTTTAAATATTTCCAATCGCAAAAAATATTTCTAAACTTTATCAACAGCTAAATAAAAGCTTGTTTCCAGAAACGTATTTTTTATGATGTCAAATAACTAGTTTGGGTTTTTCTATATAATATTTCATTAATAGGACCCCAAACTTCTTACTTTATAGCAAATTTAGAATGGCGTTGTTTGCTTATTGTGTTTTTCTCATTAAGCCCTTTCATTCCCATATCATGGAAATTATAAATAGCCATTTAACGGCGGCCGCCATATTGGATGTAAAATGAGGTCGCTTTGCATATTGTGTCCGTAATCAAGCCTTTTGATTTGATACTCATAGTATAGAGAGAGACTACGAAAATTGTGTATCGCTATTTTGCGTTATCCGCAATATTAGACGTAGAATGTCGTCAAGTTGCTTGCTATGTTTCTTTCATATAGCTCTTCAATTTGATACCTATATCATAGGGGTGACAATGGTAATTGAAAACGCCATCTTGAGGCGGCCATATTGGATTTAGAATGATATCACTAATACTATGAAAAGTGTAAATAGCCATTTTGCGGCGGCTGCCATGTTGGATTTAACATGACATCACTTTGCTTATTGTGTTTGTCTCATCAAGCCCTTTCATTTGAGACCCATATGATAGGGGTTACTATGGTAATGATGAATCGCCAGTTTGTAGCATCCGCCATATTGGTTTCATAATGGCGGCAGTTAATTTATTCGAACCGGAGGTGTGTACAAAATTTCAGCTCAATTGGTTAAGGTTAACCGGTTCAAAATTCAGTTCTAAGATTTCTCCAATACTAACATACGAAAGGGTCACGTTAAATAAAAGCTTGTAAGAAAATATCCGAAAGTCATTCTCATACAAAGTCAGAGGTGTCTTTTAAAACTAGTATTTCTAGGAAAGAAACAATGGTATTTTCGTAACGAGCACACTTAATTTAACTGAAAATAAAATAAAAAGTATCCGGAAGACTTTTCACAGTTATTTATTGATTAATTTCAAATAGCTCCCCGAAATACGAATCTACATACGCCTCTGACTCGACTGCCACCTGTAATCATTCCAATTTCAATTTACAGCCAATATATAATATATACAAGCACCATTCAACTAATTCCAATTCACAAAAAATCGCACTTAATATCGCCCGGCTGTCACTAGCCAACCACCAATCTCCGTAACACAGAAATCGGTGTTCTTGGCTCAGTTTTCCGCTGCAGTTGCACATTGTAACATTCTAGTCAACAATCGCCCGATTGCGATGAGCAATTCCGCCATTTTTCTCTCGGTTTTCCTCGCTGTGACGGGCCTCGTGTGTAGTGATCAAGATTACAGTGATTGGAATGGTTTTTTGGAGAGTGTCGGCATTATGAAGAACAATGACGCGATGTTTACGAATTGGAGGAGTCAAGACAACAACTTTTTCGACGGTAATATAAAATTCGAAAGTGTATACACACTGTATATTAGGCTAAGAAAAAAACTGTCACCTGGAAGAGATAAACATAATAAATAGTACATTAGATACCTTTTTGTGAAGTGAGCTAAATTGGCCAAACACTTTTATGTCCTTAGGTGCGTAGACCAATATTTTTTTTTACTACTGCTACTACTAATTTACTACTAACGCTCATTTCACAAATACTGGTTACCTGGTGTCAAAGTGACAAACTCAAATTAATGAACGCTATTCGATCCAAAGGGAATAAGGTACAAATGTCTTCCTTCTGTTAATATTGGAAGAGGCTTTCTAACATTATGCCGATTTTAATGAGGTGTGCAGAAAATGGCGACAAGTATGTTGACCCTGCACCTCCTTCGCACTTTCTACGCCATCAGTTTATCGCACAATTTAAATCATCCGAGAAAAAATTCAGTTACGAACAACAGAGGAATCACTGCTGCGAGTTCCTGTTCATTTCGTGCATGGTCCGTGTATAAATATAATGATTTTTGAGTTGCAGTACGGATATTTTAGTCTGCTGAACCGGTCCGCCGGTCGGTGAGCTAAGACAGCAGGAGTACGAGAATCGAAAACATTTCTCTATCATTCTAAGTTTTGAAATCTATGATGTGTGAAATATGTCTAATATCTGCATAGAATTACCGGGGTTGGGAGCGTATAACTCTACAAAAGTTCTTCTGAACATGATAAGGCCCCTTTGGATCGTCAAAAACGTTGAGCGATTTTAATTTTTTTCGTTTGTGGATTTGATTGGTTATTCGTGATGACATATAACATCCAAAATGTCCTCGTTCAGTGGCGTAGGAAGTAAAAGGATAACTACATGAGGAGCTATACTCAATATTACTTATTTCTGAATCGTTTTCATATATTTCGAAATATAACGTTCAGTTGTCAAAATGACATTAAAATTGACAGTATTTTAAATTACTTTATTATTTGCCCAGGTTTGTTTCTATTATTTACCTAGGGATAGAAATGCTACTTGTTGCGGTCAGAGATTTCCCGGGTTAGTAGTGGAAAAAATAGATTGTGATCGTCATTAATTTATACTTTGAAAAAGGCAGCCGCTATGGCTAAAACGTGAGTAAAAAGATACTCGTACGTGGTTTCATTTGAACAATCATAAAGTTCAATCAGTTCGGTCTACCATTATTATCCATATATTCATTACATTACAGGCGGTTTTCATTCTCTACATGATCTGTTTGATATTGCACCGGTTGACAGTGAATTATGAAAAATTAAAATGTGAAAGTGCATACATAATCTAGCGCAAATTATATCATTGTAAACTATGTGGAATTACTGTTTATGTAGTACGAGGGATGTCTTTTAAGTTTTGCATATGGAAATAAAACAACACGGTAGGTAGTTTTAAATGACTTTATTGTTTTTCGAAGTATTCTCCACGAAGATTAATACACATGCGCATGCGCTCGAACCAATTTTCGAAGCACTTATTCCACTCGTTTGCTGGCAGATCCAAAACGGCATTTTTGAATGCGCCAACTGCTTTTTCTGGTGACTGGAACCTTCGACCACGCAGTCTATTTTTAATTTTCGGAAAGGTAACGATATCGTTAGGACTTGGATCGGGACTATATGTAGGATGGTCCAATAATTCCACGTTTTCTTCCGTTAAATACTGCCTTGTTTTTTGGGCTGTGTGCGAGCTTGCATTGTCTTGGTGGAGGATGATTCTTCTTTTGGGGTTGATTTTTCGAAGCTCGGTGATGACTTTTGGCAAACAAATGGTGGTATAGCAATCCGCAGTAACAGTTCTTTGCTCATTAAGAGGAATTGTTGCAATACGACCCGCTTTTGACACAAATGTCGCGACCATCTTTTTCGAAAAACTTCGAGAACGGATGACTTTTTTGGCTTTTCTTCGCCTTGGAACACCCAAACAGCCGACTGTCGTTTATTTTCTGGTTCATAACAGTAAATCCACGATTCATCACCACTAACAATGCTGTACACATTTTTTGAGTTTCCAGAAATGAAACGGTCAAGTAACGGGATATGCAAAACTTAAAAGACATCCCTCGTACTTTACACGTAATGCCATTTATAATCTTTAACTAGATACATATATTTTGCATTCAAATATTACTTCCTACGACACTGGGAGAAAATTGCAAAAATAATATACATATATGTTTTTGGGTATTATATGACATGTACATTACGAAAAACCATGCCACTCATTTCCGTCGGTCTATCTGTCTGTCGGTCTGTCCGGTAATACTTGGCCAATCTATAACTTGGAAAGTACTGCTAAAATTTGGATGACATTTTTAAACAAGGTTACTACTAGGCCAAGGACTACCTTTGTATTTTTTGAAAATCGGTCCAGGGGTGGCGGAAAAAAGTAAAAAAAAAATTAAAATCGCTCAAATATCGCTTCTGTACTTGACTTTTGCCGATTATATGCTTTTATGAACTGTCGGCAGAGTTGCTTGAGAAGTGCAGGGTTAACAAACTTGAGGTATTTCGACTGGATGATACGAAATATTGCTTCATTTTTAAAATCGTATTGACCAGAACTGATTTTCTGGGAAATGCTTCCAGCATCAACCAATGACGAAAACAATTACTTTAGGTTTCCGAACTTCAAGTCACAAAAAGAACGAGGTTATTGAAGCCAAATGTAGTTTTTACATATTTCTGATCACTAAATATTTGAGTGGCTTTTTGGCTTCATAGAATTCCAGGTTATTTAACTGAGCCTTATTAGGTCTGTTCCGGCAACGAATTTCTGATCGTTGAAGACAGATTTGCAATTCAGTTTGACTTAAGTTGACTGACACCTATTTGACAATTTGTTTTGCAAGATGGATTCAACCATTTCAAAACGTTTTAAAGTCGTTGCTAGAATATGGCTATTTGGCAATTATAAGCTATCTATTCGAAATAATCCCAAGCGAAAATATCAATGTAGTCTGGATCTGGAGATCTAGGAGGACATGCGATTTTTCCACCGCGACCAACAAAACCATTTTCGCTTTTCGATTTATATGAAATTATAATATATGAAGGGTATAGGGAGAAAATGAATGTCACAAAAAGTAAGTTTCAAGAAATATATATATGAGCAGTAGTCATTGCCAAAGCCAACGACCAGTTGTGCACAAAATACAATTAATTGTTAATTGGGAAACTGGCAAATTTTAGGCTTAAGTTGACTCTTTTGACGATAAACTCAAGCTTTCGGCATTCTCTACGGAGCCTTCATCAGGATTTCGTCGTTGAGGTTGCAGCCACAAGGTGTTTCAAAACGAACGTAGAGAAGATAGAACTTGTAATAAGTATAAAAACAAAAGGACGGAGACATTGGGCTTGTTGATAACGACAGATACCTTCGTTACATGTTAAAAATATCAATACACCCGAACATATTAAAAATTATTAAACATGAGAAGACATTTAGGGAAACAATCGGAATGCAGTCTCTAACCTCCTCTAAGGATTGATTTTAAACAACAGTGAAGGGAACAAACACATAGTCGATGAATAGAAAACTGGACTGATGAGGTTCGATTAGGACGGAATTATTTTATTATTAAATGGCAAATCATTTTGAAAAGAATTTCAGCAACAATCTCGCCGACTTACTCCAGACGATGAAGACATAGATCTTCGAAAGCTTGAGAGTTTAAGTTATAAGAGTGTACTTTTGCAATACTTTGCCTTCTACCCAAAGAAATTAAAGGATATATACAACGCGGCAGCGGCTTATATACTAAGTGACATATAAATCCGAACACCCAGTTTAAATGGTTTTATTTTAATAAAAGTTGGTGAATGTATTTATCTTACTGTAAATGACAAGTGAAAAAATGTTCAGCCTTATCAGTTGGACATTCCGGTTTTTATACTGCTTTTTTTTTTAATTCACTAACGCTCTAAAAATGAATTTTTCAGCCGCAGTAAAGAATCAACGTTTGCGGATTTTGGTTCTTGACATCCTTTACGATCGGTTACGATGCCTAGAGTACGGAGACCTGTACGATTTCGTCAACTTAGTGAGTTTGATAGGGGCCGTATAGTGGGACTTCGGGAAGCTGGACTTTCTTTTCGGGCAATTGCAGTTAGAGTGCAAAGAAGTGTAGATACTGTGGTTAGGTGTTGTCAGGCATGGCTTCGAGAAGGCCGTACGCAAAGAGCAAGGGGCACTGGACGCCGCCGTAGAACAACAGACCGTGAAGATCGCCGCCTAAGATTATTGGCCTTAAGGGACCGTTTCTCCACTACCAGGTCCATTGCAAATGAATGGTTTGCAGAACATGGAAGACCTATTGGCATGCGAAGTGTTTACCGACGAATGAGAAGTTTTGGCTTGTTTTCATACCGGCCACACTGGGTCCTTCCTTTAACTCGAGAACACCGACGTAATCGCCTTGAGTGGAGCAGACAACGGTCACTCTGGGATCAGGAATGGAACAGTATTGTCTTTAGTGACGAGTCTCGATTTTGTTTAGGCATGCACGATGGTCGTGCCAGGGTTAGAAGGCGACGTGGTGAAAGGAGGAATCCACAGTTTTTTGTTGAAAGACATGTTCATCACACTGTTGGAGTTATGGTTTGGGGTGCTATAGCTTATGGTTCCAGGTCACCTTTAATCTTCATCAGAGGCAGCATGAACGCCCAGCGTTATATCCACGAAGTTCTAGAACCCCATCTTTTACCCTATCTTGACACCCTGGCAGATCCAACTTTCCAACAAGATAATGCCCGACCACATGTTGCAAGAGTCACAATAGACTTCTTTCAACATAATGATGTCACATTGTTACCATGGCCACCAAGATCTCCCGACGTATCCCCAATTGAGCACGTGTGGGATATGATGGGTAGGAGATTGCTCAATTTGCAACGTCCTCCTCAGACTCTAGAAGCATTTCGAGAGGAGTTGGTGGTTGCCTGGAATGAGATACCACAGGAGGACATTGACCACCTGATCAAAAGCATGCCTAGGCGCGTTGGAGAATGCGTAGCACATCAGGGTGCATCCACACATTATTAAAGGTCAAAGGGCTTTAAAGCAGTGCAATCATTTTGAAATTTTTATCATTTACTTATTATGCTTCATTAAGTACTTATACAAAATTTTATTAAAATAAAACCATTTAAACTGGGTGTTCGGATTTATATGTCGCTTAGTATATATGTATATACAAGATTGGACCTGGCTAATGGGATCTTTGTCCTAGTGCCAAAAAGAATTGAGTTTAAATGAGCCTTTCGTTATATGCGACACCTTGTAAAATGCCTAGCTGAGGTTTCACGATCTGTTCTAATATGAGAACTACTATAATAGGAAATTTAATACACAGTGCCTAGAATTTGAGAAAAAGGTGATTTTCTAACCTTAATGGTTTCTAATTATTTTTTTTATCGGGACAGGCAAAAAACAATGAACCAAAAAAAGCTTTATTCAAAAGAATATAGAACAAACAAAAAAAAATTAATGGTAACTGCTTAAAAATGATTACTTAATGTTTATTTCTTTTGCAGGTTGGTGTATGACAAATTGTTGTACTAGCTACTAGTTTTGGTGGCGGTCAGTGGACGTTCATCTTTTTTCCATACAACGGATGTGACATTCATCTTTTTCCGCTGTACCCTTTATATGGTTAAATGAAATTACGACTATAATATAGGAATTTCAATTTTTGTTCATAGTGAAAGTTACAACTATGTTAATCTTTAACTTGTTGCTAACACTTTGCTTGCTGCTAAGCACTTTTTTCGATAGGACATTCGAATGCGTTTTCATAATCCAGTGAATGTTGGGTTATGCATGGGATATGCTCTAATAGTTATCTCCTATTGTTGTAATTAGTAATAAATTATAAAATCATTTATATGTCGGTTTTACTTTGTTACATTGAAATGAAATGAATTTTTTTCTGTTTCACTGAACAATGCCATTATTTTCCAGATCGAACACCACTCGATGAAGGAAACAGATACTTCAGTACAAGGTAATGCAAATCCTGATTTTGCATGTAATTTCTTTATTATATACTCGTAAATTAAAGTATTTGCCTAAATTCAAGGTTCATTCGTAAAGGTAAAAAAAAAATAGTAATATATTTTTGAAAGTTATAGAAAATCCATACTGTGATGATAAGTCAGTGAAAATTTGCACACATAAAGGACAATGTCAACAACTTGGACAATTTAGAATCATCTATTTATACTGTACAGTGTGGAACAATCATATGGTTCATTAACTCGTTTACTGTGCATATTTATGGAAAAACAAGAAAACGTCGATTTTTTATTCTAAAATGCGTTAAGAGTTCATTCCCTGGGGATGAGGGGGTTGGGGGCTGCGACCCACCAATTTTTAATTTTGTTTGTAATATATAATAATAATGAATGTCTTTATCAGCAACACAACAATAGGGCGAAGTTTAGCCAGTTGGCTACTCTTACACCCAACTCTATTGTATGGGGTTGTCCAAAACGGACGCAGGAAAGTAAACGCATATTAAAACAAGAAAGATTGATATTCAAATCAAGTTGGGTACTTTATTTTGAAGGTTTATTTATACCATTTATGTATGAAAAATAATATCGCTCAAATGTTCACCACGACTGGATTTACAGACGTCCACGCGATGGTCGAAATTTTCAATGACATTTTGCAACATGGTCGGTTCTATGGCATTTATCTCGGCAATGATGTTGTTTTTGAGTTCTTGGAGGGTGGCTGGTTTGTTGACGTAGACTTTTCTTTTCAAATATCCCCATAAAAAGAAGTCCAAGGGAGTCAAATCGCACGATCTCATTCCTTCAAGTTGCGGCAAAAAATAGTCCTCTATCATCACGTGATATCGCTCAGAATTGACGGTAACGGCGTCCCCGGCCGCATTTTCGAAAAAGTAAGGTCCGATGATGCCTTTTGACCACAATGCACACCACACAGTCACTTTTTGAGGATGCATCGGCTGCTCTTGATACTCACAGGGATTTTCGTTCGCCCAGATTCGGCAGTTTTGCTTGTTTACCGTCTCATTCAAAGTGAAATGCGCTTCGTCGCTGAACATGATTTTTGATGGAAAATTGGCATCAATTTGGCGGTGTTCAAGGAGCCAATCTGAGAACGTTCGGCGCGAAAAATGGTCGGCCCGACGCAGCTCTTGCGTCAATTGGATCTTGTAGGCGTGTACATTCAAATCCTTGTGGAGAATGCGGAGCAAACTGGTTCTCGAAATGCCCAATTCTTGGGATCGACGCGTTGTTGATTGTTTCGGATCGTCTCTCACACTCTCCTTCACAACAGCAATATTTTCCGGTGTGCGAACGCTCCTTGGCCGGCCAGAGCCTGGCAGATTTGCCACAGAACCTGTTGCCTCGAATTTATGCACCAGACGACCGATGGTTGTTTCGTTTGGGCGGTTGTTGCGACCGAAATGATCACGAAGCGCGCGATACGTGTTTTTTACTTTTGCACCATTTTTGTAGTGCTCTTGAATAACTTTAATGCGGTCTTCAATCGAATACGACTCCATAGCGATCAATGGTAAACATTCAACTAACAAAATGACAAGTCGGTGACAGAAACCAAAGATGGCGTCTATGTCAAATTAACGTTTACTTTCCTGCGTCCCTGTTGGACAACCCTTTATTATAAAAGTGTGATGAAGTGTCAGCGGACGACAAAAGAAACACCTTAAAACGATTCGCATTTGCATTTGCGGCATTAATGCGAATATTTTGTGTGAATATGAGAAAAATAGAATATAAAAATAATATTGCGTACTTGAATAAAATAAGAAATATCTGTATATGTTGTAAGAGATAATGATTAAAAATGTATATACATTTCAAAGTCACATACATGCAACCTAACTAAGTGAGCTAATAATAAAGGGAAAAAAGGAACCAGTCAAGAACCAATACTGAACGGATGACAACACAAAAAAAAAACATAAAGATAATAACAACTAATTATCATGCATCTAACAGCTGATTTTTAAACAGCTTCCTGAACTTTACTACACTTTTGCTTCTCCAGGCAGGGTTGGTTGAATTGTATAACCACGTAGCATTGAAAGTGAAGCATTTTTGAAATGCGGTGTAATGCAAAGGCATAGACAGATTATTATTATGCCTCAGATCTCTAAGATTAATGATCTCTCTAGTTACCAATTTACTATGGAGGTACATGAGCTTTTTAGTACACAATATCTTATGCACATGTTGATCCATGTTCAGCCATTTCAACTCCTTGATCTTAGAGGGGACATGACTATATTTTCTAAGACCATACACAAACCTACAGCAGTTGTTTTGCATTCTTTGGATCGTACACCGATTCATCGAGTCAAGGCAAGGATAGTATAAGGTTAAAGCGTAATTGAGGATGGACATTATCAACTTTCAACTAGCTTCTTACGAGTTTTGGAGTTGAAAATGAATCTATTAGCATATAGCAGTACTAACTTGATGTAGGTGGACTTCGATAGATAACACACATGTTTGTCAAATCTTAAACTAGAGTCCAAGATGACACCAAGATTTTTTGCTTGTTCCACAATAGGAATGAGCTCGTTGTTGATGCTCAATGCAATTCTGGCCCTTACTCTATTATACAAATGATTAGGATAAAAAAGTATGCAAGTACTCTTATCCGGATTAATCTTCAACATGTGTCTTTTACAAAAATCAGTGATGTTGGCATGATCACGATTTATCTCATATGACACTTCATCCAGATGAGACAAGTCAAAATGAAAAGAAAGCTGCGTATCATCCGCGTAAGTTTGCATAACACAATGCTCAATACATGATTGTAAATCAAAAGTATATATCAAATACAGTAAATGACCTAAGACAGAGCCCTGAGCGACACCTGAAGAAACGGCAACAGAAGATGAGGCACCTCTAACTGTCTTTGCCTTTTAAATTTAAGCGGAATGTCAGAAAGTCCAGTATACTTTAACTTACTCAACAAAATTTTATTGTTAACAGTGTCGAACGCCTTAGAGAAGTCGACCATAACTAAAACTGTATTAATATGTTTATCCATATTATTTGAGATATTGTCTGTCAAATAGAGAAGTGAAGAAGTTGTACTGTGTCCAGCACAAAATCCAGACTGATGGACAGGAAGTAAATTGTTCATCTCTAAATATTCAATTAGTTGGAGATAAACAGATATTTCTAATATCTTTAAAAAGAAACACAGTATGCTGACGGGTCCTAAATGATCAAGTGTTATGGGATTTTTTACTTTGGCTAGAGGAAGAATTATTGCTTCTTTACAGACATTAGGAAAGCTCCTAGTTTTCAAACATATATTAACAATATGAGTTAGATACTGAAGTACTTCAGGTAAACAAAGACATAACATGTCCACACCAATACCATCACAGCCTCTTGCAGTCGACTTTATAGAGACAGAAATATCTAGGATCTCCTGAACTCTTACAGGTCTGAACACCAATAGTGTTAAATTAGCATCGAATAAATTTTGTTGATAAAATTCAGCTGTAGCATCAATTAAACGGGAATGGGTATGGGTGTTTCGAAAATTTAATAAAAAGTGGTCATTAACTTCGTTTGGTTCTAATAAATTTAATGGAATCTCAGTATGTTTCTGAGGACAAACGTTCATCATCCTAAGTTGATCCCAGGCTTTCTTCGAATTTAATTGATCAAACCGTGACTGATTGGCCTTTTTTGGCCATGTTAGCCAAGGGGCAGATTTCTTTGAAACGCGCGCTGTCCGAATTGGAGCATGCTAATCGAACAGTCGGAGTAATGTAAGTATATTATCTTTTTGGTTAACATCACTGACATAGAATATGCTCTGTAAGCCTGTCATCGCTAAATCCTCCTTGAACTGGGCCATATGCATATTTTTGTAATCCCTGTAAGTCACAAATTTATCTTCGGCGTGTTCGATTCTTATATTTAATTCGCAAAAAACTAATCTGTGATCAGAAATGAAGTCAGCATTCATTGTACCAGAATTCAAAACGCTATCTACATCACTAACAAATATTACATCAATCAAGGTGGAACTGAAGCGAGTTATACGTGTAGGTTCATCAATTACTTGTCTAAAGCCATAGAAATCAAAACAACCGCTGAGGGCATTGCTGGGATCCATCAAATCTACCTTCATGTCACCCAAGATGATTATATTATCAAATTGTGGCAAGAAAAAGGAGATGAAATTATCAGTTTGACTAATGCATTCATTAACTGGACAATGAGGTCTGTAGGCCACAATAAATAACTAGATGAACCAAATTTGCACTTACAACACAGTACTTCAAGCATGCTATTACCCAAGAGGTTCACCTCAACTGGTCTAAAATTGAATACTTGTTTAAAATAAACACGAACTCCTCCGCCCCTCCCTAGTAACCTACCCTTACGGAAAAAATTATAGCCATTCATAGTCACACAATCATCGGGTATATTTGCAAATAGCCAAGTTTCGGTAACAGCTATTATATCACCTGGCAGGTTATTAGCTACTCAGTAGCGTTATTGCTTCCAGGTGTACTGCAAATATTAACATTTGGAAGTGTCGTTTTGTTAATAGAATCCGCCCAATTGAAGCTTAGTATTCATAAGTAGCACTTCAGTCTGAATACAAAAAAAACACAAACGTCAATGACATAACGTAGGTGAATGTTACACAATCAATATTAGTATTTATTGATCGTTCCGTCAGTGTCAGTGGATTTCCACGTACATCGTGACTACACGGTCAATGAATATCAAATTCTGTGATAAATACTGATGGATCAGTTAATACTGATCGTGTGACATATGCCTTAGCCCGTAGCAGATGTTCAAAACACTCACTCTCAACATTTTGGAATTTGATGCGTTATATTGCTAAATTTTTAAATGATTTTTTTTTGCAGTAGGATTGAAAATAATGCCACTGTTGAATAGACAGTCAACAGAAAAGCTTCTAACTCTTATTTGAAATTCCGGCCCCCTTGCCCAGTAACATGTAATATTTGAATCTAAAATGGATTTCGGAGGTTTTTCATTCGAAAAATTAAGATTTCAATTTAGTGATTTAAAGCAGATTGGTTAGGATAAATATACATATTGGTAAACCTTTCTCAAACTCTAATATCGTATGTTTTCAAATTTTCTACTGTGATTTGTATCCTTGTTACCACGTTTCAAAAATTTAAACTCTGTTTCTGCAATTTCTAGAGCGATGGTAGGTTGCACCAACACACACTTAAACCTAGGTTATGCATTTGTAAAATTAGTTGTTGTGAGACCATATTTTGATAACTAAAATGTTATACTATATTTTCGATTTATATGTCGAATGTTTAGTCATCGGTAGACATAGATTAATATTGTTCCAAATATTTAGAACCTGAGCGTGTTTAATTCTGCTTGATAGTTAACTGTTATCTGTTATAGGTTCTATTCACCAGAGTTTGAACAAAATGTGGAATTTTTAACAAACATGGTAGAACAACTTCAAGACCGGGCTAATTCGTACAATCTACCTACAAGTTACGAGCAGTACCTGCCCAGACGTTCAAATATACAAGGTAATAATGATGCTTTTGAACAAAACATACTGTCTAATATGAACTTAAGGTTCACGCTTATTGAGCGGAAGCAAGGCGGAGAAGGGAAGCGAAACTCTTGCACTTGGTTCCGATACACATAATCAAATTATGCTGAGAAATATGTATTTTTTCCTACAGTTTGACGAACGTCCTTTTTTGGTAGTACTGTTAGACTATTGCTTCCTAATTAGTTCAAAATGATGGGGCTGGAGCATTTGCCGCCGTTTTTATAAACGCCCTAATGTCCTACAAAATTGCTTTGATTACTTTTTTACACAGAATCGATGGTTTTCGAGATTCTAGTAGCCCGTAGTTGGTTAAAAATGGGTATTTTTGTGAACTGACGAAAAGCCAGATGAGCAATCAACTAATGCTTCTTCTTCGGTTTCCGATTTGGGTCCAACACAGGGTGGCGATATTGAAAGTTATAGTGAGGCACGTTCTCGCCAGAGTAAAGTAATGAGACAATAGACAAGCATGTGGAAGTTCAAAAAGCGGCAAAAAAATTTACCTTGTGCCCTTATCAAACAGCACGGAGAATTAACGATTTGGCGAACACTGTTGAAAGTGAACTTTAGAAAAGAATAAAATTGAATTATTTTGCTAGACAGCTTTACAAGTCGACCGATGTAGCAAACTGTGCAATATTGCTCGTGTATGTTAGATATATTTTTAAGAATTCCATTCAAGAAGATGTGTTATTTGCAAAACCACTGGAAAATTATACGACTGGTGCAGCAATTTTTAATATGATCAATCATTATTTTGAAAAACATGTAATCAACTGGTCATTTTGCTTAGGTGTATGCACGGATGGTGCAAAATCAATGACTGGAACATATTCTGGTCTTGTGGTACGAATAAAGAAGTTCAACGACAATATAGAATGGACTCACTGCTTTATTCATAGGCAAGTATTGGCATGTAAGCGTATTCCTGCAGAGTTAGCCAGTACTTTAAGCGAAGCTGTAAAAGTTGTGAATTTTATAAAGTCCCGTGCTAGAAATTCTCGTCTATTCCGTGAACTTTGTGAGGACTTGGGAAGTCTCCACGTCTCTTCATTACTTCATACAGAAGTTAGGTGGCTTTCTCGTGGCAAAGTTTCGACCCGCCTGTTTGAATTGAAGTCTGAAGTTCAGGCATTTTTTCTTGACCATACATTTTATTTCTCGGGTTCTGTATCCGACATTCAAATATGTCTTTACAAGGTCCAGGAATCATCATGTTCAATGTTCATGATAGAATAGAAGCCATGCTAAAGAAGTTCAACTTTTGGAATCAATGTCTACAGATGAATGAGTACGATTGTTTTGGTGTTCTCAGCAGCTTTTTATCCGAGAATGAAGTTCAACTTAACATTAAAAGAGATATTACTGAACATCTCAAACAGCTTCAATTGACGTTCAAAGAGTATTTTCCTAATAAACCTGTATCAAACAACTGGATACGCAATCTTTTGAAGGGCATATAATTTCTAAGACTTCTTTATCTTTATTGGAAAAAGAAAAGCTCATTGATTTATCCTCTGACAATTCTCTAACAGCTGTTTTTGCAGATGATTCTATAATAGACTTCTGGCTCAATGTAAAAATCAATACCCTATCTTAGCAAAAAAAGCCATGAAAATTTTGTGACCGTTCTGCACAACGTATCTGTGTGAGAAAGGATTTTCAACATAAACTTACCTCAAAGATAAGTACAGAAATAGATTAAATGCAGAACCCGATCTAAGACTAAAGCTTTCAGACAATGAACCAAATTTTGAATTTCTTTGTTCCAACAGGCACAAATGTCCAATTGGGAATTTTTGCAAGTATCGAATTACTTGCATTCATATTATTTGAATCCTTTTTTTTTGTAAAGCTTAGTTTTAATAACGTTTCTCTATATGTTTTACGTTACAGTTATGTTTTAATTTACTTTGCTCATTATAACTATTATTCATATGATTAACAAATTTTGATAACAGCCAAATAGTAGTTGGTAGTTGTTTGTTTACTCCCACTAACGATTGCTCAGGGAGTTCACCGGTATATTCCAATTTTTATAGGAGGTTCGCAGAAAGAAAAAGGCTGGGTCGCTGATATAGACTAAAGGCGTTTGTAGCCCGTTGTGTAATTAACATAATCCATTTATTAAAAATCGTTTATAAGGAAAAATAGCACTGGACAACAAATTTTAGTTTTTTAATTGTATCTTGTGGGAAAAGTGCACTTCTTTGTTAATTTTGAGGCGCTGAATCCAAAAATGACAATGAAATAAAAAAGTTAGTTGCGGTTTAGAAAAAAAACTTATTTTTAAGGATATATTAAAAAAAGTAACAAGATTCATATACTTATAAGAATCACTATATGCGCTGTCTTTTTGCTGTTCTTTTATGGATCGTTTCTGGAGCATCTCTACCAAGAGTCCAACAGTAGTCTGCAAGCATGGAAGGATTCCACTTTCCCTGGTACCTTTTTTCCATTGTTGAAATATCCTGATGAAAACGTTCGCCGTGCTCATCACTTACGGCTCCGCAATTGTCAGGAAAAAAGTCCAGGTGTGAGTGTAGGAAATGTATCTTAAGAGACATATTACAGCCCATCTTTTGATACGATGACAGCATATTTTTGACAAGAGTTTTATAGTTGTCAGCTTTTCTATTTCCCAAGAAATTAGTGACCACCAGACGGAAATCATTCCAAGCAATTATTTCAATACCTGTTAAAGTGTTTTCAAACTGTGTATCTCTCAAAATATTTCGAATCTGTGGCCCAACAAAAATACCTTCTTTAACCTTTGCCTCACTTAGTCTTGGAAATTTCTGACGCAGGTATTGAAAAGCTGACCCATCTCTATCTAATGCCTTGACAAAGTTTTTCATTAGGCCCAACTTGATATGCAGTGGTGGTAATAAAAATTTTTTCGAATATACTAATGGCATATGCTGTACATTTTTTTGACCTGGCTCTAGGAATTGACGAACAGGCCAGTTTTGTCTGGAGTAATGAAGTGCCTTTGCCCGACTGTCCCATTCACACAAAAAACAGCAAAACTTTGTGTAGCCTAGCTGCAGCCCAAGTAAAAGTGCAACAACTTTCAAATCGCCACAAATATGCCATTGGTGCTCATCGTATTTTATGCATGTCAATAGGTACTTCATATTGTCACATGATTCTTTCATGTGAACTGCATACCCTACAGGAAGAGATGGTAAAATATTTCCAATATGCAATAACACTGCCTTTAAACTCAATGTTGAACTGTCTATAAACAATCTCCATTCTTCTGGGTTATAGTTTATATTTAAAGCCGCCAGTAAGCCGTTAATGTTACTGCAGAAAACCAAGTTATTCTCCATATTGAAAAATGGTTCTAAGTCTTTGTGGCTTATACGAAAAACACATACCAAAACATCGTCTTCTAACAAGTTCCACTGCTGCAGTCTTGCACTCTGCCTTACATTTTGGAAGTTCTAAATCTCTTACAAGATCATTTAATTCTGACTGTGTTATTTTGAGCGGTTGGTGGCATGACGTGCTCGGTATAAAATCAGGATCTCTTGACGTTGATGGCATATCTTCTTCCTGACGAATCACTCGATCGCCATGATCTGATTCGTTTTCTGATTCGCAAGTGTAGGATTCTGGGGGTTTTGGAATAGGATTTTCGTCACTGTGAGGCACAGGTCTCATCGTCTCATTTTTTCTTGGACATACGTGTGGCTTGTCCAACACAAGGTACCATGCAAAAGTAACAATCATTAATATGATTTGTAGGCTCTCTCCAAACCATTGGGACAGCAAAGCGCATAGACCGTTTTTTGCCATTTAACCAGCTCCTCAGACTTGAAGCACATGTATTACAGCAGATGTGGGGTGCCCACTGTTTGTCTTGATCACCTAGTTTACAACCGAAATAAAGCTGATATGCCTTTGTTATTAGTGGAGTAATAGACCGTCTCTGAGACGCAAAAGTCACATCACCACACACGTAACAAAACTGATCTGGATTGTTTACACACTTTCGAGACATCTTGCATGAACGCTGTCAGCCAACTGAGGAAAAAATGGCTAATATAAAACAATATAATGTACACGTATGTATAACGTAACACAATCACGCTGATTACATCATCTTTCCTTGCCGAATATAAAAATGTAACACGTGCATTCTTGTGAATTACAGTATATTAACACTGTCACAGCAGGAACACATATAATTACCGTATCTCTAAAACTTGAACTAATATTGAAAAAATAAGTTTCATTCCGGTTTTAGCACATTAAAAATAGTAATATTTTGTTGATTTTATTTAGGATATTTTTTGGCTGTTGATCAGTGTAATAACTAAAATAAAAATCGATTATTTTTCAACAACCCTAGCTGAGGTAGCACAAAGTATGGCAGCAGCAAAATTATGCTATGTAAGATGGGAGCACTATGGATTATCATTAAAACAAATAAATAGTTACCCTTCCGAGCTACCCTACATTGAACAATGCTCCAAACAAGGCCAATATAATAAAGCAGACGTTTAACTTGAAACTAAAGTTGTGGTCACAATTTCTGCTTATGTTATTTAAGCTACATAAAGAGGTCTCTAATTAAAATGAGTATTAAATACCTACAATAATATGTTCTCATAAAAAACTCACAACGACCGGTGCTCCGGTATTTAGGCTTGTCTACGCGGCTGCTTTAGTAAAAAAAAAATACTTGAAAACTCAAGTTTTGCAGTGAGCTCGTATTATAACTTTAACCTCAATGGCCGAACTCACCGAAGCGAGACAGCGTGTTGACAAAATAATGATGCGAGCTGCTGACTGCCTGAATTATGGGACAGACCATGTTATTAAAATATCGTTGTTTTCAGATTTTGGGACGTTCGACTTTATTGTAGTCGGCGCTGGTGGAGCAGGTGCCGTAGTCGCTAGTCGACTCTCAGAAATATCGAATTGGAAGGTGCTACTTATCGAAGCTGGCGACTATCCTGATAATGTTACCGCTATACCTAACATGTATTTGCAAGTCGACTTTACCAGATACAATTGGAACTTTGCCACTGTCCCTCAAACCACAGCTTGTCTAGGTGAGTTTGGGATTGGGTATGTTTATTATTGCAATAACATTACCCAGAAGATGGATTTTCAAATTAAATCAAGAAAATACATGGTAAACAATTAAGGAAGCTTTGATTTTGAGGTAACCATGCGAGGACACGTTCAGTTGGGTCAATTCTAGTGATGGCCACAACCTTTCTGGAAACAGCTCACCAAGTTGGTCCGAAGTGAAACGTTGTCTAAGCAGGGTGTGTAAAATGATTGGCCGACATTGCATTACATTTTTGAAAATCGCAGAAGATATTGCACTAGATTTGACACCCATTCACTCTCTATATGATGTTGGATCCTTTGGCGTAGCGAATATCACTACAACAGAGTTTTACTATAGGTATCCCAAGAGCAAAGTTTACGTCAACACACCAAGGAACAGCGCTCACTTTTAAAAAAAATATTCGTCATGAAATTAGGGAACAGGTTACATGTGTTTATTCAACAAAATTTGGGAACATTCACACATACGTTACTATTAAAAAATGAAACCTACTACACCTCGTGCTTCATTTCCAACAAAAACATTTTTATTTCACGAGTATAGTAAACATTCCAACTGCAATCCTTTCCTTTCATAACTTCAGCACCTGCATTGCGTTTTGAAAGAATTTCTTTGAGAAAAACTACTTTTCCGTTTCAATGGTAATAAATAAGCTCCACGGCTCTACTCTATTATTATTCCTATATTTCGATTATTCAAACAATTTCTGATAACATATTTTTCGGAAAGAAAATTAACACCGTACTAAGGTGATCTACTTTTCCAGGAATGGTGGATCGTTCCTGTACAGCCATCAGGGGCAGAGGCATAGGTGGTACTACTCTAACAAACGGTTTGGTTTATTCCAGAGGGTCATTCATCGACTACGAAAGGTTGGCTCAAGAACTCAATGATAACAGGTGGTCATATGAGAATGTGTTGCCTTATTTCAAAAGTTCAGAAGATTTCAGACCTACAGACACAACCGCAACCACAGTAAGCAAAACTGCAACAGTATTTACCTAACATAAAGTATTTAATGGGGAAGCATGACACTTAGTTTCCACGCCAATTGGCGAGAAACTATTGTACAAGACGTCACTTTTGAAAACATCGGAAATACAAGCAGGTCATCGTTAAAAGAGTTTACTAAGTTTTGTAACATAATCAAACATTTTTCATTTATTTTTTGAATATGATCGACGAAATTGCTTCAATTGTTTGGAGAATGTTTTCATTAAATTTCCTGGAATAGTGATATCGTAGACGAGTTGCCACATTGAGTGGCCATTATATAGCCCTGACCTATCCCCTAGTCTTCAATAATTCAAAAGTCCTCGACGAACTAACGCGAAACATTTTCATCAGAAATGACGGAAATTTGAATTTCAATAGCACCTTGCTGGTGTGCTTGAAAATTTGAGTTTTCGAATGGAAAAGAGTTCACGACGATCTGGAGGACATTTAGAGGTTTTCAAAAAAATAAATTAAAAATATCCTTTTATGTTACAAAACTTTGTAATCTCTATTGAGTATAACCTGATTTCATTTACAATGTTTTCAAAAGGGATATTATGGCTTACTCTGCAATATATTTTCTTAACACCGAAGCAGCCGCGCAGGCAGAAGCCTAAATACCAGGACACCGCGGCTACTATGAGTAACTTTGTTAATCCGATTTTTGAATTGCTTAAGGTTAGTACAACTTGTAGATTGTTCCACAATCTCGACACCATAGGGACAAAGGAGCGGTCGTATCGGCCAGTTCTGGATGTACATTGATGGATGGATGTACACAATAGCGAAACACTTCCAAAATGATATGTCTTCTTTTTTAAATGTTACACGAAATATACATCATCTATTTTCGTCGATCTGTCTATTGTGTGTTTTAAGAGTTGATCCGATGGCGGTAGAGTTATGAGCAAAAAACAATAAAAAGACCGTGCCAAAACTTCGTTATTTTTTTTTATACTCCAACTACCACGAAGGCCTAAGGCCTAAGTACCCATTGGGTACCGTGGGGCTATAGGGGGATACATGGGAAAGGGGGAACGCCACACGGACTCTGGCGAGGGAACACGAGTGCATGCAACATGCACACATTCTGGCTCCGCCTACGAGATCCGCCGGGTGGTACCTCCGCGTTCGACAGTCGGAGACCGTCTACCACCTACGGACAATCACAACATCCATAGCCAAGAGAAAAGTTTCTCCTGGGTCGGGACTCAAACCCGCACAGCGCACGGCGACTGATCAGGAGACCGAAGAGTCTACTACTGCTGTCAATGTTTATCGAGTTGCTGATAATTTTTTGGCATACCCGAAACGTGATCACTCCAGTATTCTTACACTATCTTGGAGGAGTAGTGTGTCTTATTTCGATTTTTTTTTTGGAAGGATAAAGTTAGTATTATTATGTCATTCCAGGATCCTTCTGTTCACGGATACGGCGGCTTGCTGAGTGTGGAGTACCACTTGCCTGAAAGTCCCCAGTTGCAAGCTTTCACAGCAGCCAATAACGAGCTAGGATATCAATATTCCGACTATAATAACGGCATCGGTTTGGGACATTCACCAGCACAAGTCAACACCAGAGGAGGCATGTCAGCTGATACAGGTTCTGCTTTTATTATGCCTTTCCTCAACAGGCGAAATTTAAAGGTAAAATAATTTGTCATTGATGTGCACATGCCATTCATAATACAGGGTGTTCGCAAAGTTGGGGTTTTTCTTTTCAGAAACAACTACCCTTGAAATAACAAAGGTAATGCATAGTGAAACGAGGGCGACCAAGTAAAAAAAAATAAAGGAAAAAGTACTCACTCTCCAGTTGACGAGAAGGGCTGAGTACGTCTCTGCCCGAAATCATACCGCTCCAACAGAAAATGAAATCAGCTGATGCGCTACCGAGCAGACGCAGGCAAACAAGGAAGGCAAAATGTTGCGTAAAAAGTCTAGGTATTGCATCCCGTCCAATCGATTTGGGAGAATAAATGGTGCAATGAGCATACCGTTCACCATGCCAGCCCAAACATTCACCGAAAATGTTTGTTGAAAATATGCCCGACGGACGGCTTGCGGATTTTCTACTGACCAAACATGAGTGTTGCGAAAGTTATTCACCCCATTACGCGTGAACGTAGATTCGTCTGTCAACAATATGCACTTCAAAAAGTCCGGATTATTGTCATGTTGATGCAACAACCACTCACAAAACCGCACTCTTGCTGGAAAATCGTCAGGTTGAAGGGCTTGTACACGTTGGACGTGAAACGGATACAGCCCCTCTTCACGCAGCGTTTGCCACACTTTAGTTTTTGATACTTGCACTTCTCTAGCCACGTCTCTAGTGCTTTTTGTTTTTTGAAACGCAATCGTTTATACGGGTTCGTTTACCTCTTCACGCGTGACCGTAACCGTCGGTTGAAGGTTGCATACTAACCTGACACACTGACCCCGACCCAGTTCTGTCGTCGGGTTGAGCTAGTGTCCTAGTACCACTTGGGGATGTCGCGGCTACAGGACGGTATTCAGATATTTTTGATGTTGCAGAGCCCTTTATCTCGGTTCCCTTAAGACATTGGTGTATATGGTACTAAGAAAAATTGTTTATGTTTTCAAGATCTACACGTCGTGTAAAGGAAAACCCCAACTTTGCGGACACCCTGTATAGTCAAAGTGTAGACAAGGATTCTTGGAACCTACATCAATAGCCAGGAATAGCTAGAACTTTTCATTCGTCATTTTAAAATAATATGTATATGAGAGAATCGACTACCGAAATGCCAGTAGTAAAGTGTTTGTGGTGTGTATATTTAACGAGGATTTTCTCATATATCTTAAGAATTAAACGGTTTCAAAGAGCATACTTTGATGACGATTTAAGTCACTCATTCCGAGGGCATAAAAATCACTAGCCATAAAATTCAATTTTTATTTCAAGTATACCAGCGGCCTCATACACCCAATATTATCTTTAGAAGAACTTGAAACTATTCTTTTTGGCATCTTTGCATGTCGTGGTTATTTCATTTTGCACACAAAAATAATCGGAATAGCATTACCAGTTCAGTGCCACCTGAGTTGTCGTTCCTCTAGAGTCGTTATTTCTGCTAGAGCTGTTTCGTACTTGTTTCATTTTTTACGATGGAAGGCTTCAGTGAGCAACGTGCAGCTGTGAAATTTTGCTTTCTAATTGGTAAAAATGTTGCTGAAACTGTTTTAATGATGATGTCAACAGCAACGACATGAGCCTCACCATAAGATTGGATGAGTTTACTCCACAATTGCGTGACGTAAGCTAGGAGGTCCTCTGTGGATCGTTGGTGCCGGAAACCATACTGCCTGTCGCTAATCAAGCTGTGACGTCGAGGTAGTCCAGAAGCTCGCGATTTATGCACCTCTCCATCACCTTACTTATAACAGAAAGCAGAGCTATAGGCCTGTAGTTGTAAGGGTCGGTCTTAGATCCTTTTTTGAGATCGGTTGGACATGAGCAAATTTCCAGTTTTCTGGGAAGGTGCCGGATTCATAAGATATCTGGAAGAGACGCGAAACAACTGGAGCAAGCTACGCTGCGCACCTCTTCAGTACAATGGCAGGAATCAAGTCCGGATCAGAAGCTTTGTTGATGTCGAGCGACGAGAGCACTCGTCTTACGGTCTTATGCCTGAATGTTACCTGCTGCATAGTGTAGGGAACCCTTTGAGTTGACGACACTTGGGCGTTGGGGGGGACGTCCCTATCCCATCCAAAAAAATGTCGTCAACTCAAATCAAACATCAAAACAATGCTGATTTGTTTTTTTTTTTTGATGTCAAAGGCGTAGTCCATTCCGAGTTTGTTCCCTCTCGAAACAGTGTTCGGAAAAAAAGACCGGATTTTTTATTGTGATTCTAAAAAATAATTCCGTTTTTTTTGGGGTACCCCCTCGTATAACAAATTACCGATATAAGTTTCAATGTCGGAATTGGATCGATCATGGATGAAATATCAGGTATGTTGCAATCAATCTTTTGTTTGCAGGTCCAGCTCTTCAGCTATGCAACCCAAATTATAATCGATAAAAATAAAGTAGCAAGAGGAGTGATATTCGCAGACGCGAAAACCAAAAGGTTATATCGTGCCTTTGCTAACAAAGAAGTTATTGTCAGTGGAGGTACCTATCAATCTCCGCAACTTTTGATGCTGTCTGGAATAGGTAACAAAACCAATAATTTGCAACCCTAGTACATTTTTATTATTTCCGACATTTTTTCAGTAAAGTTAGAAATTTAGTTTCCACGCTTTCAGATGTTGTAACTACAAAAATATTTATTTTATAGTTAATGTCACGTCACCAGTCATATATTTTTTACACCAAGACGCTAAAACTTCAGTGTTTACCCCTCATCAAAAGGTGAATGTCACACGATCCGTCATTATCATGGAATTTGATATTAATTGACCAGAAGGGTTATTACGTAAAAAACCTATACAATGTCAACAAAAATAACAAAATCTCAACTTGCTGACTAGATAGCTCCTAGTGTACGAATGTAAGCGTCACATATAGCGACATCTATGGAGGAATGACTCAACGACATGCTCAACGACCACGGCATGCTTGTTGGTTGCAGAATGCCGAGAAAGTCTGTATATCTCTGAGAAGACGCGATAGAAAGAGAATTGGTTGAGTATCAGAGTAGCAAGATCACATCTAGATGATTGTGAGTATTGGTCTGCATGTGTATAACATCAGTATCTATTAGCTGTGCCAGGCGGGTTATCTATAGTATTTTTAACGAGTATCTATTATGGTAGAATGACAGCTGATAATTCTGACACATTTTGTTTTGTTTTTTTACGCTACAGGTTCATTTTGTACTTGCTAAAAGCTCTTTTATTTAGAAAAGATCATTTGCATATAAAAAACAAAACGCTGCAAACCAGTTTTACTAGATTTATATCAGATTCATTATTGCCAACATTGCAGACTAACACAAAAATGTCACAAGCTGATCAGCGGTTCACCTCAGCAGACGTCAAAGCGTGATGAATACTCGTGAAATAGGGCAGAGTATATGTTGTTCTTTCTGAAGTGAGGTTATGCTCAAAGTTATAAATTATGATTTTTCCCGCGCCATGATGTTTAGGCAACACGTACAACTACAGAACGAGTACATATGTTGTAAACCACAGCCAGTTCCAAGTGTACATCTTCTAGGAGCACCTATACAGGGTGTCCACAAAGTTGGGGTTTTCCTTTACACGACGTGTAGATCTTGAAAACATAAGCAATTTTTCTTAGTACCATATACACCAATGTCTTAAGGAAACCGAGATAAAGGGCTCTGCAACATCAAAAATATCTGAATACCGTCCTGTAGCCGCGACCCCGAGTGGTACAAGGTCACTGGCTCAACCCGACGATAGAACTGGGTCGGGGTCAGTGTGTCAGGTCAGTATGCAACCTTCAACCGACGGTTACGGTTACGCGTGTAGTGGTAAACGAACCCGTATAATCGATTGCGTTTCAAAAACTACTGAATCGCGTAGACGAGAATCCCTCAACAAGCACTAGAGACGTGGCTAGAGAAGTGCAAGTATCAAAAACTAAAGTGTGGCAAACGCTGCGTGTAGAGGGGCTGTATCCGTCTCACGTCCAACGTGTACAAGCCCTTCAACCTGACGATTTTCCAGCAACAGTGCGGTTTTGTGAGTGGTTGTTGCATCAACATGACAATAATCCGGACTCTTTGAAGTGCATATTGGTGACCGACGAATCTACGTTCACGCGTAATGGGGTGAATAACTTTCGCAACACTCATGTTTGGTCAGTAGAAAATCCGCACGCTGTCCGTCGGGCACATTTTCAACAAACATTTTCGGTGAATGTTTGGGCTGGCATGGTGAACGGTATGCTCATTAGACCATTTATTCTCCCAAACTGATTGGACGGGATGCAATACCTAGACTTTTTACGCAACATTTTGCATTCCTTGTTAGAAGATGTGCCATTAAGTGTAAGACAATCAATGTGGTTTCTGCACGATGGAACACCGCCCCATTTTAGACGCGAAGTGCGTGAGTTTTTGAATGAATTATTTCCGAATAGGTGGATCGGACGTAATGGACCCGTAGCGTGGCCTCCGCGATCTCCAGACTTAACACCATGTGATGTTTTTCTTTGGGGAGAAATAAAATGCTTAGTGTACAAAACTGAAGTGCATACGGTTGACGAACTTCGTCTCAGAATTGAACAAGCTGGTGCTTTCATTCGGGGGAGGGACTCCATTCTCAAAGCCTGCACCGATGCTTGGCTACGTCGTGCACGCACCTGTGTTTTTGAATCAAACGGCGATAACTTCGAACAATACCTATAAAGTACGTTTCCCTAAAAACTGAAAACGCGGCAACGCCATCATATTTGTTACCTCTGTTCGTGGTCTGCACCACCGCCAGCGTCTGCTCGGTAGCGCATCAGCTGATTTCATTTTCTGTTGGAGCGGTATGATTTCGGGCAGAGACGTACTTAGCCCTTCTCGTCAACTGGAGAGTGAGTACTTTTTCCTTTATTTTTTTTTTACTTGGTCGCCCTCGTTTCACTACACATTACCTTTTTTATTTCAAGGTTAGTTGTTTCTGAAAGGGAAAACCCCAACTTTGCGGACACCCTGTTTAATGTCACAAAAAACCTATATAATGTTAGAAAAAACAAGATATGTAATTGCACTTATCAGAATACGTAATACCCCCGCCGTCATTATCATGGAATGTAATATTTATTGACCAAGATATCAGTAATTATTGATATACATATAAGATTACATTGACACTAACAGATTGATCAGTAAATACTGACTGAGGGTACGGCCAGAGTAAATATTGGTCGTGACATTCGCCTAAAGACAATTTAGCCTTTTAGGAATCGCTAAAACTATACAGGCAAATGCTAAGCTTTCGGCAAGCTTTCTGAGGTTCTGAGGTAAAATGTTGTATATGATGTAGTCCGGGGCCAGGGGAATTTTTTATTTTTTTTGTCCGAAAATTGTTTTAAATGATACTGAGATAATAGATCACACGCGTCGCCCTATAGCGACGGAGGCACAGCAGTCTAAACTCTGGGCGCTGAAGAAAGACATTAAACGTAAACAGTGATCAGCACGTGAACAGATCCCTCGAAAGCATCCACGGATATACTCCAGTCACTTTAGGTCTAAACATCCTCGGCAGTGTATTTCTAGTGAATCCACAGACCCTTTTTCGTGTCATCTTGAGACTAGAAAAAGGATGACTGTTAAAATAAGTTACCTTGATCTTTCATGAGCTCCCAGTACAAAACATCATCGATATATTTTTGATGTAGGAACAACAAATTGGTTTAGAAAACATCCACTTTGAACCTAAATTGACTGGAGTAACATCGATCTACAGACAAATTCAAGGTCACTAGCAGTCGTCGGCGCTCTACGAATCTGCACAGGTTTGGACTTGTAAACGTGATTGTAGATGACACGACAGGCATCTAACAGTTAATTCACGCACAGGATTGCATTGCATACGCATTACGCATTCAGTAGCGTATACTCGTTTTTCGCGAGTGGAACGTTTTGTTTATATATTGCCTAAGATACGATGTCTGACACAGATACAGCCGACGAAGTGGTTGACATCAGCGCAACCCCACCCAAAAAAAGGGCTAAGAAGCTACATTTAAGTGCAAATGAAAAACAAATAATATTAAATATATACAAAAACCAAATTCAAGGAAAACCCGATTTGGTCGTGGACGAAGTTATATGTAAGGTAGCACATATTTCTGGAGTATGTCGGTACAGTGTTTATAGGATCATTAAGGAATATAGGAGCACTCACTCACTTTCTGAGCCAAAACCGTATCCTGCAAGAAAAAGGATAACGGACGGAGTAGATGACTTTGACAGAACTGCCATCAGGAGGAAAGTGCATAATTTTTTCTTCCGAAATGAGATACCTACAGTAGATAAGATATTAAGATTAGTTAATGCTGATGAGGATCTTCCATCATTTAAAAGAACCACATTCCGAAAACTTTTGAAGGAACTTAATTTTCGATTCTTGAAACGGGGAAGAAACAGTATGTTAATAGAGAAAGAAGAAATTGTTGTGTGGAGAAGGGAATACCTTAGGAAGATTCGGAAGTTTCGCGATGAAAAAAGAAAAATTTACTATTTGGACGAAACGTGGGTGAATGCTGGACATACTCAAGCGAAAGTTTGGGTCGACAAATCAGTAACATCATCAAGGCAGGCTTTTCTAGACGGTCTTTCGGCTGGATTGAAAAATCCTGCAGGTAAGCTCCTTCATCTATCCGGCAATTTAATTTTGATAAATTCGGGCAAATAATATGCTGTGATAGCAGATAATGTGTGATATTCTCCAAAAATGGTGCATTCGCAGTGTAGTCATTAGGAAAAAAACTTCGACCCTCTTTTAAGCGTTATTTTGAAATTTATTATCATTTTTGGGTGCAGTCAATTTGCTTTGAATGGGTTTTGAGAAGTTGCAAACTTCAATTTTCTACGTTTTTCAGTTTTTGATCAGCATTCCGTGACTCTTAAATTCAGCTAAATGAACTCAATTGCCTCATTCCTTCAAATTTGATCAATTCATAGTGTAAGGAATAATTTATTTCCAGGAAAAGGCAAACGGCTGATCATTTGTCACGTAGGTAGTGAAGACGGCTTTGTTCCCGAAGCACTGTGGGCCTTTGAATCAAAAAAGACAGGGGACTATCATGAGGAGATGGACGACAATTCCTTCGAAAATTGGTTCTCCAAAATGTGACTAAAGCTGGAGAATAACGCTGTTATTGTACTGGATAATGCCCCGTACCATTCTAGAAAAATAGAAAAAATTCCCACAATGGCAACTAAAAAAGCAAACATACAACAATGGCTGGCCTCAAAACAGATCGATTTTGATGAAACAATGGTCAAGGGTGAATTGATAAGTATAGTCAATAGACATAAATACAAATACGATTTTAAAATGATCGACGAAATGGCCAAAAAACAAAATAAAACTGTCTTGAGACTGCCACCCTACCATTGTGAGCTGAACCCTATTGAGCTGATTTGGGCCAACATAAAGCAATACGTGGCATCGAATAATAATACTTATAAATTTTCTGATGTTAAAAATCTCTTTCACATCGCAGTCAATAGAGTTACGGCAGAGGAATGGAAAAACTGTATCCGCCACGTTCGGGAGAAGGTTGAGGTCAAAATGTGGGATTTGGACAATGTCATCGATACCCAAATTGAACCTCTAATAATTCATTTAAACGATTCAGAAGATTCAAGTTACTCTTCTGAATGAGTGCGCGCAGCTTACTTACTAATAACTAAAAAGTGTAGTTAACTCATTTGTGAATCTCTAACTGAAATTTACTGTAAAAGATAATAATTATCTTGTATGAAATTTTTGATGACTACCCATAATATCTTGATGCGGTGCTGTAATGTCTCCTGCGCCTAAACACTCACTCACGAGCAATATGCGTGTATTTGTTTGGGTTTAGTTTCTTTCTTCAGCGCCTAGAGTATAGACATCAGTCTTGCCAATAGCAATTATGGAAACTTTTTTCAGGACCCAGAGATCATTTGGAATCGCTTGGCATTCCTGTACGTCAAGATTTACCTGTAGGAAGTAACTTGAGGAATCACAATTGTTACTACGGTATGACTTTCCGAACAAACTACACGGAGCCTATATTGCCTACAAGGAACGTTGTGGAACAATTCTTGAGAGGCCAAGGGTACTACACTACACCTGGAAGCAACCAAGGTGTTGCTTTCTATGAATCTCAATATAGCAGAGGTAAGAAAATAAGGAATCAAAAATCTAATTTTTCGTATGTCGCCGAGCGCGCAACCACATACGCTAAGCAGCAACGAAATCGAATTGTTCGTGAATTGTACTCAGTTTCCATACTGAGTGGTTGAATACGGCAGAAACAATGGATTTATCGACTTTCTTTGCTAAATACGCACATCAAAATATGGCGTCAAGTAGGGTGACTCTGTAGCACTCTTGATGCAACGCTGTCATCAGTTCATAAACGATTATGTTGGACACAAGTTAGCCCAACAGCGAGAAAAAAGTTAGCTACGAACATATAGAACAAAAATATTAGATGAATTAAGTCAGTCAAACTAGCCTATACAGTTAGTCCATAGTCTCCACACATTTGACAAGGCTGCGATTCAGAAATTTATCCTCCGCCCTACCGACAGTACCGACAATTTGGCAACGTTGATATGACTAAACTTGACGCTCGCCAGTTGACAGGCACGGCACTGCGGCAGCTACCACCAACAAAAGGCACTTATTGTTGAGACCGTGACGCAGGTATATCTGGAGACGCATGTATTGAAAATTATTTTTAGGGTAAATTTATGAGAAAATATATAATGTATAAAATATAGTAACGCCGAAAAAATTGAGATATCCTATCCTCCACCCCCTATAACCCTCAACCCCCAAATGATCAAGGACCTATCACACGTCAAAAAACTGAGACAGATTTTCAAAAATCATAAAATGAAAAAACATTGCAAAACCACGGATTTAGCAATTTTCGAGTCAATCACGAAATTTTTTAAAATATGCATACTTGTTTCCAAAGAAAATTGAAATAATATGGAAATTTCTTCCATTGGAAATTCTAAAAAATGCATGTCCTTATTTCTATGAATTTTTACCCGCAGCTCCTTAACAGAGTTGTTATGTTTTAATCAAAATGTTTAAAACAAGTGTTTTAAACACTGTAACAATGAAGGTGTTTTAAACCAAATTGTTTTAAACTGTTTAAAACATGTTTGAAACACTGTTTTTTGTCGTTTGTGAGTTATTCGTTTTTTTATAATTTTTTAAGTATTATTAAAATTGATTTATTTTGCAAAACGAAACTAAAAGGGCCATAGGTTAAAAACATAGGTACTGAAAAATAATATGACATATCAATTTCTATTTAGGTACCAGATACCCCGACATAGAAATAATGTTCATCCCTGCTAATGCGACAAATGCACTGGCCCGTACGTCTTACAGACTGTCTAATCAAACATACGAAGAGATGTGGGGTAACATCGATTTCACCAACAGCTTTATTTTGTACATCAACGCTCTACACACGGAATCTAGAGGCACTGTAAGGCTCAGAAGTGCCAATCCATATGAGTACCCTCTGATCGATCCCAGGTAATTTTGATAAAAAATTATTTAGCTTTTGAGGCACGCGTAAACAATGAAGTATCACGGAACACCTAAAACTTAGCCTGTGGTTTTCATGCTGATACAGATATTCTAAACGTTAGTAAAAAGTAAAATATACGTACAGTTTGTAAGGAAAGTCGAATATCTGACGAATGACTCATCTAATTTTTTGAAAAAAATGGTAGGTTTAGGTTTAACCACTGCGGATCCGTTGATGATATCCGCGATGTTGCCAAATCTACAGTTTTTCAGAAACTGATAGCAAGTTTTGTTTTTCTTATGGAATCATACTCATTTTATTCGATATCTCTATACTGAGAGAAATTCTGAATACTTTTTAATGAGCATACTTTGTCGTAGACCTCATAGTCTTCGAAATATTCAAACAATAAAAGGTGTTTTTTCACCTCAGCAATGACCTGGATCGAAAGAATAGTATAGAAATTCTAATTTTGATTAAAATGTTGTATTTGATATTCCAAGGAAACAAGAGAAAAATTAAGAACAACGAAAAGGGTAAACCTAGTTGTTAATTTAAACTCTAAAACAAAATAAAAAAATCATATTAAATGTTTAAATTGCCGTCCATATACTTCTTGGCAATTAGCTAGATATTGCGGAAATGCGTTTAGACAGTCCATTGAGTACAGTTATTGAGAATGATTAATTTAACTCATACCGAGAGAATAGAAATTCTAATGATTCTGAGTTATGGTGATCGTCGACGCACACAGCAACAAGTTTGCGATATCTTTGATGACAAATATCCCAACTGGAATCCGATAACCGCACACAGCAACAAGTTTGCGATATTTTTGATTACAAAATATCCCAACCGGAATCCAGTAACAAGGTCTGCTGTTCGAAAAGTTTTGAGTAAATTTGAAATAACAGGACGTGGGCTGAACTATATATAATTTAGCGCATATCGCAAATATTTCATTTCTTATTTTAAAATGAAAGATTAGGATGTAACTAGCACGAAAATGACATTTTTTCCTTAAGGAACCCTCTGCTCGCTAATTTATAGAACTTTTTAAAATTTTCAAAATCCTAGCATTTAGTTATTTTGATAAACAACTGGCCTGCGTTGAGTTAATCTTTTGTCATTACTATAAATATAAACTTTTTCGGACCAGGTTTGTTTTAAAATACCCATCATTGAATATTTCATCCCCACCCAACATGATTTTCTTCTAGATATTTTTAGAAAGCCGCATAAAAACTATACCAGGCTTTGTATATCGCATCTGAATTTCTTTGATTTATGCAAGTCGTGCGTTGCTATTGGACCTAAATCACGCTGATGAGTTGCGAATGATCACGAAACAGCGCGGTTGGTCGTAGTTACAGAGATGGAAAGCAAACATGTCCATCTGAATCATCCCTAGTTATTGTGCATTTATGGTATACACTGTTTAATCTAAAGTATTATAATCAGTAACTTATTGCTCTTTATTTTCCAGATATCTCTCCGATCCTGCCAACAAAGACATTACAACGATCTTTGAAGGCGTCCAGATCGCTTTAGCCCTAATGAACACCACAGCAATGCGCAAAATCAACACCCAAATCCAAAGCCACCCCTTGACCGCTTGCTCGCAGTACCAGCTCTTCTCTGATGACTACTGGTACTGCCACATCCGTCAAATGACCTGGGACTTGTACCACCCTGTTGGTACTTGCGCCATGTCTACAAGCCGTAAGACTGGGGTGGTAGATTCGGAAATGAGAGTCTGGGGTGTTAAAGGATTGAGGGTTGCCGATGCTAGTATTTTCCCATTCACTTTTGGGGGTCATCCAGTGGCTGCGATAGTTATGGCTGCGGAAAGGGTATCTGATCTGATCAAGCAGGATCATGGGGTGCGCATGCGCAAAGGAAGCGAGTTTTACAGTGGCTAGGGAAAAAGTTCATAAAGCGTTTGGATACGATCTTAATTCGAATGGATCATGTTGCTCAAATGTGAATATTTACATTTTCAGTGTGCTGGAGTAAAAATATTTGTAAATGAAAGAACGAGGCAATTGGTCTCGGTAAATGAAAAACGTTTCTTTTTTCAGTTCTCTTAAATACTAATCTATTACAATAACCCTTGATAATGTTGAATAGTTTATTGAATGGCATTGTAATGAGTGAATGTAATGGCTTTATTCCCAATGTGTTCAGTTTCAGAAAGTAGATCCTCTTCTAGTGTATTAATATAAGTATACAATCCACTAGCTATGTAAGAATTTTCACAGGTAGCTGCAGTATTATGTAAAAAATGTACAAATGAAATTCCTCATCTTAGATTATCACTGTGTGAATTCAATAATAAAAATAATGTTGTTTTATTTCTATTCTCCCACACCCTTCTAAAATTTTACCATTTTCAAATCTTAATAGATGACACATCTATTAATATGTAACATGTGAAGCATCATTTTTAATTAATAATCTGATGTTTGATGAATTTGTAACCACATAAGGTTTTTAGTGATAGTTAAAAATATTGCAGATTGAATAAAGCAATGAAAATACAAAGGTAGTTTCAACAAAAGAGTGTGTTCTCATAGTCACTGGATGTACAGTATTTAGGATTTCAATGTTCTAACAACAAAATATTGAGCAAATCGACAAATTGTAGGAATAAGCAGTCCAAAAAGTGTAAAATACCATACTTTATTTAGATAATATGATGAAATTAAGGTAACCATTGAGGTTTAGGTACAATATATACACTTGAAAATTAATAAAATGTATATTCCCCTGACTTTCACTACAAATATTAATAAACATCTGTATGTGCAACTGGTATAACAATATACTAGTGTTCCTAGGTGCAAATTATAACACATATTCATGAAAACAGACAGAGTCAGTTGCTCACATAGTGTCGGCAAATACCTTATTGATAGTGGTTCCAGAATTTACCCTGATAATGATATCTTCGTGAATTTTAATGATACATTACTGCATCAACTGCAACTATGTGAAAAGTAATGATTCTTCATTACAAAAATCATGAGTCACATACAATAATATAATAATTAAGGAATCTTAATTTTTTTTGAGGTCATGTTCCTTTTTGGCACTACCCTGGTGCCGCTTCTCTGGCAGTTTTCAATTGAAGTATTATTTCTACTTTTTGTAATTTCTCTATAATAAAAACTATAAACAATGAAAGCAATGCCTGCGACCTACTATCAAAAAAATGTCAGGCTTCCAAATACAAGCATTACCCTGAGTGTCTGTGAGCCCTCAATCTCTTTTTCATGTTTCAAGACTGATGGAACAGAAGCTTATGATAATTAATAATAAGCTATTTTTCTTAGTTGACACAGAAAACTCAAATACTATATATTCACCTATAATAATATAATTTTTATTATTTATTAAAATTACCATAGAATAACAGAGACCAGTCTCAGTTTAAGGTATAAATAAATTAAAGAACTCACCTGTAATATGGGCACAACTTGATATACACTTTCTCTGGCATGACCATTTCCATAATTCTACGTCCCACAACATAGATAAGTCTTCTAGACAATATAACTAATATAAACATCACTAGATGTTTGTCAATTAGGTAAAAATTCTGAAAAACAAAAACACAAAAGTTCCTCTCAACAATTCAACATAAACAACAGCTTTTAAACAAAAGTATAATATATTTAAGGTTACAAATCAGACAAATCTTGTCACTCAAAGCAAGAGTTGATTTTCAACTGCATCAAGATGCTATAGAATTTGTCAGTTGTTGGAAAGCTAAAATGTGTTCACATAGGTACATATTCCTGGAAATCATGTTTGGTCTATTGATTAGACAACTTTATTCCCTAGATTTGAATCTATGAGTGTAACTTAGATTATCTTTGGACTATTGAATCACCAAGTACTTACTAAAGCCTGCTTATTAAAAGAGTATGGCAACCACCACACAGATCTGTACAAATGCAAGAATTGAAAGCCTGCAGAGCCGACTACAAAAAACCAATGCAGTGCCTCAAACATAATCTCATCGTCGTGAGGCGTATTTGGAAATGGAAAATGTTTCGGGGCTAGGGGTTGTTCTAGGGCAGGCAGAGATGGTACAGTGGCCCCCAGCGGGGCGTATCGTGACTGGTTGGAGGAGTCGCTGACAAAACTCGATAGCACATTTGTTGCTTGTGAGGAAGATTTTGAAGCAGAGGAGTGAGCTTGATGACGGGCATTTCGAGACTTTCTGTTGCCCCCTGCCATTGTCAATATCACTTTGTTATTTTCATTGATTTGCAAAGTTTGTATCCGGCAAAAGAATCACGCTAACTGGGACTCTGATGACAATCACATGGCAAAATGACAACAAAACAAAGCAATAAAAATGTTGAATATTACCTTTCAATGTCATGCTGCAATGAATGTTGCCAGATTGAGCACACTTTTCTGAATATCTGATATTAAAGATACTGTGTACAGTGTGTACCAATAAAATCTATATTAAAACACCAAAACAGTGTCCATAGACAGAGCTTCCGGTCCTGAAAATAACTCAAATTTCAAGTTGCTGGTATCTATGGAATTTTTTCATTTAAATATTTCATAATATCTACGTGTGTTTCAAACTTTTATCGTTTTTATTTTTGTGCTTGATTGTTGCTTAAAGCCCCAAATCTTAGAATTTTTGTCAAAAATTCTGATATTTTCAAATGTGAAATATTAAACTTTACCGTTTACACTATGAGCGAATAGTCACAACACTAGCTCCAAATCCACATAAATATAATAAAACGTACTGAGACATAATACATATTTATATAAAAATTAAAGTGTTGCGAGACCGCCCCAACGTAAATATAAATTTTCAAACAAATGAATACCTACCTAAGTATAATATCCGAAAATTGGATAATTCAACATTGCAAAGGAAAAAACTGTGTAACCATCGATTAATTTATAGATACGCTAATATTTACAGGTTTGGCTATATACATTTTTAAACCGATGTTAAAAATTTATCATTTTCTTCAATTTCAGTTTTTGTTTTCTTAAATTTTTATTTGGTAGAATACGATTTCTCTCTTCGTTGCTAATGTGAAGACGGCAACACTGCAAGCAGCTGTGCAAGCTGTCATCTGTCTGTCTGCTGTTCACCCAGCGGCACTTATTTACTTTTATTTATTTTCTGTAATTTTGGATAAACATAGTTTCTTTACAAAATATAAAATGTCTGGCGTCAACCTAAAATGGATTTCTGTTAACCCAACGTAAGGTCCACAAAACAGGCGATGATCTTCAGAAATAATTATAAATCTGCTCGGTTGCAGGTTGAAAGAAGGTGTGCAACTTTTGAACTCCCTGAGTGCCAAGAAGTTTCACTTACTTCTCAATCACATTATAACCGAGGAGCAATTCACAGATGAAGAGCTCGCTAAACTCAAAGACTCTTTAAAACTAACTGAAGAACAGGTTGAACTGTTGGTGCAAAGTATTGTTCATATTCTCAAACAGTCGAACAGGATCTTGATCAAGCCAACTGATTTGCAAAAGCAACTCTGTGAATCACTGGAGTTTGATGAAGAAAAGGCAGAAGATTTTGTGAAAGTGTGGTCAAAGCAAGTGAATGATAATGTGGACTTTGAAAATAGGAAGTGTTTAGAAGACATTTCTTGGGAGATGAACATACAGGGTGCAGATCAAATTGATAATAGGCAGTATGAGCCTCTTGCCAGGCTTCAGTTTCGGGTCTCTAAGGGAGATACAGGTGAAAGTAGTAAAGAAAAACTTACATTTGAGTTGAATAAAGAAGAACTAATTCATCTTTATAATACATTAGAAAGTATCCAGCTCAAAGTTGATAGCTTAAAGAAATAGGTCAAGTTTATATCTGATATAGAATTTTCTATTTGTTTACTCTTCTTCTACTTCAGTAACATAGCTAAATCTAGTGGGGCATATAACCTAATTTTTTTTTATTGATGTGACCAAAAGACACCCACTGACAGAAAGTGGGCATTGCTTTTTACCCATGGGAATGATCCCAAAGTTTGACAGCTGATTATGTCATTAAACATTTCACCACAAAGTTGAATTTGTCTTTGGAGATGAGATTGATCCCAAGAATGATTTTGGGAATAATTCTTCTGTCGCTGTTCAGGAATACAGTTCCCCAAAAGGGAAGAGAAGTATGCCCACTTTGTCTCACTCTACCTTCTTTTTTTTTTTTTTTATACTCCAACTACCACGAAGGCCTAAGGCCTAAGCACTCTTTGGGTACCGTGGGGCTATAGGGGGATAGATGGAAAAGGGGGGGGGGACGCCACACGGACTCTGGCGAGGGAACACAACACATGTGCATGCAACATGCGCACATTCTGGCTCCGCCTACGACATCCGCCTGGTGGTACCTCCGCGTTCGACAGTCAGAGACCATCTACCACCTACGGACAATCACAACATCCATAGCCAAGAGAAAAATTTCTCCTGGGACGGGAGTCGAACCCGCACAGCGCACGGCGACTGATCAGGAGACCGAAGAGTCTACTACTGCAGCCACCGCTGCTGCCTCCTTATTTCAAGAATTAACCCACAGTGGTTTATCTTAATGTTTACGCTGAACCCTGATCTGATCAGTCAATCTGTATTGAGAACACATTATAACATTTTCAGATTGATTCTCTGAGTAATTAAAAAAAAATGTTGAATATGGTTTAACATCTCATAACTTTATTCTGACAGATATACATCAAAATGTTACACAAAATATATCCCTTCTTATGCATTGGTTGTGATAGTCCATGATTTGTCTTCCATGCTTACTATGATGGCTTGTTCAATCTTCTCATGCAGCCACAACAACAGTTCTTTTTGACCAGATATTTTGATTTGTTGAAGTCTTTCTGTGTTTGTATCACTCTGAAAATGAAAGTGTACAGAATTTTCCTATTTACTTATGATTACTTTGAAGGTTTTTTTTTTGTTCTGATATTGGCACTGGTCTATGACCAACTGGCCAGATCCTTATTTTCAAATTATGCCCTGATAGAAAATAGAACATCTGTTACTTAATGTTACCACTATTCTATTTCTAGTTACATAGGGTACTGGAATTTAGATATTCTAATATGCGTTGATGTAAGGTTCCTATATTTAATTTGTAAATCATACTCGTCTTAATACCACGTCAAATGGCTTTCATGCAGAGCAAGTTATGGAACCTTTATTATTTGAGCATTGAATACATACTGTAGAGGATGACAATCACTGTCACTGTAACCAAATGACTTGATGTCACGTCAGTCTATTTTGCAGGTGCTCTATTTCTAGTCGTCGACACTTTCTCCAAATGGAGCAGTGAGGTGATTGATGTGATTGATTATCAATTCAAACACAACAATGCTACGAACGATTCAAATAGTTTTTTGCTTATATTTGTGCCAAAGGCATGATGGAGTGATTGTGAATAATGAGGCGGCTCTGATGTCGAGCCACACCACCGCCTTATTCGTTCTCCAAATGTCGTATTTCCGACAATTGCCCTAACCGCAGGACCGCGCTCCAGCGTTCTTACAGAGCTCTACTTTTCCTGATTTTAAAGGCAGATTTTCAGTGTCGCTTTATATCGTTCTGCAATTTTCAACAACTTGACAAAACACTTGGACAGTTTGGTATATATATCGTTTTTTAGACATTCAGAAGTACAACGTAAAAGGGTTAGCGGTTCTTACATATGCTACTTACTTGTCTTAAATTCAGTATCAGGTCGACACAATTCATTTTTGGCATTGACGTGATGTCATCTAGATCTACAACCCAATCCAGCTCCCATGGTCCCCACAATCTGCATTTGTTTATCCTGATTACATGCCTGTCGCAGAAAAAATTGAAGAATTAAATAAAAGCAGTGTTGTTGGGGCTAGGGACGTCTTAAATGAATAAAGAATAGAGCATTGGTCCAAAGTCCGAACCTTGAAGGACACCGCCCCTTATAGGACGTGTTGATAGAACATTGTTAATTTTGATCGAAAGTTTCCTTCCTTCTAGAACGGACTTATTTTAGAAGTCAAAAAGGGATGTCCTTTTGGATTTATAGAGGAGGCCATCATGCCACACCTTGCCAAAAACCTTCGCGACATCCAGAAGCACGTGTGCGCCTAATAACTTTTGGTTAGTGGCAGTTTGACGGGATAAACCTACTTACTCTAATGATACAATGACAATAGACCTTCCCACTTTGTCTACAGCAACATGCGCCCAGTAGGTATCGCTGATGAACCGAGAATTGCAAATGGTTTCCAAAAGATGTTGACCTATTGATTCATGGACTGACAGTGGCCTCAAACCCTGAAAACAAAAGGATTGTTTATTATACGCTTGGTGACTATGTATTTATAGTATCTATATAAGATTTCATATTTTTTTGACGCCTCTGTTTTTCAACTGTTTGAATTAGGATTAGATCTAATAGGCGGTTTTGGATATGATCATCCTCTTTTGTCTTTCAACTTGTATGGACCTCAGATTAGCTAGTACACATACCAGATACTTATTCCTATATCTGGTCAATCTTTGATGTATCTTGATTGGTTCTCCTAAAAGCGAGGCTCTTCTTAATGCTTCTCTAGCTACCTCAACACTGTCAGACTTTTCATCTGGATGCCTGGTTATCAGCGAGACCAGTGCCTTGCCTGTTGTCCTGAAGAACATCTCGCCATCGCAATGGATTCCTTGGAAAGAATAAAACAAATATCAGTATCCAAAAACATATTACAATTGATTAAAATTCTCCCCTCTCTTAAGAAACGGATTAGAGAAATTACGACCATATATCTTGTTTAATTCCTTAAGAAAAAATATACTGTTTTTAAAGTTAAGATACTTCTTATTGATGGGTACATTTTTTCATTTACACGTACACCAAAATCTTGAGATCGAGTTAATTATATCAAATCAAACACTGCCTGCATGAAGCGAATAGGTGAAAAGATACGACGCGCGTCAGTGTCCGTCATGCGCAGTGCAGGCAATCCGAGCGGTTTGTTTAGAAATTGGATTTCAAAAAACCGAATATAGTACAATCCTGTAGCAATAACGAACATGTCGATTTGATGTTAGTCTGCGATGAGTGTCTTCAAGATGCTGCGGAAGCTTCGGAAGCAGTGCACTCCGATTGTTTTCCTGGACATTTCTATTTCGTTGCTCGTAGGCTTTTACCTCATACAGAGGCTGTATGTCTAGGTGGGCACAACATAAGACCTATATGTATAAATAGCCGCAAATATTGCAAATTAAGGAAGCTAACAAATTTTAGTGTTTGAATTAAGCAGAGAAACCACTTGAAATACCACTTAGACTTTTCGGACTTTTTCGCTTTTATTATCGCACATTAGATGTGTTATTTCAAAAGCAGTTGTTATTGAAAAGGCTAGTCAAAACTTTCAACACCGTGTACACTCTATATATGAATAAAGTAAACCATTATATTGACGACATTGTGTCCTAGATGTGTAAAAGAATATATTCTCACCATTTTGAGTCTTCACAATAAGCTGACTGAGAGCATTTGGAACCCCAGTCGAAAAATTCCTACTGGAAATAGTGATCGCTTTCGGTAGAATTTCAGATTTGTGGTACGAACCGTGCCTGCGCATTCTTTGTATGTTTTCCATGTTCTGATTGGCGAAAATATCGGTGACGCAGGCTTCCACTGCAGCCGGGGACATGTTGATGTGTCCCAGAAGACATCTACAGCCGTACAGTACGATAGCAGCCATTTTTTCGGATTCAAAAGTTCCTACCTACAAATTAAGACCAATGAGCCCGAACTGAGAAAAAATGCGTTTGGTGTTATTCACAATCTCATGCACATTTTTAGACCGCACGCTAAATTCAAAAGCGCTAGATCGTTATATCGCATGCTTCGTATTTTTGACCCTCCAGATTACAAGTGCAGCAGTTGAGAGAAGCTTTTCGAAATTAGGATTAAATTATGTCACAACTTCTATGAGACAACTATGAGTATCTATCTTTTTGCATACTGTCTTTATGTCACATTCACACACTGGAGACAACGTTGGCCCAATATGTGAATACATCAGACATAAAACTTTGAATCACCAAAACTGTCATCTATGAATGATTTAATAAAAAAAACTTTTTCGAGGAAAAGGTGTCAAGTAGGAGTCGGTGTTTCCGGTATGGGTATCATGTAAAAAACCTATAAAACGTCAAAAAAACCTATAAGATGTCATCTTGCAAATTAGGTAGTTTTTAGGGCGCAAACAGTCATTCCACGTTTGCTCACTAGGATCGTTGTGAACGTCCATCTAAGGAGGAATCACTCAACTAAGCTACACGCATTATTGGTTGCATATGTTTTGTGAGGCCAAGTGATCCTTGTCTGTAGTTTCTATCTCTGAGAAGAGTGTTGGCTGACCAGCAAGATCGCATCTGGATGATTGAGTATTGGTCTGCATGTGTATAAAATCAGATACGTGATACCCGCGCCGTGCATTCGGACGTGTCTATTTTTCAAATTTTCCACACGCATAAATCCTTAAGCTCCTCATAGCAGCTGTACACTAGTGTCTTAAGATAGGTCCACAAAAAGAAATCTAAACTGTTGAGGTCTGGGGACCTTGGTGGCCATTCTTGGGGCCCACCGCGGCTAATCCAACGATTTGGATAAACAGTTTGTAAATAATTACGAACCACTACACTGAAATGCGCTGGTGCACCATCATGCATGTACTTAAAGTGATTGCTAATATTCCTGCGTATACGTTAACCGAAAATTGGTGTTAAAAATGGGTTTCGGTTACGGCATAGGGATTTTCCTCTGCCCACAAATGATTATTGTGGAACTGGCATTTCGAGTAAAATTAGCTTCGTCAGTGAACAGAATCATTGATTCAAATTGCGGATTTTGTGTAATTTTTTGAAGATACCACTGACAAAAGGTCTCACGCCTTGGAAAATCAATGGGAAGTAATGTCTGTACTCTTAAAATATGGTAAGGATATAACAAAAAATCGACTAAAATTCTCCAAACAATTTGATGGAAAATATTTAAGTATCTAGCGATCTTCCTCGTACTCGTTTCAGGATGTTCTTCGACTTCGTGCAGCGCTGCTTCCTCAATTTCAGGTGTTCTCACACGTAGAGGTCTACCTTTAGATGTTCCTTTTCGGACAGAACCAGTTTCAACACGACGACGATGAATATTAGAAAAGGTTCGACAATCTGGCAAAGCACGATCGGGATATCTCTGATGATAAATCCGTCTGGCTTGCTCACCATTACCGTCGGCAAGGCTATATACGTAATGCATTTCCGCCATTTCTCCATTTGAATAATATTCACCATTATTAACAAGATTGTAAAAACTAAATAATGAAAAAGATGTCACAGCGAAAAGATTTGAATAACAGAGACTTGTCAGATGTCAAAAGCCAGTGACATATTCCAGAGCAATTAGATATTTATTGCTAAATTGCATTCTTCAATTATTACATTAATTTTCTGGGACAATACAAAGGTTTTTATTTTTTTACTCAAAAATGGCGCATCGAAGGAAAGCAACTCAAGAGAGATCATTTGTTTTAAATTGAACGGGGAATTCATAAATAATTTTTATTTGGCAAAAAATCATTAGCGTACAATTTTTTCTTAAAAAATATCGAAGTCAATACCCGTACGCACGCCACTGTTAAAGCTAAAAATTATTTTTGCATTGAAAAATATGCAACTCTATTAACTTTCATTGCGTACTAAATATCACTGAAATATCGAAAGCGGTTCTCAAAATATCAATTAATTTCCATTTTTTTTACTAAAACTCCAACACCCCGAGTTTTTGTAAGGAAACATTTTTGGACCATAGTTCATAAAGCAAATTAACATTAATTTTTCTTGTAGATTCACACCCTTAAATATTCACATATCATTACGGAACACCCTGGCATATGGACAGAAAATATTACATGCCAGTCCATCTTCGGCCTTATGCCATTGTGAAGAGGACGGCATATAATCTAGCAGCCCAAGAAAAGATGTGATTTGTAATAATTCTTATGCTTACCTCTATAGCTGGTTGGATCGCGAAAGTATTAACGAGTACTTGTAATCCAAGTACGTGCGAATAATACTGCTGTAAAAACTGAGACGTGACTTGATCTAAGAGGCTGTATAAGGCATCCTCTATATTTTCGTTCATATCGGCTTGTTCAATAGACGAAACTCTGGAAAATCAAACAATATTAGTTATCCGATAAAAATACGGGGTACTACTCTTTTGTTTTGGACATTTCTAAAATTTTTACACTGTATCTCTCACTTCCGTATGGAAAAATAATTCATTTACTGCGTGTATTTGGAACAAACCTGCTCAGATAACTTAGTGTCAGTTACTCACTTGGTATGTACTCCTTCCATAGGCATATAAGGAGACATGTTGTACGGGAATAGATAATCCAGTATTTTACTGAATGCCATCTTGTTACAACCTAGACTCATTTGTATCTTATTTACAATGTTCAACTGTATTCCGAAGCTGTTTAACGCGAGGAAATCAATACTTTTGGTCGATACTCTTGGTACCTACAAAAACAATGGATATAAATTACTAAGAATAAAAGTGAAAATGGCGTCAAGTAGGTTCACCTCTGCACTTCCCACGTAACGCGGTCAGTGCATAAAGGATTAACTTCAGCGCAATTTAAATCATCTGAGAAAAAGGTCTGTACGATGTACAACATAGAAATTAAACGGATTATGTCAACTAAACATTTAATTATTTCCTAGACATTATTTTCCTGCCCTACCGGTAGTTACTGTCCATCTGGCAACGTTGTCCCGTTTCACATTGCACGGCATCGCTGCAGCGCGTTATCGTTCATTTCATGCATGGTCCGTGTATATGTTTTTCTGCACTGCAGTTAATGTTCTGTGCGCTGCAGTATGGGTAGAATAGTCAGTCGAACCGGTTCGCTTGGATTGCAGGAATACGCGCATCGAACACATTTTTGTTTTGTTTTAAAAGCAAATGTACGGGAAAATCTATGATGTGTGCAATACGACTAATAGGTGCATAGATAGGATTACCAGATCTGGGAGCGTATGAATATACTCAGATCGAACAACTATCAAATACCCTAACTCACCATTGAAAACCCTCAACTCCCGAATTTCACCCCCTACAAATATTTTTCTAAAAATGTCAAAAACGAAGTTTGAGCAATTGTAATTTTTTTCATTTTGGATTTTTTCTTCAACGTCACGGATCCGATTTTCAAAATCTTCGTCCTGAGCATAGTAGGAACCTTTGGTGAAAATTTCATCAAAATCCGAGCGGTGTTTCACAAGTCATAGTCGAGCTACAGCCTAAACGCCTTGACATTCAATAGCACCACATTCTTTTCAGTTACTTCAATTTGGCTGTTGTATGTTTTAAAAATGTAATTGTTGCAGATACTTTATTATGACATTTTATTGAGTAGGATCCATTTATTTTTCTTTCAAAATTCTTGTCACACGTGAACCAAAAACATTTGACATACAAACTTTTATATTTTGTTATCGCAGCTTACTAGCACGACTTGCTTTACTGACAATATCAAATACGTAACCGCAAAGAGGTCAGAGGTGGATCAATCTAGACTTCATGTTTATTGGATTTTAAAACGAATACTTACGGCGGTAATTGACTTATGTATGGAAGAGATATCGTTGACGTAACACGAGGTACTGTCCTCACAGTACAGCTTCGACCTTCCCACCAGTTCACTAAGCTTCACAATAAGATCGTTTTCTATACAAAGGTACATGTTGCTGACTTTGAGTTTGATGTACTTGTAAATCGTGGCATCTTTGCATTCGATTTTGGACAGGGCCAATTCTACGAAGGGCTCAACTTCCTTCAAGTTGGGAAGAGGTAGAGGGTGCAAAGCGATGTTGCCGGTTTGCTTATTGTCGATTTGGACCGTTTGGAGCTTTAGATTGTAGTATTGCTGAGATGAAGATTTCCTGCAAAAAACCTTGTGTCATACGCCAACTCAAACACTTTTAGTTTCTAAACATAGGGCAACGGCAACCCGACGCGGTACATCTAACCAAGTATAGTTGTAGTTACCGTGCCATATTAGGAGAGCGGTTGTTGGTTAAAATGCCAATTTTTGTCAAGAAATCGGGCACAAGGATCGACCAATAAGATGTTGCATTACCGTGCAACAAGCGCCAACCTCCTTCGCGATATTCTGGCCGAACAAGTGGCGCTCCCAGGATTCAGTCTGGGAGGGGTAAAATGGAAAGTAAATTCTCAGTGTGACGTACTGAAGTGTTATAATGATTTAACATCAAACGCATGGACATATGCAGACATATGAATTTGTTACAGTAATTTCTGTAGAAAATACATACATTACTTTTTTATTTTGAATCATACGAAATCAAAATGTAAATAAGGCAAACCAAGCTCGAGCAATCTTCATATATTAAAACAAAAATGCAAAATAATATAATCTATCACAGACTTTTCTACATAACAATGTCAGACAAAACAACAAAAAATACATCTTCATGAAAAAAATAACAAGAACAAATATGTTATGACTTCTATAAAGTATAAAACTGAATGTAAATCAAAATAAAATTCGTAATCATGAGAAAATCACAAAAAATAATCATTGCATAAGTACATTCTCTTAGCCGCTCTCAAAAAACAAAAACATAAAACTATGAAACTACATCAGTTCACAGTATCAAAATAAAACAATTATTACATTAGCTCAGAAAAGTGATTTGAACAGACTTTTATATCAATCTGCTAGCCAATAAATAAAACCACAATCTTGATTGGATAGTTTGGAAAAGATCACCGTGGTGATTTAAATGTAAGTAAACCCTTAACTACATCAAGAGAGATGGATTTGAGAGACTACCTTAGGCAAAGTTCAGGTGTTATCATTTTACAAAATCAAAGCGCCTATTCTTTTTGCTGGCGAACCGATCTATGATTGTATTCACGTCTATTTTAATATCCCTATGCATATACAAAAGAGCTAAACCCACTAATCGCTCTTGTAACATAGTGGAGCGCAGCCAAGTTTTTATCCTCTTTAGATGGGAGAAACTTCTTTCAGATGTCGCAACACTTACCGGCAATGAAATCAATAATTGTAGGCATCTATTAATTGAAGGAAAAATGTTTTCATCACATTATAAATACAGTGACACTGTCTATAACATCTTGTGTACGTGACTTCCAAAGGATCGTATTAAAAACACCACGTTTAGTCACCAGTCACAATGTTGTACAGAAAGTTTTTGTCTTTTTTGGCCTCTTTAATGCGAACCGTGAACACACCTTTCTCATGTCCAAATTCTTGGTCAAAATGCGATGGATTGAATCTTTAGAGATATTTAATTCCATTTATATGAATGAAGATTTGGATCATCAAATTCACGCACTGTTTCGGCGCTTTCTGTCATAATCACAAATTTTGGCTGTCCAATATGTGACATAACCTCAAAATAGAGCGCTGACACGGAAAAGTTGAAAACTATGACAATCAAGGAGGCCATAAAGGCATCCTACAATAAATTGTAGGAATGACTGACGATACGGGCCTAAGTGTAACACATAACTTAATATCGGCTCTTTGTTCGATGCTCATTTCATCAAGTGGTGCGATTGTCATGAAATTTTGACAGGGCGTCAATGAAAGATGTACCTATCCAACGATAGTCTCCAATAATAGATGGCGCTACTTGTATCGGATATCTTTCAAAGGTCCTGGTTACCTTGTATGTTTCTTATACGATTTTCTGTCAACCACCGCTAAGAATGAAAATATTCGGTTTATATTCTGCATTTTTACCCTTAAGTATACTCACATTTTCAAAACCTCAGAACAAGCTCGAGTTGCTGTTGGGTTGCTTTTGGTCAGAACAGCGCTTAAAGTCTATAGGGTAGAAAACGTCGAAAAACGGAATAAGGATTTTTTAATATTGATCGATCCAAGTAATTATCAGACTACGACAAATCTTTTTCGCCTCTGGTATGCTGGTAATTTTGTATCATGCTATAGGCGAGGAGGGCGGTCAAGAATTAATGAACAAACAACAAACTGATAGTCAAACAGATCGTCAGATATGAGAGGCATGACTCCCAAAAAGACATCTCGTTGTTTTGCTAGTTGTCGTGGAAAGTAAAAACTGAGCAATACCTATTACCTAAACTGAAAATACACAGCTGGGTGATACGTTCTTCTTAACTCTGCAAAAAATGGTTTCAACATGTACATTTTCTCGAAATCAATGTGGACGTATTCTTTAAGTTGACATTTCTTGTAATGCAATCGATATTTGTCTTCTATCCAAGAAGCCAACTCCAAAGTGAGCGTTTTCCATTTTTGACCCACGTTCACTTCCCATATTGCTGGCGTATCCGAGATTGAAAAATAAACGTGTTCTTTGGTGTCGTTCTCTGAGGTGAATATGGACAAACCGACACCTAGAATGAAAATACAGTTGTTGATAGTTAAACATTCTGCAATCCACAAAGATATCAATTCGAAGAGCCACTTGGGAAAAATATTTGATATTTTTTAGATATTGCAATATAACTTGAATGGAGCTTGCCCCTCCCGGTGAAAATGTCGAAAACACTATTTGGAGGACTAGGCATAGTTATAAAACTCCGTATCAATTGAGACAGAATTGTATTTCATACCTGATAGTGCTACGAGCCCTTCCAGATAACACTTTTCTTGAACAATTTTCAGAATTCTGTTATAAATTCTAAGTTCCTGAGTCAGAAGTAGCGTTTTCTGTACACCATCTCTATAGCATATCCAATAGATGATGATTTTATCCTTGTGCACTTTTTTATTCAAATTCAGTTGGGTGCTGTCTGAACTGTCGGAATCTTCGCCGCTCGAAGATTGAGATTGACTTGTATTTGGAGTCACGCTATGGAATCTTATCTTTTCCTCACCAAAACTGAAAGCAATCACAAATCATTAATGATTTCCATATCCTACACTGGTTATTACTGACCCAAGGCCCAAGCCAGTGTATAAGGATTTATTTAATTTTGACAGAATAAATTAATTCGTATTAATAAATTATTCATCTCTGCTAGGTGTGTGGAACCTGTCAAACCATTGACAACTATGCGTCATAGCCCGAGTGACGACACGATCTGTATTATGTTCGAAAATAGGAAATGCGAAGTATAAATTGAAGATTACAATGTATCACAGGAATCTTTATTGTGAACCAGTGCCGCAGCTACCTTGGGTGGCACCCGGTGCGGAAGTTGGTGGTGTCACCCCATCGAAATTCAATAGCAATAAATTTTATATGATTTACAAACATCATGGATCATTTAATATTTATATTTAAAATATTGAACAAATAACAAAACAATAAAAACTAAGAGAGAAAAAATATTTTTATCTTACGATTAAAATCTGTTCTTTCTAGCTTTGAGAGCTGCAAACTCAGAAATAACTTCATCAAAATTTATATTTTGTATTGCCTCGTGTTCGATGGCTAAAATGCCAAGACTGAATACTGAAACTCCTTTCACATGAAGCTACGGACACGCAAACCGTCTCGTACAATTTTAGTGCAATCATAAGATTTGGAAGAGATTTTGTAAAATCCCATTCTACAATAAACTTTAAAAAATCTAGAGATACTCGATCAGAAACTGTAACATTAGCGGCTTTCAAGTTTCTTCGCAGTCCTGGTATCTTCAAAAGTAATTCTGTTTCTGGAACCTCATCATAAAAATCAGTAAATTTGGATGTCGCTAATTTCAGTTCTCCAGTATTCGCCAAAAGCAAAGTATTTCTTTGTACGATCTCGCACAATGAAGCTAGGTCTTGAAGAGGCTTCTGGAGTTCAACTCTGAATCGGTTAAGACATTTCAACATATCTTTTTGATGTTCTTCCTTCAGTATGAGTCCTGCATCACTGACCATTTCACCAACCACCCATTTTTTACGACGAAGTCGTCTTTCTGTTGGAGTAACCTAGTTTTTTTGTAGCAATATCTATTGCCTCTTCCACAGTGTGAGCGAACAAGTAAAAAAATAAATGAAAAAGGACTCAGTGTTTAGTTGAATTGAAATTCCTAGTACGGCTCTGTGGTAAAATCCGTATTTACATCGTAGTCGTACGTCCTATGACTGTACGCTGGCGATGGCGCTGTGGACGTGATCCAGGAATAGGACAGGACCGGCTTCGGTTTGGTTCAGGTTTGATTGAGTGCGGAGCCCAATATCTCGGTTCTCTTAAGACATTGGTGTATATGCTACTAAGAAAATCTGCTTATTTCCTCAAGATTTACGTCATGTAAAGGAAAACCCCAACTTTGCGGACTGTCATGGTTTTTGAGTACTTACCCTTCTTTATTGATGTCGACGAGAAAGCCAGGTCCCTTGTTATTATAGACATTCCAAACAAGTCTTCGCGGTTTTGTTACATCATCCCACGTATAGAGTAGTGAATTATAAGGTCTGAGTATTGTGACCGGACTCAAATCTTGCTGTTGGATCTTAAGAAAGAGATCGCCACAGTAGTTTTTCACTAGGATTGGAGCATCACCGGGCTTGAAGTCGTTGAATGATATGTGGAAAGAATCGTTTATTCCTCCTGTCACTTCAACTGTTAAGGCACTCTAAAATTGTTGGAAATATTTTATATCAAGTTAGTTGGTGTTTAGGTAAGTAGGGCACATGCCATACAAAACATATGGGCGTCTCAGTAAGAGCGCCGGATTTGAATTTGCTGCCATTTTTTTTTGTACAAATGGTAAGGTGTTTACTTGGTGCTTACGCGATTGGATGTCATGGAGCAGTATTCAAACGAGCAACGTTTAATTATTGTGAAAACTCACTACAAAAATGGAGAAAATAACGCGGAAACAGTTCGCAAATTACGTACAATTTTCGATCACAATTATGCGCCAAATGAGTCGTCAGTTCGCCGTTTAATTGCAGAATTTGAGACAAAATTTGCTGAATGCTGCATGTGAAGAACACTGTTCGTCGCCGTCCTGCTCGGTCCCTCGAAAATATAGTCGCAGTGCGGGAAAGTGTGGCCGAGAATCCAGGCACTTCCATTCGTCATCGTTGGCCAAGAATTGAAGCTCACCAGACCAACTCTGCAACGAATTTTGACAAAAGATCTGTGCTTGCATGCGTGCAAGGTACTGACGCAAGAACTCAAGCCAACGGACCGTGCACAGCGCCGTGAATTCGTTGATTGGGCGCTGGAACACAACCAAATTGATGCGGATTTCTCGAAGAAAAGCATTTTCTCTTCTGAGGCACATATGGTCTTCCAACAAGACGGTGCGACCTGCCACACAGCACGCGAAACAATGGTGTTACTGAGAACCAAGACCGTGTCATCTCTCGATTTGGCGATCAAAATTGGCCACCAAGATCGTGCGATCTAACGCCAATGGACTTCTTCCTCTGGGCTATGTGAAGGAAAAGGTGTAGGCAAACAAGCCACAAATAGTTGAACGCCTTAAAGAAGAGATACGACACGTTATCGACGAAATAGAGGTACAGTTGTGCGAAAGCTTTATCCAGAATTTTAAGACTGACAGTGTGCCAGAGCTTTCGTGGTGGCCATTTACCGGATCGGATGTCCTATTTCATGTTCGCAACTCCATGTTGAAATATAAATACTCGCTTTTTTTTTTAAATGAAATCCGGCGCTCTTATTGAGACATCCTTTAGAAAATGGGCCCCAGTCGATGTGTATAAAAGTTCAATCTAGTGTATGTCTCAAAAATTCGAAAAAGCTTTGTAGGTTTTGTTAATCAGGATCCAGTGGCGGATTGAAAAATGAAAAAATAGTACGATCCAGAAATTTCATCTTTTGAGAGCATGGTCAAACATTTTTTTAGGGAGTGAAAAAATGTTGAGATCAATAATGCCTACAGTGTCTGTGTGGATCGAATGTGAAATAGATTCATGCGAGTGCGCCGGAAGTAGTAAGTCAATCTGCTTGACTCAATTTTGCAGATCTTATGTAAGTAAATTGATATCTGTTCGGTAATCCTTGGAGCTTCTACAGCTCAGAAAGTCTTCTCATTTTAATAAAATTTTGACAATTGTTACAGAAAAAGATATACTACTATTTTTGAGAATCGGTACAGTTAGGGAAGGTATTCCTGAAAAAATAAAAATTGATGAAAAAGCGTTGTGGCTTTCGAAATGTTATATCAACTTTAGGGTACGACATCCCGGGGATTGACTGCTGTGGGTTGCGTAATTACAATCTTTCAAAAATGGTGAATGGAGCTACTCGCTGACGTTATAATAAAAATGGTGAATGCACATTAATGCCTATTTCACTGGTGAACAAAATTAAAATACTTTTTTGTGACATGGACAAAACAAAGTGGTTACTATGTACAACGCACCGAAAAAGCAGGAAATAGCATTCGACATTTTCTATCACCCACGGTTTTCTTGCAATAAGATATTTTATTTGCTGCTTATACTCGTAAAATACAAGGATGCGTGTAAGAGTTCTAATAAACACTCGAATAAACATTAATCACAGAATGTTGTTGTCAATGTTTTACGGCGATATGTAGCTCTTGAAGTATTTCTAATAATGTCCAGCAATAATCAGCAAGCAAATTGACACTCCATTTGCCTTGATACCGTTTTCAGTGTTCATCTCTTACCGCACCTAAATTTTCCGGAAAAAAATCGAGATGAGAATCCAAAAAGTGAATGTTACATCCCATTCCGTTATTACTTAGTTTACTCACAATATCATTATAATTGTCCGGCTTCATATTGCCTGAAAAAATTGCGCAAACCTGATGGTAAATTAAAATACTTAACAGTATGTTTCGTTTTTGGTCAAATACCTTTAACATTTTCGAGGCAAAAATAGCAATCAGTAGTATGGTCTCTCGGTTCTCTCCGAACCATTGGTACCGCAAAGGGCATTTTACGATTGTCGCCTCTTAACCAACCTGTTAACAACGTTACACAAGTCTTACAACATACATGAGGGGCCCACAGTTTATCTTGGTCGCCAACTTTAATTCCAAAATAAAGTTCGTGTGCTTTCAACACAAGGGGAGTAAAAGTACGTTTTTGGGATTTAAAAGTTAGCTCTCCGCACACATAACAAAAACTGTTCGCACTATTTGCACAATTTCTAGGCATTGTAACAGTGCTCAGAACTCCTCAGGACTCTTCAACACAGAAAACGTAACTGACTCGGCCGCTATTAGTCTACTGATAAACGCAATATGATCTCTAAACGTAGAGCTAGCATATTATAATCAGGAATAGACAGGTCTTAACGTTATATATGTGGGTCATCGCTTAAACGCCGAGAAATGCAGCAATATGAGATGTTACGTATACCGAATATCTGTGGGTGATAGAAAAATTCTGTTTTGAGATTTGATAAGAGTCTCAAAATACATAAGATACACCCAAAAATTGTCATGTCACAAATCCTGTGTTTATCAGTGTTATAGGAGGATGGTTCAAAAAATACTGGCGGTATTTCCGCTGGCACTCTTTTTTAGAATCACTGCGTATGCAGCTGAATCCTTAATGAAGGTTAACTAGTATCGAGGAGGGATAAATAATAGCTTTCTCATCTGAGCATTGCTGAATTTGCAAGTATAAGTGGCACGCGTTCAATATGAATCGTACTAACTCCTTTATCCATCCTAAGCACAGTTCTGTGAGGTGCAGCTGTATAGAAGGGCTGAGATATCATCTTGCTGTCCCTGTACTTCACATACATCTCCATGGAATTGGTCTCCGGCCAAAATCTCATAGTCTGTTGAGGTACCAGATCGGTCCATAGGTCGGTTTTTTCGTTGTGTTCCATGAATCTTAGAGGCTTGTCGGTGTTGTTGCTTACAAGAAAACTTGGCAAAATAGTCACGATCTTAGTGAGTCTCGGACACATGCTGGATAACCTGGAAACATCAAACGTTAAAAATCAGGACGTTCAAACCAATAAAGCAAGTGTCAAATACAGTCATCCAAACAAGCTATTGATTTGATCCACTGAACTGCACCCAAAAGAAATAAAGAAAGACGCGCACATTTCCTTATCTCCCATTTACGTCCCACGACGCTCGGCAAGGAAGTATTGTAACCGCGAATAACTTGGAAAATGAGGTATTAAGTTTTTTGGATGCTATATGGAAAACTATGCTAATTTTTTCTGTCGGTGCTATGGTCCAAACACAAAGAAATAAAAAACATTGAAACTTTGTTTTTGAACGTGTCGGAGGCTCCTGACCATTTTCAAAAAAGAAAAAAAATAGGGGTTTAAAAAATTGGGGTTTGGGTGTTGCAGCATCAGCATACGCTTATACTCTTTCAACCCCGGCATTTCAACGCACCTATATGAGCTATTTCACACATTATAGATTTCCACATTTAATTGCTTTAAAAACTGATATGAGGAATATTTTCAACACACACATCTTTGGTTAAACCTGAGTCGTGGTCTGACCGATCGGTAGTTGCCGTTGTTAGTACAGCAACGTTGTCAGTTGGTCGGTGCTGTCGGTAGGATAGGGTAGAAATTTCTAGGTCGTAACATTGTCAAATGGATGGGGACTATGAGCTAATTGTATAGCACTGGCTTGACTTGATTTATTTGTTTCACATATTCGTAACTTTTCTATTAAAGGGGCTAACTTGTCCGAGCATAATCGTTTATGAGCTAATGACAGCGTTTCATGCAGAATCTTGACACCGTTTTTTTAATCTGCGCGGCTAGTGAGAAAAGTCTTGAAATAGTAGTGTACTTAGCACATATTCATGCATCTATCGATCCTAGAATCATGCTTACAACCCTTATAGAGAGTGGAGATTCAATTGATCCTATCCTAATTGCAATTTATTTTCTGTTTTTTACGTTTCTGGATCATATATACAATATCCAGAAATCCACTCACCTCGTGTTGAGGAAAAACAAATATTTCTTCTTCCTCTCGACATCTTTGCAAACTATCAATCCTGTGGTACCGGCACATTCCAGACCAAATTCGTTAGACCAGTTTGACTCATAGGCTCGAAGATTCAGAGTCTGTTTCCCATGCCTTTTGTACGTAAAAAGAAAAATGTCCTCATTGGAGCACTCGTATATATTGTTTGAAGCTGTTGCCTGTAAGTAAGATACTTTTGACTAATTGACTGAATAATTGAATGAGTTTAGCTATATGTTTTCTCGTTGAATGCTTCCTCTTTACATTTTGCTTATGTACTCGTATATGTCTATCGGGCAGTAAATCACTCTCGCTAGTATTTGATAGCCGATTCGAGGATAACAATGCAGTCTAGGAAAAACCCAAGAGTAATTATTTGTAGGAAACTAAAGATAAATTCGAGTAAAAGTACGTGCCGCATTTTGCGCGAGTAGCTATGGTTATGGCTATTCGGTGGTACAGGTGTTCACTATGCGTAAACCTTATTTTACTGTTAAATAACATTGTAAAATGAAACATAACCGTTACTTTCTCACTACGCTGAAGAGTTACCATAATCTATATTATTACTTACTTTCAATTGTAGCGGAAGTCCTGTCTTGTTCACAATCCAATAAGGAGCATAAAAGATTAAACTATAGCTACTTTCTTTTTCAGATTTTACATTTATTGCCAAATTTTTCCCTTCATCTTTGCTCTCAGTGCTTAGCATTACTATTTTTTCGTCTAAATGCAGAGTGAAGTTCAGATGACCAGACCAAGTAGTGGAGTTGTGTTTGACTCGTATCAGTAGTTTTTGATCTTTGGAGAAGTCTACAGAGTAAACGCTGCTTTTCTCACCAGGATCGACCTAGAAAAATACTACGAAATGTGAAATGTGTCTTCATATTGCAAGGTAGGTATCAGCATCAATAAACTAGTATGTTAAGATTGTCAAGAACATCGCATAAAAAATATAGGTAATATACTCGTAAGAACCATTTTCAGGGCCAAAAGCTTGCTTTCTCGATATTTGAGCTATTATCATCTGTGACGAGATCCGAAGTTTAGAGGCATTTCAAGGAATTCCTACCAAAGAAGATTTCTATCCGAATATGTAGAATGGAAGTTGATCCCGAATGAGTCCATCCGCCATCTAGCACAGGAATTGGATCTGTGTCCATCCACTTTATGGAAGATTTTGCGGAAGGATCTTGGTTTGTGTGCTTACAAAATCCAACTCGTGCAAGAGTTGAAGCCAAACGATCATCAAGCAAGGCGTAGATTCGTTGAATGGGCCCAAAACGAGATTGCCGTTATTCCCGATTTTCATAAGCGAATTTTGTTTAGCGATGAAGCTCACTTCTGGTTGAATGGCTACGTGAACAAACAAAACTGCCGCATTTGGAGTGAAGCTAATCCTCAAGTCTATGTCGAAACACCGTTACATCCAGAAAAACTGACTGTTTGGTGCGCTTTATGGGCTGGTGGAATCAGTGGTCCGTACTTCTTCAAAAACGATGATGGCCAGAATGTTACAGTCAATGGTGGTCGGTATAGAGCCATGATTACTAACTTTTTCATTCCTGAATTGAACAATCCTGATGTCCAAGAGCTGTGGTTCCAACAAGATGCCACATAGCTCGTGCTGCAATCGATTTATTGAAAGACACGTTTGGTGATCGCCTAATTTCACGTTTTGGACCTGTGAATTGGCCTCCAAGATCTTGTGATTTAACACCGCTAGGCTATTTTCTGTGGGGCTATGTAAAGTAATTCATCTATGCGGATAAGCCACGAACGCTTGACCATTTGGAAGACAACATTCGCCATGTTAATGCCGATATACGGCCACAAATTTTGGAAAAAGTCATCGAAAATTGGACGTCCAGATTGGACTACATCCGAGCCAGCCGTGGCAGTCATATGCCAGAAATCATATTTAAAATGTAATGCCACAAGATTATCTTTCGAATAAAAAAAATTCATGTCAATCGAATAATTCATCGTTGTTTTATTGCAATTTAAAGTTCTATACCTCTAAAAACACCCTTTACTACAGGGTGTTCAAAAAAATAGATACTCTGATTACAAACTCGCACAATTTATTATAAAAAGTCACAAAAGAATACTTAAAAATATGGATACGAACAACTAACCTAAAGCATATGCTCGAAGTGTCCACCATCCGCTCGAAGACAGGCTCCTACCCTTCTCTGCATATTGCGGAACACTCTATGTAAGATTGCTGGTGTTATTGCGTTAATAGCCTCTGTAATACGCGCTTGTAGGGTTGGGATTTAGGTGGGTGGGTTCTGGAAAACCCTGTTTTTGATGTAGCCCCATAAATAAAAATCTGGACGCGACAAATCAGGGCTACGTGGTGGCCACAATGTTGGCGAAAAATTCAGTTAGGAAATTCATTGTCGAACCAGCGGAATGAGCTGTGGCCCCATCCTGCTGAAACCAGCAATAACGTTCCTCCGGCTTCAAAGACGCAATAAGTGATGGTTCCAGTAAAGAAGAAGGGTCCAACAACTCGTGCGCGCGTTACAGCGCACCATATCCCAATCTTCTGAGGGTGCAACCCTCTTTCCACATAGGCATGAGGATTTTCACTTCCCCATAGACGGTAATTCTGTACATTTACATAACCGTTTAAATGCACCCAAGCCTCATCAGAGAAGAAGACCGTATCCAACTGATAATTAAACCAGCGACAAAATTGTGTCCGACGAGCGTAGTCCGGAGGTTTCAATTCTTGTCGTACCTCAATTCGATAGGGATACAGCTTCAATTCATGAAGAGTAGATTACACTGCCAACAGACACTTGCATGCTCACCAATTTTCGCACCGAGAGGCTTGTGGCACCACTTCGATCTTTCCTGGCGTTTTTACACTGCGCTGACGGCCACTCCCCTTTCGTCTCACCAGTGTATGTTCATTCTGAAAACGGTCGGCCACTCGCTTTATCGTTGTGTTGCGCAAGCTTCGTTGATCAGCGAACTTCTCCTGAAACCGTTCCCGCACGATTTTGAACGAACTTGGAAAATAATGTTCCACAATAACACTCGCTTCTGCTGCAAATAAATCTATCGTGCCTACCACGACCGCCTTAACTCATATACTGACGACACTGTTACCGTGTTGCTGTAGCCGCGATTCGCGTTTCCCAATGTTTTATTTCACGTCTTTATCAGATTACGAAGTTAGAGGATCTATTTTTCTTGAACACCCTGTAGTTCTATAGCTACTACGATGTACACCTCTTGTGTCATCGTGAAAGTCTGCAATTATTCAAGTCTTAGATTTTTGGAGCCACAAAACTAAAAATAAACTCATGCTATGCTTTGGGTTGGGCAAAGAATGGAGTTCCAATGGAGACATAGCTTCTTACTACATTATAATATAATCTTGCCAACTGACCTTGGTAACTTGATTTAAACTTATATTCAGCACTTCCAAAGCGTATGGTAAAAAGTTGTGGATGATCAACGGTGGCAGCAGGTGGATAACATAGTTAGGTATAGAGTGAGTCTGACTGTTCTTGGTCGCTATGTGCCTGTTCAACATCACCCTAAGGGCGAACGTTTCCATCCCAGATCCCTCCTTTGGTTTGCAATAGAAGTTATGTGCATTGCCCAGTTCAGTCGCTAGGTCTTTCCACCATATCGGTGAATCAGTTACATAGTGACTCCTGAAAAGTTTAAATGCTTACATAACGATATAGATAAATAATATATGGATCCATATTCAAAGTAGATCTATTTTCGGAATATTTTTCCTTTGACGATTTTCGTTGAGCTGTTTTATCACGAAGACACTATGCTAATTTTTTTCTATGGACAAATTTTCACGTGTAATGATGCATCGAATACTCATATCGTTTGTCTTAGTAGTTTTGGTACAAAATATTTATGGGATTTTTGTTAATAAAGAAATTTATTTAAACACTAACTAGTTATTATAAATTACAAGTCAATATTTAACTAAACTATACAATCGAATTGTGTGGAGTGGGCCACTATTCAAAGCTTCACTACTCACTCTTTCCGCAAAAGGTTTGGATACACCCCTGTTGTCCGCATAAAATCCGTCCTTTCCTTTCGTTTCAGAATTACTCAAAGTGAAATACTTTTCGTCATCTACAGAAAATAGTTATCCACTGGCAGTTGCGCTTGAGAGTATTTGGGGCACTCAAGTCTCTTTCAATATTTAAGACCATTCCTTCTCAATTCCAACGATATTCTACTCTTAGAAGATCTGTGCTGACAAGCCAGTCTCCTTGTTTATATTCAAACCTGGTTTTTTGCTCTTCTCACCAATCTCTCTGACCTCTGTGCGCATCCGCAAAACATTAGAAATATGCAACGGCGTGCTACAGTTTCTCTACATACTAAGTGTGTTATTTCATTTAATGTTGTACAGTTGTTACTTACTCAGCATAAGCGGGTTGGATGAACAATTTGCAATGATATGCAATGAACAATGGTACGTTGTAAGTTTCATTAGCTTCGACAACTGCTATTCTCATTGTTGTTTCGAATGGGTTTGTGATGTCACCAACTGGCTCTAGATTGAGTTGTTGAAGCACCGAAGGTTGATATAACACGCTGAATGCAAAGCATGTTTCGTTCTTTATCTGTAAACATTCAACAAATAAACGATTTAAGTTAACAAAGGCTGAAGCCAACTCGCATCGACAGATATAAAACCTGTAGAAAATTATATCCACAGGGAGAGACACATTATGTTTATAAAAGTAATACTTCTTACTTAGCATGTGCATACTCACTTGTAGAGGGGAGCTGACAACAATGCTTCTACCATATTTCTCAATGCAATGCTTCACCGCCAAGTAGTAAATCTGATTGTGATTGGTAGAGTACATCCTAATCAGTTTTTCAAAATTTCTTTTCGGACAGTTGGTTTGCGTGGGCGAGAATGTTGGTAGATGAATCCTGATGAAGTTTTTGTTGATTTTGTCATAGAGTTGAGCTGTTGTTTCTGACGGAAACTGTAAGCTGGAGACTGTCTCGAAATCGTAATTTATGTCGAAGTCTTCTTTGATACCATCATCTGTACAACTATAAAAAATAACAAAATCAAAAATTCGTTCTTAGATTTGATACACATACTGAATATATTGACACTTGGTTCATCGTATAGCATCCTGAATATCCTGAATATATCTCAGTTTCAAAAAAGCTTCTTGAGTGAACACTTACCTATCCCTATCATCAAAGTAAGTATCAACTATCTCGCCTTGCAAGCCCTTACCCGGGCTATTTGGTGGTGATTCTTCATTTTCATATTTTTTACTATGTATAAGCTTATCTTCTTTCGGATCTTCGTTGAGTTTCTCATAAAATTCCACTCTACTTTTAGGAGCGATGTCGTTTACTAGATTCACGGATTTCTTGTTACACTTCACAGAAATCACTTTGTTGGAATACTGCGTGATGAGGTCATTCAGAACCTTTAAGCCACTAGGGGTTATAGTGACGTTAAATGCTTCCTTCGCATCTATCAGAATGTAGTAGGATCTGTTCAGAAAGTGATGGGTTTCAATTTTCTCTGCTTTGTCTGCTGGCTGTTCGGTGATTTCGTTCTCTCCTTCACTGGAGTGCTCACAGTCACTGTCTTCGTTTTCATTCCAGTCTCCTGCAACAAAATTGTTCCCTTTATAGCACATCTGTGTGTGTGACGTTAGTTTTAAACTTCGGAACTCGGTTCTTTTGAATGGATTTTTATTATTCTTAGTGGAATGCGTTTGAAATACTATTTCACAAATTGATTTTCAATTGTTTTTTTATTTCGTTTTTTATTGTATGGTTATTCAATTTCATAGCATATCATCAGATAGAACGCATTAAACTAAACAAAAAATGTCAACTTATGTTATTTTTAATTTTCCTTATATTACTTGAGTGACTCAGATGGAACTATGTGAATCGGCGATAATCATTTAGGGATTTAATTTGTACTGGATATATTCAACTGAATAACTCCAAATTTTAGCCGGGTATTTTAACTAAGCACGCCACTGGTTTCTTTGTGGATATGCTCAAGGAAGCTCAAGACATACAAAAATTCCTACTTGCTTGTTCATAAGCCATTTTTCTCCAAAAGGGGATTCACGTACAATTGAATATCTGACTTAACAATACAATAGGTATTTAAAAAAGTCAGCGGCATAGAAAATAATTTTTAATTAATGCAGCGATTAAAATTTTATAATTTTTATGCCACTGATATAGTTTCATAAATGAACATTTTTGTATATATTGACTAGTTAAAATTTTATTGAATACCTTAATACAACCCGAAGTAATCTTTTTTCAATTTTGAAATTATAACTTCTGTGCCCTGTACCTTGTAAAGGGACATCATTTTTCAAGTATCCCCATAAAAAGAAGTCTATGGGATTTAGATGATCCAGCGTATCTGGTGTACCTGATTCAAAAAATCGGTGTGCATACAAACGAGAAGCTCGCGAATTTTGCCCTGCTTCTCCGTACGCTAAAACAATGTCCACTAGTCCACTAACTCCTCATTAGTGTACACATGTGCCATTTTTATTAATAAATAACTAAAAACATAAACTCGCAAAATACGTTCTTATTTAACTTCACAAAAATCGACCGTTCTTCATTCAGATCACCCACGATACAAATTAAACCTTATTTTGACGGTCTTATCGATATATAAATTAGTTGCTTTCAGTACTACTATGACGTTGTCATAGCCAAACTTAATTTTTTTTTGTCTCTCGTATACCATCTTTTTTTTCGTATTCATATCGTTAAGTGTAAGAGTAGCTTTAGCTAAACTTCGCCATAATGAATCGCACTCTGTATCTTTGTAAATAAGGACGATATTATTATTATTATATGAAAAAACAAAAATTGCTGGTATTTTGCTTTCGTGAGTTTGGTACAACATTTGCTACAATAAATTATTAATGCGTGTTCTAATATCACGACGATGAACGTAAAATACAGATATTTATTTATCAATTAATTATTGAAACTCAGGTTTATAGCTTAATTTCTGTATTACTTGTATTACATTTTTTTTGAGAAATCAACTTCTTTCGTATATGTGCATATGTGGTTAAAATCTGTCGGATAAGTTGTGAAACACCCTGTAGAGTACCTGTGAACAAGTCAGAAATCGCTGCTGCTAGCTTTTCCATGGTACCATCTTCGTTTTCAGAATCAGAATCATCCAAAAATGTAGACAAACTAGTTTTGACTCTTCTGTTGTTCCCGCTGTTGATAGTGTTCAAAGGTTCCAAGTACATCATATCTTCTCCAGAATCTTCGTCTTCTGTTGTTGTGACTGACCTTCAACATATGATCCTATCAAAGGAAAGCTACTCACTCTTTAGTAATTGTATACTATATTCTTGATTCATATTCATCAGCATGACTTCAGCAGACGCACAAACATTTAAATGTATGGTTGACTTATTTATTATTAGTCGAATGGTTAATGACAGTTTTCTTGCTTTGGAGTATCTGTCAGGTGTGAACGACTTAAAAGCTACTACTTATTAAACTATAACTAACCTACTAGCTCGCTCCTTCTTCAAGGACTTAGTCTTCGCTTTGTGATCAATACTATCACACATGGGCAAAGCTTTATCCTGAAAGACCTTGATGATCACTTCCCACGGCTTGTATTCCCTTTCATCGATTACTATGGGATCAATCAGGGGCTCCCAACTTTGCACAGCCTCGTTGAAGTAGTTCAGCTGTAGGGATACCTCACAAGTGCAGTTCAACATGTGCGTCCAGTCGTAGAGTGTCAATTCGACTGTGGATTTGAATAGCAGCAGAGGAGTTTGTTCGAGCTCGAAGATCACCACGATATCCAGCTTAGGGATCAGAAGGATCTCGTGGATATGGTGCAGGTGGCTGGATTTTAAGTCGTCTTCCTCGTTCATATCGATGAATTCGTCGAGCTTTTTAGGCTCCCAGAGGTCGTTCGGCTCTGTTTCTTTGGGTTTCTTTTTTTCAACTAGGAGGTGCTTCTACCTAAAATTTCAAGAATATAAATATACGGATAGAGATCGTGTGAGGGCGACAAGCGTGGTGGCCATGATATCGAGGACACAGAGTCATCGAAATCGTTTTTCAGAAGTCGTATATAGATTTATGGTCATGTCACATATTTAGTTTTATTAGTGTCTCGTTGATTTGACAGTTGTCCTTTCGCAGGTATTTGCTATTGTGTATATGAATTCAAGTTACAAACCTCTGGCACTTTAAAATGTTCAGCGATGTCATTGAGAACATCGTTGACTGAATGGAATACTTCGCTACATAACTTCACATATATCGATGATACTGTAAATGTAATTTTCTCTCCAGATTCTTCAGAGAAACATTTGCATAGCTCCATGTCACATTGCTTCAGTATAGTGTAGGGATCGTCAGCATACTCACCTGTAAAAAATTTCCTCATGATTTAAGTTTCTTCAGTTAATCTAGGCAATAGCTGAAACTTCCATAACCTACATGTCCCTCTTTGATGTGGACCCAACGCACTGTATCGTCAAGGAAACAGTGAAAAATGCGAACCCTTTTCTATTCGTATACTTACCAAGATCATAGAATAGGGTATGAAGACCAGACAGTGACATAACTACGTTCAGCCTATTAGAATGTCTTGAAAAATCTAACAAGATTTCGCTTTTGGTAATGAAGTATCTTTTCTTATTCGATGTTGTCTCAACCAAAAATGTCAGCTCTGGTCTATTGATCCTTACCGATAGAGTGAAACTAGTTGAATAACATCGCTGAGGTACCTAGAAAAAGTAGCAAATTGCAAAATAGCTCCGTAACAATTTAACAGATGACATGAACCCTATTAGAATGTAAATATCATCAAAAAACAAAAAAGAGTATGCAAAACTGGACAACTTGTTAGCTGCTTTTGAAGGGTATTCGAATATGATTTCAGCTTGAATACTGCTTTGAAAGAAACTAGAAATAATGACTCTTTTGCCCTGAGGTGTTGTAAATACATTTTATCTCTTACTAACCGTGTGGTATACTTCAGCTTCATAACCAGGATTTACAATGCCATCATCCATGTTTTCTTTTGGAAGGCACTCTATTATAAACAAAGCTAGTTTTTCACAGAAAGGTATGGACAAACTTAACCCTAATCTGCCAATAATAACATCCGCCGACTTATCACCTGTTTGATTTTGATGAAAAGTTATATCCACTATCGGTGGCTTGTTCACTGTTATGTTGCAGTTGTTGTTTTTGGTGTCATCAGATGGTGACTGAAGGACTCTGAAAAGATTCCGGTTTATTACGTCATCGTAAGATTAAGGAGTCGGTGTCGTGATATAGTACTTACATCTTATCGAAAGCATTAGCATCCGGTCCGATTTCCTCTATGAAAATTTTATTAACAGAGAGCTTTCCATCTAAGCTTCTATCACTATAAACCACAGCCGATAGATCTATTTCTTGAACCTCAAGTTTACAAAGGCCGTGGTTTAGATCTCTGATAGGAGAACTAAGCAGTTCTCCTGAATCAAAGAACAGCATTACTTTTATCTCGTCAATGGTGCATTTAGCTACGATATTCTTTTGTTTCGGCTCACAGAAGAACGCTTCAAGTGATTTCACTGTATCATCTGTTTTCAGTATATCAGTGGGTGATTTGATCTGGACTGGAAACAGATCCAGTATTTTACCCTCACCGATATTGTCTGTGTATATGGACATTATGGTGGTCAGATCTCTTTGGCCCAAGGTGACCTGGATGCTTTCGATAATGCTGTCGATGTCCCATGTGCTTAGTATTGTTTTACAGTTGGTGAATTTCTTTATGTCCATGTTCAAACTAATAGGCTCTATGAGAGTTTCCTAAAAGATTCAGTAGCTATAAATATTGTGCGATAAAATACTTGAGGTTTTGTTAGTTCGATGTAGTTTAATTACAATTCTTACCTGCATTTCAAGAGTCGAAGTTAAGGTCATTACACCTCTGGAGATCATCACATTATTTAATTTCACCAGAATATTCTCAGTGATCTCCGACGAGTATTCTTTGAAGAAGTTTTCGACCTTTAATTCACCTGTATCTATGACTAGTACGTTGGGAGATGATGACTTTTGAGGAATCAGAAATGCTGGCCCACACAGGTGTATAGATAAATTGACCTTAGTGTTATCTTTCAGTGTTTGAGTGGCAGCTGTTATGGTTTTGTATATGAGTGAAAATAGTTTTTCTATGTATGGAAGAGCTTCTAAGTTCAGAATGAATCGCTAGAAGAAAGTGTCATTAAGAACAAAACGTTTATACTTTTTTTATTTGTTTACCTGTAACTGTACTATTAGTTTGTACAGGAATGTACAATTTATCTTTCCTAGTTGGAATTTAAAAGATCCATCAACAGCAGTCTCATCCAAATTTGGCAATATGTCGTTGTTATAATTGAGATTTGCAGCATTTTTAACGTATTTTATATCGAAAACTTTGTCTTCGTCAGTATAGAGTACCTGCAGAATAGTGATTTTATATTAAGTGACATATAAATCCGAACACCCAGTTTAAATGGTTTTATTTTAACAAAAGTTGGTGAATGTATTTATCTTACTGTAAATAACAAGTGAAACAATTTTCAGCCTTATCAGTTGGACATTCCGGTTTTTATAGTGCTTTTTTTTAATTCACTAACGCTCTAAAAATGAATATTTCAGCCGCAGTAAAGAATCAACGTTGGCGGATTTTGGTTCTTGACATCCTTTACGATCGGTTACGATGCCTAGAGTACGGAGACCTGTACGATTTCGTCAACTTAGTGAGTTTGATAGGGGCCGTATAGTGGGACTTCGGCAAGCTGGACTTTCTTTTCGGGCAATTGCAGTTAGAGTGCAAAGAAGTGTAGACACTGTGGTTAGGTATTGTCAGGCATGGCTTCGAGAAGGCCGAACGCAAAGAGCAAGGGGCACTGGATGCCGCCGTAGAACAACAGACCGTGAAGATCGCCGCCTAAGATTATTTTTCCTTAAGGGACCGTTTCTCCACTACCAGGTCCATTGCAAATGAATGGTTTGCAGAACACGGAAGACCTATTGGCATGCGAAGTGTTTACCGACGAATGAGAAGTTTTGGCTTGTTTTCATACCGGCCACACTAACTCGAGAACACCGACGTAATCGCCTTGAGTGGTGCAGACAACGGTCACTCTGAGATCAGGAATGGAACAGTTTTTTGTTGAAAGACATGTTCATCACACTGTTGGAGTTATGGTTTGGGGTGCTATAGCTTATGGTTCCAGGTCACCTTTAATCTTCATCAGAGGTAACATGAACGCGCAGCGTTATATCCACGAAGTTCTAGAACCCCATCTTTTACCCTATCTTGACACCCTGGCAGATCCAACTTTCCAACAAGATAATGCCCGACCACATGCTGCAAGAGTCACAATAGACTTATTTCAACATAATGATGTCACATTGTTACCATGGCCACCAAGATCTCCCGACTTATCCTTAATTGAGCACGTGTGGGATATGATGGGTAGGAGATTGCTCAATTTGCAACGTCCTCCTCAGACTCTAGAAGCACTTCGAGAGGAGTTGGTGGTTGCCTGGAATGAGATACCACAGGAGGACATTGACCACCTGATCAGAAGCATGCCTCGGCGCGTTGGAGAATGCGTAGCACATCAGGGTGCATCCACATATTATTAAAGGTCAAAGGGCTTTAAAGCAGTGCAATCATTTTGAAATTTTTATCATTGACTTATTATGCTTCATTAAGTACTTTTACAAAGTTTTATTAAAATAAAACCATTTAAACTGGGTGTTCGGATTTATATGTCACTTAGTATATTTATAAATGGTTCATGTAAAGCTGGTCTTAGATAACCGAACAGGTTGGTCAATCTTTCTCAAAAGATTATTTTTTTCTTCTTCTAACTATATTAAACTAATATTCTGATCAGAGTATATTATATCATGAAATGTATGAACCTAATTCTCACAACGGTCATACCTTTGAATACAGAGTGATGTCTGACAAGTGTTCTACGTTGATATTACTAAGGAAAGACCTGAATACAAATCTCTCATTGGCTCTAAATAAAAAGTCCAACTCCAATCCAGACAGTTGTATATGCACTATATCAAAGTCAGAATCACATACAGTGATGTTCAGCTCTCCAAGTCGTGCCGAATGAGAAAATTTAACTGATCCAGGTGGAACTGGTGTATCTATTTTCTTGTGGAGTGTGTTGCAGATTAGTTTCCACGTGTTTCCCAAAGATGTTTTGAGGAATGGGGAAATTTGGTTGCCAAATCTAAAAAAATAAGAGATGAGAAAATAAGATACTAGAATGGATAGTGTTTTTTAATACTATAACGGGTGTTCCGTGAAAATTTTGGCGACCGGTTACTCGAAAAGTTGTACTACTTTTCGAAAACCCCGTATAACAAATACATAGTTGGCATACTTACTTGTTACTGAGATACTTAGAATACTTCAAAATTGTATGAACAGCCTCTTGGTGCAGAAGCAAATTGATAGTTCCTACGTTTGCAACTAATGATGTTTCTACTCCGTGAAAGTGTGTCCAAAACTCTGGACAACTTGCGCTTACCTACAAAGAGAATCTCTGAGGTTATCAACATCACTTTGGATTATCGTGTTATTTGTTCTATGTCCAAATAGGTGACTAGATTTTTAACTTGAGAGCATATCTACATGGTTTAATAAAGGCAGATTACCCTTCTGTAAAGCACTGTAAGCACATCCTGGTTATTGGGCAATGGGCTATGGATAAGGTCCAAATATTGTCCACTTGGCGTTGTATGCAACTTATCGGTCAACAGTATATTGTTTATAGACATTTGGTAAGCAGGTCCATATGTCATAAGTGCAATATCCATCGTAAAAAGTCCTAATCGTACCATCACATATTGCTTATCGGTACTATCGCTAGATCTTGAGAATAGGATGGAAAACTGGAAATAATGAAGAGAAAAGGCATATTTATGCTATGTTGAACGTTTTGTGTTGGATTGTTCGAATCTAGGTCGAATGTTTGACCAAATCCTTACCTCAGTTACGACAAAGCCAAAAAGGACATCTATGGTGTTACTAGGCGATATGTTATCTTCTAAACCTGGTAGATCTACACATCTAGCCCATGCTTCATTCATATTTCCGTAATGCGCTCTAGTTACGGTCCTGAAAGGTGAAGCAGCGTCATGTAGTTTGACGGTCATGTTCAACTTTTCATTTAGTTAAAATGTCGAATAGCTCTCGAAAGATCAAATTAAAAAATTTGCGATCACTAATGTTGGGTTCTAAAATAGAGGCACCGCCGTGTGACAGAAAAAATGTGTAAGTTGTTAGCCACAATTTCAAGCAAGTTTTTGGCACCGGAAATTCTCAAAGGCTTTATCTTTAGATTGTGTGGCTAGGATGATCATAGCATGCCTAATATTTTTGACACTGAATTATAACGCCAACAGCGGAAAGATGCCAGCAATGACTATCAGACCTGGTATTGTCTTCGGAGGCTGAAAATCCTCAGCTATGATCCAATGAGAAAGATTTCTGAAAAAAGCCTAGTAGCCTCTGTACTTTCCAGTCATTCATGTATGCATATTTTCAAATTCCTGATATTTCCAAGTTCAGAAAATTTGTACATAAATGGTGTTGAGAATCTTTATTTTTCAAATGTAAGCCTTGCTAAGAAAACAAAAGTTTTGGGCTCCATAATAGTATTTTTGACTACACTCTAAGCAAAAGTAATAAAAGATGTTAAACTCGTGTTTGTGTAATTTTTTAATATCGTAATATCATCAAGAATTTTTTTGATAACGCCCAAAATTTTCCAGAAGAGATACAAAGCATACAAAAACAAACGTTGGGAGCGATCTGATGCGACGACAAAAACATATATTTGTTATTTGCCCATCTTGGAGCTTTACTTGTAAAAATGCTTATAAGCAAAGTTTTCTGATCTCGGACGATTGTATTAAGACTCACTCTTTCATATTCTTCCTGATTTTTCCATTTTCAACTTTGTATCGTCTATATTTCGTGTGCGTATGTGCGATAGAAATGCCTTTCTGAGTTTTTCTGAGATATGGCACTGTCCATCTCCCTCTCATCCTATCACTGTCATATAACTTTGGTTGTGTTTCCTTGATTACATTTATCTGTATATGATCGCTGTTGAAAAACTTTAACAGGAGGCCTATTTTTCTTTCGGATATATTAAACTTTAGCGTTTGGAAAGTAATGTTGAATTTATATCTGAAAAAAGCTCAGTTTAGTCTTCCGACAGTAATATACAGGTTGTTTCAGTTTATTGTTGCATAAATTTAAGATTCGATAGAACTTTTAAAATTAATGCATAAAGTCTATATAAACATGGGTTGAAAAATGCGTGGCTTCCGAAATACGGGGTGTTTAAATTTACTTTCTAAAATAGTTTTTTTAAATATTTCGAACAATATTTGTTGTATAACAGTGAAAATTGGTATACAAGGGTTTTTTGGTACGACGAAATGAACCATAGTTTTACTGTAGCCGCTAGAGGGCGCTCTCTACTGTACCTGTAGTGTATTAAAATGACCGAAAATTTTTTCTTAGTGAAATTTTTTGCTTTTTGAATAAAAAAACTGATTCTTCGCACTTTTCAACATAAAAAAGCTCTCTTGTGAATTTTCGTTATAGTTGACATTTCGATTTTTAAGGTGCGATGCATTTTTAATTATGTATGATAAAATAACGTTAAAAAGTCAGTATCTCGACAATTTTTAGAAGTAGGCTGTGCCTGCAAATATTTTTGTAATTGAAAGCAGAATAAGATTAAACGTCAATTAATTGACAGTTAGTTTTGTTGTCTGTTGAAACCTGAAACTTTTTTTTGCAATTGTGAATGCACGAAATATAGTTTCTTTTACCTGTTTTTTTTTTGTAAGTTTTATAAAAATGCCATTTTTATTCTCCAATCAAGAGTTAGCGGATATTCATTTTGTGTATGGCTTTATAAATGGAACGCAGCAGAAGCAGCCAGAGAATACGCACGAAGATTTCCAAACAGACGACATCCAACTCGCTCAGTATTTGTAAGAGTGCATCGCCAAATAATTGAAAATGGTTTTGGAAATCTCCAAAGGGATCAAAACATAAATGTTCGTCAGCGCAGATTTACATGTATGGTAACTGCGTGAGTTTGATAGAGATCCGACCACAAGTGTTAGGAGAGTTTCTGGTGCCTTGGGAATTTCAGCAAGCCATGTTCACCGTGTTCTTAGAAATGACCAGGGGACGGAGAACGAAGAATCACATTTTGTCAGTGGATTCTTGATAGAACTGATAATAATAGGGAGTTTTTAAGTAACGTTTTATGGACCGATGAGTCATGCTTCACTAGACCTGGAGTGGTAAATTTTCGTAATCAACATATTTGGTCGCATGAAAATCCGCATGCAGTTCGGGAAAAAAATTTTCAGTGTGATTTTAGTGTGAACGTGTGGATTGGTATCTACCGTAATCGGCTATTTGGACCCTACCTTTTGCCTGCAAGGTTAAATGCTGCGACCTTCTTGGAATTTTTAAAGGCTGAACATGCAAATATGTGGGATGATGTTATGTTAGATTTAAGAACATTGGCCTGGTTCCAGCTTGATGGTTGTCCAGCTCATTATTCGAGAATAGTTAGAAACTGGCTGGACGAAAATTATCCAGAAAGATGGATCGGCCGTGGAGGACCAGTCGCCTGGCCTCCACGATCCCCTGACCTAAATCCATTAGATTTCTTTGTGTGGGGATTTCTAAAAGAAAAAGTGTACCAGACTCCCGTAACCACAAGAGATATGCTAATAGACATAATCAGGAATGCATGTGATGAAATAAGGCCTTATTTGAATAATGCTATACCACGTTCGATCATTCGTAGATGTGAATTGTGTATTGAACAATTGGGTTTACATTTCGAGCAACTACTTTAGATTTTGTATGTTTGTCCTAACTATCCAATAGCATTGTAGTTGTAAGTAATCAATTTAATTTGTTAAAAATAATATTGGAAAATTGAACAAATTAATATTCTGTTTTTTGTGTTTATTCGGAGTTAGGAATTATCGCTGTGTTTAAAAACACAATCTAAACGATCATCTTAATTACTTGTAATGCCCAAATCGAAAATGTAAAAAAATGCATCGAACCTTAAAAATCGAAATATCTCAAAAACGGCTAACTATAACGAAAACTCACAAAAGAGCTTTTTTATGCAGAAACCTGCGAAGAATAAGTTTTTTTATTCAAAAAGCAAAAAATTGCACTAAAAAAATTTTTTCGGTCATTTTAATACACTACAGGTACAGTAGAGAGCGCCCTCTAGCGGCTACAGTAAAACTATGCCCATAGTTCGTTTTGTCGTACCAAAAAACCATTGTATACCAATTTTCACTGTTATACATCAAATATTGTTCGAAATATTTAAAAAAAAACTATTTTAAAAAGTAAATATAAACACCCTGTATTTCGGAAGCCACGCATTTTTCGACCCATGTTTATATAGACTTTATGCATTAATTTTAAAAGTTCTATCGAATCTTAAAGTTATGCAACAATAAACTGAAACACGTTTTTTTTTATTTAACTAGTTGATGTCTTTCTTATTTCTTTCACGATCAACTCACCTAGGTATTGTCTTCAAATTAGCCACGCTGAGTGCAAAAATGGAAGAGAAAGAAGACTTGGACACTACATGCATGTCAGTGTCCTTTTCCTTCCTTGCATCCTTCCAGTTATCACTAGTATCACAGAATAACAGTTGAACATTTGTACAGTTGATAAACAACTTTGAGTACAGCTGCTCCTCCAGTTCCATTTGAGTTGCGTTCTCTGATATATACGTTTGCTGGCATAGCTCAGTTGAAATACTATACCTTCCTAAATCTACTACCAACAAATACTGGGCTCTGGAAATATCGAAAGACATATGAGCACATAAGAATACATTTTTCAAGCAAAAGCTTTAGAAGATGATCTTCTAAACTAGTTAAATGTTTTATATTATTAGCACTATGTGAGGATTTAACTAGCTACTGTACTGTTAGAAATTCATTAAACTATACAAAATCATTCAGAAAATATTTCCACATATGGACATGGTCACAGTGACGATATTTCCTGAGAACAACTCAAGATGATATTTGATATTTTGCAAAATTCCACTTACCTCAAGAATGAGCTAACATCTGGTATGACAAAATATGGTATCTTTATATTCAAATTTATTTCCCATTTTTCTAATAGTTTTTGCTTAACAAATGAACCTAGTTTATTATACACATGTGTGAATTTTTCTAGAGGCCTGTGCTTAGGATAGTCTTCAATGTTCATAAAGAATTCTAATTCATCTATGGAAGGCTAAAAGGAAATAATTATGATGTGTCATCGATATATTTTGTGTGGCGAATAAGGTGTGATAAAACCATTTTGTTAAATATCCATCAATCTAACTCGACACTCTTTATGATAGTATTCCAGCTAACTATAAGTCCATGACTTTGCTTGTTTCCATAAACAAATCTCTACCTTATATTCATATGGTTAAGTGTAAGGATAGATCTAGCTAAATTTCGCCATAATAAATCACTCTTTGTAAATTTATGAATAAAGACTATAACTGAATTCTGGTTACCAAGTATTTACGGACAGTAATATTGAAAGAACATGCCTACAAAATCTTCATCCTAAAGCAATCTCTGTCATGAAGTAGTAAAATCTATGATACTGTCTGCTAAGGACGCATTTCTGTGAGACTGTGGAGGAGGTGATCAAAAAGATCAGGCAGTCAAGCACTTGAATCACCACTGCTCAGAAGTTCTATCATTATTATTATATGCCTAATCTAAAGGAAATTCTGCTGAGTCGTATTACCACCTCTTTCAATAGATCTTCAGTGGCTAATGGTCTGACACTGAGGAACCCCTCTGGCCTGTGGATGACGTACTAGGAGTCCAAGAATGTTTATTCTGTAGCATTTGAGTGACCTTTCTGACCAGGTCTTTTTTTATTATGAAACCCTCCAAATGTCACACAGTATGTTCTCACCAGTACTACACAACCGGTTGCTAGTTTGATGGTATGTGCCTAATGAAGAAACCTTTAACTTGGCGCCCCTATCCCCCGATTTGCCGCATCATACTGTAACGTTCTCGTATAGCTGGGACCTAGGGTGGCGGTGGGAGGCCCTCGCAATGTCGACGCTCAGGCAACCAGAGTTACACAATCGTGCGTAAGCGCCTGTGGCCGTATAGAAGCTTAGGCGTTGGTTCGAGAAGCAACGAGACACAACAAGAAGTATCTACCGTCATCTAGACGACTTTTACGAAAGCTCGATGTCGATAGAGAATTAGATGAAGCGTGCTTCTTGCATTCATCGATGGAAAATACGAGGGATGTCTTTTAAGTTTTGCATATGGAAATAAAACAACACGGTAGGTAGTTTTAAATGACTTTATTGTTTTTCGAGGTATTCTCCACGAAGATTAATAAACATCTGCATGCGCTCGAACCAATTTTCGCACTTATTCCACTCGTTTGCTGGCAGATCCAAAACGGCATTCTTGAATGCGTCAATTGCTTCTTCTGGTGACTGGAACCTTTGACCACGCAGTCTGTTTTTAATTTTCGGGAAAGTAAAGAAATCGTTAGGACTTAGATCGGGACTATATGGAGGATGGTCCAATAATTATACGTTTTCTTCCGTTAAATACTGCCTTGTTTTTTAGGCTGTGTGCGAGCTTGCATTGTCTTGGTGGAGGATGATTCTTCTTTCGCGGTTGATTTTTCGAAGCTCGGTGATGACTTTTGGCAAACAAATGGTGGTATACCAACCCGCAGTAACAGTTCTTTGCTCATTAAGAGGAATTGTTGCAATATGACCCGCATTTGACACAAATGTCGCGACCATCTTTTTCGAAACACTTCGAGAACGGATGACTTTTGTTGGCTTTTCTCCACCTTGGAACACCCAAACAGCCGACTGTCGTTTATTTTCTGGTTCATAACAGTAAATCCACGATTCATCACCACTAACAATGCTGTACACATTTTTTGAGTTTCCGGAATTGAAACGGTCAAGCGTTTTTTGACACCAATTAACCCTGGCTGCTTTCTGCTCTTCAGTCAACACGTGGGGTGTCCAACGAGAAACTAATTTTTTTACTCCTTATTCTTCATGTAAATTTTTTTGAATGGAGGTCTTTGAGATCTTCAAGGACGCCTCAATCTCGCGATATGTCACATGTCTATCTTGAGTGTGCGCAAAACATCGACGTTTTCCTGGGTGACTACCGTTTTTGGTGCACCCACCCTGGGATCGTCGCTAAGACTCAAATGTTCTCGGTTGAGTTCCATTTTTATAATGACTTGGTGACACTTAAAAATTCACTGTAGTGAGAACACTGCACGTTTTGTTGTGAAACTTTGAATTTAAGTTTACTAAAGAGTGAGGTTAAGATTCAGTACTGACGTTCGATCCGCGCGGCCTACTATGTTTCTATATGCAAAACTTAAAAGACATCCCTCGTAAATATACCCGACCAGATGGCGGAACGGTCTGACACAGTCGAGTCAACGGCGAGCGCGGAGTTCACTTGTGATAGTCCAGTCAGCATGGTTATAAATCAGTTACAAGTGCTGTTATAAATGAATGTAAGAGTAATAAATCAGACTTTGACCAGCGAAGCTGTGTTCTCGTAACAATACAAATCAGGCCGCATTCGGGCCGGTAACATCTGTTGGATGTCAGTAATACATCTAATTCTATTGCTTGATACAGATTCCCACATCGTAAGTTAAACGTTTCCGTAACGAGCGTGTGACTATATTTGCTGTTCCTATCAACTGATCTTTCTTGTTGTCTATCATTTCATCGCTGATAAAAAGCCTAAGCCTTAGTCAACCAATAATTTTCGTGGTAACATCAGACTACCATCAGGCGTCAAGTAAACTGACTATGAATTGGTGCTCATTCCAACGGATCAGTACGCCGCAAACAAATAAACGACCTTGTTCACTCGACCTTCTCCTGTATGTATTCTTACCTTGTTGTAAATGTACTCCAGAGAATCCATAGCAAGCGCTAGTTTGTATCTACAAGACGCCGTTTTGGGCATTTTCTCCATTTCCATTTTGAAAAAATATGCTGGACTGTCGCTGAGGTGCTCCGTACTTAATATGGAAATGAGATGATCTTCTTCAGTGGCTGCTTCCAATACAAGACCCTCTATCTTTAGACTACACTTGAAAGTATCTTGCACGGGGTTTGGTTTCAATGAAAGGATCGTTTGCGTCAGAGTTAGGACCATGATTTCTTTGGTGTTGTTGACTAGAGTAAGATTGAAGTTGCCAAGACGGAAGTTGTAATTGTGCTCTAGAAAAGATGGATTTAAGAATGTTATGCGTTGAAATATGCGAATTTTAGAAATGGTTTCTGATTTTTACCAAATTGTATACAGATATGAAAAACACACATAAATGCAATTGGAAACGATAGAGTACCAAGTAGGTTGACTGGTGAGAGAGAAATATCGATCACGGAGGTTGGTAGCATTCAATCAAAAACCTACCTATAGGGGTAGTCTTTGCTTCTTCACCATCTTCTCGAAACCCAATCCTCTCACATATCAATTTCTTTTCTGGTGATGGTAACATTGACCAAAAACTTTTTTCTCCAGTGGATCGTTCTTGCCCCTTAAAAACAATATTATGCCAAATAGCTTACTTTGAAAACCTATGGCATTTGCTTACCATAAGACATGCTTGCTGCCTAGCTATAACGATATTAATAATTGACAGGTGATCCTCATACTTCTGCAAATCCATTTTCAATTCGGTATCGTTAGGATTGTTGAGGATTTGCTTATACGTCTCCCTGTAGTCTTTGTAATGCTGCCTAACTCTCCTGATCCTACTCCAAGTGTAAGGTTTCACCCTTTGCTCCAAAAGGGCATAGGAAGCATACCTCCACCATATTTTCTGATTTTCTACGATTTTTTCCTTTGGCCTGATGTCGAGGAACTGCCAACTAACCATCATTCTATCCATGGAATCGGCAACTGCGTACATCGAGTCATACTGCTCTTTGGTCATCTGCCAATAAAAGAAATGTTGAGGAAAGGTCTAATGTGTGACCAGCTATAGGCAAGTAAAAAATTCGGAGTAGTGAACATACAAATAAACAATAACCATAGTTTATCACTAACGTATCTAGGAAAACTGAAACTAAAAAGTGGCGATCAACAATCTGGTTTATAAATAAATGCTCCGATTAAGCGTCGATCCTGCTGGTTTTGTCAAACGCTTTCTAGTTGTTAAAGAGATATGCCATTCAAAACGCGCACCAGCAATCCGACAAAATCGGGCTTTCAAATATTTATTATAATTCAATACCATTGCTAATCCAACAGTTCCATATTCTTATTGGATAAGACCCAAATTTTTCTGAGTTTCAATTTTTTGAAAGTATATGTGAAAAACATTATTACAGGAATTGCACAAATGTACATTTAGGAGACTTCAATATAAATTTTGACAGTAAAGATTTTTATGTTACAAAATTTAAACAAGTAATAAACTTATATGGATTATGGCAGAAAATAAACCACTATACAAAGATTACGAAAACAAAAATAGATTTGATCATAACTAATGAACAAAATCTAATTGCTTAAGTTAAGCATACCATACAAAGATAAGTGATCACTCATGGATATATTTCGAAGTGGGAAATATGTTCAATGAAAGTAAAATGAAAAAAATTAATTAATTCACATTACGAGAAACACTTTTACAACACAATATACCTGAAATTATCGATAATGCCGACAACTACTTCAAACAAATTATGAATAATGTGGATAAATATACAGGGTGTCCGCAAAGTTGGGGTTTTCCTTTTCAGAAACAACTACCCTTGAAATAACAAAGGTAATGTGTAGTGAAACGAGGGCGACCAAGTAAAAACAAATAAAGGAAAAAGTACTCACTCTGCAGTTGACGAGAAGGGCTAAGTACGTCTCTGCCCGAAATCATACCGCTCCAACAAAAAATGAAATCAGCTGATGAGCTACCGAGCAGACGCAGAAACCACATTGATTGTCTTACACTTAATGGCACATCTTCTAACAAGGAAGGCAAAATGTTGCGTAAAAAGTCTAGGTATTGCGTCCCGTCCAATCGATTTGGGAGAATAAATGGTCCAATGAGCATACCGTTCACCATGCCAGCCCAAACATTCACCGAAAATGTTTGTTGAAAATGTGCCCGACGGACAGCGTGCGGATTTTCTACTGACCAAACATGAGTGTTCCGAAAGTTATTCACCCCATTACGCGTGAACGTAGATTCGTCTGTCACCAATATGCACTTTAAAAGGATTATTGTCATGTTGATGCAACAACCACTCACAAAACCGCACTCTTGCTGGAAAATCGTCAGGTTGAAGGGCTTGTACACGTTGGACGTGAAACGGATACAGGCACCTCTTCACGCAGCGTTTGCCACACTTTAGTTTTTGATACTTGCACTTCTCTAGCCACGTCTCTAGTGCTTGTTGAGGGATTCTCGTCTACGCGATTACCTCTACACGCTTGACCGTAACCGCCGGTTGAAGGTTGCATACTGACCTGACACACTGACCCCGACCCAGTTCTGTCGTCGGGTTGAGCTAGTGTCCTAGTACCATGTGGGGATGTCGCGAGTCGCGGCTACAGGACGGTATTCAGATATTTTTGATGTTGCAGACCCCTTTATCTCGGTTCCCTTAAGACATTGGTGTATATGGTACTAAGAAAAATGCTTATGTTTTCAAGATCTCCACGTCGTGTAAAGGAAAACCCCAACTTTGCGGACACCCTGTATTAGTGAAGATGGTCAAGAAAATAATATATGAAAGAATGAACCCAACACCCTGGTTTGCACAGATACTCAAGGAGTGTAAGTTAAAACGCGATAACGAGTACAGAAAATTTCCAGTAACCCAATGTGGAAATGATTGGAAACAATATACAAAATCAAGAAATGAGTGTGTAGCAGTTCTCAGGAGGGAAAAGAAAAAATACTATGATAAGAAGATCGCTAGTAATAAAAATAATTCTAAAATGATGTGGAAAACATTAAAGAATATTGTTTCTCCTAATAGAAAGACTGTATTATCTAAAATGCGTTTCGAAGATAGGGTAGTGATCGACAAATTAATTATAGCAGAAAGAATGAACACTTATTTTATAGAAAGTGTAAATCAAATAGTGAAGACGATTGATGACGGTGATCCAAACTTATGTCCATTACAAGTATGTCAGAATTCATCCATGAAGCAATTTAGGATAATTAACATCAACAATCTAAGAAAAGCTATCTCAAAATTGAAATCTAATAAAAATCCAAGTGAGAATCTCTCAAAGAATATTCTAAATCATTGTTTCAATATAGTTGGAGCGGAATTATTATAATTGGTGAATCATTGTTTAGTACATGGTGAATTCCCTTCGAAATTAAAGTGTTCCACCATTACTCCTGTGCCAAAAGTTGAAAATTCTCAACTGTATACAAATATTATTAATGTCTTGCCCGATGTCGAGAAGATGTTCGAAGGGATAATATATGAATAAATCATAGAAATCATTGAAGAAACCAAAATTTTGATAAAAAACCAAGCTGGGCTTAGAAAAAAATGTTACACAGAAACGGCAATCCAAATGGTGGTGGAAGACTGGAGAAGAAGTATAGATGAGAAAGAACATATTGTAACAATATTTTTAGTCTTCAAAAGGGCATTTGAGACTATAGATAGGGAAAAATTGTAATGAAATTGCGTCACTATGGCTTTAAAGGATCAGTATTACACATTTTACAAAATTATTTAGTAAATAGAAGTCAAAAAACTAAAGTTGGAAATATTATGTCAAGTGTTCAAAATATATTAGTAGGGATGCCACAGGGGAGTAAATTAGGGCCGTTACTATTTATTATTTATATAAATGATATCTCTGACATTTTAGAACACTGCAAAATTCAAATATTTGCGGACGATACACCTATAATATATATACAGGGTGACTTCGAAGTTGAGTCATTTATTTTAACAGTGAGTAGATCTGATCAAAAGAAATGTTTTTTTCCTTTACCATTTTTCTGGTAAAATTAAAGTAACAAAGTTATAGCCCTTTGGAACTTTGAGTACCGTCCTGTCTCAATAATAATATTATGTACTCGTGTTTGGCGACAACGGATATAGTTCGAACAGCCTAAGGTTATGCCCGCTACGTCATCACTTTATACCCTCTCCCTTGCGTGGATTGTACCCTATAAGAATATAGAAAATTGTTGTGACAGTCTCTGGTAAGATTTATGGACATCTGTTACCGCCCTCTTAATGTGGTCCAGTACTAATCGTGGCGAATATTTATATCGTAGAAAGCTTAAAAATGTATGTGGTCTTCAATGTCCAGAAATTATGTTGCTGTTGACGCTGTTAAGGGACATCCCACTCTCAGAAAGCCATAGGCGGAACGTTTTTTAGTGCAAGTTTCAGTCAGTTGAGATTGTTGACACAATTGGGATCTGATGAGACGTTTCTTCGACTTATTTATTTTTTTATTTATTAACCATATCATATTTTATATTTGATTGTGTTGAAAATTATTAATCTTATGGGGTTTGTGGATATTTGATGGAGATCCATAAATCAAAATTTAAAATAGTGAACAGGTACCTACATATAATAGACACAATATTGAAGGGTAAAACCCCAAAGTTGGCAAACAACTGAAAGAAATTAAATTAATCCTAAGACTGTGATCCGCTTATATCTATACCAATCATGAGATTTCCTAGAGTGCATCATTAGTACCTAGATAAATAGGCTAATACCAATATCAAGCGTAGGTAAACAAAATTAGTAGAAACAAATCTAATAATAACAAGTGTAAAATTGAACTACCTGGAATAATTCCCGGTTGCTAAATCCCTTCGTTCGTAAGTAGCGTTAAGAGGATGAGTGTTAATCAATCACATTTATTTTACCTGCAACAGATATATAAACCTGTCCGTTAGTCATAAGTTCAGTTTGTAAACTAATTTGAACAAGGCACCGTGTGTAAAAATTGTCAAATAGATTGCAATATAGTGGAAATTTTTACTATTGATCAAATTTAAATTATTAATAGTTTTGAACCAGTGATCTAAACAATGTCTGTGAAAGAGATTGGCGTGAAAGGAAAGGCGATTGGGAGTCAAGGAAAGGAAATTATCAACAATGTCAATAATTTCATGGTACAGGAAAGTGTAGAGGGATTAAAGTTTCCACTTCAACAATACCGGTATGTATGAATGTAAAAGATTTTTATAATTATTGTCAATTAAAACTGATTAACCCATTTAGGAAACGTGTGTTAGCTGCCACGGGTATAAGTAAATGTACTTATCAAAAAATAGCTAAAGAGAGCAGAGATGGAATATATTCAAGCAACTTTTCATTTTCATCCCCATCTAAAAAGCGGCAACGAAAATCACCTGTTGTGGATAAAGTGACTGCAGGCCAAATTGAAGAAATCAAAGCAATCATATACGATTTTTATATTTTGGAGAAAAGAAGACCTTCGCTGAAATGTAAGTTTTAAAATTGTAACCGTAGCATCTAGTCATATTTCATTTTAAGATTTTTTTAGGTATTTACCAAAAAATGCAAGATCGACAACTTAATTTTGAGGGTAAAATAACGACTTTGAACAAACTTTTGAAACAAATGGGCTTTAGGTCAGTATTCATACACACTATAAGGTTTTCGATTTACAACGCTATAAATATAATTTATATCTACAGATGGAAAAGAACTACTGATAATAAAAGAGCTCTCATGGAAAAATATGAAATTCGCTTGAAGCGAATCGAATATCTGAAGCAAATTATGAAATATAGAGCTGAGAACAGGAACATAATTTATACGGATGAAACATATATACATTCTAGTCATACCCCAAAAAAAGGATGGTCAGATGACAATTATGACAAGGAACTAAAAACGCCTTTATCAAAAGGACAACGAATGATTATTGTGCATGCTGGTGGAGAATTCGGCTTTATTCCTAACGCCTTGTTGATATTCAAATCAGGTATTATTTGTGTTACAATGATGTAAAATATTTCCAATATATTTTTACATTTACTGGATTATATGTATGTATTTTATTTTCAGGCTCAAAATCTGGGGACTACCACAACGACATGAATCATTTGAACTTCATGAAATGGGTAGAAAGCCAATTGATCCCAAATTTGCCTGAAAATTCTGTGCTTGTAGTTGACAACGCTTCTTATCACAATGTCCTGGAAGAAAAAAATGTAACGTCTTCTAGCCTGAAATCAGAGATGATTGACTGGCTAGAAAAACATCAAATTCCTAGTGAAAAGTCATTGACTAAGGCCGAACTATATAAAAAAATACAGGAAAATAAAAGAAGATTTCCAGTCAAATACAAGCTAGATGCCTTAATGGAACAGCACGGGCATAAAGTTTTACGACTGCCTCCATATCATCCGGAGCTAAACCCAATCGAGAAGATTTGGGCTCTCGTAAAAAACTGGGTTGCTCCACGAAATGTGACATTTAGGTTGTCTGATGTGGAGCATCTGACCCGTAGCAGGTTTGAAGAAATTGGAGCAGATGAGTGGAAGAAAATTTGTAACCACGTGAAAAAATATGAGCAAGCACAAATGGAAAAAGAACATCTTCTCGACGATCAAATGGATACGTATCAATTCAATGTGAACACAGAGTCATCATCAGAAGATAGTGACGAAAGCGACTCAGATGAAGATTTGAAGCTAAACACACTATCATCTGATAGCGATTAGATTTTTTAATGATAATATATAATTTGAATTATAACCGTCTTTAGTTTGCTCCCTCTTCTAATTCAAATTTGCTTCCGAACAACTTAATGCGCATACTAAATGAATATAATAATACAAAAATCAATTAATGATCAATGTCTACACAACCTATTCACTTTATTTTATACTTCAAATAAAATAGAACGCCACTGCGCTCTGTCGACGACCGCGTGATGAGCGGACCCGCCCACGATGACGTAGCGGTCATATACTAAGAGCGTTCGAACCATATAATCCGCCGTATCGGTTCATCGCATCGGAAACAAAAAAGCGAAAGAATTTGGAACGTTGTTTTTACAAGTATTTCATTCATTTGTATACAGTCAGTGTCAGTGAATAGTGGTATCTGTTGCGTGGCTCAAACGAAATAAAAAATGGCACATGTTTATGCGGATCGGTTTCCCAATCGAGTGCAACCAACCCCTAGTGCCTTTGTCAATGTAGTACAACGGGCTCGTGAATCAGGTGACTTAAGACCTCACAGGGGACCTCACGATCAAATACAGGTCCGCACTGAAATACTTGTCGGGAGGATACTTTATAAAACAAGGTAAAAATTTTTTTTTAATTTTTTTTTATTTTTACACACAATTTTGGTTTATCTTCCTTCTACAATCATTATCTGAAAATTAATGACTCAACTTCAAAGTCACCCTGTATATATATATATATATATATAGCACATAAGCATTTGGACACTGCTTTAGAACTGTTAAATAGTGATATTGAAAAAATTACGAATTGGTTAAATGTCAATAAACTTAAATTAAATACTAATAAAACAAAATGTATGTCAATAGGGAAACATTTAGGTGACAATACAATTAGGCTCATGATTAATGATGAAAAAATTGAAGTAGTCGAGTCATTTAAATATCTTGGTATATAGATATGTGGATAGTAAGCTACTGTTTCACGAACATCATGAATACATTATTTCAAAAATATCGAAAAAGATAAGAGTTTCCCATAATCCTAGTATATATTCCAAAAAAACTGTGTATAACACTATAATTCTTCCCCATTTTTTTATATTGTTCAACCCTCTTGTTTACAACAAATGAAAACATATTTTCAAAATTACAAGTTCTTCAAAATAAAGCTATGAGAATCATTTTAAATAAAAATAAATATACTAGGATTAAGTCTATATTAGAAGAACTGCAGTGGTTGGATGTGAAAAATTTCATATATTATTTAGTTCATATTCAAATTAAAAACCACCACGTTTAGAGAACTTCACAAAATTAAATAGTGATTATCATAACTACGAAACTAGAGGCAGTATAGATTTTAATTTTAATTTTACTTTTAATTTTAATAGAAAAGAATGTAAAATTACAGAAAATGGATTGAAGAAAAATATGTAACCGAATCATTATACAAAATTGACATTGTAGCATTAATGCTAAATAAATCTTCAACAAGAACAACCCAAAACCCCCCTTCAATACGCCCTGCACTATGCTTATGCAGCGCGATGGTAGAGGCTGTGTATAGCTCACGATAAACTTATAGTGTTTGTTTACACCTTTTCTGCTTCTCTCAGGTACCGACAAGTATAGTAGTAGTCCAAGTAATTATGAAAGCTGGATTATCTATATATAATTATACATTTGAGCAAAGTCCAATAACGTAAAAATACCTAATAGTACCATAAAATTCCTTTAGGTGTAGAGAATCATAAATAAATCGCATTCTTTCGATACAACAAATTCACACAAATTGGCTGTGATATAAATGAACGGACTTGAAGCCGCTAGCCCCTACCTCCCTCCCGCGTCTCGCACCTCCACAAGCTAGCAGGTGCGTCCACACGATAAACGGAGAAGACGCCTTCTCGGTTTTGTAAGTTTTTAACGACCGCCGATAAGCAATGTAGACACTATAGCTTGGTCGTAAACTATGTATATGTACTAACCGAGAGGGCGTGAGATGTGCAGTTTCGAATCCGGTAGTTGCAACCCTTGCCCAGGGACAAACAAATAGGGACAGTTCTTTTCGGTCTTGTTGTCCATCAGTGAAGGTAAATATGTTACCGGTAGGTCACAGATAACACCTATACATGTATTCAGGGCTAGGGATTTAAGTGGTCGTAAAACTTATCGTTCAGATTTGAATAGTAGCAATCGTATCTAGGCGGTATCAAGGAGCCTGAGGGCTGGAAAGCGGGCCTTTACATCTGGAAAACCTATTCATTCACTTTACGGTCCCGTACATTGATAAGTTCTATTTACGTACCTGTATATTGCAATCTTGAACTATAAGATCAGTATGAAGCTTGGACACACTCCCACTCTCCGATTTAGTAATCACCATCTTGATTTTGGTTATGAGCGGATTCAAAACTGCAAAATAGCAACAAGAAATTTAAGAATATATAAAAAAAATTTGCTCACGTGCTTACCAAAATTGAAATTATCACCATTGATATTGTAGTTTTGAAGACTGGACGACATAGCGTTTCGCCATTGGTAATACTGTGATGGTAAGTCCCATTTGTTGATGGTAGCATTGCAGTTCCAGTAGACAGAAAATGCTTCCATTTTTACAAGGTAGTAGCTTGTTTCAGCTTGGCGATCAAACCGTGTTGGTTTCCATTTGCTATAAATTTTTTTGATTGTATAAACTGAGCTTTCATGTATTACTGAATTAGAATTACATATATTAGAGCTTATATTGTACAGTGTGCGAAAATTAATAGTTTGTCATTTTTTAGCCTACCAAGCCATGTCAAAAATTGTTTAAAAATAAATTGAGCCTGAAATCGAATGCGTATCTCATAGAGAAATGTGTAAACGTTAATTTAGCCATTTGGTAATCTTAAAAATAATAAATTTCAACCAGAACAGCAATTTTTAGGCTTTTTCAGATATTAAATCACAAATAACCTGAAAACGATCAACTTTACAGGTAAGCTACTAGGAACTTTTTCCCTCAAAATGACCCGAAAAACTCTTTGGAGCGAAAAAAACATTTTTCATAATTTGTTGAAAAAGCTCTTGATGAATCTTGATGCTCCTTAACAAGAATGTTAGCGACGTTAGCGGAAAACAAAGAACAAAGTTTAAAAAATGCATTGAGCAAGTTTGTTTAGCTTCTTCGGGTCATTTTGAACAAACAAGATTTCTGTTAACATTTCTGTAAAGTCAACCACTTCCAATGCTCAAAAACTCGGTTAAAAATCAGTAGCTTTATCAAATAGAATCTGTATTGCAGCTGAGTTGAGGAGGGTCGTAGGACCGCTGCCCTATTGTCCTACTCTGGTTGTGTTTATCTAAATATGTTACAGGTTGGTTATCCATCACCAATTTCAAAACGAGCCGCTCTGTATAATGAAATATATGTCTAAATCATGCTCCTTCACATACAATGGAGGAAATATTATCTAGGAGCAATATTCCACGACTAGAAGGCGTCTATCTGGAGTGTACAATACTGATTAAAATTTGTTAATGTTTGTGTTACAAAAGATCAACCCTCGCTTTCAGGAACACAAAACTCGTGGATTAGGGAGATATGGTTATTGTCCTGACACTGTATTTCAAAGGGGTAGAGCGTGAGATTATTATACAGCGTGTTCTTAAATAAAGTAAAAAGTTTTCATTTTCTTCGCCACTGTAGATAAACGGTATCAATGGCGATTTAAAAAAAAAATGAACCTAAAACAGAAATACTATAAATTTCTGTACAATGTGGCGAAAAACACTTTGAATTGGTATGGGAATGAAAAAAGTTATAAAAGGAAAGAAGAAAGTTGGTGGTAAAATGTCCATTTGCCTTTAAAACTTCAACCTCTGTATAGGTTGACGTGAATGAAAAACCAGATTATAGAGAAAATACGGTCTAGATAATGAAAAGCATTGCGGTCTAATTGGCAACTGGAGTAGATTCATAGCTGGAGCAATGAATCATTTTGATTTACCCCCCGTACAAGTCAAACCGTGACTACAATCAAGAACTTATATTTACACATTAATATCAATGAGTGTACCTACCGCCTGCCGAAAAAGTCGATAAAATCGAGTTAAAAATAAAAAAGTTATGACGGATATATGGTTTATCCTACTTATTTTCATTAGTTTGGCCAAAAACTTAAAGTTCGGATGTCATTTATTCATATGTAGTATAAGAGTTCGAACCAGTTTGCATTTGGTTTGCATCTAGCCGCCTATGCCATCTGGTACAGGGGTGGAATACATATGATTAAAGACAAAAAAACTGTTTGACTAAAGTAACAAAAATAAGTTTAACATACCTAAAAACAACATGGGACTACCATTTTCACTGAAAATATACAGGGTGTTCAACTTAAAAGAACATCTTTATTCAATAGCACTTTTCTGGGGCATACACGAAAAACCTCATGTTAGCTTTATATAAAACGTTTTTTTTAGAAGATCGTATAAAAAAGTTAGAGGGGGCAGGGGGGTAAATTTATAGCCGGACACCCTGTACATGGTTTCCAAAAGATGTTATCATAAATAATTTCCTACAGATTCGAGTAAAATTGATACTTTTTGAACGCCCTGAGCAATAATAGGACAGGCGCGATATTTTTAGTTAATTTTTAAGGTAATGGTAGCCGGTACCGGCTCGCCATAGCCGCCAGTACGTAAATCCTCATTTAGGGCTATTATTTGCGACTAATGGTTTTATTTTGAGTCAGATGGGTCTCGCAAGCGTCTTGACCCACCAGGATACGGGGTCGGGTTACCGTCGTTAGTGGAGAGGTGGAGGGGTGGAGTCTGATTGAATAGCGAATAGTAACAGAATATTCGTGACATCCCATCAGGCAGCAGCGGTGGCCGCAGTAGTAGACTCTTCGGTCTCCTGATCAGTCGCCGTGCACTGCGCGGGTTCGAATCCCTTCCCAGGAGAAATTTTTGTCTTGGCTATGAATGTTGTGATTGTTAGTAGGTGGTAGACGGTCTCTGACTATCGAACTCGGGGGTACTACCCGGCGGATCTCGTAGGCGGAGCCAGAATGTGTGCATGTTGCATGCACACGTGTTCCCTCGCCAGAGTCCGTGTGGCGTTCCCCCTTTCCCATGTATCCCCCTATAGCCTCACGGTACCCAATGGGTGCTTAGGCCTTAGGCCTTCCTGGTAGTTGGAGTATAAATAAAAAAAAGAGAACAAATTTTTTGTTCAGTACCGATGAGATGACAGAAATGTTGGAAACTTGTGTTCTTGCAAAACTTCGAATAATACTGTAATAAAAATTGCCTGATTTTTTATCTGATTCTGCATATTTAGCTCATTTAATGTACAATAGTGAGAATTTTTAAGATTTGCCCCTCTACCTGAGAAAATTTGCTACCTCTCGTTATACAAAAAGTTCTCCGTAATATACAAAAAGTCGCCACTTAATCTGCTTCCTGGGAAAAATTCCTACGGGCGCTCATGGTTCTGATATATGTATACTATCGTGAAGTAAGTTAGTGATTTTGGGGAAAGCTACTCCAGCAATAATATTTAGTGATTGATTTGTTTTTCAGCAAAAATGTTTTTCGGCTTTATATTTACCGTACAGATAAACTAATCTACGATCACGCACGCAGTAAGTTCAAGGTGTCCGAGTCAGTTTTATCTATGCCTCATATAACATATTTTTCGTGATTGAAAAATCGCAATATTTATTCTTTATTATCAATAATCCATATTCAGAACGTCTTTTGAGAACATTAAATAGATTTGGGCATGTCTAACAAATCTCTGAACATTTAAATACTTTTGTTACACTTACCCGTTTGTAGACTCTGCGGTAATGTTGCTAATACATAATCCAGCCGCTATTGGTGTCTTCCAGCTGTTAGTATCCTCGTACCTTATATGGACGTTGGTTATAGTCAGCTGTACAAAGTTTAGCATATTTGATACCAGATGCTCTATGAACGCTGATGGTCCACCTTAAAAAGAATACTATGCATTGTAGGGGCTAGCTACATATACCTCTTTTTACATCAATTAGTTTTTTTTGTGGACATGTGGTATTGAAATATCTTACGAATCATTTCGTAATCTAATCATTTCATTTAAAGCTTCACTGATGCATGGGGTTTTTCCTGTTAACGTAGAGCAATCAAGTTCTTCAATCCGAATACGTCTAAAGGGCTTACACGACTAAGTGCTACATAAGCTTGTCCAGCAGCAAACAGTTGCGAGCTTAGATAAATGACTGCATTATCGACTGTACAACCTTGCAAGCGTGTTTAAAAAAGAAGGAATGAAAGAATGCTTCTGACGGTTTTATCATAAGACCAGCCTTTTTAGCAAGATGATCATGGCTTTCTTTCTTTACATGTGTCACGTTTTCTCGTCCTAGAACTCCAAACTCTGTATTTGTAACCTGTACCACCCAATCATCTGTTGAAGGTATTCTATTGGACAAACATTAGGTACCCTCAAATTAGTATTACTACTTCGTGCTTACCTAAAAGTTGAGCATCAGCCTCAAGTTCCTCGAGAACCTTTCTCTTGGCCGCTCTTGTAAGTCTTTTATTTTTCTCCGCATCAAATGGTTCATTGGTGACAACAGGTCCCACCACCATATGCAAATCTTCTATGTTTATAACGATGGGGCTGCACCATAGAGACGTCCAAGGGATTTGAAGCCATACCTTTCCTATGGTTCCTGCCTTCACTTCAATGGGCAAATTTAGTTCATACTGAAAGAGGATTTAGAGGTTTTATGTCCAAGCAGGCGTGAAGTCTGTGAACCAAACATGATTCTTTGATCTGCCCGACCAAAGGTCTAGGCATAACGTACGAAAGCATCGCAACTATCCTCTATTTGGTTGATATTTTCAAATTTGTACTTTAGCAAAAGCAACGCTACTCAATTATTATCCAAAGCAACTTGATTATTATGTTATAAAAATGTTTGATCATCATGGTAGAAATAATGTATTGGAACTTTTAAAAACAAATATCTCGTAAACTATTAGTTTTAGACACGACTAACAAGTTACCCTTTTTTGTTGTGGAAATACGAGTAAATAAGATTTTTGGGTCAGTTGTTATACATTGTAGCACCAAAAAGGTATGATTAGTTATTTACCGAAATAGTGGCGTCCTTTAGAAGTTTGGCCATGAAAAATAACGGATTCTTATTTCTCATACTAGGAAACCTCCCTATACCGAGTTTTATGCCCAAGTCTGAAATACTTCCGCAATAAATTGTAACTTTGACACCCTGTATCTCGCAAGCTATCAACCTTTGGACTGGGGTATGTTTAGGTACATTCACATATTTTGGTCTGTAGTATCTCCAGTTTCGAGCTTTCCCAACATTTCGCATGGATAGGAAGAAGCTTTAAATCAATGGACGATCTCCGCGAATTGTGTACATAGAGATGTCAAAGCTTCATTAAAAGTAGGTTGCAGAAATAAATTCGTATATTCTTAAAAGGCATTCTCCATTTTCAATTCCGATAAATCAGTTTTCCGTTTCCGCTTAACCGTAATCGCATTACCTCGAGAAGTACTTACCAAGGCCTCCGGCTTTAATTTGAGATCCGTCAGCTGGACTTGTCCGGAAAATATCCCGACGTTGAGGTTTTCCGTGTCAAGGTCAACCACGTATTTCCCCAGCAGCTGGTTGAGGAGTCTTGCCACGGCGCCCTCCAACATCTATGAATAAGATATTGCGTTTTCACAAGAGAAAATCAATCTCTCCATTAACAATAGAGAACTGTAAAGCTTTAATGAGATGAACCTTCTTTCCTCTTCTTACTGAGGAGTTGAGAAAGGTGTTAAACATGTGGAATGTGTGATACTTCTCGTTCTATCAATTGTTTGGAACCTATCAACAGACAATCAAATGCAATTTAATAATACAAGATGCTGGATCGCGGTGATGAATATACACTGCCACACAAAATTAATCGGACAAATAAAACTTTGTTCAAATTAAATTTGAAATAACTTTTTAACCGTTATATCAATTTCGTTAATTTTTTCATTAAGTTGTGGGTAACTTCGTTGTCATCATTATCGACTGCCGGTCTTGCAAAAAATTTAAAATATTTGTTGTTATATTGGGTGTAACTATAAGGTGCATTTTACCCTAAATCTCTGAACATCCTGTGGAGACATTGGATTCCTGAATAATGTGTCTTCGTTTGAGAATTTTAAGCCTCAACTTTTCTCAACAGTTCTTTTTTCGATTCATCTCAATATCTCAATTATTGAAGAATATATGCTGTTTTGAAGAAAATCATTCAAAAACAATTTATTTTAAAAAATACAGTGACAACATTGGTAAGAAAACTATGCGAATCACAACCATACGCAATTAACTTAAAAATTGCAGTGACATTATTGGAAATTGCTATCAAAAACGAGTATTTCCTCCCCGGGCTTGAATAACAGCTCTCATCCTCTCTGGCATAGACTCAAATAAACCAACTATTGTGTCTTGCTCCCACTCGTTTACCAACGCAGCGACAGTTTGAAATTCACCATAGTTGTGCCTAAGCCTTCTTCTTAATGTATCCCACATGTGCTCAATGGGGTTGAGATCCGGACTCCTTGGCGGTCAGTCTAGTACTTGAATTCCAACGTCGTTGAGTCATTCTGACTATATGAGGCCGAGAATTATCTTACATTAGGAGAACATTTTCTTCTATAAAGGGCATATGAGGAACCACATGTTCTTCCAAACACTCTCTAATGTAGGGGAAAAAGGGGCAATGAGAGTCAGAGGGCAATGGTGGTCAGCTTTCTAATTCCTAGAAGACAGTAGCTAAACAAACGAATATCGTCTATAAAGACTCGATAAGTGACGACTCGCGGCCCCCCCGCTCGCTCGTTCAGAACGCGTCCATCGTTTGCACGGGAAGGCCGTTGCGCAGTTTCGCGCTCATTTGATGTATACGTGTGCACAAAATAGGTGGTAAGTACATCAATACATAAAATTTAAATATTCAGAGTAGATTATTGAGTGTGTTTAAGCTTATATTATCGATTTAAAAAACATTTCTGGTATTTAGCAGAGCTTTCCCATGGTACCCGAGCTCCATTCACTTAAACCTCAGACGGGGCGCCGCTACGTTTTTTAGTAAAATAGATTGCCTGCGTTTTCGAATGATTGATTTTGATCAGCCACCGATTCGCCCATTCCAATACCTCGTCCACTGCACTTTGCAGCCTGTCGTGAACTAGATCCCCAGAGCACGACTGGGCCACAAGGGCAGTGTCATCAGCATAGATATAGGTTTCACAGTTACTGGGACAAGGGACGTCATGAATAAAAAGTGAATAAAGGACTGCTCCAAGAACCGAACTCTGAGGGACACCGGCTTTGATGGGCCGTGTTGTCGACAGAACGTTATTAATTTTGATCCGAAATTTCCTACCCTCGAGGAAGGATTTCAAAAGTTTCAGGAGCCAGAAGGGGAAGCCCTTATGGATCAATTTGTAGAGAAAGCCCTTATGCCACACCTTGTCAAATGCCTTTGAGACATCCAGAAGCAAGATGCCAGTTACTGGTAAACCCCCTGGTTACTCGTTCAACAAGCCTTATGGCCTGTAGCTCCGTACTATGCTCAGACCGAAAGCCAAATTGCACGTCAGGAATCACCTTGTAGTCTGAGAAATTTTCAAGGTGACGTAGAATCACCTTTTTAGCGAGCTTAGAAGGAGCTGACAGTAGACTAATGAGGCGGTAATCCTGGGGGAATATCGAACCACCTTCTTTGGAATCATTATGATATCAGCGGTCTTCCACGCCATTGGGAAGTGCTGGGTCCTTAGCATGGCATTGATTATTGCCACGAGATAAGTTAAGGACTTCCGCGAAAGTAGCCTCAGCGCCTTATTAGTGATTCGATCCTCTCCAGGTGCTCTACGCACCTTGGAACTCTGCTGGTGTGCAATGCGGAGTCTCAGGCAGGAGATTCCGCTGATGTGCGGTGCAGCTCTTCAGTTGAGGAATCTTCTGAAGATCCTCTGAGGAAAAATCACTAAGGGAGGCACTATTGCCGATGTCGCCGTTGGCCCTAAAATATCTCCTGATGGATCTTACAATATGTTGCTCCTCATCGAGGTCATTATCAAGGTCATAGTTGAGAGAGAACTGACTTTCCATTGCATCAGCGAAAACCTCGACCTTTTCTTCTGTCCTACAGACTATGCCTCTAGGACCGTGGATGTGCGGGAGTTGTTCTCGCTTTCCGTTTCTGAGCGACTTTGCAACGTTCCAGAGAGGAATACTTGAGTCAAGCATCCCCGACAGAAAGTCGCTCCATTGCTCATTACGGAATTCATGAAGAGCATTTCTCACTTCATGAACAAGATTCAGTGCTCTGTGAATGTCATCTGGGTGAGAATTCACACTATTAGGGTACTGACAGACGGTAAATCAGTTCTTCGAACAGAAACCACATTGATTATTTTCAGAACCATACGAAACACCGTATCATTTTTTTAAACAGGTCTATCCAAACACTTTATAAGATAAGAATTGATATGGAGCTCGATAATGGAATGCTTTGTTACCTCGGTAAGCTAGAGATATGTGCCTCATTTTCTTCATGTACAAGGATGCAGTGTCAATGGTTTAGCTTTTTCTTTTAGAGAGTATTTATAATCCTGTATGCAATAAATATATGCAGTATATTTCGACAGGATCCACCCAAACATACTACAAAGTGTAGGGCCATTTAGAAAATATTTCACTCCAAATACGTTGTATAATGATCGGTTAATTTTCTTTGTTTTTATGGAAGTCATTCTAAGCTTACCACCAAGGTCGTATGTGTTGTGATCACTTTATTTTTACTATACAAATAAAAAATGCTATGAAGTTAAATCCTGTTACTTTCAAAGGTGATATTCTGATATGATAATGATAATGATAATATGATTAGGTTTATTGGGCTGGACGCAAAGCTGAATCTTGTTTTCATATACTATGAACGGAGGATGACAAACACGTGTATTACGGATACGAAAAAATAATTGATAGAAATAACTGTCCATTCACAGCGATTCTTTCCAGGCTTAAGGGGGACAAGTAAGTTACGATACTAGAGCATGGAGAAAGAGAAATTGACATCATATGTCATGCATAACTTACAAACTCAAAGTCATTTTAATACCTTTGATACATAAGGATTACGTATAATTTAATATTTTCTCTTCTCTTTGAATTCATTAGCAAGGACAATGTAAAGATTAATACTTTCTATAAGGTTATCGTTACTTTCAGTAAATTCATTTGTAACATTGAAATAATATAAGTAAACATATTTTTTTTATTGTGCATAACAAAATATTAATTTTTTAATATTATGATTATTATTATCATTATTATTATTATCATTGTTATTGAGACTGCTTGATTACTGTTTTATAACTTTATTAATCTTTTTGTGGAAAATTCAAGATAATCATACCACCTCTCTGTAAGGGAAATGCAACCGATAATTTCTTAAATTATTTTAGCAAAAACATGAGCTGATTAGATAGCAATATTAGACATAACAGTGAAACGACCGCTTTGTTGATATCAAAGTATCGAGAGCAGATACATATAATCACATATCTGAGTGCGTTTACTTCATCCAAACAATTGCTACTTATAAATAATTTATCTCACTAAAATTATTCAAAATCAGTATCAAGATATTGTAAATCACTCTGCATGAATCCATCAATTTTGTAGTACACGTATTAGCATTATACACGGTGTAGCATTAAATATTTTTAAGCAATATGATTGCTAGGTGATGCAAAACGCTCTATTAAATCCAAAACTAAACAGTTCAGTTTTCAAACCAACATAGTCCAGCATTATGAAACACTATAATTTGAAGTGAATATCAGTATCGTTATCAGGTTTTAACTAATCCCCTATTACAGATTTTAAAATTTCCGACTGGTAAATCTTTACTTTTTTATTTTGAGCCTATAATTAATATAAACTAATATGCGAAACAGATGAGGAAAGCGCACTGAATCAACTTGGAGTTCAACTAAAACAAAAAGCTGCTAAAATGACCTTGAAATCGTTATTTTATATGCATTGCAGTCGACAACTGAAAGTCTGAAAGCTTTTTATAATGATAACGCTAGTTTGACAAAAATTGTTATAAACTATTTGCGACGAATTATTAAAGCATGAAACGACACAAATGTCGTTAACGTTGCATATTAATGATGATACAATATTCAACACTCTGCATAGATTTGATTAATAGATGGGATCTCAAGGCTATTAGTATCCCCCAAATACGTCACCAGACATCAGATTTAAACAAATCAGCTGCTGTGATATTTCCAAAATGTTATCAGATTTACAAGCTCAGATTCTCCTGCATCTACCACAAACAAATGTATCACAATGTGTTACTCACTGTGCGAGATTAGTTAACAGCTTTGCCGCAGTTTATCGTCGGATTTCCACGCACCGGACCATCTTCACTGAGTTTTCCACGTAGTCATCCGGCTTTCCGGATCCCTATTGATTTTCCCCAGAGTTATGGTGCCTCCGCGCAGTTAGGTGGTGAAGTTCAACTCCGCATGGCGCCAACATTTGAATCGACGCGGGAGTTATAAGTTGTGCAAGCTGATGTTTGCTGCAGTGCTGTTATTGAAAGATGTCTGATTTTTTTTGATTAATGACAGGAGGGGGAGTTTTTCTAGCTACTAAAGTAGTTGAAATTGAAAAAGGAAGTGAATGTATTACATCGGTAGCTTAACAGAAAATTTGGATTTTACTTCCTACGCCACTGGTGAGGTAGTATCGTTATCACCAGAAATTTCGAAAATTAAATATTATGTTTTTGGATGTTATATGACATGTATAAATCACAAAAAGCCATGTCTCTCATTTCCGTCTCTTTGTCTGTCTGTCCGCTGATACTTGACCCATCTATAACTTGGAAAAGCTTAGAGTGACAGGAATATTTTCAACACACGCGTATACGTATCTGCGTCGCGGACTACTCGATGCGATCAGTGGCCGCCGGGCAGCGTTGCCAGATTCTTCGTGAGAAAACCGAACAAGCGCATCGAAATTTTTGTACACAGTGGTGTGGCGTGGACTAATCTGTTTAGAAGGGAAGCAGTGGTGGTCCCAGAATCCGTGTTCATGAGGTGCGAACGTGAACGGAGAACGAGTTCATTTGATTCATTGGATTGAGATGTTGAAAACCAGACTTTTTAGGATACATGTTTCTGTGAACTTTTCTATCCGAATTTTTAGTAATACGCCCTTGTAATTATGACCTATCATTAAGTAATATGATGTAGTAAGGTCAAGATTCGGTTTTTAGTCCAGGAAGCAGTTGACTTCTAGATATGTAACTTCGCCAGATTTTGGTAACTTGTATTTTTTGCAGCCGTTCATCACATTTTGTCATCTGCTTCCAATAATTGATTACTCATACATGAATGTCTGGGCTCATATTTTTAATACGATTGAGTAGTACTGAACCACTCTGCTACGTGTTAAATAATGCTAGTGCAAAGCGAGTTCGACTTTGATTTGTACAGTCGGATTGGAATCACAACATTATGTGCATCTGTTTGCAGCAGACTTTGCACAATAAATGTTCATACAGTGTTAATAAGGTAAATTAAGGTAAAAGTTCTTATAAGTAGAAGTCCGGAAATACTCCGCTTTAAAGATATAGGGTGTACGTTTCTTTGAAAGTGTTTTCGATTAAAGTACCAACCACTTAATAATTTTGTTAAAAGCGATGAAAAATAGCAGTACCGATGTATTGTCGTAAAATTGGACAAAATTGTTCAGGAAAATGCTTCAAGACTACAAATTCTCATAGCCGAATTCAAATATGCTAGCTTTTACTTCCTACGAACTTGAAAAACAATTTTTCGAGCAACTTATAATTAACTTAAGTAACAGCTATCCGTCTTGAAAGTTAACTTGCGATAGGAAACCGGCACAGGTATCATGTAAAAAACCTATAAGATGTCAACTTGCAGAATAGGTAGTTTTTAGGGCGCAAACAGTCATTCCTATGGAGGAATCACTCAACTAAACTACACGCATTCTTGGTTGCATAGTTTTGTGAGGCTGAGTGATCCCTTCCCTGTCTGTAGTTTTTATCTCTGAGAAGAAACCTGGTTGAATGGCAAAATCGCATATGGATGATTATATGTATTGGTCTGCATGTGTATAAAATCAGTGATATTTTTGTGTGAGAAAATCATCACTGAATGTGCTGAATATGACTGGTTATTTATATGTTGTGCTTTCTGACGAGAGGTTATGTTCAAAGTTACAAATTACGAAAAACTGAGGAGAATTACGGGAAATCATCACCGCGCCCGCGTTGTGTATAATTACTGTTAGCATGTATATGGCTTGTACTTTGACAGTGTACAGTGAATATAATTATGTCTGATCTCTCTCGCTTTTGAAATTCAGCAAATTTGTATATGTAATTTCCAGTATAAGAAAAAGTGTCTGCGCAACTAATTTCTAGCTTTGAATCTCGATTAAGTGTATTTGAGACAAGAATCCAATGGAATTATCATCAACAAATACAGCTTACAGCTTAGACCTCCAGTAATAATGATAATAATGATAATTTATTAGTCCTGTATCATCACAGATGTGATATAGGATAAGTAAGTCAGAGCACTACAAAACCTAATAACAAATCATGTTAGTGTGGACGCACACATATTCGTACCACATATGGCATATTCCAAATATGGATACAGATGATCAAATTAGCTTATTGATAAAATTTATAAATATAAAACATATATGTATATATAAGAAAGCGAAATAAAGGACAAACCATTAAGTGACATTCAAACAACAATGATCAAAATCAAACAAGACATTCACACATTAAAAATTCCTCAATAGAGTAAAAAGCTGTCTCCAGTAAAAACTGTTTGACTGTTCTTTTAAAAGTGTTCAGTGGTTGTGATTTCAAATTGTTGGGGAGTCTGTTGAAAAACTTAATAGCCATGTATCTAGGGCTCTCCTCCGTTCTCGCCAATCTATGCGACGGCACCTCCAATACTTGACTATTCCTTGTAAAATAAGCACCAGTGCTTACAGAATTGAACTTGCTCAATTGTGTTTTAGCAAGGATAAGTATATTGAGTATATATACAGATGGTAAGGTTAAAATCTTCAATGTTCTAAATGAATCCTTGCAGCTAGTGCTCCTTCCAATTTTAGCTATTATTCGAACAGCCTTTTTTTGCACACAAAAAGTCTTTGCAGCTGGGACGATGCTCCCCATGCTTCTATTCCATAAATTAGGACTGAATGGATATGTGCATGGTAAAATATCAGTAATATCCACTTCTCCACAACAAAACTTAACTGGTACAGACAGTAACAGAGTGGGGCAATCTTTTGGCTACTTTTCTCAATGTGCGTATCCCATCTACTATTTTGAGCTATATGTACTAAGTGACATATAAATCCGAACACCCAGTTTAAATGGTTTTATTTTAATAAAATTTTGTATAAGTACTTAATGAAGCATAATAAGTAAATGATAAAAATTTCAAAATGATTGAACTGCTTTAAAGCCCTTTAACCTTTAATAATGTGTGGAAGCACCCTGATGTGCTACGCATTCTCTAACGCGCCTAGGCATGCTTCTGATCAGGTGGTCAATGTCCTCCTGTGGTATCTCATTCCAGGCAACCACCAACTCCTCTCGAAGTGCTTCTAGAGTCTGAGGAGGACGTTGCAAATTGAGCAATCTCCTACCCATCATATCCCACACGTGCTCAATTGGGGATAAGTCGGGAGATCTTGGTGGCCATGGTAACAATGTGACATCATTATGTTGAAAGAAGTCGTCTTCTAACCTTTACACCGACGTAATCGCCTTGAGTGGTGCAGACAACGGTCACTCTGGAATCAGGAATGGAACAGTATTGTCTTTAGTGACGAGTCTCGATTTTGTTTAGGCATGCACGATGGTCGTGCCAGGGTTAGAAGGCGACGTGGTGAAAGGAGGACTCCACAGTTTTTTGTTGAAAGACATGTTCATCACACTGTTGGAGTTATGGTTTGGGGTGCTATAGCTTATGGTTCCAGGTCACCTTTAATCTTCATCAGAGGTAACATGAACGCGCAGCGTTATATCCACGAAGTTCTAGAACCCCATCTTTTACCCTATCTTGACACCCTGGCAGATCCAACTTTCAACAATAGACTTCTTTCAGCATTATGATGTCACATTGTTACCATGGCCACCAAGATCTCCCGTCTTATCCCCAATTGAGCATGTGTGGGATATGATGGGTAGGAGATTGCTCAATTTGCAACATCCTCCTCAGACTCTAGAAGCACTTCGAGAGGAGTTGGTGGTTGCCTGGAATGAGATACTACAGGAGGACATTGACCACCTGATCAGAAGCATGCCTAGGCGCGTTGGAGAATGCGTAGCACATCAGGGTGCATCAACACATTATTAAAGGTCAAAGGGTTTAAAAGCAGTGCAATCATTTTGAAATTTTTATCATTTACTTATTATGCTTCATTAAGTACTTACACAAAATTTTATTAAAATAAAACCATTTAAACTGGGTGTTCAGATTTATATGTCACTTAGTATATATCCCTAAAAATTTAGTCGCATCCACTTGCATCTCTGCAGCAGATTTTACATAACATCAGAGCCAAACATTGATAACTGAAGCCTCATGACGTTTAGACAACACGTACAACTAAGTGCTGAGTTAACATCTTGTGGAAAAACCTGCATAATGTCAAAAAAGATCTGCATAATGTCACTTTTCAAGTTACGTGATACCCCTGCCGTGCGGGCTTAAGAGCTAACTTGACCGAACATAAAATTTTACGAAGTGATGACAGTATTGCACGGTTAGTGCAGAGTCAACATACCTGACGCTATTGGGTGTATATTAATCCCCCGTATTCAAGCTGATGGCAGATATAAGATCATGGTGGCCTTAGAGGCTACTCCCCGACTATTATAACAGATTCTTAATTTCAGAGATTGGATATTTGATCAAATATTTGCGTTGTCATGTTGCATAATGTATATTTAGAGAAAACATATACATACTTTGTTTCGTATTTATTCTGATCACAGACAGTTTTCCTTATCATTATTCGAGCGATTCTCGTACTGTCTAATTCAGTGTAATTATCAATACATCTTGAATAACATAGACTTGAAGTATAGTGTGTATAACGTTACCAGTGTTTATAAACAAATAGCTTTAATTTATTGAGGAGGTACTGTATTTACTAAGGAGTATTTACTACGACTGAATAGAAAGGTGAGAGGGCTATCCAATATACGTTAGGGCTAATCATAATCCTAAAGTCGAAGTTCAGGGCAAACTAGCAGTAGCATGTCACTAGATTTATTTCATTCAAGGTAATGAGGTACGAGCCCCTTCCCGCTTCAGTTGGCCCAACTATTGAAATCTTAGTTTTTTTCTTATCAAATACAAATAATAAAAATGTAGCAGGGTGTTATAGGTTTAAAATATTATCAATGAATATTTTGATAATGTATAGTAGAAAACACCAACTTTATCACTCCCTAATCAAATTTGCAGCATAAAAATAACACATGTTCAATGCAAAATAAGTCTATAACGCATAGGTGACTGTGAAAAATAAAAGCCATGACAATTGTTTTTATTAATCACAGCTGTCAGAATACGTTTAAAATAGTTTTGGGTAGTTAAGGTTTTCAAAATGGGTAGAGGAAAGGTTATTAGTGAGAAAATTCGGTTACTGATGATTACATTTTTTAATTCTGGGAAATCAAACTCAGAAATTGCAACTTTGTTAGACTTATCGCGGTACAGTGTGAGAAATATTTTTAGAAGATATAACGTAACTGGTTCAGTTAATATTAAGCCATGATATGTGAAAAAAAGTAATATCATAAATGCCGACCGAAGAGCATTAAGAAGAATAATCGTCAAAAACAGGCGTGCCAATTATTTAAAATTAAGTGCTCTGTGGAGTGACGCTGTTGGGAGGAGAATTTCGAGGTCCACAACTCATAGAGAGGCCCACAAACTGGGATTTAGCACTTGCAAGGTAAGTTTTTTTATAAAAAAAAGTGAATTAAAAACCCTAAAGTTGCACAACTTGTTTATAAGCCAAAGAAAAGCCACTATTAACTCCACTGCAAAAGAAAAATCGGCTTAGATGGGCTAAAGAACATAGAAAATTTACACCTCAACAATGGTGTGTAATACAATGGAGTGATGAGGCCCGATTCGAAGTGTGTGTTGGTGACAGTCGCAGTAGAGTTATTCACAAAAAAATGAAGCATTCCATGTTGACTGACTGAAGAGAAAAGTGAAATTTCCAGCATCCATTATGGTCTGGGGCAGTATGTCATCAAAAGGAGTAGGAAAACTTCATTTTATACAAACAAATATTTGACAATTTTAGAAGAATGTTTGACATCCGGGCAAGATTTTGAGTTTCAGCAAGATGGTGCAGCGTGCCATACCTCAAAAAAGGCTATAAAATGGACGGAAGAAAATAATGTGCCACTTTTGAAATGGGTTTCTAGCAGTCCAGATCTGTCACCTATTGAAACTTTGTGGCACGAGTTGAAAAAGGTTCTACGACAACATCCTGCTCGTACAATCACCGAACTGAGACAAAAGCTTCAAGAAATATGGGATTGTTTTACACCAAATTTTTGCCAAAACTTGGTTAACACTGTGCCCCAAAGAATTTCAGCCGTAATAAAAAATAAAGGTGATGTTACCCAATGGTAATCTTTCAATGGTTGCGTTGTTAACTTCGCGCACTTATTCGAACATTGTTTATTTGTTCAGATGTTCTATTAGTTATAGGTCTAAGTGATTTCAAATATGTATTTTTTTAGGACTAGAGTGAATCTAAAATGTTTTTGAGAAAATAAATTGTTTTAGAAGTAAATAGTTTCGTCATGTTTAGTTTATAAAGGCATATTTTGGTACAAATCTTGAAGTGGGCCAACTGAAGTGGGAAGGGGCTCGTACATCAGATTCAGGCCATCAAGAAAGTGATTGGTAACTATACCTTTGGATGGGTTGCAATCGCTACTTGTAAAGCTCTGTCACTCACTATTCGTCATTTGTTTGGCTGGGCGGTCCGTAGGACCTACTTTTATGAATTTTGAGCGATAAAAAATCTTATATTCCGTGTGTTTTGGTGATGTTTCGTGTTAATTTTGTGTTTGACGCTTCAGTTGATGTTATTAACTTATTTTCAACAATCTCTCAAATACTAATTTTCACCTAAAAATGCTAAAATAATTCTCGCCAACTCAAATGTATATTTTATGTATATCTTAGATCTGCCAAGTGCGAACATTACCTTGTTATCGCCAGACAAGTACCAAACTCACTTTCTCAAAGTTTATCAACGACTTTTTCTAAAATGTATTATTTCTACTCTGTAATACCTTTGTTCTGGAATAACGTGGGTCAGTAGGTCTGTCAGGCATGGTTACCAAGATACCAGACCAAGTCAGGAGAAGCGAAGAAAAAACAAAGGAAATAACAGGGGTAACAAACAAGAGGAATAGCGTCGATAGAAGGGTGCCTTTGTAACGTTTGGGCACAACATATTTATCGGTTTATTTCAATGAAGAAATTTATTCAAACACTAACTAGTTATCCTAAATTACAACTCATTCTGCTCTACCAGACGCAACTTTCTTCGAATGTCTCTCATGAGGTCCAACAGATCAATTTCTCTCAGTTGTTCGTAAATTCGCCTTCTTAATTGTTCTTCGTGATAAACCTTCGTAGGCAGTAAAGCCCAAAAATCCTCTGTTGTCGAAGCCAATTTTGGGTATCCCTTGAGTTTGAGAGTTCCACTCCGCCATTGTTCGGTAAATGGTTCTGCGTCAAATATTTTGATTCTGGAATATCCGACAGATTTCAGCTCTGTGTACCCCCCAACCAACTTTTCCTTTATTTTTCCTTATTTCTAATTTATACGACATCTTAAAGCGTGAAATTCAACAACTGACAGTAAAGTAAGTAAACAAACTTGTGTTTCCAAGGACAACTTGACATTATTTTTGTTTGTAAAAATTAAAGCCAATGAATTGTGTGCCAAAACTTTTGGGACATACGTTATTATCAACTGTAACTTTTGAGTTGAAACTTAGAATTATTTAATTGTTCTAGAAAATTAATTGATGTTATGGAGGTATTTAAATCTCACACTGTGCGTCTCCGGTTGACTATAAATTCGTCGTGCCTCTTTCGTAATATAGCTTCTTAGTTACCTAACCCAAGTAGTGCTATAAGCTTTTGGTAAAAGAGCCGTTCAGCCATAAAAGCTCTCTATTGTTGTTGCCTGAACACCAAAATGCTGGCTTAATGTTGTGTGGAATGCAAATTTGCTTTCTGCAACATATTTGCTCTAAAATGAGGTGTTTAAAATATTCTTATAGCATAGTTATACAACACCTTATAGGACAAACTTTTAACTGTTGCATAAACGTTTATACAACTATTTTATACAACTATTTCATAAGGCATATTGGCACGGTAGTCAAAATGGCTGTGTTGTGGCATCCATGGTAACGTTTATACAACAAACCCGAGCCCAACGGAATCGCTTATACAACTGTTGTTTAGTAACTGTTAAAGGCTGTACAAATGCAACAATATTACAACTTTTGTAGTACAAAATTGCTGTGCTCGGCATACATTTGTTGCTAAATATGTTGGTATACAACTTCACCATAACCTAACTTCCTGCTGTCATATTTTTGTTAAAATGCCATAACCAATGTTTTAAGAGAAACAACGCAGGCATATTGGTTCAAAAGGTTTTATCAACTGTTCCAACAGAAGATACAGATCTGGTACAAATTCTGGGTAAAACATTCGACTCTGTCGGTATTTCATTTCAGACATTTGTCAAATTGTTGTATAAAACCTGCAGGCAACACCAAAATATTCTAGTAAACCAAAGACAACATAGACGATGCCATGATTATATAGTACATAACGACCCGCCATATTGGGCAAACATTTATTCCTCTATTTAATATTAAATAATTATGTCTCAGTTCGGAATTACAGATATAAAGTGATAAGCATTAGTGTAATTGAGTCTAAATATGAGATTTGTGGAAGATATAACGCAGATAAGTTCAGTTTTCCATCTTAAAGATCTAGACATACTATTGATCATTATTAAAATATGAATCAAATCACATAATCACAATAAAATTTGATGCGCAAGTAATTCAATAGCCTTATATCACAGTGTGGAAGTTTATCATACACCTGTGTATGAAATTTACAATGGCTGGTATGTAAGTAAACAAGATGACTGTAATATTTTAGTTATAACGTATATTCTTCACTTCGTCTATACAATACATAAGAAATAGTTTGGTTGCAATAAAGTAGAATCACGTAACAGAATATTTGGATAGTTGACAAAAACTGAATCTTGCACTGACGCAAAAGTCCTATAGTGTCTGCAAGAGGCTTGCACTTTTGTTGTATAACTGTTACCTGCAGCCCCTATACAACCTCTTAAATGACTGAAATGTCCTATTACGTGTGCCCATTCCGCTTGTATAGCTGTTCTAAGAGGGTTTTGCCGATGTTCATACAGTATACAATGCTGTGTAAGGAATACTGTATAATCATTCTTGCAACTCTAATAGGAGTGGCAATTGTTAGTTGGGAAGAGATCTCGAAGTATCTGTGAAGGGTATCGGTTTAGACATACAATGGGACGTTGGCAATTGTTCTGCAGAATCTGCAGACCTCGCATATGCTTGTTGACTATGAAGCACCAAGCCCCACATGCGTGAGTAATAACCGTTCTATGTGGTCGAATTTGGTTGACTTAATTTTTATGTTCTGCATAACATGGGGTAGAGTTGTCGAAACATAATTTCAAATTTAGTTTCATACACTTTGGTATGTGGTACTGTGCAGAATTTTCTCTAGATAGTTCGAAACCTTTTTGATCAGCCGCCAATCCGCCCATTCTAATAAGATCCACCGCACTTTGCAGCCTGTCGACAACTAGATACCCAGAGCTCCACTTGGCCACCAGGGCAGTGTTATCGGGATAGATATAAACTTCACAGTTGCTGGGGCAAGGGACATCGTGAATGGAAAGCGAATAGAGGATTGATCCGAGAACCGAATCTTGAGGAACACCGGCTCTAATGGGTCGCATTGTCGAGAGAGTTGTATCAAAAAGTTGATAAGTACTTCAACAGTCTTAAGAGCCAGAAGGGGAAGCCCTTTTGTATTAGTTTATGGAAAAGCTCCTTGTGCCACACTTTGCCAAATGCCTTCGAGACATCGATAAGCCTATCCGCCTGGAATCTATTAGTTTCTGTAACTTAAAAAACTTAGAAGATGGTTAGCGTGTTCATACGAACTTTTTGTAGTATTTTTTGATCTACTTTCTGCCTTAGGAATATTGTCATCATTTTTGGAATCACCATGTGCTTATGAATATTCTATAACAGGATAGTTAATAATATCAAAACTACAGTAGTTTGCTTCTTGTTATAAAGTGGCTTCACTTCTCCAAAGCTTTTCAACAATTATAATCCTACAGTTAAGATATTTCACAGCTCTTAAGAGATAACTGGAAGTACTGTCAAAAGAAGTATATTGAGTCAACTGGAAAATGAGAAGTTTAAAAGCTTGTCATAACCAGTCAGTTGTTGAAGCTTATATAGCTTAAACTTTGAGTTAGAGAATAACCAATTATATTTTCTAAAATGCAGAATCGTTGAACACAAACTGACCATTTATATTCTAGGATTGATGTACACATACCTAAACATAGGAAAATGATGCGTAATATAGAATTATACGTGATTTTCATATAATAACTAAGCAGGACTGCAAGTCATGTTGAATGAAAAATGAGTTATGCATTTATTTTCTGCTCGTGCTCCGGCTGATGTTCCAGTAAGCATATGGCATGTTGGATATTATTTCTCAATAGCTTATGTTTGCATTATCGTATGTTGATCTAAGCACATTTATCTTTGTACATTTAAAATTTTGCGTAAGTTTGGTATGCACGATATGAATACTTATCAGTTATGAGAATACAGTATCAATTTTTTAAGATTATCCATAATGGATATCTCCGACTATATTGTCATAATTACTGAACAAATAAGGTGATGGTTGTTTGAGTATTTGATAGAATTATAAGTTACTGTAATTAAAAATGTGATAATATGCCGATACGAATGCAGTTCCAAAACAGGTTTTATATGCTAGTACATTAAGCAAGTTTTATTCATCTTACAAGGATTTTATCAACAACTAGCTTTTTGTCTGACGGCTTTACCCGCGGAACATGTAGGTGGCGCTACTAAAAAAGTAATCAAATTTCCCAAGCATGCAAATTAGCTGTCAATTTACAAATGCCATCAAGCATACAGAACGTCCATTGTAAGCTTAACACATTACTTAAGAATGACGATGAATTTGCGGATAAAACCATGCCTATAACATTCCTCGGGTATCGATTAGTAAGAGTACAAGCTTTTACGACTCTCCTTATTGCGGTTCAGACTGGTGCTGACAGATTGGACAGACATTCACAACGAACGACACAAAATGGTGATCACGTTCTGGGCGAATTTACCAATTTTTAGGTGACTTATTTATTCATCCCAAAAAAGCAGTGATTCACACGTTTTAAGTTTGGGAATTGGGATTCTTTGGAAGTGACGGATGTCAACCTTTGGTTTTAATACTTTGACGATGATAACGTATTTCTTAAGGTTTTAAGTGCAGGATTCTGGGTCCATATTCCAGTACAGACCCAGAAGCACTGTCATCTTTCTCCCATTGCGATTAGATATCGATGTGTGATAAATCCTTGTGTATGATTTTTTCAAACTCATAGATGGTAGCGTCAAATATTTGAACCCTGTTTTTAAAGCTTTAATAGTTATTTCGTATGGTAGGGAGATATATACATGATTATTTGGGATGGGACAGGAAATATATGGAATGAAACGTAAATAAAAACAGACAAAGCGTTTTTGGAGATTTTTCTAGTTTCTCCATTTTTATTTTCTATCAATGTCCCTCCTCATGCTAACATATTTAAAGCTCTTTGAGGCGAAACACATTCTTTGCACTATTTCTGCTCTACCAGTTGAAATCATGAAACTACCTAAATTCTCTTATCCTAGCACAAAAAAGCAATTTGCTTTTTCTTGGCGCAAAATGATATTTCTTCCAATATTATTTTTAACCCTACATTCAGAAATTCTGCAATAAAGTAATGGGAATAAAACTAAAATGTATTCCTCGGAATGTATAAGGTATAATTATTTTTTTTTACATTATATTGGCCATTTACGGTTTCGAAAAAAGTCAAAGATACCACCCCCATAATTTCTTTTGGTGTATCTTCTCAATATGCCACTGCATTAATGAATCTCAACTGGCTGCCAAATGAAACCACAAATGTATACGTATAATAATGATTTACTACCGGCCAGCTCGGTAGCGCCAAAGGTGCATGAAACCTTAACAAACATTAAGTACACATCTGCCCGGGTAGTACGTATCTTGACATTGGGTCGGTTTTTTTGTATATTTATATTATATTCATTCTGGAAACTACATATGCAAATTTGCTGAATTTCAATAATGAGAGAGATAAGAAAAGAAAATGCCTGGTTGGTGAAGTAACAGGTGTGAAAATATGCTACAGTTAGGAAGATTTATGAAAGTCAGAAGGTTCTTACATTATTCTTTATTTCCAGTCATATAAATTTATTTTGCTATGTCAGTAGAAAATACAAATCAGCGCCCATATCTGAGACACTGCGAAAATGTGTGTTGCGTCATTCCTAATTTTTCTGTGACGTGACTCAATGCCGGCGCGGTTGGGATTTTCCGTAATGCTACTCACAGTTTTTGAAAACACCAAAAAAAAAATACAGGAAAAATCGTAATTTATAACTTTGAACATAACCTGTCTTCAGAAATAACCAGTCAGGCACTGCTAATAGATATGCTTTATTGGCCGCATATTCAGCAATTTTCTCACACTGATTTTATACACGTGCAGAACAATAGACAGAATAATCCGGATGTCATCTTGCTACTCAACCAACTTTTATTCTTTCACAACTTCTCAGAGATCAACACTACAAAATTACTCGCCTTCACAAAACATATTCTTGCTCTCTGCAACCAACTTGTAGTTTAGTCATTTCTCCATAGATGGAGACTCATAGCGATCATAGCGAGCAAACGTGGGATGAACTACGTCCACCCTAAAAACTACCTGGTCTGCAAGATAATATTCTGTACTTTTATTTTTTGACGATTTTTAGGTTTTTTACTTAACACCCGCGTCATGGTGTTATTTAGCTGTTAGTGAAACATGGACATTAATCATGATTCTTCTTCACACAGATGCTGATTACCTCATCATGGGCCATAGACTTCGTCATATTTTTCATCACGATTTCCTACCTGGTAATCAAATTTTATGCACGAAACAACGATTTCTTCAAAAAACGAGGGGTCAAGTACGTCAAACCGAAACCAATAGTAGGAAATGTTGGGAGGGTCATGCTGTTGCAAGAGAACACTGGAAACATTTTGAAGGAAATCTACGATAGTACTGACGCTCCGTATTATGGCATGTTCTTCTTCCACGTTCCGTATTTGGTCCTTAAGTCGCCACAACTGATTAAAGAGGTGTTGGTGAAGGAGTTTGGACACTTCATGAACAGAACGTGGGCGCAAGCAAAGCATGACGAGATACAGAAAAACATGATGTTCTTCCAACATGGAGAGGAATGGAAACTGACCAGAGCCAAGGTGTCTCCAGTGTTCACGTCTGGAAAACTGAAGGGGATGTTCTATATTCTGAAGGATAATGGAGAACTGCTCGTAGAGTAAGTGAAACTTCTTACCATTGTGTTTCAAAACTTCAATTTTGAGATACATGGTGATGAATCTTTAAAAAAATTGTCCATTGTCTATACAGTTTTTGAGATCACGACGCGACATTCCGATTGATGCGATATCTTCAATCCTTGATCGTCATCAGACTTTCAAGAGACGTAGCATTTTTACATTCAGGAACCTATTCGCAATGTACCGCCGATCATTCTGATTATCAATTATGGCTGTTAATGCAGGATCCATGGCGTCTTCCACTAATTCTAAATACATTTCACCGGTCAAATTTCCAGGTAAGAAAAAAGGACCAACTAAATGATCGCCAAAAATACCAGCCCAAACATTTATCGGACCAATATCGGCAGTTATGTCGATTTACTACGCCATTTAAGAAAAAGGAACATTCGTCGGAAAAGCAAGTGTTGAATAGAAAATGTTCATCGTTTATAATTCGTTCACTCATATCTTCACAAAATTGTAATCGCTGATCAAAATCGTCTTCATTATGTTCTTGTACCAGGTGAATTTATACGGATGAAAACTATGGGCCTTTAGAATCCGTTGGACAATACGTCGACTAACACCACACACAGTCTCCAATTTGCGGGTACTTAACGTAGGATCTACATAAACTTGCCCTAAAACCCCCACTTCTATTGCTTCGTTCCTTAGGGGATTTTCAATGTTTCGTTTTTTATTGGCGACTGACCCAGTTTCCCGAAATTTAGCTACAAGTTCTAGAACATATTTTCGATGAACTTTACTGTTCTCGTGTCGGTCACTAAATATTTCTGCTGTTCTATTAGCGCACTGATTATTTCCGAAAAATATTTCGATAAATTCAACTCTTTCTGCTGTGGAATATACCATGGGCGTAGTGAAGAAAAGCATTTACTTATTAAGTAAATTCTTTTAGTCAAATTTCTTCTGAAACTAGTACAAACTAATCTGATGTACCTATTAAAGTCTACTTTAAGCTTTAAATCAATAGATCTTCAAAACTACTGAACTGATGCTCATGTATTTTACATCATTTTAAAGGGAATTGAAAGATCTTTAAAATAAGGTATCACTCGACCCGCCTTTCCATTTAAGATATTAGGGTTGGTGTCACCCCCACCCAGAGGGCTGCACGTGTTAACGTGATTTTTTGCCAAACTTGTGTTCCCCTCAAAAACAAAATCGACAGGTCTGAGCGTTTTTCAAAAAAAAAAACTGAGCTGCCAGTACATGCGTCTGTTTCATTTTCGATGCGCCACCCTGTATACTAAGTGATACATAAAATGCAACAGCCAGAATTAGTTATTGAATTTTGATAAAAACTTGTAAGCATATTTGCTATCATGAAGGTCATACGCTGATAAAATGTTGAAGGCATTCGTAGCTGTACTTTTTTTGTAAAGGCTTTTTTGTCATATCAGGATCCGAACAATATGAACATGTATACTTGATATTCAGTGATTTTTCTGAATTGGTTCCATTTGTTTCATTGTCGTTTCATTGCATTATCATGCCTAGAGTTCGCAGACTCGCTAATTTCACTCAACTTTCCGAGTTTGAGAGAAATCGCTAATCGGGTGAATCGAAACAAAGCTACTGTAATGAGATGTTGTCGAGCGCGGCTCCAAGAAGGCATAAATCGACGAGTTAGAATGTCTAAGTCAGACTACAGAGCGACAGGATCGTTATTTGAGGCAACTAGCTTGAGATAGATTTTGCACAACAAGGACAGTTGCGAACCGGTGTATTTATGCTGTCAGAACAACAGTTTATCGCCGATTTAGGTTTTTTGGACTGTTTTCATACCGTCCCCATCTTGTACTACCTCTCATCCCACAGCATCGTCGGCAACGATTGGTATGGAGTAGGAAGAGACTTGAATGGAATATGGTAAGGAATGTAGTCGTGTTCCTCAACCGCCACTACAGACTGAACAGACACTTATTAAAGGTGAAGAGAAACCCACAATGCCTCATGTGCTGCGATGAGGAAGTATCAGCGTTCCAATTTCTGGGCTATTGTCCCGTGTATTGCAACCTAAGGGCTGAGCTGTTCGGGGCCATGCAGTTTGTTGGTCATATTGCTTACACAGCAGAATGGTCGGACTTTTATTAGGCGGTCAGGAAGGACAGCTTAGTGAACTAACATGTGGTGTAGAGTGATGGTACTCCGATCTGTGAAACTTTCCAAGCACCATCTTCTTGTCTAATTACGCAATCTGCCCTAATTTAACTGACTACGTATCTCTTACCGTTTCCAAGATCCCAATGGCGAGAGTCGAACTTAAAACACCCGGTATACCATATTACAGCTTCCTTCGAAAAAATGCAGACAATGTAGACCTCGAAAAAATGACTATGCGCTACGTGCTGAATGGTATATCGAGATGCTTTTTTGGCATAAACCCTCACTGCCTCGAGGACGGAGTCAAGTCCGAATTCCTGGACATCATCCAGGAAGGAAGCAGACCAAGCACCTTAGATGCTTTGAGGATGTTCTGCTTTTTGTACCATCACAAGATGGTAGATTTTTTCAAGCTGAACATGTTCAACAAGAAGATGGTGGACTACTGTGCCAACACGTTTAATGATGTACTGAAGACTAGAGAAGAAGCAAGAAGGAGTAATAATATGAGAGTCAATGATATGGCTGACATCATTATTGATCTGAAGTATGATGAGGAGTTCAACAAGAATTTTGATTTTGGTGAGTACATACAGTATTTCAGAATAAGAAGTATCTCCGAATACAGAAACATAATGTCCTATGTTCCTATAAAAAATGTTGCTTAGAGTTTTCCTAGTGAAATTCAGATTCCTAAAGGACGCTACAAACAATCGACATTCACATTATGTAAAATAATTCCTATTATAGCGACCTGATTCATATAGTCTGATCATATTAGCAAATTTTCCCGAAATAATTGTAAAGTCCAGTTTTATTGATGCAAGTTGTTCAAGGGGGTATTTAAAACATGGACGCACAAAGTGGGTACACCAATTTTTGTGGAAAAACTTTTTGTTTGACAACAAAACGGTATTTTAGGTATTTATGAGACCCGCAAAATGAGACCACACGTAAAAAGATCCGACTTATAACAAAAAATGTTATGTCCGAAAAACGAGGCAAAATGCAGGCTTTGGCACTTGTTGGTAATGCGACGATACTTTCACGCAACTACTTGAAATTCTTCAAATCCGTAGGATTCATACTTCTAAATATCAACAACAAAATTGGATTATATTGGTCAAGTAGTTTTTTGAGAATGTCTAATTGTTTATCCCAAAACACCTGGTTTCTGGCCATCACTACTAGTTTATTGAGCAATATACAGGGTTCGTTCAAACAGCATTTAATAGCAAAATACACATGTTTACCTTATGATATGATATGATATGAATCACAAACCATCCCGAAAGATAAATGTTATTTTTATGCGAAAAACAGAGGTTACGTTTTTTCTTCTAAATATTCGAAAACATGCGTTACTATACACATTTTAAAACAAAGCAGATGTGTATATCATCTTTTATTGCGAATTACTCACAAATACATGTTTGAATTTGTTTAAAAGAAAAAACGTAACCCATCCTGTTTTTCGATTTCTGTTTGCGAGTCATACGGAAAGGTAAACTAGTGTATTTTGCTATTGAATGCCCTTTGAACTAACCCTGTATATTGCTCAATAAGCCAGTAGTGATGGGCGAAAAACAGGTGTTTTGGGATACACAATTAGAAATTCTCAAAAACTACTCGACCAATCTACTCCAATTTTGTTGTGGTTATTTAGAAGTACGAATACTACGAATTTAAAGAACCTGCAGTATGACTCGGTTTTCGGCCATAACTTTTTTGCAGTTAGTCGGATCTTCTTACGTGTGGTCTCATTTTGTAGGTCACATAAATACATAAAAATCATATATGGAGAGTTTTTTCGTTGCCGCTAACACTTCCGATTGGATCCCAAAAAACACGTTTTCTCATTCATAGTTGTCGAATAAAAAGTTTTCCCACAAAAATTGGTGTACCTATTTTATGTGTCCATGTTTTCAATACCCCGTTGAACAAATTGCAGAAATAACAACAGACTTTACAATTATTTCGCAAATCATGGGTATTTTCGTCTAATATGATTAGACTAATACGTGACTTTCACAGCGAGTGAGCGCGGCGCCGATTAGCGACTAACTAGTACACAAGTTGACATTACCCCTACTTTTAATGACATTATAACGATTCCTTATGTCATGTTGATGACGCCATTTTTTGTATCTAAGAATACTAAGTATGGCTCTATTTTCCAGGTGGTGATAAAGTTCTAGCTCAACCGTTCATGTTCCTTCTTGCTGGCAATGGAACTACGACAATGTCGTTGACCTTCACACTATACGAACTTTGCATTAATCCTGACGTACAATCTAAACTTAGAGATGCCATCAATGAGATGATTGATGACTATGGAGGTATCACGTACGAAGGGTTGATGGATAAGAAGTACAGCTATATCGACATGGTACTTGCTGGTATGTTAAACTTAACACTCAATTTGGTTTTTAGCGCTTCAGTATGCTTCTGCCAAGTTATCCCTATGTCAATAGTGATACTAAGATACTGATTTGTTACTCATTGGAATCACTGTTTAGCTTGGAACATAGATGTCTGTAAAATGAGTGTAACCGTATTTGGCTCAGGGTTGCAAGACGCAAAGATCGTTTTCTCCAGCCAGAGATGCCAAAGTTCTGGTATATTCGACACAAAATCTCGTACACAGTGGCGTAGATAGGGCTTTAGTTCAGGTGGAACCTATGAGGGAGGGGTGGGGGCTCGGTTGCTTCCTTTGATACAGAAAAAATTGGTAGAAACAGAAAAGCGGGTGAATTATTATACTTTTCCACACAAAGCGTAATAATGTAATAATCTCTATCTCATAAAGAAACTTAAGATTTTTCGTGCGTCTGTGCAACCCTGATTTGGCTTAGACAAGGCTCCACAGGTGCCACCTTTCAAGCGTTGCCATAAAATCTATCTTACTAAACAAACAAAAAGATGGCGCTGATGTCGCAACCCTTAAAGTGGACCTCCCACATAGCTTTTCCTAGACTCGGATATATTACATTTGAGCTTTATTCTCACCCCAAGAAAAATACTTCATACATACGATTGAATGTTTTTCTAGAAACACATAGGATGTACCCAGCGATATTCTACCTGGACAGGACTTGTACATCAGATTTTCAACTACCTGGAACAGACTACGTAGTTCGGAAAGGAGAGAAAATTATCATTCCTACTTGGGCACTGCATTACGACGAAAAGTATTTCCCAGATCCTTACAAATTCAACCCTGAAAGGTTTTTGAAGAGAGTGAACGAAGATGGATTTTATTACGTACCATTTGGAGAGGGGCCCAGAGAATGCATTGGTAAGTATTGCTGTGAAATTTCTTTTTTCTGAACTGTTGTGACGAATCAGCAACTACAAGTTACAGCAAATTGGATTCTTGCACAAGTGAATAGAGTTTTTAATTCCGATTCAAAAATTATAATATGTATAAGGCATATCTGACGTCGCCAAAGCTCAGTTATTAAGAAAAATAATTTTAAGCAGGCCTTGAAATTATCTGATAGCCAAGTATTTCGTAAATCTGCTGTGTTCCAGGTATAGAAAAACAGTGCCTAATTATGATTTCAACGATGTAATATCATGATATGGATTGGTATTATAAAACTTCAAATGTCTGAAAAAGTAATCTGCCTATAATTGGCTTCAAAGAGTAAGAATGCCAAGATACCTACTTTTTCATGTTATTTCAGGGTAATATTGACAACATTGAAAATACTATAATTTCAAAATGCTGGTAGAAATAACTTAGAGTAAATAAAGATCTTGACGATGTTGCAGGTTACTAGACAGATTTCACGACTATCATTCCTAAGCCGATGCATACATCTTAAATTCATATAATACTATCTGCTGTTGAATTATCATGTAGTGAGGCATCATCGTACTGAAATAAGACTTGACAGTCGATAAACTAACAAATTTCTCCCTTTGAACACGCATCTCAATAACGGAAGCAATCTTTATTTGGTGATAAAATCTTTTTAAGGTCGATTATGAATATTTTGGAAACAAACAAAAGATCAGAAACGGTATATTGAAATTGTAATTATGCCACCTTGTAGAGGAGAAAATGTGCCAATGCTGTTGTGCAATCAATTTAGTTTGAAATCCCACTTCAACTAAGTGTGGAAAAAATAAGAACAATTTTGGGAAAATTCGTCATTTTTTCCATTTATCTCAGTTATCTCTTTTAGCATAAAAACTTTCATCTCATTCAAGAGATATCGTTTTCCGAGATTCCGGTGGTGAGACTTGAACTTGAAACATCCTCTGTAATCAAGTATCAAAATAGGAGAGAGTAACATAACTAATCGTACGTCACTGCTTATGCAGTGGGTCTTTGTATTTGTGTGCGCAAGTATCACCATATCCAAACAGGATTGCCTTATTGGGGGATTTCCCCAAAATTTGGAATATGTTTGCTTCTCTTGGTTTTTTGAAGGATAATGTTCTGAGGAAAAAATAAAATTGTTAGATTTTTAGGGTATTTTATTCCATTTTTCACCAAGCAAAACTGCATTGCCGAATCCAAGGTTATATTCTTCTGTAAATTTTTCTGTCCTAATGATACTCGCAAATCACCATCACTGCACCTTTGATGTAAACTGGCTGATTGCTTCAACTCACACACGTGTTTTGTCAGGTAAAGAGCTGGACAACTACTCTGCGACGCCCCAGTCCACAATGGTTAGGTTAGGAATAACTTTGAATTTCAAACTGACAATATTCTCTGTGGATACTAAAATGAATCGTGTAAATCTTCCGCATAAGGTTCTAAAAACCTAAAAACTAATCAGCTAGGGGATATCTTACTTACTAATCTCGCTTCCCCCCTCATCAAACCAAATCTACCCCCCCCCCTCATCAAACCAAATCTACCCCCCCCCCATTTGACGATGTATGACTTGGGGGATTTGTTGTGAAAAAGTTTCTGGGGGAATTCTGTCTGGCCCATCTGGCAACGCTGTATCCAAATCTCCACGTTAACAGTGACGTTCCATGCGTTAAGCTATTCACTTTTCTTTCTACTCCACTATAGATATAAAATGCGTCCCACTGATTTGCTTATTTTATTCTAGGTAACCGGTTTGCTCTATTGAACTTGAAAGTAGCTCTATCATCAATCATACCCAACTTTTCGGTGGAAAAAACGCCGCAAACACCAGCTAGAATGAAGTTAGATCCAGTGGGTTTGAGCGCTATACCAAAAGGTCGACTTATAGTAGACTTCAAGCCACTAACATAATATTACAAGTATATTTATTTTCAGTTTTTGTTATATACTCTAGTATTATACTCGTATTTGTACAGTGCTTTTCAAAAAGCTTATAATGTACTCATGAGAAGCTTTGAAATAAGGTATCACACGACCTCACTCTATTTGAAAAAAAATGTTACAATATAGTGCCCAGCCACCATCTTGAAACTTTTAACTGTTATTTTTAAGTTAAAGTTAATCTGTTCAAAAAATAATTAGAAGGAGGACCTTTCTGAAAAGCACTGTATATATATTTAAATGCGTGTTAATATTCAATGTATATTACGTTTACACGTCTGTGATTATTGTGTACGGTTTTGTTAAAGCAAGTACATAATTATAACCTGATCTATGTTTATTTTGTGATCTATAGAACGAAAGTACCCGCAACGCAAACGTATTTGGGAAGAATGTACTAAGTGGTTTGTACTCGCACACCGAAGGCGTTGGTGTCAGAAACCATTGTTTCGTTAGACTATTATTGGACACTCTCTATAACAAAAGTAAACTTTCAGGCTGAAAACATAGTTTTCTTTTACAGCGCCAGCGGTTTGAAGAAGACGTACTTCGCGTTGTCTTAGAAAATGGAAATATTTCAAAAGTATGCACTGATTAAATACTTGTATGGAGGAGGATTGAACGGGGATGCAACTTATACTGATATGGCAAATGTATCAGGAAGTCATCCTTTTAATTCTGTACACGATATTGTTTTTGAGATGATAGAAAAATAACGAATCTTCAAGCCCGACGACAGCAAATAAGGCAAATAAGGATGGTTGAAAAAACAAGAGTTTTTATGACCACTAACCCGATGGGGATTAAACCTTTCCACTTTCACATGGAACCTGGTTCTATCTACCTCATACCTTCTCATCAATAGGTTATTAAAATTCGTCCTTGATCGGCGTTTCCTCGGTCATATAGATTTGTTACGACTCTGTTGAACACCTAGTTGGAAATATTAAAAAACTCATTAGGGATGTTGCAGACCGTAAAATCACAGAATCTTAGAAGAAAATATTCTTGTGTCGATCACAAGAAACAATATAATCGCGGATTTTGGAATGAAAAAGTCCTATTTATCTATTTTATAGCACTCTCTATTCATTAGACTGTTTAGCGTGTCACACTTTATATATTTTTATATTAAATGGCTTCCTGTGTTGCCACACAACAAAAGTTTGTTTGCTTACTTTACTGTCTGTTAACATTTATTTATTTTGAGGTTTTCGCCTTAAGATATCGTATAAATTAGAAATAAGGGTTATTAAGTTTCAACTCGTATTTTTTGGTATTTCGAGATATTACCAGATAGTAAACTGTTATTTGCTGTCACGTTTGACGTAATGGATGTTCGTGAAAAAAGATTTTGAATGCATCCGGAAGATTGCCGTCTCATTTAAGGATACTCCGTTTAAGATGCTTTCTCAATTCAGTTCAGCAGGGATACATCGGTTTTTAGATTCCACCTTCGTGGCTCAACAAATGTGGTACTTTCGGTGCAGCTGGGGTTTTCCGAACATGTGAAAAGACCCTGTATGAGTTATTATGTAAAAACTTCATTCTGATCAGCAAATATTTCTTAGTTGCCAAAGTTTGAGGTTACGTTCTAGCCACTGAGATCAAAGACCTCCGCAAACACCACAAAATGTCCAAATTATTCGTTCCTAGCCCAAAAATGCTTGATAAATAACCATGGACGTATTGCCCAGGAGAAAGGCCCAATTGTCAGAACCAATACACGGCAGATCAAAAAGGATCTATGTTTTCGAAAATGGAGACAGCTTCGGAAAATGCTACACTTCCCTGATCAATCCGAATGTGTTGAAAACATGGAAAAACGTTCTTATCCATCTGACGGAGAAGATGGAGCCCAGTTTTGGTGCGGTTCAGAATCTGATGAGTCTGAGCACTAAGAAAATCGTCAAGACGTTCGAAGAATTGGAGCCGGAGGAAAAATACGTTGCGCTCGGGGGGTCAAATAACCAATTTGTTAATTTGAAGTAAGTGCAATATACGAGGGATCCATTGCGTGTTATTCACAGCATAATATTTTTTTTAATTCTAATATTGCTACAAACTGTATTGAAACTAGTAGTCCTTTCTATACTCCTTCTGTCGTTTTATCATTTGTTGCAAAGTTTTCCGAGATCTATGATTCGTTGTCTGCCCCACAAAGTTTTCCCAGTGATATCCCTGATTATTTTTATTTCACACGTTTCCATTATTCTTTTAGTCTTTTTCTGTATCAGGTCTTGTTTCTACAGTTTAAATAGGCCTGGCTGCTGTCTTATAAAGCTTTTCTTTTGTTTCTGTACCTGCTAAATGCCTAGTGCCCTTGCTTACAGTATAAGATTACGATTAATAAGATATGTATATACTTAAACATGTATAATTTGAAGGCAGTACGATTATTGTACGCATTCCTTTACCTGCCTCCTGTAGAAACAAAACCTGTAAAATACATCAATATTTGTTTATAATAGTGTTGATCTGCACTTTTTTGCTTAATGGTATTTAAATCATCTATAACACTATCAGTAGCTCGCACAGCTGCAACCAGTAAGGGCGTGCAAAGATACCAATTTTACTTGTTTTACTAGGAGCATGCCCTTATGACTGGACATGTGCCTATGGCATCTGGGCGGCCCAGTACCTTATTAGAGAAATTCGCTTTTCACTATCAAATCTCAAGAATCCATTCAGTAGACCCGGGTCCCTAGATTCCTACGAGCACTTCATTATACATGCAATTTCTGAATCAAATATGGGCTGAACTTGAACGAATGAAGAAGCTTTAGTATAATGATGACGGTATTATAGGTATAGGACGCCAGAAGAAAAGCACAAACAGCGAAAGACAAAAGGAAAACAATTCTACAAAGGAGAGTTTGATGAAAAGAAAATGAAGTTCATCAAAGAAACAGAAAAACGTGGATTGACAGTCATTTTTGTAGTGGAAAACGGCATAAAATATCAAGAGCCCAAGAAGTTTGTTTTCAGCAAGCAAGATTTGGAGAAATACCACAAGATATTATTCCATATAGCAAAAGCAATGGACATCGAAGAAGTGATATCGTACGCTACCTTTATTATTTTTTTGAAAATTTTGACTTTCGAAATATGGCGTCTGGATATATTTTCGAATTTTCTCTTTGTTGCGTTTCATACTTACTACTACCGCATTTGGGGTACTGGCAACCAAATATGGTTCTTTGTCCTATGGCCTTCCAGTGTGGCCTTGCAGAAGGGAGGCTGACTCAATGCAGATGTCCCTTATGGATCTGTTTTGGTTTCGACAATGTTTATCTTACACATTGAAAGCCGCCTCTCTTGTACTTCATAGAAAGAATGACTCTAATAGACTCACCGAAATAATATTTAAAGCTCACTTAGCTTACGACACATAAGCCCAATTGATAATCCTATAAAAATATAAAACAGGATGGAAAATAATTCATATTCTATTTCCAAAAAAAGAAACTGCGAAGCTTTGAATCCTAAACAGGGCTAGCAGACTCTGTATATGAAGGAGTAACTACTCCTAGCGCGACCATTAATCGAGCTTTTTAACAATAGCTTGACTTTTGAGGAGATGATATCAATGTTTTCCAGGACCGCTATTCTTGAAATGAGGGAAAGTGGGCGTCGTTCTATTACCTTCCGCAAAAGTATAAAAGAGCGGTACAAGGTTTGTTCGTACAGCGATCTGTGACTGTGCCTGGGATGCAGCAGTGTGAATTCCGTCTATATAGCGTAGCAGAGTGAACGGAATTTGTGTGGTCACTGGATATGGTCACTGACAGGCTGGCAACTGTTGTACGAACAGGACTATAATGTCATTAAAAATCAGTATTTTGTCAACTTGTGTACCAAGTATTCTTTAGCCTATTCCGGGCTTGCTCGCTGTGAGCGCTGCCTATGGCCCATCGGCCATGTTGCCTAAGATGCTGCAACTCACATTTCGCCAGCACGCTTTGTGAAACCAATGGAATCATCAATAACATAGATCATTCGTAACATTTCAAATATTGAACGACATAACTTGATACAGTATCCAATACCTTGAAAAACGGTCTCAAGACTCTTTCCTGCCGATATCCCAACTAACTATTTTTTCAATAAGCCAAATTTTGCATCTTTTTCTAGCTTGTCAACAATTTATGGTGATCCTATAGAGCAGGCTGACCAGCTGCAGCATGGATATACTTACGTAGCAGTTCCATATGGTCATGAATTTAGTGCATTAGATTACGAATCCTTATTGGACCATTGGATTAGTCCGTGAGTATATAATAGTTACTTGTGTACCTAGGGCGTAAAGTGAGCATTTACGCCTCGCGGCGTGAAATCATGGTCGAAAGTGCGAAATGTCGGGGCTTCAAGTGCCTCTTTTCCTGTTTTTATATTCTACCAATTTTGATGACATATTTGTCGAATTTTGAATTTTGCTGGTAAGCTTCCAAATAATTTTGCTCCGTTCTATCAGTATCAGCAGCCCCGAATCCTCGACTCTCAGGACCCTGCAGATAACTTCTAGGTTATTTGTCGATTCTGGTCTCTCTCCCTCTAGTGTCGGATGCATAGCCTATACTCCCAGTAGGCTCTGCCTCTGCTCTGCTAATTGCTTCTGTTAATTACCTAGGTAGTGTTTTAAATGCGAACCAAATTACTTCTCGCTGACAGTGCGTCTTTGACAATTCTTGCACAAGCTAAGCTGCGCTATCGGAGGATGAGGGGTAGCAACTGTAGAATGAACTCATAACCTACAGCTAACGTTATAAAATGGAACTGTCAGATACCATTAGTGTTCAGCGACGTCACTCAAATCAGGGTACAAGGTCATGCATATTACTTACAACCCCCTGGACAGTCTCGTGACAACTTATACGGTGCTCTCTTGCACATCAGTGTAGTTCAGAATGTCCTTGGAAACAATGTAAGCAACCTTATATTTCAGGAGTACTTTTAAAATGAAGATGCCAAAAACAATGGAGTCAGAAGAGCAGACAGGTTGTGTAAAATTTAACCTAGGTATAGTAATTAATAACATTAAGCTCGATTAAAGCACCAAGTTGAATTGGAGCCTTTTTAAGATGAATAAAAGTATACTTTGTTTTTGTTAAGTATTGACCATGAAATTAATATGTCAAATAATACAGCCAGTCTTTCCTACAATTTTAGGACGCCTTTATGGCCTCCTTATTTTCACTTTTCGATGTTGTGTCAGCGCTCTGTGTTAAGGTTATATTTTCGTTTTGAACTCCAAGACAAAACTTCATTTTTATCATGTTTTATCAGTCAAAATTACTTAAGACTCAAAGAGAAAAAGAACATAAACTCACAATAGGAGAGCGCTGGCTGACACGGAACAGTAGAAATCTAGAAATACCCCAGGAGAGAAAAGAAAATGAAAATTAAGGAGGCCATAAAGGCATCCTACAATTTAGGAACAGTTAACGGTACAGCCCTTAATATGAAATTTAATGTTGAGAGTCGAATTTTAAGCATCCACTATATTTGATCTTTCATAACTAGATGGGGATCTGGATACACACAAGATGTCTGTCACAGGAGAGTCGCGAAGCATAATAAAAATGATAGAACGCAACTATGTGCTTCCAGATTTGAATAGGACATTATTTCAGGATGCCCTAAAGAAGAGAAGTAGAGGTATTAGAGGTAAGTCGTAAAACGAATCCTAGGAAGAAAGAACGTGAACAATATAAAATTTCAACGTAATCAAACGTATACGTCCGCAAAGTTGGGGTTTTCCTTTACACGACGTGTAGATCTTGAAAACATAAGCAATTTTTCTTAGTACCATATACACCAATGTCTTAAGGGAACCGAGATAAAGCGCTCTGCAACATCAAAAATATCTGAATACTAGCGTACTAGCACACTAGCTCAACCCGACGACAGAACTGGGTCGGGGGTCGGGGTCAGTGTGTCAGGTCAGTATGCAACCTTCAACCGACGGTTACGGTCACGCGTGTAGAGGTAAACGAACCCGTATAATCGATTGCGTTTCAAAAAACAACAAGCACTAGAGACGCGGCTAGAGAAGTGCAAGTATCAAAAACTAAAGTGTGGCAAACGCTGCGTGAAGAGGGGCTGTATCCGTTTCACGTCCAACGTGTACAAGCCCATCAACCTGACGATTTTCCAGCAAGAGTGCGGTTTTGTGAGTGGTTGTTGCATCAACATGACAATAATCCGGACTTTTTGAAGTGCATATTGGAGACAGACGAATCTACGTTCACGCATAATGGGGTGAATAACTTTCGCAACACTCATGTTTGGTCAGTAGAAAATCCGCACGCTGTCCGTCGGGCACATTTTCAACAAACATTTTCGGTGAATGTTTGGGCTGGCATGGTGAACGGTATGCTCATTGGACCATTTATTCTCCCAAATCGATTGGACGGGATGCAATACCTAGACTTTTTACGCAACATTTTGCCTTCCTTGTTAGAAGATGTGCCATTAAGTGTAAGACAATCAATGTGGTTTCTGCACGATGGTGCACCGCCCCATTTTAGACGCGAAGTGCGTGAGTTTTTGAATGAATTATTTCCGAATAGGTGGATCGGACGTAATGGACCCGTAGCGTGGCCTCCGCGATCTCCAGACTTAACACCATGTGATTTTTTTCTTTGGGGAGAAATGAAACGCTTAGTGTACAAAACTGAAGTGCATACGGTTGACGAACTTCGTCTCAGAATTGAACAAGCTGGTTCTTTCATTCGGGGGAGGGACTCCATTCTCAAAGCCTGCACCGATGCTTGGCTACGTCTTGCACGCACCTGTGTTTTTGAATCAAACGGCGATAACTTCGAACAATACCTATAAAATACGTTTACCTAAAAACTGAAAACGCGGCAACGCCGTCATATTTGTTACCTCTGTTCGTGGTCTGCACCACCGCCGGCGTCTGCTCGGTAGCGCATCAGCTGATTTCATTTTCTGTTGGAGCGGTATGATTTCGGGCAGAGACGTACTTAGCCCTTCTCGTCAACTGGAGAGTGAGTACTTTTGCCTTTATTTTTTTTTACTTGGTCGCCCTCGTTTCACTACACATTACCTTTGTTATTTCAAGGGTAGTTATTTCTGAAAAGGAAAACCCCAACTTTGCGGTATTCTTAGCTTGATGATTAATAAACAGATAATCTTCAGCTCTGGATGATCAGTTGTTTCATTTCGTAGCCATGTAGTTCAACTGCACTTAATCCCAACCGAGTGTCAGACTTTTACTTGGGCATCTCCACTCTGACACTCCTTAGAATGGGGTTTCTAGAACCGTGCTAAAAGCGATCAGGACATAGCTTTTGAAGATTGTTCTGATTAGTTTTCAAATATTAAATATATAACTGAAGTGTATAATCAACTAAGTGCGCGCCGATCTTAAGAAGCCTTCTCAGCGTAAGATAGTAAATAGTTAAGTTACCTTACGTCTTTTTCTCAAATTGCTATCACCTGATGGATTGATAATCGTCTTACTATATAACGGTTTCCGTTAATCAGCTCCACCCGCACCAAATTAACAACTTTAAGTTATTGTCGGAATGTCCACACGAATTCGGGTCCATCCTGGTCATAATACTGACTAACATCGTAATTAGCTAATTTCATCGTGGCGGACTTAGCTAATAGTCAATGTATTTCACTAGTTGGCTAATTACGTTTCGCTATTTGAAGATACATACGCGACTACACCAGTACGACTGGCTACTTGAATATCCTTTCCAGAAACAATAAGTGTGTATTGGTTTGTCACTTTGATAAGCATTGAACGCAAATCAGAATGTACTAAAACTGTACAGGCGAGCTTGAAACAGTCCTCACATTTTCTGCCGCGTCTTTATTTCCTACGTTTCTTCCAGATTCTATTGTACATGCAAGAGTTAGCTCAACAAGGAATTTAACTGGCGGTATGCTTGCAAATCCGGAACATCTCAACGAGTGTGTGCCGCATTTCTGTGAGGTATGTGACCCATCGGGAGCTGATTGTCCAGAATGCAAAGGACAATGTGAAACCGAGATCAGTTCTAGTAAAAAGAATTCTACTACTATTTTTTTATTTTTAAGAACTATAACGCAGTTCTCGATATTTTCGGAATGGATCCAGTTGCGGTATTCGGGAGGTTCTTGACCAACTCTTTGAGAACCCGTATAGAGTTCGATCGGTATATTTCTTTTATTTATTCGCGTATAGAATATAAGAAATATTCTAGAATACAATTTGAACATTTAAAAAAATTAATTTTGAAATTTGGAAAATAATTGGGTAAGTTGAAAAATAATTTGAATATTTGAAAAAATCTGGAAATATCGAAATTTGTAAAAATTTGGAAGTGAATTTAGATTTATTGCCAAATGTAAAATATACCAACATCTAAACTATTGATTATAAGGATTTTTGTTTTGAGACTGAACATTGATTTGTGCAACCGATGAACCGTATTTTGTATTTTAATGCAAATAATCTCGAGTGGAGGCATGAACATGTATTTCTAAATCTAGTTTTTGTTTTTTTCGACATCTGCAACATCAGCGTCCATTGAAAGGAAATTTTCCAGGACCACACTGACCATAACAGAACCCCAGATAGATCCGTTAGTACCCCGTTAACGAATGAAAAGCTGATACAGAATTTTTTATTTTGTTGTATCAAGCGACGAATCGATCTTTTATTTGTTATATGATGAACAAAGTATTAGTAATATTGTTTTCCCTGTAACAGAGTCTTTCCGTTGTGTCTTTATAATCTACTCGTATTTATATTACACAAATTACCAAGTAATATCAAGCCTACTCGAATTTTCAAACACATGACTTGATTAATATTGCCTTGAGCTTGACTTGATTTCCAGTCAAATCAAGTGGTTTGAAAATCGAATTAAGTTGTGAATATCTAGGTATAGTAGCATAATAGCTCCAATTTTGTAAATAGCAACTATATCTGAATTAATCTGAAAACTATTTTCCACTTTTTAGTTCGATTTGCTATTGAAGCATGCTTTTTTTAGTATTCCGAACTATAATTTTTTTAACTGTTATCTGGATGTGCTTTGGCTTCTTTTTCGGACGGGACAAAATTCCGTAGAAATTCTGGACGCTTGGTATGGATGGCACCTCGGTGTTTTGTGTGAGATCTAAATTAATTAGTATAGTGAGTGTAACTTCGATGGAAGCTCAAATTAATAATCATTGTCCTTCAATTTTTAACACATACAATTACTTATTTTCAGTCAGGAGATCAATATCCAGGTGAGTGTAAAGAACCATGTGAGGAAGACTTTATCTGCTGCCCCATATGCAACTGTTTTATACAACTTCAAGGAAAGGAGAAAGGTATGTAGACTATGCTTAGACAACCCTGAATGCACCCTCTCATCTTTAGGACCTTCATCATTCCTAGAATTCATAACTTAACATGTTACATGATAATCCCCCCTCCTTTGAACATACTCTTGTGGAAATTTGTCAACTCTTCTCGTTACTTCGGTGTACGCACAAATTTGTCCTGAACATTTTGCATAAAGCAGTGTTGAAATTCCTTTTCCGATGCACAAGTGTCTGTTGGCCAATGATGGACGTTTACGCGTAAACTTCAGTTGTCGCAATGCTAAGTACGAACATTTATCAACATTTTTGTATTGTAGTTACATGCTCTACAAGCTGCGATTACTTCCAACAACGTAAGGAAAGTTGTCCCGAATGTAAATGCAGGTTATCAGAAAGACCCTATTCAACAGATAGTACTGGAAGACAATATTTCCAAAGTTCTTGTAACATAAAGGGGTCAGAAGATAGTGTTAACTCTGGAAGAAAATCTTCGGACAAAAGTGGAGAGTCGTGGAAAAATAAACACACTGTAGAGACGGAACACTCTGTAGAGACGAAACACTCTGTATCGAGGGAAGACTCATTAGAAAGGAGGCGCTCAAGAGAGAGTGGACATTCATCGGTAAGAGAGGATTCACTAGAAAGTGTACACTCAAACAGTAGGAGGCTATCGGAACAAACTGAGGCCTCCTCAGGTAGAAGAAGTTCAGTGGGAAGTGAAAGGGAGGACTCACCAGGAAAGAAAATGTCTGGAGGAAGAAAACAGTCTGGAGAGGGTAAAGGGTCAGAAGCACGAGCAGGGAAACTGCGGCCAGCAAACAAAAAAGGTATATATTTTATGAAAATTCATCAAGGCACTGGTTCTCGTGATGGGGATGATTTATGTATTGCAATTTTTTCTATGATTCGTGTCTATAACTCCAGCACCTTGCTACAAAACTGCAACTACAACTGTCATATTACATTTTCACTGAATTGCCATTCCTCATTGCAGATTGCGACTTTTACCTGCGTTGCCTACACAGAGAATGTCACACTGCACCAGTGTTGATGCTGACCCTAACCATCCTCTTCCCGGCATACGGACAGGATATGCCTCTTGCACATCGGAATGACTAAATAGCACCTGATACCATAAGTATACAGGCAATGGCACCCACGGTGTGTGTACTATCTGAATAACAAAGTATCACAGAATAAATAAACCAGAAGCTACACTTGCGCAAATCCCCCAGTGCAATTTTCAGACACTGCCACAAACGCACACCGCCATTTACAGCGTCAGCCGGCGATAAATTTACGCGTTCTTCGTACAGGTTCGGTTCTTTCTAACAATGAAATTCCTGTAATCATTTATACTGGATTCATCTATATGCATGAAGCACAATACGTGCACAAGACTGTACGAGGGATGTCTTTTAAGTTTTGCATATGGATATAAAACCACACGGTGGGTAGTTTTAAATGACTTTATTGTTTTTCGAAGTATTCTCCACGAAGATTAATACACATCTGCATGCGCTCGTACCAATTTTCGAAGCATTTATTCCACTCGTTTGCTGGCAAATCCAAAACGGCATTTTTGAATGCGTCAACTGCTTCTTCTGGTGACTGGAACCTTTGACCACGCAGTCTGTTTTTAATTTTCGGGAAAGTAAAGAAATCGTTAGGACTTAGATCAGGACTATATGGAGGATGGTCCAATAATTCCACGTTCTCTTCCGTTAAATACTGCGAGCTTGCAATGTCTTGGTGGAGGAAGATTCTTCTTTCGGGGTTGATTTTTCGAAGCTCGGTGATGACTTTTGGCAAACAAATAGTGGTATACCAATCCGCAGTAGCAGTTCTTTGCTCATTGAGAGGAATTGTTGCAATCTGACCCGCTTTTGACACAAATGTCGCGACCATCTTTTTCGAAACACTTCGAGAACGGATGACTTTTGTTGGCTTTTCTTCACCTTGGAACACCCAAACAGCCGACTGTCGTTTATTTTCTGGTTCATAACAGTAAATCCACGATTCATCACCACTAAGAATGCTGTACACATTTTTTGAGTTTCCGGAATTGAAACGGTCAAGCGTTTTTTGATACCAATTAACCCTGGCTGCTTTCCAATGAGAAACTAATTTTCTTACTCTTAATTTTTCATGTGAAATTTTTTGAATTAAGGTCTTTGAGATCTTCAAGGACGCCTCAATCTCGCGATATGTCACATGTCTATCTTCAGTGATGAGTTTGCGCACAGCATCGACGTTTTCCTGGGTGACTGCCGTTCTTGGTGCGTCCACCCTGGGATCGTCGCTAAGACTCGCCCATCCACGTTTGAATTCTCCACACCAACGGGAAATTGTCGACTGATGTGGCGCTTCGTTGCCTAAAACAGACAGTAACTCAGCAAGGCATTCTTGTAGCGATAATTGTCTCTGAAAGTTGTAATAAATTAAGGCGCGAAAATGTTTTCCATTTTTCTAATGTCTTGGTGACACTTAAAAATTCACTGTAGCGAGAACACTGCACGTATTGTTGTGAAACTTTAAATTTAAGTTTACTAAAGATGAGGTTAAGATTCAGTACTGACGTTCGATCCGCGCGGCCTACTATGTTTCTAAATTCAAAACTTAAAAGATATCCTTCGTAAAATGCATATTGAGATGTGCTCACGATTGTATCGTTCGGTCTGAATTGTGTCAATATTAATATAAACATTTTCACAAAAGCTCTCAGTGCTATATTTTAATAGTCTCATAGCTTATTTGGACATAGTCGCACCCATCACTAACTCCACGGAAAATTAATACATGTTTTTTGATGACGCTATCGATTTATTTTGTTTATGGCCACACTATTCTGTGATAGTGCGAAATTTTCCGAGAATTTTAAGAGGAATGATTAGTTAAAAGTGCAACCAAGTAGATAGCCTCGGCAAAACCTCAAGAACGAAGTTTCAGTGATTTTTGGTATTTGGTATTTTTCTTCGCTACCACCAAAAACTAGAAACATTTCCTATCCTTAGCATAATAGCAACTTTGTCTGAAAATTTCATCAAAATCCGAGCTCTACTTCTTAAGTTATAGGCGGTTATAAAATTAGCCGAAAAACAGACAGTCAGACCGACGGACAAGAATGACATGATTTTTCGTGATGTACAAGTCATATATCATCTAATAGCATAGGAAGAAAAAAAACAATGGTTTACAATAACAATTTCCCCTGAAATGGTTCAATATTTTGTTAATGGATGCTAGAATATGGAAGAATATTTAGGTACTTCAGCAACATTAAAATTTTCGTTTTTTCATATTGCTTTTCGGGGTCGAAGATAAGATAATTCCTTTTCAAATATTAAATCGCTTATAGCTCGAATACCATGAACTCCAGAGAAAAGTTCATAAGAACCTTTTTTGTTCAGGGTGATCCAAAAATAAAAAAAAACTGTCCGAAAAAAAATCGGATTTGAAAAAATTGTTTAAACAGTTCTTGACGCAGTTGTGGACCTGGCGACAGACAATATTATCATGTATGTAGTTGTGTTTTTCTGCCATCCCTCCATTTCGTTTCAGATAAATGCGGAAAAGACCATGGGAATTTCGCGGAATTTAATAAACCTTGTGAAGACTGCATATGTGATAGTACTAAACGTGGTAGTGATGACCTCGATCTCACAGAGGGGATTAAAGATTCAGTTATAAGTAGGCACTCACATCTGAAATCACAGAGGGGTTCTGCTGATAATACAGAGGAGGTCACAGATTCGGTTATAAATAGGAAATCAGTTAAAGAAGAAGAAACAAAACTCCTATTTCCAGATAGTTGTAGAGCTTACAAGCACGGTATCTCATGTCTGATTTGTGGATGCGATCACAAAAAGCTGAGAGAAAAATCACGTTGTCCGAAAGACGGGGAGAAGGGTTGCGAACCCGGTTGTGAATATTTTCAAAGAACAGGTGTGGGATACCCTGATTTCAAATGCGAAGAGGTTGAAGATATTTTGCAACTAGTCATTGACAAAGCCCAAGACATAGTGGAACACGGTGGGAGGAAGAATCGATTTGGGAGCCGTGAATCTCGTAGAATGTTTACTTATGAAGGCTCTATGAGTAGCACCAAAGGTAGCAGTGATGTGTCTCCGAAGCCGAGGCGAAGAAAGTCTATGCAGTCACAAGATAGCAACAGAAGCTCAACTAGATCGAGCTTAGCTTCAGAAGAGAAGGCCAAGGGAAGCTGTTGTTGCTTAGATTGGGAGGATTTATCTGTTATGGCAAGTTGCTTTGCTTCACATGAGGAACTTGTGAGATGCTCAGCAGCAGAGACTAGAAAGCAGTCAACGGCATCCAATCGGAATAAATATACACATAGTCTACATAAAGATTCTGTAGTTTCTACGAAATCAAGATCGTTCTCAACTGGAGAGCAAGAGAAGACAGACAAAGATAAAAAGGGATACAGAAGTAACATGAGTACTGACTCACTAGAAGCGGAAGATGTGCCCAAAAAACGGCTTAGCTCCGGTACTAAAAAGGGTACAAAAAAGGCTGCTAGTTCGTCCGGAAAGAAAAAAGATGGTACATCTGGAAAGAAAGCTGCGAGTCCGTCAGGGAAGAAAAGTGAGGGCAAAGGTGCATTCTCTAAAGACTCAATGAAAATGTCAATCGAATGTAAGCCTATGAAACTTTGTGGAAGAGGCAAAACTTGTTTTGCAGAGAGGTCATCTAAGTGTATGACAGTTAAAGTGCTCGATTGTATCAATGAGTGCTTTAGTAGAACTACAAATATATCTGGAGCAGATGTTGACTGCGGGTGCTATGACAATGCCGCTGTGGTTGACAAGCAAGAAAAAAGATGTACAACCGCCGGTGCTTGTGATGCAGAGACCAATACGACCGAAAGTTACAAGACTCCTTCTACTTGTGCAGTTGAACAAGATATCATTCAGCAGCTCACGAGAATATCAGTAGAGATAGAAAACTTACGATGTTGCAGTCAATCTACTACCAAGATATTGTCTGAAGTCAGTATTCCAGCACCAAATAGCAGGGCTTCATCTTCACTGAAATCAGTTACCTTTTCTAGCTTGGCAGCTTGCAGCCCATGTCTTCCATCCTCTGGTATTGAAGAGAGAAGAAATGGAAGTTTAAATGAAAATGAAATTGGAGAACCCATGAAAAAACAAGTTGGAGAGCCCAAAGATGAAAAAAACCTAGAAGTTGTTAGTAAAAGTGTTCCTGTAAATGTCCTTTCAGGTTCTGGATCCGTTCAAGATTGGAGTTGTCCGTGCTCTGGTCGTTTTGGGTTTTGCGATTGTGACAATTCTAATGTTGAGCCCACAAGTGATCTGATACGTGATGATAACAATAAGTGCATCAGGAAATTCGGTACACCGTGTGCTGGACGCAACAGTGATGAAGAGATAAGAAGCACTGGAAGTTTAGATAGAAATCAAGCTGCAGAACCCACGGAAAAACAAATTGGAGAGCTCAAAGATGAAACTGTAGACCCAGCTGCGCAAGAAGTCAATAAAAACCTAGAAGTTGTTAGTACAAGTGTTCCTGTAAATAACCTCCCGGATTCGGGATCAGGTCAAGTTTACAGTTGCCCTTGCACTGGTCGTTTTGGGTTTTGTGATTGTGACAATTCTGATGTTGAGCCCATAGGTGATGAAGAGATAAGAAGAAGTGAAAGTTTAGAAAAAAATCAAGTTGGAGAACCTAAGCAAAAACAAGTTGGAGATTCCAAAGGTGAAAATGATCCAGTCACGCAAGAAACCAATAAAAACCTGAAAGTTGTTAGTGCAAGTGTAAATAACCTCCCAGATTCTGGAACATGTCAAGAGCCTACAAGTGAACCGCCAAAGTATATTCTGACAAGTAATGATAATAGTGAGCTTATGAAGAAACTCGGCACACCATGTGCTGGAGACAACAGAGATGAAAAGGTTGCGAGTGGGGGGCGATGTTTGAGTTTTGAAAGACGTGTTGAAGCTGATATGCGGAAAGCTGGAACTATAGACCGAGATACGCAGGTAAGCAATAGGATAGAAGGAACAAGTAAAGCCTTTTGTTTGTGGGGATCTGCAATTTATACCCAACAAAGTGTAAGAATACCCTTGTCCACTTACAATTTCTCCCTACAATTTAGCTGAATTTATAATGGAGAATCTAAAAGGGCAATGTTTGTAGTTCAGCTATAGTTTAGTCATATCAGGTATGCATTGGGAATATTGTTTGCAATGTGTAGGCTCATAACGGGTCAGAAGAAATTGTACGCATCGCGACCGTTTACGTTACTTACATTACATTACTTCAAATCGGGTTCCAATTATTTATTAATCCGGCAGCTCTACATGAAAATAGGTTGGAAATGTTGAAAAATATGAACGGTCAAGAAAAATATTGCCTATGTGCCGCGACATTTATTCAAATATCCTCAAACTGACAGACTATAACCACAGAGATTAAATAAGTCGTGTAACATATACTAAGTGACATATAAATCCGAACACCCAGTTTAAATGGTTTTATTTTAATAAAACTTTGTATAAGTACTTAATGAAGCATAATAAGTAAATGATAAAAATTTCAAAATAATTGCAGTGCTTTAAAGCCCTTTGACCTTTAATAATGTGTGGATGCACCCTGATGTGCTACGCATTCTCCAACGCGCCTAGGCATGCTTCTGATCAGGTGGTCAATGTCCTCCTGCGGTATCTCATTCCAGGCAACCACCAACTCCTCTCGAAGTGCTTCTAGAGTCTGAGGAGGACGTTGCAAATTGAGCAATCTCCTACCCATCATATCCCACTAGTGCTCAATTGGGGATAAGTCGGGAGATCTTGGTGGCCATGGTAACAATGTGACATCATTATGTTGAAAGAAGTCTATTGTGACACTTGCAACATGTGGTCGGGCATTATCTTGTTGGAAAGTTGGATCTGCCAGGGTGTCAAGATAGGGTAAAAGATGGGGTTCTAGAACTTTGTGGATGTAACGCTGCGCGTTCATGTTACCTCTGATGAAGATTAAAGGTGACCTGGAACCATAAGCTATAGCACCCCCAAACCATATCTCCAACAGTGTAATGAACATGTCTGTCAACAAAAAACTGTGGATTCCTCCTTTCACCACGTCGCCTTCTAACCCTGGCACGACCATCGTGCATGCCTAAACAAAATCGAGACTCGTCACTAAAGACAATACTGTTCCATTCCTGATTCCAGAGTGACCGTTGTCTGCACCACTCAAGGCGATTACGTCGGTGTTCTCGAGTTAAAGGGAGGACCCAGTGTGGCCGGTATGAAAACAAGCCAAAACTTCTCATTCGTCGGTAAACACTTCGCATGCCAATAGGTATTCCGTGTTCTGCAAACTATTCATTTGCAATGGACCTGGTAGTGGAGAAACGGTCCCTTAAGGCCAATAATCTTAGGCGGCGATCTTCACGGTCTGTTGTTCTACGGCGGCGTCCAGTGCCCCTTGCTCTTTGCGTACTGCCTTCTCGAAGCCATGCCTGACAACACCTAACCACAGTGTCTACACTTCTTTGCACTCTAACTGCAATTGCCCGAAAAGAAAGTCCAGCTTCCCGAAGTCCCACTATACGGCCCCTATCAAACTCACTAAGTTGACGAAGTCGTACAGGTCTCCGTACTCTAGGCATCGAAACCGATCGTAAAGGATGTCAAGAACCAAAATCCGCCAACTCTGATTCTTTACTGCGGCTGGAATATTCATTTTTAGAGCGTTAGTGAATTAAAAAAAAGCAGTATAAAAACCGGAATGTCCAACTGATAAGGCTCAAAATTTTTTCACTTGTATTTATAGTAAGATAAATACATTCACCAACTTTTATTAAAATAAAACCATTTAAACTCGGTGTTCGGATTTATATGTCACTTAGTATAAATACCATTAAGATGAATCTCGTTTGAGCGAAGTTGTGGACGAAGCTACACATTCATTAAAATTTTCAGGTTGGCGAATCCTGTCTATGTATTGCCCCTGAATCATATTCAAAGGAGATTTGCCTGAAGAATTTATGTTATTATGATGATTGCACTGATAAGAGCGTTCCTAGAAGCATCTCATCGGATAGCTTGGATTCTGATTGCAAGGTAAAATCAGTGAAGGAAAAGACCAAGCTTTGTAAGAAACATCTCCATGTCTCTGTAGATGATATTTACAACATGTCCAAAGATAAGGTAAAGACGGCATACAGAAAACATGTAACTGATGAGAGTGATGAGAGGTCATTTTATCATTGAGAATAATGCCCATTTTCAATGTTTATACAAACGTTTTTTCGAAATTTTAACAACATCCATCCTACGTAGCTTCAGGTACAAGGATGTACTTAGGGCGGGACTCAATCTTCCTCCAGAACTTGAAAGCATATTAGAGGTTTCACCTCGAAAGAGGGATAATTAATCTGTTTTCCTCGTAAATTTCTAACAGTTGGGTTTGATAGCTCACCACTTTGGGAGTACGTTTTAGCATAAGTTGATTCTTGAATATGATAGTGAAGTGAATATTCTTAGATAGTAGCAATACTACCGTTTAGTCACAAAAAATAGTGAAGGAAAGAGTTACCTACTATAGGGATTCAACCCGGCACCTTCAGGTGCTAGGCTTCCGCTTTCCCACTGTGCCAGTCCACATACAGCTACTGGGAACCTGCATGTTTTTTCTGCGTCTTTGCGGATCCTTTCTATTTCTAGAAAGCTCAGGAACAAAAAAGCTGCTGGTGCATACCTAATGAAGGTTTCCAAGGCATCAGCATTAAGAACAAAATGGACGTGAATTTCTTCGGTGTCTTAGGGACAGATACGCATGGCTACCACTATTCAAAGACGAAGAGATATAAGAAACGCGGCAGCTCAGCAATTTTTCAGCTTGTCAGTGAACCTTCGACGGCGGAGAGTGATGCTTTATCTCCGAATGGTGGTAAGATGTTTCTCGTAGATGATTAGTACACTACATACAGGGTGGCGCATCGAAAACGAAACAGACGCATTTACTGGCAGCAAAGTTTTTTTTTTAAAAACGCTCAGACCCGTCGATTTTGTTTTCGAGGGGGACACAAGTTTGGCAAAAAATCACGTTAACACGTACAGCCCCCTGGGCGGGGGTGACACCAACCCTAAAATCCTAAATGGAAAGGGGGTCGAGTGATACCTTATTTTAAAGGTCTTTCAATTCCCTTTATAATGATGTAAAATACATGAGCTTATAGTAGACTTTAATAGGTACATCAGATTAGTTTGTACTACTTTCAGAAGAAATTTGACTAAAAGAATTTACTTAATAAGTAAATGCTTTTCTTCACTGCGCCCATGGTTTGTTTACCATTTTGTTGTTGAAAATAGCTATTGGAGCGTTTTTTTTGTGGCAAAAAAGTTATTTCTTGAAGAAAGATAAGGAAATATCTCATACTTATTTCAAATAGGAATTTAGTACATAGTTTGCGATTGATTTGACCAAACTTTGTTGCTAAAATAACTTGTAACGCTTTATTACATAAATTAACCATGGTATATTCCACAGCAGAAAGAGTTGAAATTATCGAAATATTTTTCGGAAATAATCAGTGCGCTAATAGAACAGCAGAAATATTTAATGAGCGACATGAGAACAGTAACGTGCATCGAAAATATGTTCTAGAACTTGTAGCTAAATTTCGGGAAACTGGGTCAGTTGCCAATAAAAAACGCAACATTGAAGATCCCATAAGGAACGAAGCAATAGCACTGGGGATTTTAGGGCAAGTTTATGTAGGTCCTACGTTAAGTATCCGCAAATTGGAGACTGTGTGTGGTATTAGTCGACGTACTGTCCAACGGATTCTAAAGGCCCATAGTTTTCATCCGTATAACATTCACCTGGTACAAGAACTTAATGAAGACGAATTTGATCGGCGATTACAATTTTGTGAAGATATGAGCGAACGAATTATAAACGATGAACATTTTCTAATCAACACTTGCTTTTCCGACGAATGTTCCTTTTTTTTAAATGGCGTAGTAAATCGTCATAACTGCCGATATTGGTCCGATTCTAATCCCAGAATTTATCATGAGGTTCATACACAGCAGCCACAAAAATTAAATGTTTAGGCTGGTATTTTTGGCGATCATTTAGTTGGTCCTTTTTTCTTACCTGGAAATTTGACCGGTGAAATGTATTTGGAATTACTGGATGACGCCATAGATCCTGCATTAATAGCCATAACTGAAAATCAGAATGATCGGCGGTACATTGCGAATAGATTGATGTTCCAACAGGATGGTGCCCCACCACATTACCCATTACGTGCTCGACAATATTTAGATCAGACGTTTCCAGATCGATGGATTGGTAGAAGAGGTGCCATTAAATGGCCCCCAAGATCGCCAGATTTATCACCTTTGGATTTCTTTATGTGGGGTCATTTAAAAAGCAAAATCTATGCTACTCAGCCAACATCATTAGAAGACCTGCGACAAACAATTGTGAATGAGTGCCTTCAAATTACTTCTCAAATATTGCAAAATGTGCTGCAACGTTTTGAGCAAAATCTTTATTATTGCATGGAGAGTCTTGGTGGCCATTTTCAACATTTACTTGCCTAACGGGTCAGTTCATTCTTCATTTTTAAATTACTTTGCTGCCAAATGTATTGATCTCCACTAATGATGTATTAGTTTTATTTAAGCTTTAAATCAATAAATCTTAAAAACTAATTAACTGAGGTACATTAATTTTATATCAGTATAAAGGGAATTGGAAGACCTTTAAGATTTTGGGGGTGGTGTCAGCCCCGCTTAGGGGGCTGCACGTGCTAACGTCATTTTTTGCCAAACTTGTGTCCCCCTCGAAAACAAAATCGACGGGTCTGAGCGTTTTCCAAAAAACTATAATTTATTTATGGAAAACGGCACTATTGACCACGGTTGCGCTGTCTATTGTCAGTACGATGTATTCCATTTTCACAAGATTATTACTCCAATTGCTTCTGCATTTTGAGCTGAAGTGTGTCCTGTTATCTCTATAACAAGGGAAATGTTTTATGTGTTTAAGAATCTGATTAGCGGGAAAAAACTTCTACTTAAAATTCATATAAGATATTTTTAATGGGATAATCGGGAAAAGTGATAATTTATATTAATAGTATTGATTATTGCTGTTTGGACTGTAGACATTCAACGCTCCCTTACAGTATCAAACAATATTTACAAAAGCTAGCATTCATGACGGCCATTTTCTAGCTATAGAACCACAACAATGCAAAATCAAAACATGTTGTGAAACAACACATAATCTTTTTTCCGTTGCGCACAATTCTTTCATGCACGAAATAATTTCTTGGACAAGTCGTGCGTGCTACTGTTTCACCACTTTTACTCATACTTAACAGCTACACAAACGTAACATTTTTGTTTTTGAAAACAACAGTTTCCCTGTATTGTTTCACACTTCTGATTCTTTACCATGACCAATAATGCACTCAACATTTCAAGCAGTGACACCGCTATGCGATTTTAAAACAGTTACTATAGATCGCTTCCTTCAGATGGCGTTCAAAGTACCGTACAAAATCATGTATAATGCTTGATGCTGATATTTTTTATGGAGCAGTATTTATGTAGCAATATTTACCTATTACTATGGCAACTATATCCTAGACAGGAATCATCTTTATGATTTTTGAGGTCACTAGTCAAGATGGTAGAGTTCATGTTGCATCATCAATTAGGTACCAGGTTTTATGGACGTGTTGAACGAAAAATATCACTGAAACTGCTCCTCGACCGAAAAAGCTGTAAGCGTGGCGCGCCTTTATGTGTCATTGGGTAAAGATATGCCTCCTCATATTCTTTATGAAGATTAGTTTTTAGCAAATTTCTTCAACCTTTATGATTCTACGACTTTTTAGAATAGATAGATAGATATGCTTTATTGTCTGAAGATAAATAGCATATTTGGATCTCAAGTAAAACTCACACATGGTATCGTCAGCAAGTACTATGAATTTACCATTTATGTTTAGATTTATTAAATCGTAATATAAACTAAAAATAGGATCGTGCCTAGAACTGATCCTTGAGGTATCCCATATTTAATTTATTTGAAGTATATTTTGATCCCATCTCACAATTTTGGGTCGATTATTTGAATATAGACTATATAAAATGATAATTAATCGTTTCATTTCAGCTGTCAATTACAATTCTAATAAGAGACGTGGTAAATGTTGTCATTGATAACAATATTCGTAAAAGAAGAATGCGAAGTGAAGCCAGTACAGCACAAAAGGAAGGTGTGTAATAATGTAAGATCATCAAAACATGATAATTTATCTACATAATTCCATTTTTCAGATTAGAATATTTCCATTCATCCCATTGGCGTATAGTTTTTCCATCAATTTTGGATCATCTCATCACTTTACAGTGCACTGTGATACACAAGGCTAAACATACGTAGGTCTCCTACTATAAGTTCATATACATTTTGAGGAATAAAACACAATGAATACAAAAATAGATTTATTGTCTTAATTATTACAGTACAAAACAACTTACGCTAATCTTAATCTATCCTCTTGCCTTTGGGGCAACACATGCCAGCATATCTGAAATAATACATCAGTTGTAATAAAGTTTGTAACCAGATGACGTAGATATTATAGGGCAAAATTTGTGCTAATCTAGTCTTTATACACTTTGGTTCATCCCTTCATATGTGATAGAGACCGGAACAGATTGTTTTAAAAATGAAGTAAACCATAGCTGAATTTTACTTTTATTAGCCTTCAGATGTTGCGAGAACCCCGATGTTTCATTGACATGACTCCCTGACATCAGCACGGTCCATCAGGAGTCACATAAGTGGCATCTTGAAAACCAGATGTTTTAGGCCACATGTTTATATAACTTTTCTACTTCAATTTTGTTCAGGAATACGTCCTTGTAATTACGGCCTATCATTTTTCTTTGAAAGATTAGATCCTGATAGTCATTTTATCTACGACAAGACAGAAAAGTGCTCTATGAATAGGTTCTCTTGGCGTTAATTCCCACTTTGCAGCTCATCGACGTCTTTATGCCCTAGGTCGGTAAGATAACTTCAGCATCCAATAAGTATAGATTAACCAATATCGAAAACCGAGTCGCCATGTCGACGTGGCCAGTCAAACTAATATATGGCATATATTCTCGCGTCGCCAGCAGGTTCGACATTAGGAGCTGGCATATATTTCAACAGGTTAATTTGTCTACGGATGCTGGTAACCTCGATATAGCGTCCTAATAAGGAAGGACTCTAAGGCCCGTATCGTCAGTCGTCCCTACAATTGTAGGGCGCGTTTATGGCCTCCTTGATTGTCATACTCCTTTCTTTCCTTCAAAAATTTCTAGATTACACTTGTCCCGTGTCAGCGTCAGCGCTCTCCTATTGTGAAGATATGTTTTCTTTTTAAATTGTAGGAAAGTAAAACATGATATAACTCAAAAGCAAGCACAATTTGATGCAAATAGATGTTTGTGACATAACCTCAAAATAGAGCGCTGACACGGAGAAGTAGAAAACTATGACAATCAAGGAGGCCATAAAGGCGTCTTACAATTGTGGGGACGACTGACGATACGGGCCTAAGACGGCTTCGACACTGGTATCATGTAAAAAACCTATAAAACGTCAAAAAGAAAAAACCTATAAGATGTCATCTTGCAATCTAGGTAGTTTTTATGGCGCACACAATTATTCCAAGTTTGCTCACCAGGATCGTTGTGAACGTCCATATATGGAGGAATCACTCAACTTAACTACACGCATTATTGGTTGCATATGTTTTGTGAGGCCAAATAGTCCTTGTCTGCAGTTTTTATCTCTGAGAGGAAAGTTGGTTGAATAGCAAGATCGTATCTGGATGATTATGTGTTTTGGTCTGCATGAGTACAAAATCAGTGATATCTGCTGTGTGAGAAAATCATTACTGAATATGCTGCCAATGAAGTATATCTATTGTCTGTGCCCGACGGGTTATTTTTATGTTGTGCTTCCTGAAGAGAGGTTATGTTCAAAGTTATAAATAACGAAAAACTGAGGAGAAGTACGGGCAATCATCACCGCGCCCGCGTTGTATGTAATTACTGTTAGCATATACAGGGTGTCCGCAAAGTTGGGGTTTTCCTTTACACGACGTGTAGATCTTGAAAACATAAGCAATTTTTTTTAGTACCATATACACCAATGCCTTAAGGGAACCGAGATAAAGGGCTCTGCAACATCAAAAATATCTGAATACCGTCCTGTAGCCGCGACCCGCGACATCCCCGAGTGGTACTAGGACACTAGCTCAACCCGACGACAGAACTGGGTCGGGGTCAGTGTGTCAGGTCAGTATGCAACCTTCAACCGACGGTTACGGTCACGCGTGTAGAGGTAATCGCGTAGACGAGAATCCCTCAACAAGCACTAGAGACGTGGCTAGAGAAGTGCAAGTGCAATTTTCCAGCAAGAGTGCGGTTTTGTGAGTGGTTTTTGCATCAACATGACAATAATCCGGACTTTTTGAAGTGCATATTGGTAACAGACGAATCTACGTTCACGCGTAATGAGGTGAATAACTTTCGCAACACTCATGTTTGGTCAGTAGAAAATCCGCACGCTGTCCGTCGGGCACATTTTCAACAAACATTTTCGGTGAATGTTTGGGCTCATTGGACCATTTATTCTCCCAAATCGATTGGACGGGATGCAATACGTAGACTTTTTACGCAACATTTTGCCTTCCTTGTTTGCCTGCGTCTGCTCGGTAGCGCATCAGCTGATTTCATTTTCTGTTGGAGCAGTATGATTTCGGGCAGAGACGTACCTTTCTCGTCAATTGGAGAGTGAGTACTTTTTCCTTTATTCTTTTTACTTGGTCGCCCTCGTTTCACTACACATTACCTTTGTTATTTCAAGGGTAGTTGTTTCTGAAAAGGAAAACCCCAACTTTGGGGGGGGGGGTGTTGTAGTTCGATACTGTACAGTGAATATAATTATTTCTTATCTCTCACATTTTTGAAATTCATCAAATTTGTATATGTAATTTCAAGAACGGATAAGAAAAACTGGATGCGTAACTAATTTCTAGCTTTAAATCTCGGTTAAGTAAATTTGAGACAAGAACCCAATTTAATTATCATCAACACATAGAACTTACAGCTTAGACCTCCAGTAATGCCATCTCAGAAGCAGATTTTACATCACATCAGAGCCAAAGATTGATAACAAGCCTCATGACGTTTAGGCAATACAACTAAGTGCTAAGTTATCATCTTGAAGAAAAACCTACATAATGTCAAAAAAAACTAGCATAATGTCAAAAAAAATCGGCATATTGTCACTTTTCAATCGTCCTTATTCATTAGTTGCTAGGCGACAACGCAACTACCAAGAATACAATAGTTCGGTTAATACATTCCCTATTTTCAATTCTACTTAAAAGCTGCTTTAAATTTTTGTCTTTAACCAGATGTAGATGAAGTTTTTCATCTAATTACAGCGCAACAAGCATTTATGTCTCTCTGTCTCTCTCTGCCGCATAAATTCACAATTTCAAACGATGTTTTTGTGCTTTTTTGTGGTACTATTATCAGTATATTTTCATTTTGACCTTACCCTTCAAAATCACAGAAGTGTTCCTTAAACTTCTCTATATCAGTAAGGGAACTATAGAACTCGCACTGCTGCAGCAAAGTGCAAGAGCCAGGAGAACCTAAAACTGATTTGGCACAATCTGGTCTGATGTTGAGGATTTCGCCAACGCCGGATTTATAAGTACCTGAAAAAAACAAATAAATGCTAGTTTTCTTCAAGACTAACAACTTTCTGCAAAGCTATTTCGATTCAGTCTTCTAAAAACCTCTACAACTCAGTTCAAGCCTGAGAATTTCAAATTTTGAGATAAAAGATGTTATAGGACCTTTTTGATAAAATACAAAGTACTACCACAACCATTGTCAAAATTTGAATATCAAATATACCAATGAATGGGGTGTTCCTTATTTAAATAATATTAAATTATGCAGCTGAAATAGTTGTTTACAAACATTTTTGAAGGATGGTCCAGTTCATCTTCATCCGTTCGCTCGTGTGTTGGAAAAATACGTTTTTGAAATCCCGGAATTTATGACGTGGACAAAGCGGGGCCTAGACGAACTCAGTGGCGACGCGTGACTTTTCCTAAACTGTTACCAAAACCAGATGTGAAAAATCTTATTAAAAAAGTTTATCTTGAACCTCCCAAATATAAGTTTTTGCTTATTTTAGGTATTTTATTTATTTTTAAATTAAGGTAAACATTCCTGGACTGAGCGTCTGTGGCACTTGGTAGATATTCATAAAAATTTTGGTGATTTTATCGAAAGCATTTGGGTTAAATTGGTTGCGGGTAAGTGTGAACTGTTAGTAGGTGTTTTGTACCGACCACCCTCTCAAAACATACAACAATGTGCAGATTTATTAAATGGTTTCCTACCCAGCCTCTCGTTATATCATCATAACATCGTGATATTGGGAGATCTGAATATGATTTTTTTTAATAACAATATATTCTCACTGAGTTTTGAGCTGATGGGGTTCACACAAATCGTAACGGAAGCCACCCGTGTCACAGATAGTACTGCATCATTAATCGATCCAATATTTTTAAATAATCCTCAAATGTGCAGCTATTCTTCTGTCATGGACACGAATGGTATTTCGGACCACAAACTCGTATTTTTTCAATTTGACATTCCATCTTATAAAAGAAAACAAAAATTTATCACAATCAGGTATTTTAAACATTTCAGTGAGGATGATTTTCTTATCGACCTTTCTATTGGGTTGTCGGAAAAGTCATGACGTATATGCAACAAAGTATGCAATTGCATGGTTGGAAGTACGTGAGTCAATGACATTTGTATGTTGATTGTGTAGTTTGACAGTTGACACTTTAAGCTTCATTTGCACCAAAAAATTAAGTGATTTATTTGAGTCTCATCGATTTTAGAGGACGTTGAAGATGGACGACCAAACTGTGCAATTTCGTCACATTTTGCTGTATTACTTCCGCAAAGGCAAGAACGCAAGACAAGCGTGTGAAAAGTTGAGAAAGGTTTATGGAGAACATGCACTACAAGAACGGCAATGCCAGAGATGGTTTAAAAAATTCCGAGATGGGGATTTTGATATCCATGACGCACCTCGATCAGGGCGGCCTACTGAGTTGGATAGTGACGAATTAAAGGTATTGGTAGGAGCAAACCCACATTACACCACACGGGAAATTGCAGAAACCTTAAAAATCCATCATTCAACCGTTCACGACCATTTGAAGAAACTGGGATACGTAAGCAAACTCGATCGTTGGGTACCACACGAACTGAGAGAGGTTCATTTGACGGCGCGTGTAGACATCTGCGATATGCTCCTTAAACGAGAGGAAAACGATCCTTTCTTAAAGCGCTTGATAACGGGAGATGAAAAGTGGATTGTTTACAACAATGTGGTTCGCAAACGGTCTTGGTCCCGAAGTGTAGATACGCGTAACACGATCGCGAAAGCAGAGAGTCATCAGGAAAAGGTGATTCTCTCTGTTTGGTGGGATTTTAAAGGGATCGTGTTTTTCGAACTCCTGCCAAACAACCAAACCATCGATACAACTGTGTATTGTCGGCAATTGGACAGTTTGCAACAATCCATCATGCAAAAATGTCCGGAGCTCATTAATCGCAAAGGAGTTGTGTTCCACCATGACAACGCGAGACCGCACACAAGTTTGCTCACTCGTCAAAAGTTATTGGAGTTAGGATGGGATGTGTTACCACATCCAGCATACTCGCCTGATCTTGCCCCATCTGATTTTCATTTGTTTCGGTCGCTTCAAAATTCCTTGCGAGAAATACGCTTTACTTCAGATGAAGCTGTACATCAGCACCTTGTTAAATTTTTTGCCGGTAAAGACAAATCCTTCTACGAGCGAGGAATTATGAAGCTGCCTGAAAGATGGCGAAAGGTCATCGATCAAAATGGGCAATACATTATCGATTGAAGTTTGTGCTGTATATGAATAAAATGGCCTTAAAATAAACAAAAAAAAGCGTCATGACTTTTCCGACAACCAATACATCGGGCATAGATGAATTATTTACGAAATCTAATATTGATATCAAAAATTTGGCAAATGAAAATGATTCAAAAAAATTGTGGAAGTCTCTCAAACAACTTGATTTAAATTTTCGTAGTAAACCAACCCTTCCGGCAAGTTTTAATGACCCTACCAAAATTAATGATTATTTTATGTCTGTTTATAGCTATAAACCTGTTGATTCACTAGTTTGCGAAAACTATTTCAAAAATAAATTAAGCTCTGAATATATTTTTTCATTGAATAAGATTAGTTCAAATGACGTATTACAGGCAATAGGGAGCCTAAAATCTGATGCGAAGGGAATTGATGGTATATCCCTGTCAATGATCCAGCTTTGCCTGCCAGTTATTCTCCATCACATCGTCCACATCTTTAACGACTGTTTCGAAAAAGGCTACTTTCCAAACACATGGAAACAAGCTCTAATTATTCCAATTCCTAAAAAAATGAAACCCACTGAGTATAATGATCTCAGACCTATCAGTTTATTACCAATTTTATCCAAAATTTTAGAAAAAATTATAAAGTTCCGATTGACCGCTTACCTAGAAAAATTCTTTATACTTCCCGACACTCAATCCGGATTTAGAAAAAATTATAGTACAACATCTGCCCTACTTAATCTGCAAGACAATATTTTAAGTGCCTTAAATAAGAAAATGGCACTAGCCTTAATCTCTATAGACTATTGGAAAGCCTTTGACAGCATCAATCATAAATGATTACTTGCGAAATTAAATTACATAGGTCTTGACAGTGTATCCCTTTCATTTTTCGACAGTTACCTTCATCAAAGAACTCAGTGTGTTTTTCTCAATCAAGAAATGTCTCAAGTGACAATAATTCCCTCAGGCGTACCTCAGGGCTCTGTATTGGGACCGCTTCTGTTCCTCATATATACGTTCGACTTAAGCAAAAGTATTGATAATTCTCATGTCCAGTCATTTGCAGACGATACGCAATTGCTTCATTATTTTAACCCAGATAATGTCAATAATACTACACAAATTTTACAAAACGATGTTAATAAATTAATTAAATACTCTTTAGATCACAATCTACTTATTAATCCACAAAAATCTAAAATGTTATTATTTTGCGCACAAAGAAAAACATACAATGTAACACAGCTCTTGAACATTCAGATAAATAACCAAATCTTGCAATTTTCTGATTCTGCAAAAATTCTTGGTGTTGTTTTTGATACAAAATTAAGGTTTATTGAACATGTTAAAAGTCTATCTCAGAAAACCTACCTACGGCTAATCCAAGCCGTCCGAAAAAACAGTCGACGTTTCTAGATGTTCGGAAAATTTTTGATCTTTTTGTAATGTTAACACATCCCTGTACCTTCCTCTATTGTCTTGTTTTGCCAAACTGAATTAAACTGGCTACACATCTCACATGTAACGGAGAAATTTCATGTCTCCTCTTTAGAGCCCTAAAACTATTTAAATCGTTGACTCCGCTACTGGTCCACCCATTTTTTTCTGTATAAAACAGAAGACATCGCCAACAATACAATCTGTTTTTTTGCAACCACTATACCAACCTAATTTAAAATAACAAACTACGTTTTTTTATTCTTTTTCAAAATTATCTAAAATTATCACACACGAGCCGGTACAGACGATCCCCGACTACCAAGTGTATCCATAAATGAAAATGGTAAGAACCGACAACTAAGCCGAGGCGAGTCAGCTTCATCGTGTTCGCAAAACCTGGACACTATAGGGCGCATTATTTTCGTGGGGCTAATTTTCTATTTACTGAATTACTATTACACATTGGTGGTGGTAAACAAATAAATTTAATTATCTCACAGTACTTAGTCTTAAAATATTTATTTTTAAGATTTTTAACTGTTACCAATGGTAACAATGGTTACATGGACGCTTCGCCACTGGACGAACTTTTAAATCTGACACTGCTTCGCTCAAGATTAAGCTTACGCTACGCCACTGGAATGGCGTTAAAAACGACTCAGCTGTGCCGCGAAATTCATTGAATTTTGAAGGCCAAAAGTGAAAACACCGCTTGCCTTTAAAGGCAAAATGGTGATCCATTAAAAAATGCTTAAAAAATATAAACTATTATCAACATAGCATTTTGAACTTACCCCATGGGAGTGTGATTGTACCATTTTCATGCAACAGAGGCCCAAGCCAAGTTAGATTGGATTTCAAAGTGTCTATTGGAATGTTCGGGTTGTAAATGGGTTCTACAGTGGTAGTGGCATCATAAGTTGCAGGGGTAGACAGCAGAATCTCTTCTGCAAAATCTGAAAGAAGGAAATATGTTTTATGCTCATAAATTCAACAAGTAGAACACGTGAATGCTCTCATGCTACATGCACAACACGTCCTAACTTATAACGTTTTCATGGTTACACTTGCATGGTCAAGATGGTTAACAGGAAAGTGCTCCAGCACTGGGATGAGGTTTACTGGAGGTAGGCGGAGGAATCATACAAATATTTGCTTTTAATCCCATACAGTCTCTTAAGCTGAAAATATCGCTTTACTTAAGTATCATTATTTCTTGACTTGAAACTTGTTTTAGTTTAGAGCGAATGTCAGACGATCACTATTTCCTCCTGTCCGTACCATCAGCATTTACTGATGATTTCGTCAGTATCAGTAGATTTCTAGATTACTTCATATTCTTATACATCAATAATAACTAACGTCCTGACTACGCGGTCAATAAATATCACATTCCATGTTATATACTGTCGGATGACAGTATAATACTATAATCGTGACATTCGTCTGAAATATGGTGAATGTGCTTCAAATTTTAGGTGGAGACCTCAATAGTAGCAGAGACCAGAAACTCATTCAAAAAAGGAGGATGTGGAATCTTCAAAATTGGTAAAATTTGGCTAATCCAATGACAAGTTGGATAATACACAGTGACAGTTGTCGGCCGGCTGTTGGAAAGAGTTGACAATTTTGTTAAAAGAATGCGGCAAATAGGGTCCAATTAAATTAGGTGAATTTGTAATATAGTCGAAATCAGGAAAGATGACGATTACGTCATCATTTTAGTCTGTAGTAAAGACAAACGACAGCAATTTTTTGAATATATTTAATGAAGTTTCTGATATGTTAGACAGAGACAAACAGAATTTTATTGTCTAAACAAACTGTATTGCTAATTTGCATGTATCCGAAAAAGAAAGACGATGTTTTCATGATGCATGACCGATCATATTTGAAAGATGAATAGTTAGGTTATGTTAAAGCAGGATATGTTGTTTTCGAATAATACTTTGGTCTTTGGTGTTCCTGTCTTAAGGTATTCTACTCATAACTGTTTTTTCAAAACAAAAACTCTCCACTAAAATTATTATTAAGCTATCCCTCAAAACCATGTAATAAAATGAAAATAAAAATAATCAGTGAAATAATCTAACTTCGCAAAATCATAATATAAATTTGTTGTCATCATTCCTGACATCGTGATTTTATAATCGACGTACGTCCCTTGATTACTTCAGTACAATTTAGGGTATGACGTAATAGTGATCTTTCGTGATTTTGACTATATGCAACATTATAATAGAGACGAAGTCCTATCAAAACCTGCTTTCAAATTAAACGCTTTTGCGGTGGGCCGGGGGTAGGCAAATCTGCTGTAATCGATTATGCTGTGATGTGAGAAAATAGATAGGTATAGATTCAAGTGGCCGGATCTTGAACCAAATCAAATTTCAAAGTCAATAAATAATGGTCCTCACTTGAGCGATGCAGATAACAAATGAAATCATACCCCAACGTAAACAAGAAAGGCAGACAAACACAATTGCAACATCCAAATGAAAACAGTCCATAGTGATACGTCGTCGTTTTGATCAGTCTTATCTAAATGAAGTATCGTAAGCATCAAATTGGAAGAGAGTATAGGCATATCTATATAATTATATAATAGATAAATTGGTTAAATGTGAATTAAATACAAACAGATCAACATATGTATATGCGTATAGGAAAATCTTTAGATGAGAATACGTTAAATCTTACGATTAATCACCAAAAAAATGAGTCAATCGAATCATTTAAATGTTTGGGCACATACCTAGATAGTAAATTGGAATTTGAATATATTATTTCAAAAGCATCGAATAAGATAAATTACTTTTATAGCGTTTCGCATAGCCTAAGCGTTTATTCTAAAAAAAATGTGTATAACACTATCATTCTTCCTCATTTGTTATATTGTTCGGTTATTTTGTTCACTATAAGCGAAACTGTATTTTCAAATTTACAAATATTACAGAATAAAGCTATGAGAATCATCTTAAATAAAGATAAATGTGATAGAATAAATTTTATGGTGAAAGAACTACAATAGTAAAAAATCAAAAATTTCATAACCGACTTGGTATTCATTTTCTTATTCAAGTTAAAAAAACATCTACCAAATCAATTTTATTGCATTGAACAAAGAGTACCATAGTTATTCTACTAGAGGGAGTGTAGAGTTTCATTTACAAAATTGTAATAGCAATATAACCCTGCAAGTCAGTATTTCAAAAGGGATTGTACGAATTTAATAAATTAGGTAATGATATCATGATGTGTGCCAGCTTGAAAATGTTCAAGGGGAAAAAGCAAAAATATTTCATGGAAACACCAGAATTCATAGTAGTGCAATTTTGTATAAAATATTGAAGACATAATATATTTTGTGTAACTTGGATATTGTAGCACTGAAACTAAATAAATCTAAACCAAACAGCTCATCCTATGCTACTGATAACACGGACCCTACAGGTTTTCATAATAAAAAAATTGCGGCACACATGTCTGGAGCTGTAGACGATTCGTGGGATGAACATCAGATTTTAGTTTTATTTTCAGAATTTTTGAGTCGAGCGACAGAATAATATCGAAAGGAGTCATTTTGTTCCCAAGGTACCGGCAACTAGTTTCTTCGTACTGCTCTGAGAAAATGTATATAGTTTTATCCATTCAACTTGTAAAGAGGAAACAATACAACTTTTATGAACATCGAATTAATGGGTTTTAAAAAATTGTGCAAGAAACCGCTGTTTACTCTTTAAGGAGGTGCATTTTTCCGCGATTTTAAAACGACGTGATTAAAAAAATATTGGAAAACAGTTGATAAAAGGTAAACCATATATCTCACTAGGAAAATCGTCGAAGACTTATTTTGCCATATTTAAGACGCAAAGTAACGTTTCTCATATAATACAGAGTCATCACAAAATAAAGATTTATTTGTATCTCTCTATACAATACAGAGGACTACTAAAACTTCAGAAATGGGCTTAAAATGTGAGGCTACCACTACGAGCTTCAAACAATCAAATATTTGAGTGGATATCGATATCTAATCGCTAAGCGAGAAAAATGAAAGAAAAAACGAGACAGTATTTCTGGGTTCGTGGCTAGAAGTATTGCTTCGCACGCTTCTGCGGAGTCCAAATAAATACTTTAACGACATTAAAATATTAACACCGAAGGTCTGTATTCTTCAATTTCCAGGTATCCCAATTCTCAAACTTGAAACTTGCGAATTACCTATTGCTTTGCAAATTTTGGGATGAAAAATAACCTGACAGTCAGAATGATCGGGGAAGAGTTAAATTCGACTAACACCACCGTTCACCAGATCAAGAACAACTGGGTGATAGCTAACCTGTAATGCACGTATGATTTGTGAAATTTCTGATTCTATAAATGCTTAAGCAAAGTGTAAATACTGAAAATGCACATGCGATGCGTAAATGACATTTTTTCAACGAGACTGATCGTTTGATATCTTTTATCCCCAATTTTATATTTTGTTGTGATAATTACCGGCTTTAGCAAATGATTGGCTGAAATCCATTCCAGCAGAAGCGTAAAGTCGACGTGCTGGATCTGCATAAACAGCTGGAAAAATCATCATCTGTATAAATACATGTAACACATACCTTATTTGTTGGAACAAATGTTGCCAGATGAAGCAGTGTTGCGGTAAAAGAGATTGATAGTAGTATAGATAATAAAGAATACAGCAACAGAGCTGAACTGCTCATTGTGTAGAACGATTCCTCCAAACTGATGAAATGAAATCCCGAGTACTGGAGGAATGACATACGCAATGAAAATGTTGGGTCTTTCCGCGTCGCTGCGCATCAGTGGACGCACAGCCTTAATTTTTCAGTATATGTCACAAAGGTATTTTTCTTTCATCAATTAACCGCAGCCGAGTCGAATTGGAGATAGATCTGGATGTTAAGTGGCTGAAAGATATATTCGGTACGATCTTAAAACTTCTGCAAGAAGAACTGCCTGTGCATTAAGTATCACTCATGATTCCCAACCAAGAACCAACACATATATCACTCATAAGCTAACATGAATTTTGATTTATTTTTACCTTTTCTTGGAACCGAATCACTGTCTATGTCATCGACTGGGACTCCAGGGACGCCCGAGTAAGCATACACTAAAAGATATAGGGACCATTAGGACAAGATATCATAACACTCCATATACCCTGGTAAGCCCTTTGCCCAAATACAGTCAGCAGTAGGGCGGTATTTGTGTTTGATCAAATTTTATAGAAAGGTCTGGAAGTTCATGACGCTATACCGACTCACGTTTCAATGGAGTATTAATCTGAGTTGCTGAAATAATATACTATATACTCGTATATATAGACAACTTTGAAGTTGAGTCATTAATTTTCAGATAATGATTGTAGAAGGAAGGTAAACCAAAATGTGTGTGTAAAAATAAAAAAAAAATGTTACCTTGTTTTATAGAGTATCCTCCCGACAAGTATTTCAGTGCGGACCTGTATTTGATCGTGCGGTCTTGGAGCACCGGCATGCTCTCCCCTGTGAGGTCTTAAGTCACCTGATTCACGAGCCCTTTGTACTACATTAACAAAGGCACGAGGGGTTGGTTGCACTCGATTGAGAAACCGATTCGCACAAATCCGTGATGCCGAGGTAGCATTTTGTAAAGACTCCCCCCCCGTAAATAAGAATCATGTCCACAAGTTCAGTATTTTCGTAAACATGTGCCATTTTTTATTTCGTTTGAGCCACGCAACAAACACCACTATTCACTCACGCGTTACCGAATGACGAAAAACATCGTGATAAACGTTTCAAATTCTTTCGCTTTTTTGTTTCCGATGCGATGAACCGATATATCCGTTGTTGCCAAACACGAGCACATAATATTATTATTGAGACAGGGCGGTACTCAAACTTCTAAAGGGCTATAACTTTGTTTCTTTAATTTTACCAGAAAAATGTTAAAGGAAAAAACATTTCTTTTGATCAGATCTACTCACTGTTAAAATAAATGACTCAACTTCGAAGTATATCTGTATATACAGGGCGTACTTCTATGATATGCGAATATTTAAGGGTTTGAACCTACATGGAAAATTAATGTTAATTTGTTTTATAAACTATGGTCCAAAAATGTTTCCTTACAGAAACTCGGGGTGTTGAAGTTTTAGGAAAAAAATGGAAATTAATTAATATTTTCAGAACCGCTTCAGATATTTCACTGATATTCTGTACGTAGTGAAAGTTAATGAAGCTGCATATATTTAAATGCAAAAATAATTTTTAGCTTTAACAGTGGCGTGCGTTCGGGTATTGACTTCGATATTTTTTAAGAAAAAAATAGTACGCTGGTCTTTTGCCAAATAAAAATTATTTTTGAATTTCCAGTTCAATTTAAAATAAACGATCTCTCCTGAATTGTTTTCTTCCGATGCGCCATTTTTGAGTAAAAAAATAAAAACCGGTCTGTTGTCTAACTTGCAAAATTATTATTAATTTAATTGGAAAAATTAAACACATTAGGGGTAATGAACAACAACAACTGACAACGTAAATATAACACTAGAACCAACGTAATGATTACAAAAATTGTTGAAAATGGCCCCTTCCACTTAGTATGCATGCTTCCGCCCTCCTTCTCATGGAACTGCGCACTCGTTGAAATATCCCTGGAGTGTTCTTTATTCTATCACAAGCTGCAACTATTCTTTCTCTTAATTCTTCTACAGTGTTAATGGGACTTGTGTACACTAGTGTCTTAAGATAGCCCCACAAAAAGAAATCTAAACTGTTGATCTGGGGTCCTTGGTGGCTATTCCTGGGGCCCACCGCGGCCAATCCAGCGATTTGGATAAACGGTTTACAAATAATTTCCAACAGCTACACCGAAATGCGCTGGTGCACCATCATGCATGTACCACATATTGTTTCTTATTACTAACGGAACATCATCAAGTAGCAAAGGCAACTGTTGTTGAAGAAAATTGAGGTAAGTCTGTCTGTCAAGTAGTTCCGGCCAGAAGAGTGGGCCAATAAAGTGGTTGCCAATAATTCCTGCACATACGTTAACCGAAAATTGGTGTTGGAAATGGGTTTCGGTTACGGCATAGGGATTTTCTTCTGCCCAGAAATGATTATTGTGGAAATTCTGAATGGCATTTCGAGAAAAATTAGCTTCGTCCGTGAACAGAATCATTCATTCAAATTGCGGATTTTGTGTAATTATTTGAAGATACCACTGACAAAAGGTCACACGCATTGGAAAATCAATGGAAAGCAATGCCTGTACTCTTAAAATATGGTAATTAGGATATAACAAAAAGTCCACTAAAATTCTCCAAACAATTTGATGGCGAATCTTTAAGTGGCTTGCGATCTTCCTCGTACTCGTTTTAGGATGTTCTTCGACTTCGTGCAGCACTGCTTCCTCAATTTCAGGTGTTCTCACACTTAGAGGTCTACCGTCAGATGTTCCTTTTCGGACAGAACCAGTTTCATCAAGACGACGATGAATATTAGAAAAGGTTCGACAATCTGGCAAAGCACGATCTGGATATCTCTGGTGATAAATCCGTCTGGCTTGCTCACCATTACCGTCAGCAAGGCCATATACGTAATGCATTTCCGCATTTGAATAATTCACCATTATTAACAAAACTAAATAATGAAAACGATGTCATAGCGAACAGATTTGCATAACAGAGACTTGACAGGTGTCAAAAGCCAGTGACATATTCCAGAGCAACTAGATATTTATTGCTAAATTGTATTCTTCAATTATTACATTATTATTTTCGGAAAATAGAACGGTTTTTATTTTTTTACTCAAAAATGGCGCATCGAAGGAAAGCAACTCAAGAGTGACGATTTGTTTTGAATTGAACGGGGAATTCAAAGATTAATTTTTAGTTGGCAAAAAATTATTGGCGTACCATTTTTCTCTTAAAAAATATCGAAGTCAATACGCACGCTACTGTTAAAGCTAAAACTTAATTTTTGCATTGAAAGATATGCAACTTTATTAACTTTCACTACGTACTAAATATCAGTGAATTATCTGAAGCGGTTATGAAAATATTAATTAACTTCCATTTTTTCCTAAAACTTCAACACCCCGAGTTCTTGTAAGGAAACATTTTTGGACCATAATTTATAAACCAAACTAACATTAATCTTTTATGTAGATTCACACCCTTCACTATTCGCATGTCATTAAGGAACACCGTGTATATGGTGCTAGTATTTGATGTTATGAAGTGTAAAAGAGAGCACATGGCAAGGTCATAAAAAACTGGATTCACGTTGAAAAAATGATGCACAACATGGCTATACAATGCATACGGATTGGGACAAACATTAATCAAGTAAATTTTCTTCAAACTTCCCAAAATTGCGTCTTGCAATAACCTAAAAATGCTAACGTGGTCGAGAGGTTAAATTTGTGTGTTCGATTAATGGAATTTGGTGCAAACCTCCGCTCTTCAGTTTTTCAAATAGCAGCATTTTATGGATGATCTCCCCCCTCCCCACCGCTCTTCATTTTCCAAAACCAAGCAGAGCTCAAGTAAGGTGCCACCCCCTCTTCAATTTTCAATCACTGGCAAGTTTTTGATTTTTGGTGTACTGCCTACCGAAAAAATTCAGGATCTACCTAAAAATTTCGCACAATTCGTCCCAAAATCAGATCGCATACAACAATGGGTTTATATTCTATTTTCACTATGATTCAAGCGGGTATTGGAAACATTTCTATCATTCTGACTATTAAGCGAAAATGTACGTGAAAATGTGGAAAATCTATGTGTGAAATATGTAGGTGGATGTTGGAAACGGGTAAATATTCTAATGCAAAAAATATGTGCCCTCCCACACACCCCACAGCCTCCCACCCACAATCTTCACCAAATTCCAATTTCAAAAACATACGCGAACATCGGAAACGAAGTTTGAAGATTTGTATTTTTTGGTATTTCTAACCGTAATTCTGCCGCCACGGGATTGATCTTCAGAACCTAATATTTTTGTCCATGGAATAGTAGTAACCTGGTGCAAAGGTTCCATCAAAATCCGAGCAGTACTCTCCGAGTTAACAAGGCACCAAAAGTGATCGCACATACTAACAGGCAGACAATGTAATTCTCATTTTCGCGATTACAATATTTCATCACCATTTGGCGTTGGAAATAAAAACAAATTAAGTGTTAAACACTCACCTGGCATTGGTGCCATAGGTGAAGCAAATCCTCCTGCTCCAAATGCTGAAACAGAATAAAAATTTCGTATAATCTATGTCGAGTCGTACATCTTGAGGAACAATGTGAAATTCAGGTCTTCAGTGCGAAAAGCAGGCTCATGCACACGGGGGCTTTGGAGGTTCAAATGTGATCCAGGAGGGTCTTCCGATGAATCAGTTCAAAAGAAATACAGGAGTGTCTCGCTATAAATTGACCCACCTTCAACTTTTTTGTGTACCTTTTAGAAAAAAGTTTTATACCAAAGCTATAGGATCCAACGTTTCCATGCAAGAGCGATTCTGTACACAGGGTGTTTGAAAAAAGATGTCATATTTTGACAAATAGAACACCCTGTAATATCCTCAGTGCAAATGATTAACCGTTTTTCTGTTTTCAAATATACACTGAAAACAGAATACCACGTCGAGAAGAGTGAAAAGCGTGCAATACGTGTGTTAGAAAGAGACCAGAGGCGATGACCTGTTAAGAATCAGGTTCTATCAACGCCAACTTGAGTCCTATGCGTTTCGTAGGATGTCAACTCTTACTGTGAGATTTAGGAATGTTCGATTTACCCATTTCTACTGATGTTGTTGGTGGTTATATTCAATATAAAAACCTCTCAAAAATTTATTTTAAATGCATGTGATACAATGATAAACTTCTTGATTCTGAAGTTTGATGACATTTGGACAGCTTGGGATTTCAAATAACCCATTAGGAAAAAATCACAAGGGTCCGGATTGGAAGAGCGTGCCGGCCATTCCAAAGCATCCCTAACTGAGATTAGACGCTCTGGGAGGTGTTCCCTCAAAACACCAAATGTTCTATCAGGCCAACTCATCTCGCCACTTTATTTTCCTCAAAGAACCAGGGACCAATAATTACAATTGGGGAAATTTCAAAGCACAATGTGGTTGAATGCAAAGGCCTTTGATGCAATTGCAAAAGCTCACTCCTCACTGTTCGAACGCATGATGGCGACCGAACTGTTCCGGTTCTCGAACGACATCAACCGACTGAATGGCGCGCGTTATAATAAAGGAAGTTATACTACAGGGTGGGCCATTTAAAGTGGAAGCATTTGTTTATAAAAAAATATTGTTTGTTCTTCATTTGAAAAGTCTTTTATTTTGATCCAAAGAGATTTGTTGTAATTACTTTTCAAGAATGATATCGCGCAAATGGCCACCTCTGGTCTTGATAACCAAATGTGCTCTTTTTTCGGCGTTTTCCATCACGTTGGACAATGCTTCGGCGGATGTGACGAATATTGTTCTTGACTGCAGCTAGAGTCCTTGGCTTGTTAGCATAAACCTTGGATTTCAAATAGCGCCACAAATAAAAGTCTGGTGGCTTTAAATCAGGTGATCTCGGCGGCCAGTCAAAATCTCCATTTTTCGATATCAGCCGTCCAGGGAACAATGGTCGCAATAAATTGATTGTTGCTTGAGCTGTGTAGCATGTGGCGCTATCCTGCTGGAACCAGTAATCGTCCATGTCATTTTCACAAACAATTATCGTAAAAAAATTCGTTATCATGGCTCGATAACGCTCACCATTGACCGTTACCGCAGCTCCATCATCGTCTTCAAAAAAATTCGGCCCGATGACCATACGAGTATTCGTGCACATACCGCACCAAACAGTAACTTTTTGGACATAGAGAGGCTGCTGTTCGATTAATTGAGGGTTTTTGGTAGCATAAAACCGACGATTCTGTTTACTTACGCCTCCATGTAACGAAAAATATGCCCCGTCGGACATGATGTTTTTTCGTCAAAAGTCATCTTGCTTTTAGGCCATTTCAATGTTCCATTTAGCAAAATCAAAGCGACACGGATAATCAGCTGTGGTAAATTGTATGGAAAAATCTTCAAATCCTTAGAATTATGCGTCGGAGAGTATTTTGAGCGATGCCTAACTCTTGAGAACGATGGTGGCCGGATGTTGATAGAGTTTCTTCAACACTGGCTCGTACGGCATCGATATTTTCATCGGAAGGTTTTGTTCGTTGTTTGGATAGGTGACTGGCATTACTAAGACTACCGGTGTTCATAAATTTTGCGTATAAACGTCTGATAGTGTTATCATCTGGAGCACTTTCAACTTTATTTTTTTTACGAAACGCAAGTTTAGTTTTTACGATTGAGAAGTTATTTTGAATGTACACCTGAGGAATTTCAGCGCGCTGTTTTGGAGTGTACTGTTCCATGGTTAAAATTGTACTGAAATGACGCTTTCAACGCGGTATGACATTAGTCGATCTGACAACTAATGTCAAAGATATAGTGTTGCTTGATGCTATCACTTTAAATGGCCCACCTTGTATATACCCTATACCCTATATATAATCTGTGCCAAAACTCCTTCCAGGAGCGAGTCACGCTCACGGCCCTGAGAATAAGTAATGCGGAGAAATGTACAAACATTTTTTTTAAATTGGGTCCTTATCAATTTCTGTTACATTATTACCGCAGAGTTGCTATTTTATACGAAAGATAAACGTGACAACTGTAATATTAACCGATATACTGCGTGAAATTTATATGATTCAAGCTGATTAATGGCTACATGATCTGTGAGTAGTAGAAGCCTAGGAAGATGGTATGGCAGATGAGGATTTCGATAGAATTAAGCAGTACATACCTCCACCGGAAAAACTCAACCCTGAACGGCCTAAACAGAAAATAAATACCCTTCTGTTAATGGCATGGTAAAATACTGTATATGGGATTTCAAAAATGTCAGTATTGGGCGAGGCGATTTTTGGGTCCATTGCCAAACCAATAGTTCGCCAATCTTGGCCTAAGTTAAAAATCGCTTTAAAATAGAGTAATCTCAAAATACTCTTTCAGATCTTATGGCTCAAGGCTTTATCTTAGATTTGAATATTTGGCGACCCCAAAAATTGTAATTTTTAAGGGTGTTTTTAAACATTGAATATAACCATTTTTAAGGTATTTCTCGAAAATGGTCACCTTCAGAGAAAAGCTTTTTCTGTTCGGAATGATCGAAAAGAACCAGAAAAAAATCGTCGGTAAAAAAGATTGTAATTCACTCAAAAAATTGTTTAAACGATGTGATCTGGATTACCATGCGGGTATGATCAATGCTCAAAAACTCGGTAAAACTTTAAAATTTTTGAGGTTGTCAAGTATCTAAATCGAAGTTAAAATCTTGCTCTATAAGACCTTGAAGAGTATTTTGGGATTAGTTTATTCTAAGGCGATTTGAGTCCTGTGTTTCTGTCCAGAATTGGCGAAGTATTGGTTTTCGCAGACCACCTACTATGTATCAAGAGGCATTTTTATTGCACTACATTTTTTTAATTTGCATTGACGGAATTTTACCTGCATACTTTAGCAGACATTAGCGGTGCGCGACTGATTTCTCTTACGGTAAAAATTATTCAAGAAAACCTCAATCATTTCTAAGCAATCCTCCATGTTTGTATAGCCGCTAGATGAAAGCACATAAATATGCCTGAAATACTTCGCTTCGGTCATCTCAGTATCCTTTTCCAAGTACAATTATTGATCCGAATCAATGGTATTTCAAGCACAAACCACAGGATAAGTTTCAGGTGTTACATTACTCCTAAGCCAATTTAATCGCTTATTTTTTTCAAGGTGATGCTCGGTTTAAGAAAGTAAAACATGTTTCGCTTCATGATCATAACAATATCGTTAATGTGACAAGGTCACCTTGACAAGAAATACTTTTTTAGGTGAAAACCGCGAGCCAGACTAAAGAAGTCAAGAGACCAAAACTGCTCCTGAATGAATTGAGTTTGTAATATTCTTATTTTAAAAAAAGTCAGTGGCGTGCCACTGTACCTACCTACCCTGTACCCCAAAAGTTAAAGAGACACCCTACCCCATCTACAAATTTCCATGAGGCAGGAATAGAGAATATTGCGAAAGTGCTCAAAAACACGCTACTAGTAACGTGAGCCATGATGACGTGTACATAAAGGATTTTTTCGCGAGTCCACGGTGTAGCACAGTGCACTACCGGGAACCGATACTCAAATTTTCGCGAAGAACAGGAATAGAGGAAGACGGATGTGACGTCGTCCGAATGTCAAAAAATCACGTGGTACGGGTACCCGCCTAACGTCTGTTTTAAGGATTTTTTCGCGAGATCCCGTAGTGAACCGGAGCGGGAACAAATGGAATTTCCCCTTCCTCTCGAAGTTTTGACAGTTTCAAGTTCAACCGGGAGTGGTTAGATGGCGCATGTTGTGCAAATTTTTGCTTTAAGTCCCTTGATAAACTTACCTGCCTGTTTGAATCTGACATAACAAGACCGATCGTATTTTGTGCAACGTACATATACGAGCCCCTTCCCATTCCAGTTGGCCCACTTCAAGATTTGTACAAAAATATACCTTGCAAGTGCTAAGTCCCAGTTTGTGGGCCTCTCTATGAGTTGTGTACCTCGAAATTCGCCTTCCAACAGCGTCACTCCACAGAGCACTTAATTGTAAACAATTGGCGCGCCTGTTTTTCACGATTATTCTTCTTAATGCTCTTCGGTCGGCATTTGTGATATTACTTTTTTTCACATATCGTGGCATAATATTAACTGAACAAGTCACGTTATATCTTCTAACAATATTTCTCACACTGTACCGCGATAAGTCTAACAAAGTTGCAATTTCAGAGTTTGATTTTCCAGAATTGAAAAATTTAATTATCAGTAACCGAATTTTCTCACTAATAACCTTTCCTCTACACATCTTGAAAACCTTAATTACCCAAAACTATTTTAAACGTATTCGGGCAGCTGTAATTAATAAAAACAATTGTCATGGCTTTTAGTTTTCACAGCCTCCTTTGCGTTATAGACTTATTTTGCATTGAAATGAAAATAGGTTGATATGCTGTAATTTCATCATGTGTTATTTTTATGCTGCAAATTTGATTAGGGAGTGACAAAGTTGGTGTTTTCTACTATATATTATCAAAATATTCATTTTTAATATTTTAAACCTATAACACCCTGCTACATTTTTATTATTTGTGTTTGATAAGAAAAAAACTAAGATTTCAATAGTGGGGCCAACTGAAGTGGGAAGAGGCTTGTATATCAATGAAATCAATCATTTGATATGAAAAGTGCGGTTCATATATGTTCGATGCCTTGTCCCTCGTCATTTAAAATCAGGTGGACGTGTTCCTCCATTTATGATTTAATAATTTAACTCAATTTTCGGCACTGCGAAGACAAATTTTCAATTGAATTGCCTGTTTTTAAAAGACCTGTCACCCGCTAGTACCTCTCAGACGTTAGGCGGGTACCCGTACCACGTGATTTTTTGACATTCGAACGACGTCACATCCGTCTTCCCCTATTCCCGTTCTTCGCGAAAATTTGAGTATCGGTTCCCGGTAGTGCACTGTTCTACACCGTGGACTCGCGAAAAAATCCTTTTTGTACTAGCGGGTGACAGGTCTTATGTCAATATCATTTAAAAAACAGGCATCTCAATTGAAAATTTGTCTTCGCAGTGCTAAAAATTGAGTTAAATGATTAAATCATAAAAGGAGGAACACGTCCACCTAATTTTAAATGACGAGGGAGAAGGTCATCGAAGATATATGAACCGCACTTGTTATATCAAATGATTGATTTTATTGATATACACCTATATGTACATTCCACAAAAAACGATCGGTCTTTTTATTTCAGATTCAAACAAGGCAGCTAAGTTTATCAAGCGGCTTAAAGCAAACATTTTTCGCAACATGCACCATCTAACCCCTCCCGGTTGAACTTGAAACTGTCAAAACGTCGAGAGGAAGGGGAAATTCCATCTGTTCCCGCTCCGGTTTACTATGGGATCTCGCGAAAAAATCTCTATAGTAAGTTTATTTGAGTTCTACAAGGAACTCACAGAACCGTTCTGAATCTGCGCCAAATTCTCCTGATTTCAGCGTTGCTCGCATTAAGATGGGATAGTGGTAAGTTCAGAACGGTTCTGGTTCCTCTAAAGACCCTATGTTATATAATTAAAAAATTAACGAACGATATTTGTACTCAACGTGCCCAAGTTTGCGCAGCTTTAACCGAGGTAATGTCGACATTCACTGTTACATCGCTCGGGACGACTGAACTCTCAACTAGTGGTGACCGAGATATTTCACGAACTGTGATTTAGTAACTGATATTTCAAAATCCCGAAACAGGACTGATACCAAATACTGTGAAAAAGCGTGACGAATGGCGAATAACATCATGGGATCACGGACTTACGTTTGAATGTGCGTGGGATGCGCATGTGCGCAAGCTGCTAAGATCGAGAATTGTGTACTACCGTAAAGCTCCTATAATCTGCAAGCGATATTGTCTTATAGGCTTTGGTAATAAGCTCCATGCGATTTCGTACCGGTATGTTGCTCAGGATATCAGTATACTATATAATCATTATTCAAAACTTATGATCACGTCAGGATTTTAAATCAGTGATAACAACAGTAGTCACAGATATTAAGAAATAACGATATCGGCCATATCTATTCTCTACATACCTGGATAGTTTTTGGTTATGATCGCTTCAAATTTAGCGTGATGGACCGATTGTGAATGGGGAGCTTAACGCGGCGGTCATGATACCGAGTCACAGCATCATCGTATTCGTCATATTTAGCGTACTTATGATATCAAAAAATGTGCGTTTTTAACGTCGCGCTTTAAGCATCTGTACAATTTCATCGCAGTGAGGGATAAAATTATATAATGGATTGCAACTTAACAAACCTTCTGGAGAGTGAGATTACTATTTATACATATACGTATATATTAAATAAATTGAAAAGTTAGTATACCTGTAAGTAATGTTTTGATAAATAACTTACCAAGTGGTGACCCTAGGCTAAGAGGACGAACTAAAAATAAATAACATCAATTAATGCAATAGCTAGAGAAAGCATATTTATTATACAGTGAAAATGTACATCATAAAAAAACTATTATGTCACTGTTTGTTAGTCTGTTTGTCTGTCGTCTGTCCCGTGATAACTGGTTATTCTAAAACTCGGAATGGATACAGCTTGGCATTAATTGAAATTTGTAAATTAGGCTATAACCATCCCATGATATTATAACTCTAGCAGGTATGCTCACTTCGAGATCAATTTCGTACCTCTTTGAGAATGGCGTCACTCGGTGACAAATGTTCCGCTCGTCGATACAAAATGCATTATTCTGTTAGAGCCTTTTATTTTGAATATTTGCCTAAGATTTTTTTGTGTTATAGATTTTGCATGATAATTTTAGTATCATATATAATGTTTTATTCATATCTTGCCAATACAATTTAATGAAGTATATCATTAGCGACGAAAGAATACATTGCCGTTAGAGAATATCACTTCTAAAAAATTGACAATAGACAAGTTGAAAGGTTGAATAACGACTTAAATCATTGAAAATGCGCTTGTAGCTTTTCAAACTGAAATATCTTTGTAGCTACTTTATTGAAATAAAGAAGTAAAAGGATGGAGAAAAGGTTACTGTATACATGACATCTTTATAATTTTGTATAAAATGTTATGTGTACAGGTTGTTATGGGTATGTGTTAAATAAACGTATTTTGAATTGGTAAACAGTGTTATTGGGTTTATTTTATAGTTTCAATCATTTTTCTCTTCCCAATTCTAGATTTTTCTTTTATATATCTATTTAAAATCCATATTTTAAAATACACTTTACATCTAAAAAAAAGATTCTTGGTATCTGCACTTACACTGACTGGCGTGGTTCAAGCCATTTACCATTTTAAATAATTTTTGGTCAATTTTAATGACCCTACGTTGAAAATGTCTAAAATACGGTCGAGTTAGAAAACTGCAAAAAATTAAATAGTCATTATCATAACTACGAATCTAGAGGCAGTATAGATTTTCATCTGCAAAATTGTAATAGTAGCATAACTAGTAAATCTATATTTCAAAAGGGAGTATTTGAATATAATAAATTGAACAGTATTCGAATTTAAAAATGTTCAAGGTCGAATAAAAAAGTCACTTTATGAATACTCATGCATAGTGATGAAATTTTAATAGACAACAATGTAAAATTACAGAAAATGGATTGAAGAAAAATATGTAAGCGAATAATTATACAAAATTGACATTGTAGCATTAATGCTAAATAAATCTTCAACAAACAAACAAACCGTCTATGGGGATTTTTGTCACCGAGTGTCGCATGAACCTAGGTTTATCTTCTCGAGTAATAGTTTCTCGTCCTTGTTTTTCATTTTCCGAAGATCTTTATACGTACAGTGTATTCAGATAAGAGATAGACCAGATGTAAACAAAAGGTTCGGGTGATTTTCACGCTCACGCCGCCGTCTCGACGTAAAACAGGAGCCCTCATTGGTCAATTCGCAATTAAATGCCTATGCCGAGCGGCAGAGCAGTCGTATCAAGGCAGAGTCACATTCAGGTTCAGACGTGTTACGTATGTCGTGTGCATCATTGCAATTTAATATTTCTTTGGACGTTTTCGTTTGTTATCTTATTAAGTTGTTGAGTTTGTCGTTGTTATTGTTATACCTTGTTATTGATTGAAAGTACAATTATTAAGAATTGTCAAGGATCACAAGGCGGAATATCAAAAATACGCCATTGACGAAATGGCAGCAAGTCAAAATAAAACTGTGCTCCGTTTACCTCCATACCATTGCGAGCTCAATCCCATTGAGCTCATATGGGCAGAGGTTAAAAATTATATAGCTAAGCGCAATACAACTTTTAAATTTTGTGACCTCAAAGGGCTTTTCAAAGAAGCACTAGAATTAATAACAGCGCAAAAATGGGAAAACTGTATTAAGCACGTGAAAGACAAAGTTGAAAAGAGAATGTGGGAACTGGACAATATTTTAGAGGAACAAGTCGAGCCATTCATTATTGACGTTGGTGCTTCAGGCAGTAGCGATGATGAAAGCTCATCAAGCTCATCTTTCCAATAAAAGATGTCGTTCATCAAATTCGGTAAGTTATAAGTAATTATAAAGCTACTGTATTTTTTAATTAATTATTGACATTTTTGAACCCATTTTGGCAAAACCTATTCAAGAATCTACTTTCTGACAATGTTCAACCATGCACATTTTTTTACGTTTTGAACGTTTTAATTTGGTTCCATATTTACCTAGAAATCAAAAAATATACTAATCAATATTCTAAAAGCAATTTTAAGAGATATGCGATTATTTTTAATTTAGGCTAATTTAAACGCCATTTTGAGATTATATTCGACTGTATTTCACCAAACATCAGGCGGCATCCGAAGCTGGAAATCGAAGCGAAAATTTTGAAACCCTTATGTATATTTACATCATTATATATTTCTTACCCCACCCCCACATGATCCTATATCAATCACCAATCGTATACACATCGGATTGTGCTAATTTACTACAAAGTTACGCAAAGCAGCATCTACTATCTAAAATATGTACTGCGTGACTCTTAATACGTCCCTGCCGAATGTTACAGCATTCGATGATCACGTGGTCTTGTTTATGTCCGGTCTATCTCTTATCTGAATATACTGTAGTTAAATATTTTTAGAAACCCCGATTTTCGTTTGTCAACTTTCTGAAAGAAGTTTTTAGGTCAAAAATAAAAATTAGATTCATGTTAATGTGAGTAAGTATTGAATCAGTATCATTTCATTACTATGTCGTGATGCAACTAATGCTAACTATCACAAAGTTTTAATCATGACAAATGATTACATTTGTAGATATTGGGATATTTAAAAAAATTATCTTGGAACTTAATGAATATCACAAGAATGAAATAGCCACAACAGTATAAGATTTCAGTGTCGCCAGACTTTACTTATTTTCTTAAAGACAAAAGTTAGGGTATTTAGTAGCGTTTATACGTACTTTCAATGTGTATCTGCTAAGTTGGAGAATGGTCCGATTCACAGTTAATAGGTAAGAAAGGTGAGTTAAAATGAGACGACGTAAACAAAGGATAAAGCAAAAAATATATAGCGGAGTTGAAAAATACAATAAAAGATATGCATCTCGAAATAACCAAGGGAAGCAGGGCAGTATGAATAAATATACCAAAATAAGCAAGGCACTTTTTGGTACTAGCGGATCTGCAAACATTACAGCAGCTCCCTGTAATTCCTGGGTTTAAAAGACACCTAGGTATTATATTTCCGGGAGCAAATATTCAGATCGAGCAACTACCAGGGTAAAAAAACAGTAAAATAGAGGCTTTCAAAATATACTGGTAACAGTTTTCTGAGTTGTGGCATTGTCGCAAAGCTTGTCTCAGGTAATTACGCCGTCATATATGAAAGCAACGATTCGAATACTTGGGTAGATGACGTAAACAAAGGAATTGTTTTTATCAATCATCTATCTATATACAAGTAGATTTACAGCTTCTGGAAAAGTTATTCTCCTTTGACAATTGGCCAGCTAGTTGCTTCATCAAAAAATACAATTTTATTCCAAGCAACCAGATGCGTTTCACAAAAAAAACGACGTGCATGGAACATCCAGTACCGAATAGCGAGACGGAAAATTTTAATCAAAGGTGCATTAGAAATATTTTTCTGGAATTAAACTATAGAATCAATACTATGGATAGTGTCAAAATCGAGTGTATAGTAGAACATGGGCTGCTCGAGAAAGAGTTTTTTAATTGTCATCTCACAAACTTCCTTTTGAGAAGCCGTTACTGCGGGTCGGAGCATTCTCACGGATTTATATACAGGGTGGAGCAACGAAAAGGTCGCACCCCTTTTGTGACTCTCCTGGTACATTTTGGGAAAAAAATCTATAGCCGTACAATACAGGATGATCCAAAAATAAGATATTGCCATTGATTTTGGGCATGTTTTCTTGTGTTTTTGTTTTCTATCTGAAGATTTTAAGGTAAATTAGAATTTTTCTAATTTTCTCGAAAACGAAGCGACTGAATTTAAAAAATTAAACGTCAAAATAAAGGACTTTGAAAGACCTTTCGAACAAGCTATTACTAAAATTTTAAGGGAATGACACTGGGGGCCGAGGGTGAAAGGAGGTGAAGTAGTTTTTGGTTAAAAAGATGTCCCCCTTAACAAATCTTTTGACATGTCTCGGCGTTTTATCTTATAATAAGTGGTTTCCGATAAGTTATCAAACGAATAAGCTGTATAAGCGCTACTGAATGCCACAACGTATGCCTTTGAGAAAATAAGTAATATTTGGCAGCCCTCGAATCTTACTGTATAACGAATAATTCCCTTCTGAGTGATACTCATCACATTTTTCAAAAGATTACCTGCCGATCTAAGTCCGCCGGCAGGAAAAGACTTATAGTATGGAATACCTCCAAAGTCTTGGCGCTGCTTGGAAGCATCTTCCGTTTCAACAGCTTTGGACGTTTCGTTTGGTTTCACCACCACCAGGGAACTGACGTCGCTCACAAAGGAATACTTCAAAGCGATGTCCAGCGCCTCTTTGGTCAACTCCGTCTTGTTTTCGGCTGCATCACGACGTTCCAAGATCTGGATTACAAAAGAAGAACCCATTTTCAATTTCAATGAGTTTGAGACTTGTAAGGTGGCAGAGCGCAGAGATTTTAGATTTGTCAGACCACATCCTCTTATTTTTATTATCGGAGGAGACAACAATTCCGAACCAATTTCTACAATTTCTCTAGAGGTATTTTGTTGAACTCTATTGGTTTACATCGCAGTACCAGGCAAAACCTCAAGTGGTGATAATATACTGTTTATTAAAAGGAAGTTGGTGAAAACCGGACATTTTGTATCATCATATTTGTGAAAATTGTAAGTTCCGATTTAGGTAACTAATTATCAATATTTTAAGTTTGCATTTACAATATACGAGCCCCTTCCCACTTCAGTTGGCCCAACTATTGAAATCTTAGTTTTTTTCTTATCAAACACAAATAATAAAAATGTAGCAGGGTGTTATAGGTTTAAAATATTAACAATGAATATTTTGAAAATATATAGTAGAAAACACCAACTTTATCACTCCCTAATCAAATTTGCAGCATAAAAATAACACATGTTACAATTACAGCATATTAACCTATTTTCATTTCAATGCAAAATAAGTCTAGAACGCATAGGTGGCTGTGAAAAATAAAATCCATGACAATTGTTTTTATTAATCACAGCTGTCAGAATACGTTTAAAATAGTTTTGGGTAGTTAAGGTTTTCAAAATGGGTAGAGGAAAGGTTATTAGTGAGAAAATTCGGTTACTGATTAAATTTTTTAATTCTGGGAAATCAAACTCAGAAATTGCAACTTCGTTAGACTTATCGCGGTACAGTGTGAGAAATATTGTTAGAAGATATAACGTAACTGGTTCAGTTAATATTAAGCCACGATATGTGAAAAAAGTAATATCACAAATGCTGACCGAAGAGCATTAAGAAGAATAATCGTGAAAAACAGGCGTGCCAGATATTTACAATTAAGTGCTCTGTGGAGTGACGCTGTTGGAAGGAGAATTTCGAGGTCCACAACTAATAGAGAGGCCCACAAACTGGAATTTAGCACTTATAAAAAAAAGTGAAGTAAAAACCCTAAAGTTGCACAACTTATTTAAAGGCCAAAGAAAAGCCACTATTAACTCCACTGCAAAAGAAAAATCGGCTTAGATGGGCTAAAGAACATAGACAATGGACACCTCAACAACGGTGTGCAATACAATGGAGTGATGAGGCCCGATTCGAAGTTTGTGTTGGTGACAGTCGCAGTAGAGTTACTCGCAAAAGAAATTCCATGTTAACTGTCTGAAGAGAAAATTGAAATTTCCAGCATCCATTATGGTCTAGGGCAGTATGTCATCAAAGGGAGTAGGAAAACTTCATTTTATTGATGGAAATGTGGATACAAACAAATATTTGCCAATGTTAGAAGAATCGCTTTTACCAGTGATGGAAGAATGTTTGACATCCGGCCAATATTTTGTGTTTCTGCAAGATGGTGCAGCGTGCCATACCTCAAAAAAGGCTATAAAATGGATGGAAGAAAATAATGTACCACTTTTGAAATGGGTTCAGCAGTTCAGATCTGTTGCCTATTGAAACTTTGTGGCACGAGATGAAAAAGGTTCTACGACAACATCCTGCTCGTACAATCACCGAACTGAGACAAAAGCTTCAAAAAATATGAGATTGTTTTACACCAAATTTTTGCCAAAACTTGGTTAACACTATACCCCAAAGAATTTCAGCCGTAATAAAAAACAAAGGTGATGCTACCCAATGGTAATCTTTCAATTGTTGCTTTGTTAACTTCGCGCATTTAATCGCACATTGTTTATTTGTTCAGATGTTCTATTAGTTATAGGTCCAAGTGATTTCAAATATGTATTTTTTACGACTAGAGTGTATCTAAAATGTTTTCGAGAAAATAAATTGTTTTATAAGTAAATAGTTTCGTCACGTTTAGTTTATAAAGGCATATTTTGGTACAAATCTTGAAGTGGTCCAACTGAAGTGGGAAGGGGCTCGTATTGATGAGAAGATATAATAGCAAGTGACAAGAAAACCGCTTCAAGCTTCGCATGTTAACTGAATTTTAGCCATTTTAAGTGTTTTTTATTTTGATGTCTAATTTTGAACATTTTCATTTGATGGCAACTGTGCAAGCATATATTTATTCTCATCCTGAACAACAAAAATATTTGTAGTGCGCAAAGCGCCTGAAGAAATTTTATGAGATAGAAGATCAAAAACAAGCTTGAAAAGGCCGATATATATGCCACGTTTGAAGGTTTTTTCTTTGAGACTTACCATTTTTTCGTCAGTTCATTGTACATGTAGAAAAAGATACGTAAACTTAATATAATTATAATAAAATGGTACTAATTGAAACTTTCATGAATATGATGGGCGAAAAAGAGCAGATATTTCCCCATTTCTTTTTTTTTTTCTTCATATAGATCGTGCCCGTACAGATGAAGAAAACGCGTCAATAAAACCCAAATCCCCGAAGTAGTCTAATAGGTATTAGACGAAAATCCCTCTGGTTTGCGAAATAATCGTAAAGTATGGTTTTATTGCTGTAAGTTGTTCAAAGGGGTATTCAAAACATGGACGCATAAAATGGGTACACCAGCTTTTGTGGGAAAACTTTTTATTCGAAAACAAAGAACGAGAAAACGGGTTTTTGGGTTTTTATGAGACCTACACACAAATACGAAATGATTGAATTTGTTTAGAAGAAAAAACGTAACCTTTGGTTTTCACATAAAAATAACATTTATCTTTCGGAATGGTTTGTGATTCATATCGGCAAGGCAAACCTGTGTATTTTGCTATTAAACGCTCTTTGAACGAACCAGGTGTTTTGAGATAAACATTTAGAAATTCTCAGAAAACTGCTTGACCAATGAAATAGAATTTTGTTGTATGTTATTTAGAAGTACGAATCCTACGGATTTGAAGAATTCCAAATAGTTGCGTGAAGTTATCGTCGCATTACCAACAAGTGCCAAAACCTGCATATCGCCTCGTTTTTCGCCCATAACATTTCTGCTGTTAGTCGGATCTTTTCACGTGTGGTCTCATTTTGTAGGTTTCATAAATACCTAAAAATTTTGTATGAAAAGTCTTTTCATGTCAAAACTTTCGATTGAATTCCAAAAACACGGTTTTTCCATCTTTGTTGTCAAATAAAAATTTTTCCCACAAAAATTGGTGTACCCATTTTATGCGTCCATGTTTTGAATACACCCTTGACCAACTTGCACCAATAAAACCAGATTTTACAATTATTTCGGGAAAATTTGCTAATATGATTAGACTAATGAGGAAAATTCAACAGACTTATATCCCGTGAGCTAGACGAATGTGGATTTATTATAAAGCGTTTTTCTAAAATCGTTTTAGACAATTTTTTGCGTTTAATCTGCTGAATTTTGAGAAATAGTGGCAATATCCGGCAACTACGATTTTCAAAGTTTAAAACACTGTATCTCGAAAATTAAGTACTACTAGAACTATGGCTATGCGAATATTTATTTTCAGAATCAACCAAGGAATCACCCACTGCAGTTTGATTAGAAATTTGATCAACCTAGATGAGACTCAACACAACGCTATTCACGGATAAGCACAATTGCAACTTTGTTGTTGAGAAGATTTTCGCAATCAATAATAGGATTTATATCTGAAATTTGAGAGTACTAATGAAATGTCAGGTGTCCAGTAGTGAACAAAATGTATACCTGTTTCAAGGTCAAATATGCCCAAAGACGTTCGAGACTACCAGGAGCTGCTGTGATCTCTTTCGGGGGTGTTAAAATGACAGGACCTTCAAATCCCTTAGCTTCAATTGGTTGTGGAGCAAAACCTGGGTCTGGAATAAAATGATTTAAAAAAAAACAGTACACTTATTAGTTGTAAATCACATAGTGGTTTCATGATTCACAAACAAAAACATTCAAAATTACTACATTTAGCTAGACTGCAAGGTTCCAATGATCTCTTCGAAGGTTACTGTACACTAACTTGCCTATGGGACTATATGAGATTATTAATTCGCGCTATTCAAGTGGAAAATGTGGCAAATCTGGAGTATATACATGGTGTTTCAGAACTAATGGAAAACTTCAACAGTAGAAAACATTTGAGTATAGGGACCCATATCCGGAAAAGTGTCACTACGGCACTACGGCCCTAAGACGCGTTAAAATTTAGAAAGCTGATGAATTGCCTAAATAGGATTTAATGCATTTAATTTTTGCTTTTTGTACATGATATCATCACAACAATTGTTCAAAATGTCTTCCTTCAACCTGAATACACCGATTTAAACGTCGCACACGATTCTTGCAAACTTCACAAATACGATAGCACGACTAAGACAATATGGAATGCAGCTACAAAAAACAATCTCTCTTATCGTTTTTAAAGATAACAACACACAAGCGCCGTATATGGGTCCCTGTACTCAAATGTTTTCTACTGTTACACTGAACCACCCCTACAAGTTTGATTCCATAGTTCTGAAACACCCTGTATCTGGATATAAAACCATAGGGAATGACCTTGCAGTCTCGAAGACTCGTCCACTGTTTGAAAACCCTTCCAATCTGACAGCGTGTAACCATTTTGATCAGTTTCTGTTGATTAAACTGCATCAAGCCTTACCTATCTGCCCAGCGACCACGATCTCTCCTCCATGGAATAAAATTGGATAGCGCGTCTTGGTAACTTCTTTAACTTTATCCACATACTTGAACTTCACGTCGGACAGTAGCGGAGACGAGATGCTCTTATAGAACTCCTCCAATTGCAAGGAGGCATCTGCACCTTCATAGATGTGCCTTGCGAAACCATTGTTCTTCAGGGAGATTTTTTGGAGGAAGGAACGATCAGCACCATCTCCAAAAGAGAGGGAAAATAGAGGAGTTTTGCCGCTGTTCAGTTCCGTTATCTGGAAAGTTTAGGGTTCTTAATAAACTACACTTAAATATTATTTATCCGCTGATAACAAATCGTAAGAGCTTACAAGGTCTACAAAAGTAGAATTTTTATATATTTTTAAGATGTCTTCACTTTAACTATCAAGTTTTCACTTGACACTATTCTAGGAATCTTCAGGAGCTCGTAGTGGTGTTTTAAAATACCCTCTTTTATTTCTTAACCTGTGTCCAAAAACAGGTCAAGTAGATTGACTCATACTTCCTACACCTTCGTTGGAGGATTTCAAGCAAAGATGTAGCGAAATATATCTGACTTATTATGTCTAATAGCTGGATAGTATCATTGAGATCAGCAGCTTCTTAATAATAGAAGGTCTTTGACTGACACCAAATATGCAACCATTTATAACCATTTACCGCATACAGGTTCCAACCTAAAATTTCCATCCTCTCCAAACAATGTCTGATAATGAGCAGGAATCCTTGGAACGTTGTAACCCTATGTTCCAGCGATTTTATTTCCGCCACCTCTGAATCCATTTTCAAAATCTACGACTACCTAAACGATGGAAGTTTAATTGAACTCGATAATATTTGAACTTCGGTTCAGAAGTTTGCTGTTTTTTGAAGATATCTGCACCACACAACTCCGTGTTTCTCCTTAATGTTGGTTTGACAGTCCGTGTCTGTTGTATATAAGTGCGTCATATGTGCTGAGTCAATCTACTTGACGAAATATTCAGAGAACCATCATAGACGGGGTAACACAAATTAAAGGTAAGGCGAAATGGGTGGTACGCTCAAGGATCATGAACGTCGAAAAAATATATGTGTAGATATAAAAACACTCATATTTTACAAAAGCATCGCACAACGCTAAAGTGGTACTCCTATATATATTGCTGTAATATACTAAGTGACATATAAATCCTAACACTCAGTTTAAATGCTTTTATTTTAATAAAAGTTGGTGAATGTATTTATCTTACTGTAAATAACAAGTGAAAAAATTTTCAGCCTTATCAGTTGGACATTCCGATTTTTATACTGCTTTTTTTAATTCACTAACGCTCTAAAAATGAATATTTCAGCCGCAGTAAAGAATCAACGTTGGCGGATTTTGGTTCTTGACATCCTTTACGATCGGTTACGATGCCTAGAGTACGGAGACCTGTACGATTTCGTCAACTTAGTGAGTTTGATAGGGGCCGTATAGTGGGACTTCGGGAAGCTGGACTATCTTTTCGGGCAATTGCAGTTAGAGTGCAAAGAAGTGTAGACATGTGGTTAGGTGTTGTCAGGCATGGCTTCGAGAACGCCGTACGCAAAGAGCAAGGGGCAATGGACGCCGCCGTAGAACAACAGACCGTGAAGATCGCCGCCTAAGATTATTGGCCTTAAGGGACCGTTTCTCCACTACCAGGTCCATTGCAAATGAATGGTTTGCAGAACACGGAAGACCTATTGGCATGCGAAGTGTTTACCGACGAATGAGAAGTTTTGGCTTGTTTTCATACCGGCCACACTGGGTCCTCCCTTTAACTCGAGAACACCGACGTAATCGCCTTGAGTGGTGCAGACAACGGTCACTCTGGGATCAGGAATGGAACAGTATTGTCTTTAGTGACGAGTCTCGATTTTGTTTAGGCATGCACGATGGTCGTGCCAGGGTTAGAAGGCGACGTGGTGAAAGGAGGAATCCACAGTTTTTTGTTGAAAGACATGTTCATCACACTGTTGGAGTTATGGTTTGGGGTGCTATAGCTTATGGTTCCAGGTCACCTTTAATCTTCATCAGAGGTAACATGAACGCGCAGCGTTATATCCACGAAGTTCTAGAACCCCATCTTTTACCCTATCTTGACACCCTGGCAGATCCAACTTTCCAACAAGATAATGCCCGACCACATGTTGCAAGAGTCACAATAGACTTCTTTCAACATAATGATGTCACATTGTTACCATGGCCACCAAGATCTTCCGACTTATCCCCAATTGAGCACGTGTGGGATATGATGGGTAGGAGATTGCTCAATTTGCAACGTCCTCCTCAGACTCTAGAAACACTTCGAGAGGAGTTGGTGGTTGCCTGGAATGAGATACCACAGGACGACATTGACCACCTGATCAGAAGCATGCCTAGGCGCGTTGGAGAATGCGTAGCACATCAGGGTGCATCCACACATTATTAAAGGTCAAAGGGCTTTAAAGCAGTGCAATCATTTTGAAATTTTTATCATTTACTTATTATGCTTCAATAAGTACTTATACAAAATTTTATTAAAATAAAACCATTTAAACTGGGTGTTCGGATTTATATGTCACTTAGTATATATAAATATTTCTCCTGTAGCATCGCTCTATGCACGCAACGCCACCGTTTGGAAAGTTATTTCGAATTATCAGAACATCATTTAAATTCCCCGTAGTTACCGGGATGAGAAGCTAATGATAGTCTTTGACAAATACGGAAGACGTTACATCTACCACTCCCTATCCTCTACTACTCCCATACTCCAACATTCAACCCCTACAAGAAATTCCCGAAAATGATTAGGAGCTTCTGAATCGTCAAAAGCGAATTTTAGGTCCTCCTCAGAATTTTCATTCTGACACTCGGGTCCTCTACCAAATACAAAATAACGGTCGATATTTTTTTGGCGGGCCCTTTTGGATGAACCCGCACGGGTTGAAAAGTTATATCGTTTTTTTGACATTATACTGGTTTTCTTTGACATTATGTAGGTTTTTCTACAAGATGTTAACTTAGCACTTAGTTGTACGTGTTGCCTAAACGTCATGTGGCTTCAGTTATCAATGTTTGGCTCTAATGTGATGTAAAATCTGCTTCAGAGGTGGCATTACTGTAGGTCTAAGCTGTCAGTTGAATATGTTGATGATATTTCCCTTAGATTCTTGTTTCAAATACACTTAATTGGGATTCAAAGCTAGAAATTAGTTGTGGCTGCTTTCTCTTATTCATTCTGGAAACTACATATACAAATTTGCTAAATTTCAAAAATGTGAGATATGAGAAATAATTATATTCACTGTACACTGTCGAATTACAAGCCATATACATGCTAGCAGTAACTACACACAACGCGGGCGCGGTGATGATTTCCCGTAATTCTCCTCAATTTTTCGTAATTTATAACTTTCTCTTCAGAAAGCACAACATATAAATAACCCGTTGGGCACAGCTAATAGATATACTTCATTGGCAGCATATTCAGTAATGATTTGAATACAAATAATTATCCAGACGCGATCTTGCTATTCAACCAACTTTCTTCTCAGATATAAAAACTACAGACACGGATCACTCGCGCTCACAAAACATATGCAACCAATAATGCGTGTAGTTTAGTTGAGTGATTCCTCCATAGATAGACGTTCACAACGATCCTAGTGAGCAATCCTGGAATGACTATTTGCGCTCTAAAAACTAGCTAGTCTGCAAAATGACATCTTATAGGTGGGGCCAGAATACCTGTATGTGCATGTCACGTGCACACATGTTCCTCGCTAGAATCCTTCTGGCGTCCCCCTTTCATCTGTATCTCCCATAGGCTTTTGGTACCCACAGATATCTAAGCCTCGGGCCTACGCGGTGGTTCAATTATATAAAACAACTGAATTTCACTTACTGTACTGATGATATTCTCGTTATTTGTTTCTCCACTTGTTGCTTCACCGTCTGTCAGGAAGACAATGATGGGCTGATTCCTCTTGCTTTCTTCGTGATTCTTGTTAATTATAGTAAGTGCTGTTTTGAGAGCGTCCATTATATTTGTACTACCATCTGCTTGAAGCTTCTCCACTACTTGTTTTCCTTTTTGCACATTGGCTTTATTTGCTGGATACGGAGATGGAATGGGTTGTTGCTGAAATAAATGCAAACAAATTTTATTCTATCTATACAGCGCTTTCCAAAAAGGTTCCATGTATTTATTCTACTTCAAAAATAGCCGATTCGGTACTGAAAATCCTGCTGTTTTTACAAGCTAGTATGGATGTATGGGACAAATCTTGGAACTGAATTTTGAAGCAGTGATATATAAGCTAAAATTATGGCAGATACTACAAAATGGCGATGCATCATTTCAGTAGTAACCCTTATGATATAGATATAAAATGAAGGGGCTTGATGAGGGAAACATGATAACCAGCGTGGCGTTATTCTGAATCCGATATGGCGATTTATCGTTATACGTTTAAATTATCTAAACTAAATTATGGGGCTCTATGAATTAAATATATGAAAATTATATAGAAATTACAAAACTCACAATAAATAGTAAAAAGTGAAAAGTAAAGAAAAAATGCATTTTTAGAAACAAGCTTTCATTGAGCTGTTAATAAAGTGAGCCAAAAATTGAAAAATAATTTTTCTGATTGGAAATGTTTAAACTATAATGAAGCTCCTTCAGCTCAAGTTTTCAAATAAAAGCGTGTTACGTTTGGACAGCAACATGTAAAAAGGATATAATACCTTTTTCATTTGGAAAGTTGAGATGAAGGAGCTTTATACAGGGTTATCCAAATTAAGTGTCCACCATTAGTAACTTTGTTATTAGTGAAAATACAAAGTTGTTTGAATTAGCAAACTAGTAGCATTTTTAACGCTGGTAAAAATGAGAAATAAAAAAAAACAATTGAGAGTCGTTATTTTGATTTTTTTCAGTAAAATAACATTTTTTTAAATGGAAACCCCTGTATATTATATTTTTTTCTGTTGAAGCATCAAATTTTAAACAAAAAAGCTTACAATAACTTTTCTCCTAGGTTACAAATTGTTGAAGTTATGGCCTCCAATCTGAAACAATTAAATTGTATCGACAAACTTTATTTTCAACATCAACTTATAATCTTACAAAATACAATAACAATTTTTTTTAAAGAAGATGCTCGAAAACACCACCTTGTTCTTCAATACATTTTTGGGCACGTTTTTCAACTGCTCGAACTGTCTTAAGTATGGTCCTACCATCTATCTGGGTTATCTTTTCCCTAACTGCAGTCTTTAACGCGTCAAGGTTATCGTACCTTCGCTTGTAAATTTGGTTCTTTAAGTAACCCCACAAGAAGTAATCAAGTGGGTTTAGATCTGGTGATCTGGGAGGCCACTGTATTGGGCCATTTGTTCCTATCCACTGATCATTAAAAGTAGTACTTAGAAAATGATAAGTACCTCTGGAGTTGTGGGCAGGTGCGCCATCTTGCTGAAAATGCAGATGATGTCTACTTATAAGATCCAATTCGTCTAAGAAATTAGTCAGAATTTCTGACATAAATTCCACATATCTTTCACCAGTTAGGGTTCCCTCATAAAAGAACGGGCCAACAATTTTTGAACCAATTATACCGCACCAAACGTTGAAACTGAAACGGACTTGTGGGCCTCTTGGATGTACTAACAAAAGATTTTCTCTTGACCAGTAATGGTGGTTTTTTCTATTAAACATTCCAGAATTTGAAAAATTTGATTCATCTGTCCATAAAAGGTAACGAAAGTTATTTACATTTTGGCGACAGAAGCTAAGATACCAACGGCAAAAAACAAGTCTTCTCTCTGGATCCCCTGCCAAAAGCGTTTGAACTGGTCGGTACTTATACGGAATAAATTTGTATTTTTTTAAAATCCTTTGAACAGTACCATAACTGAAATTAGAGTCCTTGAGAATATCTGCTATTGAAGTCTCACGATAAGCTTCAAAATATCCAATAACTGCAATTTCCGTGGCCTCGCTTATTATGAATTCTTTTTTTGCCCTTGTTTTAGCAAAAACATTTTCGTTGCCCCTAAATTTTCGATAAAGTCTCAGAAAATATCGTTCATACGGTTGAATGCGAGCGGGATATAATTCACTGTAGTATTCTCTTGCTCTCAAGGAGGATTTTCTGCACACTAAATAGCATTCTAACATATCACACTTTTCTTCATGGGAGAACATTTTTCTTTAAATTAATGACACAATAAAGCTTATAAACAAGTATTTACACTAATGTTTGACATTATTTGATTTTATCATTGTTTTCCAAAGCCTTCTAGTTGCGAGTATGTCCAGTTTAACAATTTGTCGCTTATCTTAATGCTGTCAAATCGCGAACTCCATGTTGTTTTCATAGCCGTCTTAATATTATAATACTGCAAATAATTAAAAATATTTATCGTTATTTTGACTTTATTTTTGACTTTAGCGGAAAAGTCATTATGAACTTTTTTGTTTAAAATTTGATGCTTTAACAGAAAAAAATATAATATACAGGGGTTTCCATTTAAAAAAATGTTATTTTACTGAAAAAAATCAAAATAACGACTCTCAATTGTTTTTTTTTTATTTCTCATTTTTACCAGCGTTAAAAATGCTACTAGTTTGCTAATTCAAACAACTTTGTATTTTCACTAATAACAAAGTTACTAATGGTGGACACTTAATTTGGATAACCCTGTATAGTTCAAATATTTCCAATCAGAAAAAATATTTTACATTATTAGTTCACTTTACTAACAGTTAAATAAAAGCGAGTTTTTATTATGGTATTTTTTATTGTATTGATTTGGGGCTAACTTACAGTCCTGTTTTTGAAGATCTGCTTGGACTCGTCCTCATTCCTGTACCAGAAAGGTTGATATTCAGAGGCAGTCTCATGTTGTACAGCCACTTTGTCTACGTTCCAAACCTTGGCATTATCGTTAAAGTCAATAATACTGAACACATCATTTTCATGGAGCTCGGATAGGATTCGGTTCATGGCCTGTTTCAACTGTTCAATTCTGATACCGCTCATGCTTCCACTGGTGTCCAGGACAAAGATCACCATCTTCGGGAGGGGTTTTACTTCGCTGGGGGCGAAAAAGTGGACGAAATGCCCGCCATCTACCAGAACCTGAAATTGAAGTTAAGTAAGTGTTCACAAAAAAGGTGAAAATAAAAGTTCAGCTTGAGCGCAAAGTCTTTCAGAGCTGTTTCAAACATGACTGCTTAGTTGTAACTAAATTCATTGAAATCAAAAATAGTCATTTTGTACGCAAGAGTGCCCAGGGCCTTTTTGCGATCGAGGGAGAGCCTTCGGCGTTCGCTCCGACCAAAACGTTTATAAGCATGCTAAATTTTCGCTAGCATTCATTCGAATCACGGTTTTCACGGAGATACCTCCGAGTTGACAACTTGGACTGTAGCTAGTAAGTAAGCTAGTTACTATTTTGTAAAAAAGCACGTCGCTCGGGTTATCAATCCTTCAATTTCGGCTCCTGTTCCTTTATTGCGGACATGTCCACGATTGTTCTTTGTTTTTCATCCATTTGAATGACATTAAATTTTCTTTTATAATAATGCCTATCTTTCAGCTGTTTTACTTACTTCTCCTCCAGAGGGATCCCTTTCCACATCATATTGTACGATAAATTGTCCAGCCAAGCCGTTATCTTTCTCAGTACCAAGCTCCTTTGCATATTCCTTCTGCTTTTCCACGTCAGGTTGGAACGACACTACTGCTGATGTTTCGTTCACTGGATCTATTTTCGCGTTCGGTAAAAGATTTTCATTTTCCTTGGTTGATATTTCATTTCCTGAACGCAATGCAGGGGTTTCTACGAATTTCAGTGGTCTTGATTCGTCTATGTGGACCTGCAAAAAATATACATTCTCAAACAACAAACGTTACATACAGAGATGAATAAATGCAAAAATATGACACCAATCATCAATTTTACTTGACAATCACGATTTACAGGTTGTTTTCAAAGTTGAGACCTTACACGGTGTATCGCTCTGGGTAAGATAAGCATAGTTACCTTGTAACTCATACACCAGAGTCTTTACTTGACAATTACGAACTTAATTTTTGTGTGCGTTTTTAAATCTAGCGATGACAACATTGAAAAATATTGATAAGCAACATGTGACTACGTTTCTCAAACTTTTTTGTTTTTCGCTGATGTTTCAGTGCATTCCAGCTTTTTTTATTTCAAACAACTTTAAGAACACCCTGTATATCTAATAATCCACTAACAAGCCTTGAAATTTTTTCCAAAGTATGTGCTACTGTTTGTTTTTTCGGCAATCTCAGTAAAATTGAGAAATTATGAAAACATCGAGAATATCTAACCTCGACGTTCATGTTCTTAACGGGTTGTCCAGGATGGATATTTATAACAATTTCGTATTTTCCATTCTGCCTTTGGAGGAGCTCTTCATATTGTAGGTAGAACACTGCTTTGCTTTGTGGTTCTACATTAACTGAAACTGTGAATCTATTGGAGTCTCTGGCGCTTCCTTGCACATGTGCTGCGGCCCTACCACTTGCAACTGCCTAAAATAAGGAAAATACAAATGCTCATAATGCAAATCTTGTCTAATAATATCTTCCTAAGGTCTGTAAATACATTTTTTGGTTTTTGGACCCTTTGGAATTAACCAATTTCAATATATAGACACTGAAATACATATGCAATCTTTTAATGGCAAACCGTGAACTTTCAAAATATCTATTTTCAAAGAGATAGAGGGTCAAGGTCCAGAAGCAGGTCCTTGAAAATAACTCAAATTTCAAAGTTTTTGCATTTAAATATTTCAGAATAAATGTATTAAAGCCCCGCTTATAAATAGACCCTGATGCTTTCTATTTGAAAATATAGCTTTAAAAGTTTTGCCATGTTTTAAGTAAACACTTCCTATTATGCAATATATAGTATTTCACATATGGCTTAATTAGTAAGATTGTGTAGACGTAACTGGTCAGAGATATACAGGTATAATCACGATGATCCTGAAACGGCATTTGATCTTTTTACCTTACAGCTTCAACAACATATAAATTCATGTACAAATCGGATAAAGATTCCACGAAAGAATATTAAAAGGCAGCCATGAATATCGAATGGAATTATAACATCCGTTAACAGAAATATTAAGCTGTATAGAGAAACAAAACAATTTCCACACGATTTAGAACTTCTAAATGAATTTAAACTATACAGAAATAAATTAACCACAATTATAAAAGAGGCTAAATTAAATTTTTTTAAAAATGAAGTTGACAAACTTCAAAATTCTTCGGCCAAAGTGTGGCATTTCATAGAAAAAATGCAACATTCTCAAAAATGCCAAAAAATTCCTGCTGTACAAAAAGAAAATGGGGGACTTACAAAAAGCGATAATGAAACAGGCAATGAATTTTGTAAATATTTCACAATCACAACTTATATATACGAAAACCATATATTGCAAAATTCCCTGTATCTGACACAGTCCGATCAATACGAGATTGAACATATCATAAAGCGACTGATAATATAAGTGCATACATTCTGAAACAAATAAATTATAAAATTTCTAAAGTATTAGCATATCTTATAAACACCTGCATGGAAAGAGGAATGTTCCCGGCCCAATTAAAAAAGGCAATAATAAAACCTGTATTTAAATCTGCAGATAAACAGACACCTTGTTATTATCGCCCAATTTCAGTATTGACAAACTTTTCAAAAATTTTCGAAAAAATTCTTAAGAAACGCTCTTCAGATTTTATTGGAAAATACAACCTCATATCTGAAGAGCAATATGGATTCCAGGAAGCAAAAGCAAGTCAAGATGCACTTATTCAGTTAACAACCAAAATTTATAAGTACGTTGATAATAATAAATCAACAGCATGCCTTCTTGTAGACCTAACCAAAGCATTCGATAGTATTACACATCAAAAATTATTAAGAACCTTGCAAAATTTACGATTTCGTGGAGTCACTTATCAACTCATGGAAAGCAGGACACAATGTGTGGACATCAACAGTACACCGAGTGAAAATATGATTGTTAGATGCGAAGTTCCACAAGGAACCGTATATATTAATGACCTTTTTAAATTAAAAAACGAAGGAGAAATTATTGGTTTTGCAGACGATACGGCAATTATTTACTCAGACAAAAATTGTATTAGATTTTCGAAAGGTTAAAAATTTCTTCACGGAAAGGATTTTAACAGTCAATTTCAACAAAACATACTCTATTACATTTTCTTGTGACAACAGATCTTCCCCAAATTTTAATCAACTCCAAATTAAAAAGTTAAATAGCTGTAGAAACATACAATGGGTTAATAAGTTCAAATACCTAGTGGTATTCATAGATAACCATCTAAGATGGAATAAACATATTGAAAATTTAGTAAGAAAATTAAGATACCTTATTCCGAAAGTCAAATATTTCAGCAGATTTTTAAGCGAAAAATATCTACTCATGATATATCATGCCCTTGTTCAATCATTACTATCTTACGGAATCTTAGCATGGTGGGAGTCATGAATAATTATTATAAAAAGATTGAAATTACGCAGAAGTGGATTTTGAAAGTTATGTTGAGCAAAACGAAATGTTATCTCTCAGGAAATCTTTACAATGAATCTCAGCTTTCCGACTGCCGGCAAATTTATTTTTATCATAGAATAATATATTTAACAAAAAATCCAAAATTGTTACTTTCTATCAGCTGTACTGATTGTCCTGAGCATTTTCAGATCCACCACAGCAATTTTTATTTAATGAATTTTCAAACTACGTTTTCACAATCCTGGTGCGTTGGTCAGTCGCGAAATAATCCATAATTGAGGTAACAGGTCTCTAGTTACAAATCCGCAATATGAAATTACCAAGTAAAGCGCGAAATTTAAATCTTGAAGTACATTACCCAGCGTAGAAGGCCTTATATAATGATAATTTTCTCTAATAAGATTTGCGTACGTACCTCATCATACGTCTTCTTGGCCTCTTGTTTCTCCTGGACATACGCCTTGTAGCTTTTTCCGTCAATCTCCATTACGAACCCGGAAATAAAAGCCCGATCAGGTGTAACAACGGAAAACTCCACTTCGTTGGGTGATTTGTCCAGGTTTTTTACTTTACTAGCTATCTGCGTCTTGGCGTAGCGGTTGGACACATTGGTGTTAATGTTCATTTCGTAGATTTTTGGTACAACTGGCTTCTCTTCCTGACAAATATATAAAAATATGCCGTAAAATTAATGGGTTTAGCAGGGTCTATGTCGTGGCCATATCGTAAAATTGACCATTGTATGCAATAGTCGAGCATTTCATGATATGACAAACTAAATTTGACCCTATGGCCATATCGTCAACGTTTAACAATTTGGTTATCCATGATTGTGGAAGAACCTGTACGGTCGTTTTCCTGACAAAAAAGAGCTCACACACATTTCTCTTGCTTCTTTCCTATTTCTTCTAATTGGAAAAGCCAAGTCTCCAGTCTACAAACTTACCTTTCCTTTGATTTCACCCCCATTATTATTGGCAGGCTCAGTTGATGATACCACTAAACTTGATGTGTCTGTGACTTGTGGAAAACAGTAAGCACTTTGCACTATTAGTAGTGCCAGAATACCTGGCAGTACTCTCTTCATATTAGCTAGAAACACAAAATAATAATACTTCAGTGCACAAAAGGGCTATGCTTTATACGTGCGGGTAACCCGGTCTCTATAATAGTATCTGGGCAGTCCAGATGTAATCTTATATGAGTATTAATGTTATTACTGATAAGTCGCTATCAAAAAAACTGGCTAGGTTAACATGAAAGGTCTAAGAAGGTCAAACATATTCCAAATATTTTCATGTTTTTCTGTATACAAAAATAAACATAGTTACAACATAGTGTTGGTGTTTATATGGTATCTATGAGTGCATATTTACTGAAATGTGGTGAATTCAATTTTCACCAGTGGCAGAACTTACTTCCAGAGGCCCCATATTAAAATTTATAAACCGAACTGGAGGGTAAATTCTGAAGTATATATTTTTGCAAAAGAAACATAAACACTTGCACTGAATAATATGAATTTTCACATACTGACCATGGGCGCTCGCAGGAAGTTTTCTCAGTTAGTGGATCATCTGTAAAAGTGTACCTAAATTTTTTTGAAGGGCGTGGGTTAGCAGCTGAATTCGAACATATTAGAAATTCAGAAAAATGATTTTTGCTTTGCGATGACAATCACACGTCAACTCAGGCACGGCCATAGTAGGTAATGCTACTTAGTTTTACAAATCGTTTAAATGAGAGCGGTGTGAGTAAAAATTAAAATAGCTTTTAGATCGCCCCAAAGTATGCTTTTTTATGCTCCAAACTACCACGAAGACCTAAGGCCTAAACACCCATTGGATACCGTGGGGCTATAGGGGTAAAGAGGGAACGCCGCACGGACTCTGGCGAGGGAACACGTGTGCATGCAACATGCACACATTCTGGCTCCGCGTACGAGTTCCGCCGGCTGGTACCTCCGCGTTCGACAGTCAGAGACCGTCTATCACCTACGGACAATCACAACATCCATAGCCAAGAGAAAAATTTCTCCTGGGACGGGATTCGAACCCCCACAGCGCACGGCGACTGATCAGGAGACCGAAGAGTCTACTACTGGGGCCACCGCTGCTTGCTGTACTTTTTGAATACCTTTGAGGGTAATCAAACATCTGTGTGGAGAGGTTACCACCTTTAAAGATTTCGAAAATTTGCTTTCTTCGTTTCTGATTGCTTCTGGTTAGGACATATTCAAAAACATTATGGAGCTCGAACATTTTGTATCTTTAGCAACGCTTATTTTGACTTATTCAAAATATGAAAATAGGCATAGGTGAATGCTTGGGAAGTACCGGGTCAATCTATTTGCCACTATTCTCTTCAGAAAAAATGCTTATTCAACCATGCTTTTAGTTTTTAGAAATGTTCAGCCTCTGAGGACAGTATCTTTATTTATAGTCAAAGTTGCCCCGTAGAAGTCCTACGATGTTTTAACTACTTTTAATTTAAATTTAATCTTTTAATAAAAAGCTTTCTTCAAAATAGAAGTCATGCTTCTATCACTTAGACAATCAAAGGCTTAGCGCATGAAAATGTTTAACTTAGCGTACGGCCTAAAACTTGGGTGTATTGTGTGACTTTATGCATTTTTTTTCGTACGTGGGTTCCCCTCTGAGCGGAGAGCCGCATACCATTGATACTGCTGATAGGGTGGTAACTACGCTCCTAATTTAGACGTAGACATTTATCGTATGTTTATACAGGGTGTTCCCTAATGATATGCGAATATTTAAGGGTGTGAATCTACATGAAAAATTAATGTTAGTTTGCTTTATAAACTATGGGCCAAAAATGTTTCCTTACAAAAACTCAGGGTGTTGAAGTTTTAGGAAAAAAAATGAAAATTAATTAATATTTTCAGAACCGTTTCAGATATTTCACTGATATTTAGTACGTAGTGAAAGTTAATAAAGATGCATATTTTTCAATGCAAAAATAATTTTTAGCTTAAACAGTGGCGTGCGTGCAGGTATTGACTTCGATATTTTTTAAGAAAAAAATGGTACGGCAATGGTTTTTTGCCAAATATAAATAATGTCTGAATTTCCCGTTCAATTTAAAACAAATTCTCTCTTGAACTGTTTTTTTTCGATGTGTCATTTTCAAGTAAAAAAATAAAAGCCGTTCTATTGTCTAACTTGTAAAATTATTATTAATTTAATTGGAAAAATTAAACACATCAGGGGTAATGAACAACAACAACAACTGACAACATAAACATAAATATAACATTAAAACCAAGGAAATGATTACAAAACTTGTTGAAAATGGCCCAATTCACTTAATATGCATGCTTCCGCCCTCCTCATGGAATTGCGCACTCGTTGAAATATCCCTGGAGTGTTTTTTATTCTATCACAAGCTGCAACTATTCTTTCTCTTAATTCCTCTACAGTTTTAATGGGACTTGTGTACACTAGTGTCTCAATTCAACGATTTGGATAAACAGTTTGTGAATAATTACGATTCGCTACACTGAAATACGCTGGTGCACCATCATGCATGTACCACATATTGTTTCTTATTACTAACGGAACATCATCAAGCAGCAAAGGCAACTTTTGTTGAAGAAAATTGAGGTAAGTCTGTCTGTCAAGTCTTCCCGGCAATAAAGTGGTTGCCAATAATTCCTGCCCATACGTTAACCGAAAATTGGTGTTAGAAATGGGTTTCGCTTACGGCCTAGGGATTGTCTTCTGCCCACAAACGATTATTGTGGAAATTCTGACAAAAGGTCACGCGTCTTGGAAAATCAATGGGAAGTAATGTCTGTACTCTTAAAATATGGTAAGGATATAACAAACAATCCACTAAAATTCTCCAAACAATTTGATGGCAAATATTTAAGTATCTAGCGATATTCCTCGTACTCGTTTCAGGATGTTCTTCGACTTCGTGCAGCACTGCTTCCTCAATTTCAGGTGTACTCACACTTAGAGCTTAGAGGTCTACCTTCAGATGTTCCTTTTTGGTCGAAACCAGTTTCAACAAGACGAGGATGAATATTAGAAAAGGCTCGACTATCTGGCAAAGCGCGATCGGGATATCTCTGGTGATAAATCCGTCTGGCTTGCTCACCATTACCGTCGGCAAGGCTATTTCCGCCATTTCTGCATTTGAATAATTCACCATTATTAACAAGATTGTAAAAACTAAATAATGAAAAAGATGTCACAGTTCTCAGATTTGAATAAAAGAGACTTGTCAGATGTCAAAAGCTAGTAACATATTCCAGAGCAACTGAATATTTATTGCTAAATTGCATTTTTCAATAATTACATTAATTTTCTCGGACAATAGAACGGTTTTTATTTTTTGACTCAAAAATGGCGCATCGAAGGAAAACAATTCAAGAGAGATCATTTGTTCTAAATTGAATGGGGAATTCAAAAGTATTTTTTATTTTTAAAAAAATCATTGGCGTACTGTATTTTTCTTAAAAAACATCGAAGTCAATACCCATACGCACGGCACTATTAAAGCTTAAAATTATTTTTGCATTGACAAATATGCAACTCTATTAACTTCCACTACGTACTAAATATCAGTGAAATATCTGAAGCCTTTCTGAAAATCTTAATTAATTTCCATTTTTTTTCCTAAAACTTCAACACCCCGAGTTTCTGTAAGGACGCATTTTTGGACCATAGTTTATAAATCAAACTAACATTAATTTTTCATGGAGATTCACATTGTTAAGGAACACCCTGTATACATATACCTATCATTGTTGGTATATACGAGTAGTTAACTGAAAATGACTTATTCAAATAATAAAAACTACTGCCCCCATCATCCGTAACGCATGAAACGTAAGGTAATTTTTAAATATCTTCATGTCTGCTTAAATGCTTGAAATGTAGTTGGATAAACAAAATTTACTATCCACTAAACATTGGAAATGATTACGGAAAAGACTAATAAAAATGGAATCCTTCTAGAATAGCTAAAGCTACTGATGCATTTCGGAATAAAGAGATGGGAATCAAGAGAGCATGAACAAGAAGGTACGTGTACGATTTTTGTCTCTAAGAAATTAAAAACTATGTGTTTATTTTAAATTTCTCATTGCTTGAAAATTATGTCTGACTTGGAAATTGACAATTTTTATTCGGCATCCAGTTTTGGCACTACTTTTCTCGATAATAATTTTCAAACTTATGAACGTGTAAAGTAGACAATGCTTAACATTACAGAGTAAACGTTGTACTCTTTTAAAACATGCTTTTACGTGTTTTTGATATTTTTTCAATAGCAAACGGAAGGTCCATTTTTATGAATTTTTCTCTTCTAACACTAATTGAGCGACAATCAATTGCATTTACACATACAGTGCTTTTCAAAAAGGTGTCCTCCCTACAGGTGAAGTCAACATGTTGAAATTTTTGGGTAATGAAATTAATGCACGACGGCTGTTTTGGAACATTTTATATGGCTTTATTTTGAAGATCCATATGAGTACTTCATCTTTTCGAATGGTGGAATGGCAGGCTGTCCAAATTGAGCGATTTTGTACATCTAGACGCTTATAATTCAACAAGCAAACATCAAAACGCTATAATTTATCAATATTCTTCTCTTGGAAAAGTCTATCATAAAAGATGCAACATTCCATTTACAAAACGTCAAAATCATTTTTTTTAAATATAAATGTCTCATACTTTACTGCACATTCAGGTAAATGCTTCTAAAAGTGGTTGCTGAGTCGTAAGCCATTCAATATACAAGACTTTTTAAACAGCACTGTATGTTAATTCGCAAGTATCGAACAATAGCTAAAAGGATTTACCTAATAAGTACTTTTAGCGCGTTTATCGATGCATTTAAGGCTTGCTTTTACCATAAATCCGTGGACTATTTACTGTCTTAAATATACAGGGAATACCAAATTTGTTTGACGGCTTGAGTTTAGTGTGTATGAAAGAAAAGCGCGAGAAATGTGTCAACACTTGTTAGAACCATTAGCAATTTTTACTGAGGGATTTGGACTACTTTTTAAATCCAGACCATGTAACGTTTTTGGAAACTATTTTCTTTTTAATAATAATTTTCATAAAAGTGTGAAGTAGGTGATGCTTAACATCTCAAAGCAAATGTCACAGGCTTTCAAAACGTACTTTCAACTACGTTTTATACATTTTAAATAATAAATTAAATATACGAACGGTGTTGCATGCACATTTTGTATAAAGTCTGCTTATTATTTCCCATACCACTGGCGAGGAAGTGTGAATCTCTAAAAATATTTGGAATATGACATATACAATTTAGATGTTACATACAGGAAAGGAACCAAATTTGAGATACTTTTTTTTAAAGGAAAAATAAAATACTTTTTGTTCTAAACAAGCATATATTTTTAAATAAACTTGCGAATCGATGCTCCTAGCATATTCTAAAGTAAAAAAAATAATAAAGGTACTTATTACAGACAAAAGGTATGTTTGAAAAAAGTAAATATTTTTGTGAATTAATAGCTGCTTCCCTAATTTGAGATACTATTCAAAAAATCTGTTTTCTTTGCAGATGAAATGCACATCATGAAATAGCATGCCACTCATTTCTCTTCGGTCTGTCTGTCGGTTTGTCTGTCTGTCTGTCTACTCCTTGTCCTCTCTATAATTTGGAAAACACCATTCGGGATTTTGACACATAGTTACTGTCAAGAACGAGCAACCTTTGCAAAAAAATTAAATCGCGTCATGTGAAGGAACAAGGATACTAAGAATTGCGTGAATAGTACTAAGAGAACCTACTCGACGCCATTTTTTAGTTGAAAACGTGCTATATCTAGCTCAGGATAAATCTGTTTCATTTAATGTAATGTATTTGTGTAAATGTTATATTTTAAATCACAATTAATTGTTAATATCTCATTTTGCACTATTTCTACAAATTTATGGCTTACGAATTATTTGGGTAACACATGTAAAATTTCTCACTTAACATCAATTTTAGTCAATCAAATCTCAGATGCGGCAAGGTCAAGCTGACTGTATATCTTCAACTTACCGGTAATTCTAGCCGGCAGAATGTGTTCTCACTCAATATCGCGGTGCACTAACACCACACTAATTGAGCACCAACTAAGATTTGTTTTCCTAGCTGAATCACAATGATTATATACACAGCATGTATGATGTTTATACCGGCACTTATCTTGGCTTCCAGTGAAATCACCGGCGTCCGTTTCTCGGAGCTTTTCAAGAAAAACTATTGATTTCGATAAGGACGAACCACGGTGCTTCTGAGATACAAGCACAGAACGAACTATGATATTTCAGAAGAATTAGTTCTTGTTTACAGTAAATGCATATTCATATTGCCAGTGTGTGTATACATGCGAGCGAAATCGCTAGCTGTATGCATAAATAATTTGAATTTTACAGTTGTTAGCATAGGCGTACCCATGAAAGCTCTTGGCGCATATATTCAGCAACTACGTGTTACTTGTACCGAAAAAATATATAGTCCACATAATCTAGCTTTTGACTACAAACAAAATTAGAGGCAGAACAAAATCAGTGGGGATTGTTGAAAAAGGGTCTGACATAACTTCTCTCAACTTCGCAACAAAATCGTTGAATATATTTTTTGCAATTACAAAAAACTTTTTTTTAATGAACTTCATGAACTTTTCAAAATAACTGATAAACTGCCGACTTTTTAAAAGAACTCAAGGAGAACACTTCTGTAGAACATAGAACAACGAACATTTTAGATGTATACATATTTAACTTAGCTTAAGTTGTTGAGAATATAGCCAGCTGAATAGGTAGAAAACAGATAAGTTTCATCTGTTTTAATTTTCATTAGAAGCGTAAACAAAAATTAAGTTTTATTTTTTAAGCTTCATTGAGAAGAATAAAGTTATGCTTTATTTTTCATTAGTATTGACCTCATAATTAATAGTTGAAAATGGAAAACTTCCATGGAAAACCGGACGCGTGTCAATTGAACAATGATTCAATGTACGCGAATGACAATCAGATGAGAACAAGTGAGAAATAATTCTCTCAAGTACTTTTTGTAAAATTAATTATTCCTTTTCTTATTTTCTTTTATGAGTAATAAACACTTTTATTTTCTATACCTGCAGCAAGGTTTTCTTATTCCACGATTTTAATAGATATTTTCATATCAAGTTAAAATAACAGTTTTAAGCCCTGTTTGTCAAACCTGGTCCACGAAACACAAAAAATATTTGAATTTTTAATTGCCAATTTGACTACATTTCGAAAGCTGAATACAACATTATTTATTATATATATATATATACAGGGTGTCCGCAAAGTTGGGGTTTTCCTTTTCAGAAACAAGAAACGAGAAGGGCTAAGTACGTCTCTGCCCGAAATCATACTTAATGGCACATCTTCTAACAAGGAAGGCAAAATGTTGCGTAAAAAGTCTAGGTATTGCATCCCGTCCAATCGATTTGGGAGCATACCGTTCACCATGCCAGCCCAAACATTCACCGAAAATGTTTGTTGAAAATGTCCCGACGGACAGCGTGCGGATTTTCTACTGACCAAACATGAGTGTTGCGAAAGTTATTCACCCCATTACGCGTGAACGTAGATTCGTCTGTCACCAATATGACCTTCAAAAAGTCCGGATTATTGTCATGTTGATGCAACAACCACTCACCAAACCGCACTCTTGCTGGAAAATCGTCAGGTTGAAGGGCTTGTACACGTTGGACGTGAAATGGATACAGCCTCTCTTCACGCAGCGTTTGACACACTTTAGTTTTTGATACTTGCACTTCTCTAGCCACGTCTCTAGTGCTTGTTGAGGGACTCTCGTCTACGCGATTACCTCTACACGCGTGACCGTAACTGTCGGTTGAAGGTTGCATACTGACTGGACACACTGACCCCGACGCAGTTCTGTCGTCGGGTTGAGTCAGTGACCTTGTACCAGTAGCTGATGTCGCGGCTACAGGACGGTATTCAGATATTTTTGATGTTGCAGAGCCCTTTATCTCGGATCCCTTAAAACATTGGTGTATATGGTACTAAGAAAAATTGCTTATGTTTTCAAGATCTACACGTCGTGTAAAGGAAAACCCCAACTTTGCGGACACCCTGTATATATACATATATAAATTTAATACAAGTTTTATGGATAAATCACTTTGAAATAGCGTAAACGAGCTTTTCTGAAAAAAGTACGTAACACACGTAACATTTATTCTTGTAGCGCGAAAAATACTTTCGTGTATCCTTCACTATTTCTGAAGCGACGTTATTAAAAAAATATTGGAGCAAAGTCGATAGACATAAAAATGTATCTTACTAGAAAAATCATCAGATACTTATTTTCCTGACTTAATAAGGCAAAGTAACATTTCTTTCGATATGCTGTTGGGCCGTGGTCCACCCTGAAAATCCAATTGACCCTTAACGTTTGCATATTTAGCATGGTGCTGTGTACTATATGGAATACTTTTAGGATTTGTTTACAACAATATGTTTAATACAAAAGTTGGGTAGCTTTTTTATTAAGGACACACTGAGATAGGCCAACGAAAACTAATGATTCTTTAAAAATCTAATAGCAAAAAAAACTGTTAAGTATGGATCGTTTGCATGTTGTTTGTGGTGCTTAAAAATATTTGCATTATGTTAGAAAATAGCCTTAGAAAAAAAACATTTTCTTATATTATACAGGGTGTAAACGTTATGGTAGTCATTATTTAAATGGGTGATAGAGAGGGTTAAAAGAAGCAAAAAGTTTCATATAACATGGGGATCAAAACGGAATTTTTTTAGAGAAAAGCGACTTTAAAGTAAAATAAAATCTGACAACGCCGCAATTCCAGGCGCAAATTACGACTAACAACTGTTACCGTTTGTGATCGATTGCCGGTTCGACAAGAGTGATGAAAGACCGACGCGCTGTTGTCATGTGTGTTTTAAATATTTAATTTAATGAAACTTACTTACTTACTGACTACAAATTTTGGCTTAACTTAGAAAAACTGAATACCATTTATTTGTTAATTACCCAATTTAAAAACGTTTTGGATTAGATTATAAAAATTAGTAAGATTGTGGTGATTGTGGTCGATATAAAGCACTTAAAGGTGTAAACTATAAAGCCAGTCAAACAAAAATCTATTGATGGGTCATATGAACTTTTTGACTTGTTTTGACCCCCCCTATTACCTATTTCAATAATGACTACCATAACGTTTACACCCTGTATATAAGAAAGGTATTTTTTCAATATTCACCTTTTTTATTGTCTACCAATGAAATCACTTCTAGGAATGTACGTATGTGGTACGCGCCAGTACGCCTATGTTTAAAAGTAATTCTGTGACCTCGGGTTATCCCCCTGGGTTATCCCAAATGATTTAAGTTTTTATATTCCTCTATACATAAACCACAACAAATTAACAACTTATCGTTTATCAAACAGAAAATTTACAATTCGAGAAAGTAATTTGGTATCCAACAAATCTAATCGCTTCCTTGATTGCTCATCTTTTTAGATGAAGATTGCTTGCCTGGCATTTTTTTCGGAAAAGCTAGTTTTGACTTAGACATTTAATGATCTATCATGTCCTTTATTATCCTTTTGTTATGTACCCGCAACAGTCAGATAATCACATGTACGAGGTATGTAAATTAAGTCATGAGACTGGCACGTAGCGTTCGATCCGGCAACACTGGAGGCGCCGGGCATGAGGTGGAGACAGGGGAACATGTGATCCGCTTTCATTGCAAGTTTGAACTTGCTCGAGTCATTTGGTTTTCCGTAGCTTTTCTTGTGAAACAATTTTTCCTTTAAATGAGTGACATCAGGTTTTGGTTGAACCACGAAGCAGAAGGCCTTCATCTTCAGGAGCCGATTATTATATCGATAGAACCCGAGATCTTGTGCGTTCTTATCGTCGCGTCGGTTGACAATCATAATGATCGGGGAAAAGCTAAATTTGATTCACACCACAGCTCATCAAGCACAACTGGGTGTTGCATTACGATAATGCTCCTTACCACACAGCAATGTCAATAAACGAGTTTTTGCCCAGTAAAAATGTTCCTGTGGCTCTTCAGAATACTTATTCGTCTGACTTGAGCTGTTGTGACTTTTTTATCTTCTCGAAGTTTAAAACTCACCTCTAGGGAACTCATTCTGGCACAGTCGAAAACATAAAAATGGCTGAAAACTATTTCAGTACTGATATGAGGAGTGGAAGCGCTGTGCTGCTCCAGAACGAAGTTATTTTGAGCGTCACAGTATAAAATGTAATTATATTGGGATAAAAACTTAAAAAAAACAGTCTCATCATTTAATTTACCGACCTGCTATCATATTGATGCCAAGTGCATATTTATTGAAAGTTCCTGCAATGGCGTCTGAAAAGGTTTGATTCAGCGTCTCTGTAGGTCTAATTTTGATTCCTAAAAGATTTGCTTCAGCAACAAAAGCACTTGCTCTCTATATACCCGCCAAACTATTATTCTTTATGCTCGTGCTGCAGATAGTTGTTCGTTCGGAAAATTGTAATCGTGTAATCCGTGGCATGTACTCGAGCTACATCTCTATATAATGCATCATGATTCCATCTCTAGAACTCTCGATATATTTCGATAAGTATTCAGCAACCCCCTCTCTAGATACTTTACAACTGACAGCGCAGCTGACAAATTGTGCTTGACAGCACAGAGTTGCAGAACATGTGTGGTTATGTTTACAGCATTTGCTAAAAATTATTTGATTTTAAAAAATCTAATTTACTAAATACATATTGAATATGGCAAAATTTGTGTACAAAGTGGTTTTAACTATAGCTTTTTTGTCGCTCCTTCATTCTGCAATATCCGCTGCTCAACGTAAGGCTATTTGCTTATTGATTCAACTTCAATGTATTAATATGATTAATAATTCTGTTTCAGATCGATCATACATAAGGTTAAATGAATTAGAATTCACACACTTACCCTTGGACGTAAGTAACAATCTGCACATGTTGTTCTGAGGTTAGAATATATTAAAAAAACTTTCAGGTATTTATACAAACACTACTGAGCCTGTTCACTATCATGTATGCTGTTTTACACCTGGCAGGGGATTTCAAAGAGATCAAAGCATCTGCAGAACTCGAGAATAAATCATGGGAAACCTTTAGGAATATACCATCTTTCTATGTGTTTTCTCATAGGGGTGGAAAATGTTCCCCTTCTAAAGCTAGCTTGGAAGAATCAGAATAGCTTAATTTAATTAATTTTATGTTATTGGTGTAAGTCAAGTGAGTGTAATATATTGTATTGATTAAAGTTTTGATAAACAACAAAAAGATGAGTATTTTTCATTCACCATTTTCTATTTAAAATAACTCTCAATTGTATTGAACTTTCTAGATTGATGTATAATGGTTAATTCAACAGATAATTGTATAGTGTATAGAAAAACTAGCATATTTTTATGGCATGGCCAGATTATGATTTCCTTAATCATGATTTTAACACCTCTTTTTCAAGGTATACTATTTAATCTAGCCTATTGCAGCTATGATAATGTTAGAGATGCCAGTACCTGCACCTGCAAAGCAAAATTAACATATTAGAATGTCGATCCAAATGGTGGTGTGAGTGTGCTGCCATACATTTCAATAGATTAGTTTGGCTATAGTCACTGGTGACATTGCCATGGCATCCCAGTAAGGGACAATAGCTCTAAAAGTTGAGATAACTGTCTCCTTGATATTAAAACCTGACATTTATACAAAACTTTATTTTCATTTTTTAATACATACTGTTACAACTAAGTAAATATTTACTCTTTTTTGCTATGTTCAGGCTTACTCAATGAAAAATCTAACCTTACATAAATAATAGCAAGAATGAACATCAAAAACAATGCAAGCGCTATTAGAATAGGTTCATGCAACAACATAGCCTGTTGCCAATTATATGAAATTTCTAAATCTTGAATATGCTGTTCCACCAAGTTTGTCTTCCTCAATCTAATAACTTTCCTTCCAAGGTTATCCAAATACTTGTAAGTAACTTCATCCTCTAATCGTTCAACTTCATAAGGAGGTACCACTTTGATATTCGAAACTCCCACGGGCAAGATGACAGATGTAATCAACTCTTCGACATGCATGTCATCAAAAACATGATCCAGAAGTCTCATCACTAGGACATATTCTCCAGATGGTTTCTTGAAAAGATATTGGTAGCTGGGAACACTGTAACCTAAAGTGTAAGACGTCTTCCAACCCCCAAAAAGAGGGAATCTTGGCCTTAGTTCTAACTGGATCCAGTCCTTGAAAGGCTTCACTGCTGATGTTGAGATATTGCCATTACTGTCTCTGTAAGGAGAAAGTAGTATGTACAAAATATATTTTTAGCAAACACAGCCATAGTCACATACAGTAACTTTTCAGGAGAGGCTGACCTGCAGCAAAATCTAACTTTTTGTGATAGTACCTGAACAAAAATCAAAGGTAAACAAAATCGTGCTAAATATGCAAATTGTAAGGTCGAACCTGACATCATACAACAATATATTGAGTCTAATAAGATTCTCATGAACATTTTATCCATGTTAATGTATTGCCAAATTAAAATTGTCACCAATTGGTGATGATGAGTAGGTATTGTAGCAATGAAAAATGAGACAATATTTTATTTACAGACATCCTTTTAGATGGTTTGTAAACTGGTGGTTATAAATTTTGCATATTTGGTAACAATGAAAAACTTTACCAATAAGAAGATTTTGATCTAGGTAATGCCACACACATGTTAGATAAATTAGTAAGACATATTTTCCATACATTTGCCATTAAGACAGAAAATGATTTATTTTCTATAGTTAGAGGTATCCACAATATCATAGTTAAGTGAATACACCTAGTTTCGTTTTGATTCCATTTGAGTCAATTCAATAGATATAACCCAAATTTCTTTTCATAATTTTGGGCCAAAATGAAGATAATGGAACTATACAGTCAATCTACTTAACACCATTTTTCAATTGCAACCAAGACAGAAATTTTCAAATTACCTGTAATAAATACTATGTGCTGCTGCAGGCAAAATTGTCCTGTATGCCTTAACACTGTGATGTGTGGTTGCAGTATCTCGTTGATAGTCATATCTTGAAAATGGCCCCTTTAACAAAGCCCCTGTATGCCTTATCTCAATGTTCTCCTCAACTGCAATGTTGCCCCAATGTGAAATTTCAATTGAACGTTCCAACCTTGTGACAGTTAAGAAAGGCGAGTTGTTTTCAAAATGCACAATCATCTGGTCATCTGTAAGAGGCTCAATGTTGTTGTAAGGTCCATATGATATTGTGCTATCGCTTTGAGATACAGGCTTCAGTTTTGTGTAGCTTTCTATTGTTCTTGAGCTTAGCATTACATCAGTTTTCTGTTTAATCACAGCGTAAGGAGTGTAAAAGTAATGGTTACCAAAATATCTCACCAACTGCTTCTCTTTCTGTGTTATGCTGGTAGGATAAGGGTGCAGGCTTCTGGTCAGTATCTGCTCCAGTGTCACTGTGACTGTGCGACCTGACTCAAGGGGCTGGTTCAATCGAACACTGTAAGCTGACTTGTCAGGGTAATCATCTAACTTTGCTTTAGAAACTTTGAGTTCATACTTGTTTGATTCTTTGGCTCCTATATAAGATACCCTTTCTTCTGGGGTATTTGGTTCATTTACCAGGAGAAAAGTGCGAGTTGCCTCCTTGCCGGTGTTTTCTATGGTTATAGTCGCTGATACTTTGACTAATTGGGTGGTCAAATCTATTGATCGGTCCACATTTTTCAATACTAACTGCTTATTTACGTTCTCTGTAGCTGTTATTAGGGCCCCACATAGCAGAAGAAGTACAGTTTTATACATTTTTTACGTTTTTCAGTGTCCGAATACCACATGAACGATTTTCAAGCTTTTTTTTCGGAAGAGGGAGGAGTGACGTGTAACGTCAACACAACACACAACCATTCAGTTGTCAAAATGGCGTGAATGGTGATGAGTAACATTATGGAAACATCTGTTTTTAAAGATCCATACGAAACTTCTACATTAATTTAATCTGTGATTACCGCACAGTTTCCAGAGTCTTCTTGAGGCAATTGGGCTAAATGAGACTGTATCAACAAATTATAATTTCGTATTTCGGTTTTTGGCATGTCGAACAGACATAAAATATGAGCCGCTTTGTGCTCGGAGTAACTCGGACTCGGAGCTATCGACCACCTGTCAATACCGTTCAGTGTATATTTTGGGGTGCTCTAGAGATTCGTGCACCTGAGCTACTCATTTTTGAAATATCCTGCCCCCTCATGCAACACCTTTTCATTCGGTGATATGCTCTCCGAAATACACCATATTTCACGAGTATCCATCATGGTAGCATGACAGCTGATTATCTAGTAATATCTAAAAATTTTCCATATCGGCACAGGACACTTAATTCTGACTGATACGTCAACGCCAGGTAGACAGAGCCGTTGTTTTTTTGTCAGCTACAGATTCATTTTATACTTGCTAACAGCTCTTTTATTTAGAAAAATTCATTTGCATATAAAAAACAAAACGCCGCAAACAAGTTTTACTAGATTTATACCCGATCCATTATTGCCAACGTTGCAGACTAACACAAAAATGTCACTTGCTTATCAGCTGTTCACCTCAGTAGACGTCAAAGCGTGATGGATACTCGTGAAATAGGGTATAGTGGGGATAACGGGTATCAAGATTGTTAGGTTACGCCTTTTATCGTTTTTGGTTTTTTGCATTAAACTCATATTAAACCGATACCAGATAATGGAGGAAGGTAAAAAAAACTGATAATGTTATGAGTCAGAGTCACAACGAACATTCGAGATGTTCCTGAATAATAAAGATCACAAGAGAGTGTGGCCCGAGTAAAGATAATACGCCCACGCAAGACAAGTATTGAAATATACTCTACTGGACTCTAGAAGACTATCCGTAGCGAAACTTTTTAACTTTTCTCAAAGTCGTTGCACACTGCTTAAAAAATGCAAATAAAGATGGGAAAACTGCCGCTTTGACATTTTAAAATACTCCGTAGTTACCCCGGGATAGACATACATTTTTGTCACCTAGATTGCGGCATTGCCAGCTCATAGGACAATTTTGCTACCGCTGCTGTTTTGCTAGAATGTTATAAAAAAATAAGCTTTGAATGAAATATTGAGGAATACCAATGGAGATATATAAAATTTTTGACGTAGCAACGTTTGACAAAAAACTAAAAAACAAGCTGTTATTTACATTTTGCGTCGCTTGGCGTTCGACACTTTGAAAAGTGTTTATGTTTTGTGATGCACATTTGCTAGAGTAATTCGAAAGCGTCACACTCCGGGTTCACACAACTCTCAATTCAAAAGCACTGGAAAGCAGCTCAGAATCATTCGATATGAATATACGAATCATCGAATAAATTATTAACCTCATCTCTAGATACAATTCCATACTTTTGTTTAGCACGTTTTGATCTCCCACTTCTCAACCTAAAATTTGAATTAATTATTTTTATCTGCCGTATCACAGCAAACGTGATACAATTTAAACCGTGCATAGTGGAATGGGAGAACTGAATTGGCGACCTTTCATCTATGGTGGGGTAGCATCTTGTGTTGCCGAGTTCGGTAAGTAGAAAATCATTTCATCTAACCTATAGACAGTTTGTTTAATTTCCTAAAAATATCTTTTTAGGTACCTTTCCTATAGATACATCAAAAACTAGGTTGCAAATACAGGGCCAGAAGCATGACAAAAAATTTGCACAGCTCAAATACAAGGGTATGGTAGATTGCCTGCTGAAAATTGTAAAAGAAGAAGGATCTGCATCTTTATATTCAGGGTATGAAACTACAAAATAAGGGTTCTGCGTAATTTTTTTAACATACAACCTGATGTAACAATATATGTTACAAACAATCTGATAATTTTAGCTATATTTACTCCATCTATTTCACAATCATCTCAGCATAAATATGTTTGTTTATTTCATTTTGTAATTTGACATAAACTGATCACTGGTTTCTTACTCATTTTGTTTTATTATTTTTTCTATATGATTGGAATTGTTACCTGTTGTTGTTTGTAAATATAATAAGCTTTGCTGCTCTAGAGCAATAAAGTTGCAAAAAGTCTTGCTATTGGCCCATTCTGAGACTATGGGACGCAACTGGGTCACCTTTTACCCTTTTTGCCTATGCCTTAATATCAACACTGTACCACTCCACAAGCCTTCTGTTGGTAACTGATTGTTGAATTAAGTAGTCAAGCAATGAGTTGTACCTATGTTGATCTTGCACCAATCTGGTGTGTAATAATGATACCAGAACATCCATAGCTAGAAATTAACTTCTGAGGCTGAGGTTCGAACCTGGGAGCCTTTGAGCTGCTTGATGCATATGTGGAAGTACTGTACAATCTACTTTACACTATTTTGTTTCCAGAATATGGCCAGCAGTATTGCGCCAGGCAACCTATGGAACAATAAAATTTGGCACATACTACTCAATGAAAAATGTTGTGAAGAAACATATGGATCCTGAAGAGAATGTGGTAGTCAATGTAACATGTGCTGTGATAGCTGGGGCTCTTTCAGCCTCAATTGCCAATCCGACAGATGTACTGAAAGTACGGATGCAAGTGGCTGGGACAACTGGTAATACCAACCTCAGTCTTGTTGATTGTTTTAAAGATGTTTATACTCATGAGGGCATATCAGGGTTATGGAGGGTAAGAAAAATTGATCATAAATTATGATTATGTAATATTCTTTATTAATTATTGTAGTGTGTGTATCTACAGTTACAGTGTTAACATAATTTTTCACAAAATTTCAATTTTGACGTATACCTATTATTTTTTTTAGGGAGTGAATCCGACAGCTCAAAGAGCAGCAGTGATAGCTGCAATAGAATTGCCAATTTATGACTTTTGCAAAAGATGGTTAAAAACTTTTTTTGGTGATACAGCAACTAACCATTTTATGTAAGTATTCTATGGTTATACTCTGGAATCTGGGGTAAAAGACTTTGAAGATATTCCCTATAAGAAAAAAAAATGTATTTGTGTATCCAATGCTTTAGGAGGCAGTCTACCTCCTTCACACACACCTTAAATAAGTTTATGTTGTGTTTTAAAACGTGATATATATGTAATATTCCAACAACAATCATGTCACTACAAATGGCTTGATGTCAGCACAGCCAATTTTGGACTGATTGAATATTTGTTCAGCTACTGTCTGATGAGATTTAGTAATTATATTGATTACAATGTTATTTCAGCTCGAGTCTCATAGCGAGTTTAGGAAGTGCAGTAGGTTCGACGCCAATGGACGTAGTGAGGGTACATTCAATTTAATCCTCTCAAATGCGTATTTTTCATACTTCTTTTTTTCTAGACGCGGCTGATGAATCAGCGCAAACTGAAGAACACAGTAGGCAGCTTACCACCTCATATCTATAAGGGAACAATAGATTGCTTCATGCAGACCTTTAAAAATGAAGGGTTTTGGGCACTGTACAAAGGGTTTATTCCGACAATGTTTCGGATGGGACCTTGGAATATCATATTTTTTATGACATATGAACAGTTACATCAGTTGTATTAATTGTGGCCAGTATGTTATTTATGTATTTATTTTGCATTTTTGAATAGTATTATTTTTATTTTTAAATATACACAAACCCAACTGGAGACATATTACGTTTGTTGTTTATTTAAACTGTACCTATGATTCACCCATTATCATGAAATTACTGCATGCAAAATATGACGCTAGAATAGAATAAGAACATCATATACGAAAATGGCATTTGTGGTAACATCCTAGCTTTCTCCTAGGCACTATCTCTGTCTCCATAGAAATGTTCGTGTATACTCCCCTTTAGATGCAGACTAGTAGGGATGGGTGCGCAGCTATTAGTCGATAGTTTTTGAATTGACATTGACAGTATTGACACTTCGATAGTAAATATGATCTACAAGGTTATGTTTACAGATTCTTGCGATTGCCATTAAACATTTGGAAAATAATATCTTTTTCTTATTTTCAGACATTACACCATGGCTAAGTAGGTATCCTTTTTAAGCTGCAACAGAAAAGATTTGGGCACCACCAGCTTTTGATATGTAAAAAACAAACCATCGCAAAAACCTCATTATCCCCCAAACAATATGAAAATGATTAGTACCAATTTAGATCTTAGATTTAAATCTAAAATTTTAAATTGTGTACTATTTTAGCCAACATTTATTTTCTCAAATACTGTAGCTAGAATATTACATATCTGTATAAATTTCTTATCTTTAAGTTATTTTTTTCTTAATTACGCATAAACAGACATAAAGAATGGAGAAAATTAGCCAAGAAATTGAGGAGAAAAAGAATTAGACAGAAGAATGCTAAATTACGAGACGAAAAAGAATTACAAGGTTTGTATTAATACTATAAGTTGACTGTTGGTGTTTTTTCTATGTTTATTGTTTCAAACTCATGAATTTGATCAATTGCTTATGGCAGGGCTGTCCAACTTAATGTGGCCCAAAGACCACTTCAAAAAAATAATGCAGTTTGGAGGGCCGCATTATAAAATCTTTCTATACAACATTATTACTGAGTTAATGTAAGAATTGTGCATATTCGGTATTTGAGAGTAATTTATACATGTGATGTATACATGACCTGTGAAGCGGGCCGCAAGAAAGGAGTTTGCGGGCCATATGTTGGATAGCCCTACCTTATGCTAATACCCCATTTCGACTTATAGAACTGCATCTAAGGGAAAAGAATCCTGCATACCAATCGTGGTTGCAACACAAGGAGAAGGAAGAAGCACTCAGGATTACAGAGGAAGCAAGGATCTCAGAGAAGAATGAAATACAGTGGAGAAAAAATGAAAAGGAAGCACAAATAAAATTTAAAGAATACCAGGAGATACAGAGGATAGCCAGAGAAGAAAGGGAGAAACAAAATGAGAAAATTAGGAAGGAATGGGAACAGGAGCAAAAACGATTTGAGGAGAAAAAGGAAAAGGAAAGGATTGAAAAAGAGAGGTTGAATGAGAAAGTTGAATACTTCTTAGGTGACTATTTACAGTAGCATTAAATACATTCTAAAAGAAAATCTCTTATGGAATACATACTGCAATCTAGCTATTTCATGGTTATTTTGGATCTAATGTGAACATTATCCAATGTCTGCCTAGTAGATAATTCTGGTACTTTAAATTTAGGCTATTCATTTTTAACTATATGGCCTTTAGGTATGCATCAAAATGATGGCAGTAATAGCAAAAGCTTACCTATTGTAAATGATAATTTCAATATCATCATCCGTTTTGGTGTTACATAGGTACTAACATATTTTTTTCAGAAAATGGGGGTGATACTCCTGAACATCTCAAAATCTCTATGCAGACTAATCCGAATAAGGAGGTTTGTACATTTTTTCAAAAGACAGGAGCCTGCAGATTTGGTGATGCCTGTTCTAGAAACCACATCAAACCAGGCATAAGCAGGGTGCTACTTATACAAAATTTTTTTAGTCATTATAGGTAAGTATGGATATGGACTAACATATTCTCCAAGAAGATGCCCAACCATGTGCTGTCTTTTAAAGGTCCACCGATTGTTTCACTGCCATGTTTTATCAAGTAAGATTGCATGGGTTCCCTCAGAAGTAATTGTTAGATAGATATTTATTGACCATATTCCATGAATTATTACTTGTGACAAGTCAAAAAAGGAAAAAAATGATTGATACATAAGTCATATTAAAAATTACAATTAAAAAAAAGCAAGATCTACATGTGATAATGACAATTTAAAATTTTTTAGTTAAAAACTCTTGTACAGAATAAAAGCAGCTATTTCTTTAGCTTGGACATAAACCAATTATAATTTGGATAGGTGGATGCAGTTGTAATGCAGATCTTTCATGTGCTGAATATAAACAGACTACAATTTTTTTCAATGAAAATTGTTTATTCTTATATGCGTTATCAACTTTCCATGGAAAGATCACTCCTCCACCTCCCTGGTAATGATTATTAAGGACTCATACTCTGGCGAAATCAAACCATGTATATGTTCCAATTTCTGTTTATTGTACAACGTTTGCGCAGGCACAGTTTTTAATTTGAATTGGGTATCTTCTGTTGATCAATTATTGCATTTATTGGCTGCAGAAAGGCATAATGAATATTTTACGTTTTCCAGTTTAGAGAAGACTGAATCTGAACAGATACTCGACTCAGATCTAGAATGTGAGCATGATGAAACATACCAAGCTTTCAAAGAATTCTTTGACGACGTTGTGGATGAGTTAGAAAGTTACGGCAGAATAATTGTCTTCAGAGTATGCTGTAACAGAGAACCTCATCTTAGAGGGAATGTTTACATTGAGTTTGCTACCACAAGGGCTGCCCTTAAATGTTATAAGGGCATTCATGGAAGGTGGTACGCCGGAAAACAATTGACTGTGGAATTTCGGGAAATCAAAACGTGGAAACAGGCTGTATGCGGTATGTTGGTTTATCCAAGGTTTCTTGCTAATTGGTTTGTTCCACAATTCCCTTAAATATCAATCTGGTATTTTCACATGCACTGTGCTACTGTGGGGCACAGACACAAAATCTTGCAGTGGAGTGTTGCTAGACATAAAACAGAGGGAAACGTTTTCAAAGCTAAAAGGCCCATATATCAGCATCGGACGAAAATATTGTATAAACTATTCTGCTACAATGTTTCAACCAGCATTTCTATAATTAATTCATTTTTACTACTTTATAACTTTGTTGCTAAGTCATACATCTTTTGGAAAACTTATGTTCTATTGTGTTTTTAGGTTTGATTCTATCAAAAAAATGCCCAAAAGGAAGCATGTGTAACTATCTCCACGTTTTTAAGAATCCGAAAAATCTTTTCAATAGTTTTGAAGTTCACACAAGGAATGATGGGTAAGTAGGCCTCAATAGCATGTAAAAAATGTTTACATGTTTACAGTACGCCAAAATAATCATTATTTTTTTAACCAGTACGTCAATTTTCGGGCTCATTTTTATACTTTTACCTCCCACGCGAGGAGGTACCATGTGCATAGCTTAACTCCACATTGCATAAGTCGATCCATAACGCAGCTACTACTCGCTCTTGTATACACACATTCATTGTATGAACAAGCAGCAGTACTGTTGCAAATTATAGAACTTCGGATTTCACTATTATTTCAATTGAAACTTATTGAGAGTAGTCTGATTGATTAGTTTAAATACTACTACTGTTGTTAGTTTTTGTTTCTTATTATTTACAATTTATTATTTTTTAGCTTACTACTGTTATTTTTTGTTTTACACTTATTAAGAATTGCTTTTTATTTTGCTATTGTTGTTTGTTTCAGTTTTTCGTTTTTGTATTTCTTTGATTAGTATATACTAAGTGACATATAAATCCGAACACCCAGTTCAAATGGTTTTATTTTAATAAAATTTTGTATAAGTACTTAATGAAGCATAATAAGTAAATGATAAAAATTTCAAAATGATTGCACTGCTCTAAAGCCCTTTGACCTTTAATAATGTGTGGATGCACCCTGATGTGCTACGCATTCTCCAACGCGCCTAGGCATGCTTCTGATCAGGTGGTCAATGTCCTCCTGTGGTATCTCATTCCAGGCAACCACCAACTCCTCTCGAAGTGCTTCTAGAGTCTGAAGAGGACGTTGCAAATTGAGCAATCTCCCAGCCATCATATCGCACACGTGCTCAATTGGGCATAAGTCGGGAGATCTTGGTGGCCATGGTAACAATGTGACATCATTATGTTGAAAGAAGTCTATTGTGACTCTTGCAACATGTGGTCGGGCATTATCTTGTTGGAAAGTTGGATCTGCCAGGGTGTCAAGATAGGGTAAAAGATGGGGTTCTAGAACTTCGTGGATATAACGCTGCGCGTTCATGTTACCTCTGATGAAGATTAAAGGTGACCTGGAACCATAAGCTATAGCACCCCAAACCATAACTCCAACAGTGTGATGAACATGTCTTTCAACAAAAAACTGTGGATTCCTCCTTTCACCACGTCACCTTCTAACCCTGGCACGACCATCGTGCATGCCTAAACAAAATCGAGACTCGTCACTAAAGACAATACTGTTCCATTCCTGATCCCAGAGTGACCGTTGTCTGCACCACTCAAGGCGATTACGTCGGTGTTCTCGAGTTAAAGGGAGGACCCAGTGTGGCCGGTATGAAAACAAGCCAAAACTTCTCATTCGTCGGTAAACACGTCGCATGCCAATAGGTCTTCCGTGTTCTGCAAACCATTCATTTGCAATGGACCTGGTAGTGGAGAAACGGTCCCTTAAGGCCAATAATCTTAGGCGGCGATCTTCACGGTCTGTTGTTCTACGGCGGCGTCCAGTGCCCCTTGCTCTTTGCGTACGGCCTTCTCGAAGCCATACCTGACAACACCTAACCACAGTGTCTACACTTCTTTGCACTCTAACTGCAATTGCCCGAAAAGAAAGTCCAGCTTCCTGAAGTCCCACTATACGGCCCCTATCAAACTCACTAAGTTGACGAAATCGTACAGGTCTCCCTACTCTAGGCATCGTAACCGATCGTAAAGGATGTCAAGAACCAAAATCCGCCAACGTTGATTGTTTACTGCGGCTGAAATATTCATTTTTAGAGCGTTAGTGAGTTAAAAAAAGCAGTATAAAAACCGGAATGTCCAACTGATAAGGCTGAACATTTTTTCACTTGTTATTTACAGTAAGATAAATACATTCACCAACTTGTATTAAAATAAAACCATTTAAACTGGGTGTTCGGATTTATATGTCACTTAGTATATATGTTTATAAGTTTTTCACTTTTCATATTTTTTTCCTAAATGCGGAGCCCAATCCGTCAACATCGCAGGCAAGCGCCTCTCATACAACGAATTCGGACTGGGTTAGAATCCAAGCCTATATGTTAAACGATTGTTTGTCAGCAACATCAACAGATTATTGTTTACACAAAATTTGATCTTGAACGAAAATTGTATACTTTTCCCCGCGTAGACATCTATTTTTATCGTGCTTAAACTGCTTTTTACATAACATTCAAAATTTCACCATCTTCGAGAATACTCCAAAATGCTACGAGGGATGTCTTTTAAGTTTTGCATATGGAAATAAAACAATACGTCAGGTAGTTTTAAATGACTTTATTGTTATTCCCTACGAAGATTAATACACATCTGCATGCGCTCGAACCAATTTTCGAAGCACTTATTCCACTCGTTTGCTGGCAGATCCAAAGCGGCATTTTTGAATGCGTCAACTGCTTCATCTGGTGAGTGGAACCTTTGACCACGCAGTCTGTTTTTAATTTTCGGGAAAGTAAAGACGTCGTTAGGACTTACATCGGGACGATATGGAGGATGGTCCAATAATTCCACGTTTTCTTCCGTTAAATACTGCCTTGTTTTTTGGGCTGTGTGCGAGCTTGCATTGTCTTGGTGGAGGATGATTCTTCTTTCGGGGTTGATTTTTCGAAGCTCGGTGATGACTTTTGGCAAACAAATGGTGGTATACCAATCTGCAGTAAAAGTTCTTTGCTCATTAAGAGGAATTGTTGCAATATGACCCGCTTTTGACACAAATGTCGCGACCATCTTGTTCGAAACACTTCGAGAACGGATGACTTTTGTTGGCTTTTCTTCACCTTGGAACACCCAAACAGCCGACTGTCGTTTATTTTCTGGTCATAACAGTAAATCCACGAATCATCACCACTATTAATGCTGTACACATTTTTTGAGTTTCCGGAATTGAAATGGTCAAGCGTTTGTAACACCAATTAACCCTGGCTGCTTTCTGCTCTTCAGTCTACAGGTGGGGTATCCAACGAGAAACTAATTTTCTTATTCCTAATTCTTCGTGTAAATTTTTTTGAATTGAGGTCTTTGAGATCTTCAAGGACGCCTCAATCTCGCGATATGTCACATGTCTATCTTCAATGATGAGTTTGCGCACAGTATCGACGTTTTCCTGGGTGACTGCCGTTCTTGGTGCACCCACCCTGGGATCGTCGCTAAGACTCACCCGTCCACGTTTGAATTCTCCATACCACCGGGAAATTGTCGACTGATGTGGCGCTTCGTAGCAGAAAACAGACAGTAACTCAGCAAGGCATTCTTGAAAGTTGTAATAAATTAAGTCGCGAAAATGTTTTCGGCTGAGTTCCATTTTTCCGCGCGGCCTACTATGTTTCTATATGCAAAACTTAAATGACATCCCTCGTATACATTCCACCTGAAATGTTTCAAAATCCCCAAATCTCTGTGAAAATATCACGGAAAACACACGTAAACATGAGTAAAACAAAGCTTTCCCTCAATTTCACAAAGCCGCAAGATAAAACACCAGAAATCAGCCCAGCTGTTTTTAATTTGAGACCACAGCGTTGCCACGTTTAGGACGCACATATTAGTTTTTCAGGAAATATCACCGGGATATAACAATACGTATTTCTTAATTTCCTTCAAATGTATTTCGAAATTCTGAGTACGAAACCACAATAAGAATGGCTCAAGACGTTTTCGGGAATCGCTGTGATGTTTATTTTTTGAAAAATTATCACATTTGTTTTAATTTTTGCAAGTTCCGTGAAATTGGTAGGCTCTGAAGCTATGATGACTCTGCATCAGTTAGTGGAAACATTATAATATGATATGTATTAGGGTACTGAACAATACTTTCTTTTCGGTACCGGTTTTACAAACAATTTATAACTGTTCCTACATAGGTATGAGTTGTCTATTTGAAAATACAACATTTTTGAGACATATTCTTTATTTAGCCATCATCACGTAAAACATTTTACGATTATTTTTGCACTCTTCACTGCTATTATCTATCGATTGCGTTAAGGCAGTTGTGGATTTTGAACAAGATGTGACAACACCGCAGAGAACTGGTAACACAAGTTTTTGACTCGCTCTATATAGATAGATGATTGATAAAAACAAATCCTTTGTTTACGTCTTCTACCCAAGTATTCGAATCGTTGCTCTCATATATGACGGCGTAATTACCTGAGACATGCTTTGCGACAATGCCACAACCCAGAAAACTGTTACCAACATAAATGTACCGGGGAAATTTAAACTATCCGTACCAATTTAGGATGTATTTTGCATTAAGGTTGGCATTCAAATTTACTAAATATGACGTAACTGCTTTGTTTCAGTGAAAAGACGATATATGTCTTTTTACACAAACAAACGTCCGCGAATGGATGTATGAAAATAATTCCTGTAGTTTTACTGTCAAAAACTGTGAAAAGACCTATACCTAAAATTGCCCAAGGTCTGAAGGGCATTCATCTAAATCCAAAATCAAATCGTAAAATAACAGTTCTCATTGTTTAAGGGATAGGAAATGTGAAGATAGTTCACAAAGAAAGTGGAGATGGTCGGAATCGCCAGAAAGGGTGCCATACAGTGATGGTTGGGAGTCGGATGATCACTATAATAATCACAGAAAAGACAGTCATAGATCTGCACGGAGCAGTTCAAGAAGGAACCATGGTCGTGAACATTCGGATAGGAGATCTCGAAGATCTGGCTCAGAAAGAGATGGGAAATCTAAAGCGACTTCTCGGAAAAGAAAAGGGAGTTCTGAACGAAGGTACAGCCATAGAAGCAAAAAAGATTCAGAACGGGGCTCCAGGTCAAAACGAAGGGAAAGAAGCCGGTCTAGCAGTTGAATTGATGATTTATGATTTTTAAGTTTGATATTAATAAATATATAACAGAAAGAACATTGTTTTTTATTTACCTGATATTTCGAAAAGCAACACAAATGCCATGCTAAAAGCGTGACGTCCTTGCGGAGTGTCATTTGCGAAATGATGTCTCCTTGGATTTGAAACAAATAATAACGCTTTCTTGACGAACTTTCAGTGGCGGAATTAATACGTTCATTTCACATTAGGCCGAAACAGTGTTATCACAGGTTTTAAAAATCTGTAAGATTTTGAAAATGTCTAGTATCGTGCAAGTTTTCAAAATTACCAAAATGTTTCAATTTGCAAAACCTCCAGAACTATCAAAACATTCAGAATTTTTATTTAAAAAATGTTCAGTATTTTAATTTTGAAAGATTTTGAAGAAAAAAAAAATGAAGATTTTCAAAATGATGAGAAGTCTGAAGATTTTGGATATTTGAAAATTTGAAATGAAGCTATAGGGATATAGAGGAAAGCAGGGAACGACACACGACATCTAGTGGAGAAACATGCCTACATTCTGCCCACCCGATAGAAATTCATTGGGTGGTAACGTCATTTTCCAAGCATTGGCGGATTTAGAGGGGAGGCGAGCCCTCCTAGATTTCCAAGTCTGCGTTTTTTTTTTCAGGAAACTGGTATTCAGGATATTTCAAATTCGACCGTCACCATTGGGAGCTCGCAAACTGTGAGAGATACGATGTCGCTTAAATGGGGGCAATACCTGCGTATTTAGGTAATCAACGCTTAGAAAGTTTCGAAATTTAAAGTACTTCCGGAGAGATACGGAAAAAAACTCCAATTTTTTCCTGACTCTATTTGTCGTGAGATTTCAAAATAACTTGCATATTAACACTGCCACTTCATCTCCTCTACAAGAGGACATAATTAGAATTTCAATATAACGTTTCGCCTCTTGTCTCATATGAATATAGTTTTTCATTCTGGTTCTAAAAATGTCATACATTGACATTGCCAAAAATCAGAATTTCCTAGGTAGGCTCTGAAACTACCAGATTGTCAACTGTTTCGCATACTAGATTTATCCCGAAATCAAAAGGTATGGTGAAGTGATGGAACCTGAACACAACATACGGACATTTTATTGATGGTAATAATAATAATTATAAATAAGCAGAGGTAAGTCATCGCAGATATTCAAAACGTTCTTTATTTTGTAGGCAAAGCCTGACTCTTCTCATTATTTCTCTTCTTAGTCTTCCAAACTCTGTTGCTATATTCAATTTGAGGTTTATTGTGCTATACGAAACAAATAAAATCAAAAGTTTGGCAGTGTCAATGGCATTTTTGGGATCAGATTTAAAAACTCTATTCAACTGTATAAAAATCTAATATGGCGTCCATAAGAAAAAATAAAATTGGTGCTGGAGGACAAGAGGAGAAAAAGTGGCAATGTTAGTGTGCAATTTATTTTGAAATCCTACTACAAATAAAGTAAGGGAAAATTAAAACGGTTTTGGGAAAATACGCGGTTTTCAAACTTCCCATGCGGCATTTTGTTAGCTATCTTAATACGTAACTTTGCCCCCATTTAAGCGACTTATTTTTTACAGTTTCCGTATTCCCAATGGTGAGGGTCACCTTGCTAGACCTGAATCGTGAGCCCCCCTAGGTGTATCCTACCTCTCGCTGTCCAATTATTATAATATCGTTTGCATTCAGAACCACTGCACGAAAGCATGCCACCGCCACCGCCTCCACTATTCCATTTTCCCACCCCTGGATAAACGTCTAAATCTGTCCTTGTTTGGAATTGATACTAGTGGTATTCTCTTTTCTTCTTACATTCCCCTGTAGAATTTTCTGCGGGCACGCTCATGGGTATCATGCCTCTCGTCTCGATAATCTTATCTTAAGGACGAGAGAGAACTTTGATCATGAGGCGAGAATATAGCCGCGCGACTGGCATATAAAATACCTGGCTGTGTATGTGTGTAATTTACAAACTAATGCTATTGACAAACTAATAACAAGACGACGGAATAAGATTGTGTTCGAGACGTGTTGTATTACCAGCAGTGGCGGTGTTTATCTATGCAAGCTTCGGTGAAAATGACAAGTAATTTTTGTTTAGGTATACCCAGGCCAGCAACAAACGGCAAGCCTCTATCCAAGCCGAATCGCATTGCAACCCTCTGTTGCGCGAGTAAATAGATTACAATCCGTGCATTTAGAACAACTAAAATTGAAGCATTTTGACAAAATCCTAGCAAAAATCAAACATTTTTAGAGCATATCAAGATCTGTCAAGTGTGTTTAATTATGCCTAAACGCTCCTTCTTCCTCTCTTTCTTCATTCTCTCATTTCCTTCCATTTTAACCTTAAAATTATTGTCTGGTTTCTGGGTTACCAGACCTGTCAGACTTACAAACTGACAGTATGACACAAGAAGTAAGGTCTCACGTACCGTTTTGGACAACCAACGATGACCTATCCTGCTGTTGCCTGAGGGCGCAGTGTGCTTGGGGGCGCAAAATTATTAATGAAGCGCGGATCGAGGGAGGTTCATGGTCCCCTACTGAGCGAGTCGAGACCGACTAGCCAGTAATCAGGTCTCCATGTATCAGAGAGGCCCCCGAGACGGCCTGACCTGACTCAAAGGCTGAATCCACCCTTGTTATCAGTTAAAGTGCGGCAGGGTGCATATTCCATCCTTTGTCTCAGGGCGCACCAAACTCTGAAGCCGGCCCTGTTTATACTGATTCAACCGCGTAGGCAGACACCTAACCCAGATACAGAAGCACCGCGACTGCTGAGAGGAGCTTAAAGATACCTCTAGCTCATCGGTTGAGATCGGCACGGGTGTTATGTAAAACACCTATAAAAGTAAAAAAAAATGTGATCTTGCAGACTAAGTAGTTTTTAGGGTGCAAGCAGTCATTTCATGTTTGCTCCCTAGGATCGCTGTAAACGTCCACCTATCGGAGAATGACTCAACTACACGCATTGTTGGTTGCATAATTTTTTTGTGGAGCCGAGTAGTCTGTAGTTTTTATCTATGAGAAGAAAGTTGGTTGAATAGCAAGGTCGCATCTGGATGATAATCTGTGTAATGGTCTGCATGTGCATTAAATCAGTGATATTTGTTGTGAGAAAATCATTACTGCAAATGAAGTATGTATATCTATTAGCTGTGCCCGACGGGTTATTTGTATGTTGTGCTTTCTGAAAACAGGTCATAAATTACGATTTTTACGTCTATTTGTGTTTTCAAAAACTTTGAGGATAATTATGGTAAATCACCACTGCGCCTGCGATGTTTGTAATTACTGTTAGCATGTTTACGACTTGAAATTCGACAGTATACAGTGAATATTATTATTTTTTATCTCTCTCATTTTGAAATTCAGCATAAAATGTAATTTTCAGAATGGATAAGAAAAAGTGGATGTTCAACTAATGTCTAGCTTTGAATCTCAAGTAAGTGTATTTGAGTCACTTTTCAAGATACGTAATACCCGTGCGGCTTGGCACTCTGAATGCCTGCATGTAAAGTGCTGCCATCAGCAAGGCTTAGCACACATTCTAAAGTTACGTCGATACTATACGTATATTCTTAGTTTTAAATAATTATCCTTTACTCCAGACGGATTATGGCTAAAAGGCGTCGTAGGTAAGATGATTTCCCGAGCAGTTGATCTTTCTAATCATTTTATGATTTTCGGTGAAAAAAAAAATCAATTCCAATGAGAGTGCAGTATGGTATGATAAAAAATTGTTTTAACAGCAACCAGGCAACTGCAATGTGTTTGACAAATGGTGGATGTGTTAAAAATGAATACTTCTACTAGAAAAAACAACAACTTGGCATTCACACAATAGGAATATTAATCATTATAGAACTCCATGATCTTCTGGTGAAATGAAACCACTTATGTATTATTATATGATATAGTAGAATACCAAAATTGATGACAGTAGTGAAGCTCATCGTACGCCACTGCTATTACGCGGAGGCCTTCGAAAATGCGGCGCTTCTTTGTGAAATGTCGGTAAACGTCGCTGTAATCAAAAGGTACAGCGTCCAAACAGTGGCGCACGATGACTTCTGCTACTATCATCAATTCTGGTATTTGAATATAGAGTGAACATATATTTCAACCGAAATTGTGGCGGTCGCTGCAACCAATTTTGATTTAGTTTTTATTTAATTACCTATCACGGAGTTCTATCAAAATCGAAAAAGCAGGATAAACTTCAGGTGTTACATTATTAAGCATTACGATAGCTACGCTACTGGGCGTACTGGGAGACATGAGAGAGATATGGAGATAATCCAGGATTTGAGACACGCGCCTCATCAAGAAACTTGATGAGTTTATCACAATGTCGACGCATTGCGGAGCTACAGAACGTTATGATGAATGCGTGATGAGAAAGTGATAGTACGGCTCTGTACCCCGGGAATTACTTCATTTGAGAATACAGCAATGTTATATCAGATAATTTATTACCATTTGTTCCAACTCGACTACAGTCTACATATCAGCTAAGCAAAGTGGAAGTACAGGGTGCGCCATCTTTTATGTCGGTATGTAAACATTAAATAACTTTGATTACGAAAAACTGATTTCTCTATATCGGGAATTTTTATTAAATATGGTTCTTTACAATTTATTGGGACTAGTTTTTGAACACAACATCTATCAAGTGGCCACCTTTATTGGCCAAAACAAAATGTGCCCGTGTTGCTGCGTTTTCCATTACTTTTTCGAGCATCTCTGGTGGTATAGCGGCGGCAAATAACCCCACAAGAAAAGATGGCGCACCCGGTATATGTCAAACATTTCCTTCGGTTCACCTTGAAATTATTCGAGGATCTCAATCGAAAATGCTTAGTTGATGCACATCAAGTTATATCACAAAGATCTCCTATAATTATGATTTAAATAATGATAATACAGTATTCTCTACCTTGACGATATTAGGTACATTTATACCGCCATTTTTTGGAGGATGATGTACTTGCGCAAATGTGTTGGAAAAAAATTGAAATCCATATACTGAAGCCAGGAGAATTCGTTCTGGAGGAAAACACTTAAATCTTTTATATATTCCGACAACAAAGTCAGCCAAAAGGATATTGTTTTTATTCTGAATACCATCAAGATTTGACCATACACTTTATGTCACACTGTCATTATTGGGTTCGATTTCACCTCAGGATTACCGTCCCATTAGTCTGCGGTCAGCTTCTTCGAAGCTCGCCGAAAAGCTGATTTATCGTCACCTTATCCCGCCCATCCATATTAAGAAATGAAGTTAGTGAGAACTTTGCTTGGTAAACATGTTCGTGCACAAGTGTGCTACACTGTACGCTTACAAAAGTTATGCACTCCTTTGCCGGTGGACACAGAAGATAAATTCGATACCAGTGAGCACATTCAATGCTGGAGTTTCGAACAAAATGTTTGTAAACAAATGTGCTGAACACTATTTTGGTGGAATCGTACCATTATATTCCCGCCCATCCATATTAAGAAATGAAGTTAATGAGAACTTTGCTTGGTAAACATGTTCGTGCACAAGTGTGCTACACTGTACGCTTACAAAAGTTATGCACTCCTTTGCCGGTGGACACAGAAGATAAATTCGATACCAGTGAGCACATTCAATGCTGGAGTTTCGAACAAAATGTTTGTAAACAAATGTGCTGAACACTATTTTGGTGGAATCGTACCATTAGAATCTTTCGTCAGATTACCACGTGATTTCTGACGTTCAACTTGGCTTTCGGTCGGAGCATAGTACCGAGCTACAGGCAGTCAAGCTGGTGGAACATGTAACCAGAGGATTCACCCTCAACATGAGTACTGGCATCTTGCTTTTGGATGCCTTAAAGCCTTTGACAAGGTATGGCACGCAAGACTTCTATAAACCAATCCAAAAGGGTTTTCCGTTTTGGCTTCTAAAACTACTAAAATCCTTCCTTGAGAGAAGAGAGAAGAGAAATGTTTTGTCGTCAACATGACCAATATGGGACGATGTTCCTCAGGGCTAGGTCCTAGGACCAACACTTTTCTCGCCCTTACGACCCGTACTGGTGAAATAGTTTAACATGAGCTGCAGAGTGCGGTGGAGGAAGTGCTAGAGTGAGCGGAATGGTGACTGATTATAATCAATCATTTGAAATCGATTGACATTCCTTACTCAGGGGATAACGTCACGCTATAAAACGTCAAAAAAAACCTGCAAGATGTCATCTTGCAGACTAGTTAATTTGTAGAGTGCAAACAATCACTCCACGTTTACTCACTAGTATCGTTGTGAACGTCCATCTAAGGAAGAATCACTCAACTAAACTACACGCATTATTGGTTGCATATGTTTTGTGATGCCAAATGGTTCTTGTCTGTAGTTTTTATCTCTGAGAAGAAAGTTGGTTGAATAGCAAGATCGCATCTGGATGATTTATGTGCATTGGTCTGAATGTGTATAAAATCAGTGACATTTGCTGTATGAGAAAATCATTACTGAATATGCTGCCAATGAAGTATATCTGTTGGCTGTGCTCGACGCGTTATTTTTATGTTGTGCTTTCTGAAGAGAGGTAATGTTCAAAGTTATAAATTACGAAAAACTGAGGAGACTTACGAGAAATCATCACCGCGCCCGCGTTGTGTGTAATTACTGTTAGCATGTATATGGCTTGTAATTCGTCAGTGTACAGTGAATATAATTATTTCTTATTTCTCTCATTTTTGAAATTCAGCAAATTTGTATATGTAATTTCCAGAACGGAAAAAGTGGATGTGCAGCTAATTTCTTTGAATCTCAATTAAGTGTATTTGAGACACGAACCCAATGTAATTATCATCAACATATACAACTTACAGCTTAGACCTCCAGTAATGCCATCTCAGAAGCAGATTTTACATTACATCTGAGCCAAAGATTGATAACAAGCCTCATGACGTTTAGGCAACACGTACAACTAAGTGCTAAGATAACATCTTGTAGAAAAACCTACATAATGTCAAAAAAAAACAGCATAATGTCAAAAAAGTCGGCATAATGTCACTTTTCTAGGTCACACATAGCGCCGTTTTAAAAAATTAGGGTAATCTTTTAGTAAACCGAAAATTACACTCAAACAAAACCCGAACAAAAATTTGTTTTTAGTTCACCTCAAAATTAATCCGTGTACCAAGTCAAAAAGCCTAGGTGTTTCTTCTCAGCTGCACTAGTAAGGACTTACCTTCGTGGCTCCTATCTCGATAAGATACAAAAATACCGTGGGTTATTTATAGCTTCTTTGGTTTAATCTGTTCATTCCATAGTGTAGAATATAGGTCGCTGTTGCGTTCCTCCACAGATGGCGTTCGCAATGGCCGAACCCGGTCTTCGGGATCGAAACCAGCGGAGTAGGAATCGAAACAATCGGAATCGATTCCTTGAATTAGTTTCCTCTTTAGTATTATTCCTTTCGGACGACTCGTTCATAACCGACCCAGTCTGGAAAAAAATTATGCCTTGTATAGAGTGAGAGGTCATGTGGAGAAAAGTACTTCTTATCCCTAAGCAAATAACCTAGCTTTTTCCTAGCAGCTGCCCTTATGGACAAAATGTGTTCGTGCCAGATCAAGTCCTCGGTGATCTGGACTCCGACTGAGCCGAAATGAACGGCTCTTTGGTAGAACTTGTCCATCCATGCTAGAACGCTTTTTGTTCGTCAAGGTACAGGTACTATGTTGCGTCTCCAAGCAGTGATACCCTCAAGGTCTCTCGTCAGAAAGGAAGTCGCTGCTAGTCATCTTGTCTCCAGCTCACCAATGAAAATAGATTTGTCAGTCTGAATTCCTGCATGTAGAGTGCTGTCATGAGCAAAGCTGTTCATCGGATTGATCGTACAAGAAACGAGGTCATTGATATGTAAGAGGTGCCAATACCAATCCTGGGGCATACTCGCGTTGACATTCTAGGACGAAGAGGAGATCCCGTTGGGTTGATTTTTAAGCGACTTCAGATGAAGGATATCCAGCAGTTCGTTGCTTCTAATTTTTTCCTTTTTTGAGTAACACTACATCGAAAACGCTATTATTACCAACACAAACTCCTGTATATATCATCTTATCGTGCACCGTGGCTAATTTAAGTTACCGCCTTTTGGGACAACTTGGAAGGAGAGGCAGAGGTAGATACAATAATAGAGACTAAGTTTGAATAGAGATGCTCCAGGACGACAGATTGGATGCATATACCGTGTTCGGAACCAGCAATATTGCCGCCTCTAACTCCATAATATACAAACAGACTAGTCTGGATGGCCGCGCTGGCGGTAGCATACATTACGGATTATATTACTAGATACCTGATCGGAATAGACTCACCGCGTCTGGAGAATTCAGATGATTGTGATTGGTATGCGGGGGACCAATCACCACTTCTCAGGCCTTTACTAAAAGTGAACAAGCACCGGTTGAGAAAAATAGCCAAATATGGAATACTACGGTCATTGAGTCCAAATCAGAGATCAGTTTGTATATGGGAAACAACGAAAAATTGCGTAATTGCCTACCAAAGTGTCAACGTTATAATAACACTTACCGGTGCAAAGATCTACCTTCATTAGGCTTGTGCGGCTCATTGCGAATTATCTGTAAAATCTCGCACTTTCAAAAAATAATGCTTAAAATACGAGTTTACTACATACAGACTGAGATTTTGGAGACAAACAGATCGTAGAGCTGCTCCTCTAGTAGTATATCAAGATCCACAGACACCACTCGCTCTCTCTGCTAATATTAACTAACGAAGTTAAAAAATGCCGTCAACTGGGTTGACACTGCACTTTCTATGCAACGCAATTTAAATCCTCTGAGAAAATATTGAGCTACGGACATGTAGAATTGAGAAGTTAAACGTATCAAGTCAGTCAAACAAGCCTATACAAATAGTCCGTAGACATCCTTTCCCTGTCCTACTGGTACAGTTAACTGTTAAGTATGACATTCCATAAGGGACGGACTTAGGATCTCTAATGTTTAATATCTACTTAGGTACCAACGTCAGGGGAAATAATCAGCTTTGCCGACGGCACTGTCGTTATTTATCAGGCTAAGACGTGGAATAAATTAAAGTTAAAGTGTGAAGGACAAAAAGACTTATCAAGTCCTAGTCACATGGTTCGAACGTCGATTATTGATAGAAAATTACGAAAAAACTTATTTTGTGCCATGCACCTTGAATTTAAAGCAATGCCATATAATCTCCTGAAAATATCATTAAGGAATGCTTCAATAGAAATAAAAAGAAAAGGAATCATTAAGTATTTAGGTATATATTTGGAAAGTGGAATGTGCATATAGATTATTTGGTTGGGAAACTCAGATTTTTGGTTTATCAAATCAGACATCTAAAGCAGTATCTAAGTTCAAGCGATTTTTATTTTTTGTCCCTTAGATCCGCCGCCGTTTTTGGTCTTTACGAGGGATGTCTTTTAAGTTTTGCATATAGAAACATAGTAGGCCGCGCGGATCGAACATCAGTACTGAATCTTAACCTCACTCTTTAGTAAACTTAAATTCAAACTTTCACAACAATACGTCCAGTGTTCTCACTACAGTGAATTTTTTAGTGTCACGAAGTCATTAGAAAAATGGAACTCAACCAAGAACATTTTCGCGCCATAATCTATTACAACTTTCAGATACAATTATCGCAACAAGAACGTCTTGTTGAGTTACTGTTTGTTTTTGGCAACGAAGCGCCACATCAGTCGACAATTTCCCGTTGGTATGGAGAATTCAAACGAGGACGGGTGAATCTTAGCGACGATCCCAAGGTGGGTGCACCAAAAACGGCAGTCACCCAGGAAAACGTCGATGCTGTGCGCAAACTCATCATTGAAGATAGACACGTGACATATCGCGAGATTGAGGCGTCCTTGAAGATCTCAAAGACCTCAATTCAAAAAATTTTACATGAAGAATTAGGAGTAAGAAAATTAGTTTCTCGTTGGATACCCCACCTGTTGACTGAAGAGCAGAAAGCAGCCAGGGTTAATTGGTGTCAAAAAACGCTTGACCAAAACTCAAAAAATATGTACAGCATTGTCAGTGGATTCGTGGATTTACTGTTATGAACCAGAAAATAAACGACAGTTACTGCGGATTGGTATACCACCATTTGTTTGCCAAAAGTCATCACCGAGCTTCGAAAAATCAACCCCGAAGGAAGAATCATCCTCCACCAAGACAATGCAAGCTCGCACACAGCCCAAAAAACAAGGCAGTATTTAACGGAAGAAAACGTGGAATTATTGGACCATCCTCCATATAGTTCAATCTAAGTCCTAACGATTTCTTTACTTTCCCGAAAATTAAAAACAGACTGCGTGGTCAAAGGTTCCAGTCACCAGAAGAAGCAGTTGACGCATTCAAAAATGCCGTTTTGGATCTGCCAGCAAACGAGTGGAATAAGTGCTTCGAAAATTGGTTCGAGCGCATGCAGATGTATATTAATATTCATGGAGAATACCTCGAAAAACAATAAAGTCATTTAAAAATACCTACCGTGTTGTTTTATTTCCATATGCAAATCTTAAAAGACATCCCTCGTATAACATCCAAAAAGCATTTTCGAAATTTTTCACGGTTACAATATTTTCTCGCCAGCTTTGGCATAGGAAGTAAAATGTGAAAGTAAAAATAGTAATCAGTTCAACCCGCGATGTATGGAAATGAAACCAACAATAAAGATCATTCCAGACTGAGATGTCCCATTTTCTGGACACACAGGCTGTAAAACTCTTAATTTTGCAGGAAAAAAGGAGCGACAACTTGAAGTTTGATAGTCTACCATCGTAAATTAAATTTCTGTTTCCATGGCCAATCTATTGTTTAAGGCCCGTATCGTCAGTCGTCCCTACAATTGTAGGGCGCCTTTATGGCCTCCTTGATTGTCATAGTTTTCTCCTTCTCCGTGTCAGAACTCTATTTTGAGGTTATGTCACAAACATCTATTTGCATCAAATTGTGCTTGCTTTTGAGTTATATCATGTTTTATCAGCCTGAAATTTCCTACAATTTAAAAAGAAAACATATCTTCACAATAGGAGAGCGCTGACGCTGACACGGGACAAGTGTAATCTAGAAATTTTTGAAGGAGAGAAAGGAGTATGACAATCAAGGAGGCCATAAACGCGCCCTACAATTGTAGGGACGACTGACGATAAGGTATTGAAATAGGTAACAGATTCTCTTATTTTCGATACTTCGTTTTTTTGACAGTTGACAGGCTTTCCCTGTGTGACGTGAGATAGGAGGTGCTCTTCTGATCTCAGGACTTTGTATTATAAGAAAACACTTTCAGCGCAAATATCAAAGCGAGTTTTTTGTTCATTTTTTGCACTACTAAATGATGCTTATCGAAGAGGGTTATTTTGAACTTCTCAGTAACCTATTTATTATGGAGAACAAGCAAGTGGTTTATATCAAATGCATAAAATAAACGAGGGTACTTCTGCACACCTAGTACTCTTATTTATGGCAACATTAGACGTTATACCTTCCTGGGGATCCTCCCGAAAAATGCGACTCGACGCCATACCTACGCAAATTTAAACATTAAAATTCCGCGGGTGCACGAGTTTCCTTCTGGTAAAACTCAATATATCCTGATATATGTTGCGGCATCTTAGACATTATTGAATCCTCCCGACAAATGGGGATGGGGAGCTTGGAGGAAGGCTCCGTATCCAGATCACGTCCCGCAGGCATAAGGACAAAATAAAAATTAATAGTCATTATTCTTTGGGGATCGTGTATACGAGAAACAAATTCATGTTGATCATTTGGGGACTGAATTTGAGTTAAATTTTGGGGACCGAAATCGTGTACAATCAGAAGCAATTACTTTCTTGAAAATTGTGTGCTGTTTGAGCAATGATATGTCTTTGTATCTTAATTGGTCAACGACGCATCCTTTAGGGACGTTCAGGGAAGACTTAACATTCGTATTTCACGGTAGGCTGTGGCAGTTGTCATCATAAGCTGTAGTTGATGTCAGGAATATTCTTTTGCTAGCCGCATCTATGATGATACGTTCTGGACGGCTTTCATGCCAATTTTACTTAGAAATGCAAATTAGTATCGAAAAGTGTATGCTGTCAACGAATTTTGTGTCAAAACTTTTAGGACATAGGTTAGGCAAATAAATAAAATCTTCAGAAATTATTTTTTGGTAGAGCCATTCCTTTTTGGGAATTTTTTTAAGTTTACGTCGATATTTCAAAGATTGTTAGCAAACATTTGAAAAATTTCACGTCGTGTTATACGCTCAAACTGTCAAACGTACTCCGCAACAATCATTGCAGATTATTGTGAGTATACTATTCGTCATTGTTCGTCAGAGCGATCCGGTGGACCTTTGCTCTTAGTTAAAAGTCTCGTCGGTCTGTTAGTCTATCAGGTCTGGTTACCCAGACGCCAAACATGTTAAAGGGGAAAAAGGAAAGAAGGAAAGAAAGGAAGGAAGAAATAGAGCAAAGAAAAGAAGTAAATCATTTGAAATAGGTTTGGCTGGTCTGAATTCACAATTTAATTTTGATCACAGTGCGAGGCGCAGCCTGGAATGTTTGCGAACTTGCTCGACTGTGTAGTCCTCTGAATCACGCAACAGAGGGTTGCTGTGCGATTCGACTTGATTATAACGCCGCTGCGCCTGTTGTTTTACATAATACCTCAGATATGGGATATCAAGATCTCTGTGAATGGTCTCATTTGACACGTACCAAGGGGCGTTAGTGATTGTGCAGGACTTGCCCTCTCTGCATGTGCGTCTTGGCAAGAAAAGCCGCGCATGCGTAGGTGATTGCGGGTCTTATGACCATTTTATACAACCGAATCTTGTTGATCAAACTTAATTTTCAATTTCTGCACAACAAAGGATAAAGCTGCCGAAACGTAATTTGGAATTTTGTTTTCAAAATATCAGTATGTTTCTGCCAGGTCAACCCCTTGTCAATGATGACTCCAAGGTACCTGACAGATTGCTTCCATGGTATTGTAAATATATAGCTACATCGTCTGCAAAGATTATTATGGGGTAGAGTTGAAAAAGTAAGTCATTTATACAAATTATGAGTAGTAGGGCCCCAAAACCGAGCCCTGTATACTTCCATTTTTTATGCACTTAACAGCTGATGCTTCAGAACTGGCGGTAAGAGAGACGTATTGCATATACTGCAGAGGTATCATAAAATATGGAAAATTCGTATCATGTTAAACAAAATCTGATTCCTACCACAGTACTTTTTTTCTATAAGTGTAGGAACTATGTTTAAGGATGTGAATAATTTGAAAATGAAATGTGAAAGTTTTTGCGATTCCGATACGTAGGAAAGTATCCGTTAACACCTAACTAGTATTGTGGAGCAAAAAGACGAGAGAATAAAAATGCGCGACGACAGGCGAAGCGTCGATGTCTTGAGACTCGTAGGGACGGCGACGTCGCTTCTTATTGGACGTCGCCTTCTCCGTATCACATCTGCGACTTGTTCGCGCCAAAACGAGACTTGAATCCCAAACGAGCGGCCTAGGCAGCATCTTGAGGAACTTCGGATACTTTTTGTATTCACTCTTTTCGAATGAGATACGATTTTCTTGATACAGTATCCACTTCGGCTTAGGGAGTGTCCCAAAATAGTAATAGCTTGAAAAACGAAAGAAAGACCTGAAACCTTTTTCCAACTGAATGTCGACACTAGGAATTAATTTCGCTATCACCTTGCCGTCGCACATAATGATCCGCCATGATAATTTTGACACCTGATTCTACTGATTTCTAATGGTTTGTTGGTACAGCCTGTTTGCTGACAATCAGCAAACTGATAGCCGGCGACAAGTCATGACCTAGTTTACACAGTTAGCTGTCACTGACACGTCGCTGACTGTATTGATTGCGTACATGAGAACGTTTTTTGCGTATACCAACATATTTGTCTTCAAAGGGTTCAAACGAAGATTATGACTACTACTGAACTTTTCAATTTGGGCAAGATCTTGATTAATTTTATTATTTGCTGTTTCCAAGTCATTGCTCCTAAATGAATAGAAAATTTGAGTATCGTCTGCAAAAAATTGTCTGCCAGATAATTTTATCGCTGTTTCTAAATCTCAGATATATAATGAAAATAGTAGGGGTCCTAAGAATGATCCCTGTGGTCCACCAGAACAATTTTTTTTGTTCGGTAGAGTACTGTTGATTTAGATGTTGATACCGATTTTCAAGGTAGGTTTGCATAAACGAAGAAGTGCAGAATACGCAATTCTCGAACCGCAATAACAAAATGAAAGAAAGAAAACTTTAATGTAGCCAGAAAGCTGAGCTCACACTTGACTTACAAATCCAAAACAAAGGTTCAGAATAACAATACACCCTAAAATGCTTCGGTATCTTATTAATGGATGCTTGAAGAAAATTCATGAACTTTGGAAGCATTGAAATTTATTTTTTTTATCTCGTTTTTTGAGGTCAAAGATGACATATTTTGCACTTTTCCAAATATACTAAGTGACATATAAAATGCAACACCCAGAATTATTTATTGAATTTTTATAAAAACTTGTAAACATATCATGGAGGTATATACGCCGATAAAATGTTGAATACCGAGCCGCACTTTTTTTTTGTAAAGGCTTTTTTTATAATATCAGAATCTGAACAATATCAACATGTTTACTTAATATTCAGTGATTTTTCTGTGTTGGATCCATTTGTTTCATTGTTGTTTCATTGCATTATCATGCCTACAGTTCGGAGACGCACTAACTTCGAGAGTTTCATACAATACTTGTGCATTGTACCACCTAATAAGGATACAATAATTCATTCTTAATACTGCAAAAATAAAATACGTCTTGTACTGGAATCGCTTTATTGTGAATGAATATTTTTAATTTCCCTCCGGATTATCTAGCCAAGGATAGATCCTCGGACAAGGCGTACATGATTGCATTAGTCTGTCTTCTGTTCCCTTCTTCAATCTACAAGTGGTCGACGTGCAGGTCCTAAAGTCGTCCAGGATAAATGTCTCAAAGAGATCTAACGTCGTTTGTTCTTTCGTCCAATCCATGACTTGACGCTGACTAACGAAGAAAACATCCGTTCTGTTCGTGGTCATCTCATCCATGAAATATTGAAGGCCCTCAAAAGCATTTTCTGTGTATTCGAACCAACCGGCGTTGACAGTTAGAGTTAGTGGTACTTTAGTGGTGGTTCTTACGTTATCGACTTCTGAGATCAGCCATTGTCCAATGTGCTCTGCTGAACCACTGAAACATGAAAAATATTAGAAATTATTGCTTATAAAAATTCCAAGAATAGTCCGCGCTGTCGAACAGAATGGGCCTGGTGTTTTAAAGGTGGCGACCATAGTGAATCTCAAAATGTTGGGGTTAGAAGCACATTAGTGGATATACAGTGTCATTCAATAGTTGTTCGAGAATACAAATCAGGTAAAAAATAGCTTATTTGATTTCCTTTCTATTGGTTCGTTTAAAACAGGGTGTGAGTGCACTATCCTTGACTCTCTGCTAAGCCAGGAAAATTAGCTCGAAACACATGTTGAGCACAAAAATTGCTTTGCTTATTTTGGATGACATGGGGGGGTAGGAGAGTCTAGATGATGATTACGTCATCGGTAGTTATTTACTTTTTTACACGAATGGCAACCCTCACATTTTCTTTGCTTGAAAACGAAACGAATTTTCGGGGAATCCCGCAAATAATGCATACGTTTAGCGAACAGCGCGCGGCAATTCCCCTACTCGCTTTAGAGCCGGGTAGGGGAATTACCGCTCGTATATCAAGAATTTCTTCATTTAATATGAGAATTAGTGACCCATCTTATATCATTCGTATAATTTTTGTCTAGTTTGAAATCCGACCATATTGATCCATTACAACAAAACGCCTTCTCATTGGACTAATTTGTGCCAAAGGAGCACATTTTGCGCCCGGATTAGTAAAATTGGGCGTCAGGCTTAGTCTATTCAAGAGCCTAGTAGACCACATCTACTATACAGGGTGTTGGGGAAATAATATTGGCAACTTTGAGGTTGATACCTTGCATTATTCTAAGCAAAAAAGTTTATTATAACTTATCTCCGAAAATCAATCGTTTTCGAGTCGTAAATAATTAAATTTTCTCAAACATTTGGCAACGCTGCAACGCAACCGTGATACGAGCGCATGACGACCGCAACTGATTCATCGAATTGTTTACGTTTGCATGATATCTTTGTTGAAAATATGCCTTGAATTATTGATTACTTTTACGCAATTTTTTGTGGATAATATTTTTTATCTAATAACGCTTTCAAAAGTACAGTACATTTACTTAAAAAAAATGACAGAACTTACCAGTACGTGGCGATAGACACCACCAATTCCCACGATTATCAGTCACTTATTTGAAATGATGCGATGCACGAAAAAAGAAAAAAAAACAACATCCGTAAATCACATGAAGTTTCAGTTAAATGTATTAGTAATCACAACAACACGCGATGATACATGCAGTGCAGGCGGAGTACGACGTTGCCAGTTGTGTGAGGGATTTTGTTTGTCTGTTTTTCTTCATTTCTTCTTTATTTAATAAGCAACAAAATTATTTTGTTATAGACAGTTAATGATAAATAGATGTATTGCTACATTTTACGCTATTAGGTATATGAATTTAAATTACTAAGGTCCAAAATTAATTTATTTCATAACTAAAAAGAAAAAGTCCGGCATTTTATTGCTCCGAAACGGATTTTTGGACATAAGTTATAATGAACTTTTTTGCTTAGAATAATCCAAGGAATCATCTCTTAAAGTTACGCATATTATTTCCCTAACACGGCGGTTACATGGTGACTGGGCTATTAAGCTTGCTCTGTGATTTGTACATCTATGATCTTATCACAATTCTCGTAAGTTTTTTCTGTTGCACTATGAAACATCTACTTGAATACAACAAGTTGGTTACGTTTTATCTTTGGTATATCCAAATATGAGATAGTTAGCCATAAATTAAAACCCTTGCATTGGCTGAGTATGAAATGCCATTTCGAGGTAGTAACATTATGTTTTTACCATAAAATTCTGACCACCAAGAACCCGCCTTACTTATACAATAAAGTGGAATCCTGAAGAGCAGTACATGATGTCAACATCCGTTACAAAGATAGTATTTCGGCTCCGTCACATAAAGCGCCTGTATACAAAGGAAGCTTCAAACATAATATATACAAAACCTCCAACTTCATCCCCAGACACCCCAAACTTTTATACGAGTAGGGATCTAGATTTAAGAAAGATGTAAGGAAAATGTGTTTAGATGTATGTGATTAGTTGGTGTGCTGTTGCGCTCCATGCTGAATAAATGTATTTTCAGTTAGATTAGGTGATGTTAGTATTATATTGAGGTCAGAAGATCTTGCTGGTCATTTTAGTGGATTAGGAACATTTCGACCGATCCAGCGATTTGGATAATGTTCATTTAAATACTGAATGACGCCTCTAAAAATGTGTGGTGGTGCCCCGTCATGAAGAATCCACAAATTCTGTCTCCGTTATAATGGCATGTTGTCTAAGGTCTGTTCCAAAAGTTGTGGTAGGTTATTGGCTACAAGCTAAGGTATCCTTCTCCTGACAACTTTGGAGGTAACTCGAAAGGGCCAATTACCTGATCGTCAAGAATACCCGCCCTGAATCTTAACAAATAGTAGCTATGCACTCTCCGCAGTGGCAGATTTTGGTGATAGATGGCGCTTTGCGATGTCTGATTTCGTTCAAATGTCCAGTTATAAAATTACTCCACCTGTACAATAATTTCGAATAATATAAGATTGGAAACATTCAATTAAGTTTCAAACACATACTTACTCTCAATATCTACTTACGTAATGTTGCAATCAAGCAAAACATTGCATTCGTTGCCATCTTTGTCTCTTAAGTCGTTGATGGGGAGAACCCAGAAGCCTGGGAAAGATTCATTGGGACATTCACTACCCAAAGTACATTGTTGAGTGGTGGCATAGTCCAAGGTGTAAGGAAACATTGGTAGACTTGGCAGTGTTGGCCAGGAACTGTCATACGACAGGTTAGCTGTTCGGTAAGCTGCTATCGTGTGGTTACCTGCGTAAATATGACCAAACATATCATTGACCCAATATTTAGTACTGGTTTTCGACAGGGACTACTTTTTTGATCGAAATCGAAATACGACAGGGTTATTACGTAGAAAGCCTATAGATATAATGTAAAAAAATAACCGGCAAAACGTCAACTTGCTGACTAGATAGTTCCTAGTGTGCAAATAGTTTATTCCGCGTTTGCTCGCTATAAAGGTGCACTTAGATCTGAGCACGCACGCACCGAACCACCGCGATTGCTCAAGTGTAAACGACTATGCGCGCACGCTCACCCTGTGTCTTAATGTGCGCGACCAACAGCGAACGCGATTCGCCGTCTCAAAGGAATTAATGGGTTCGCGAATGCTCAGTGTGGACGGAGACGACAACGCGCCGCACATGATGATTAAATAGTTGATTGTATTTAGTCCAGTAAATGATGAAATGGAATAATATTGAAATTCTAAAACTCTTGCAAGAATTTGAGAAATTTTATCGGTACTGTGGGACGTTAGGCAAAATCGAAAAAATGGTAAATGGAAACAACTAGTAATCAATAAAATTGTAGCATTGAAAATGTATACTGTTGCGAAGCAAAGAATAAAATTTAAAGTCTGATGGGCTCATTTCGTCTCGAAAAAAAAAGCGAAATGAAGATTTTGACACTCTGAGAAGATACTGCAAGCTGCTGTAGTAGTCTGCAGTTGCCACAAAAAACGCAAGGTTATGGCTAAACGTTTTCTTGGTGATATAGATTTTCGAAACTATGTATCATTTTTTATTATCGTTGGTGTTACCAACGTTAGCAGGTATTCAAAGTCAGCCTTGATCATTCTTGTAAAATTTCTGAATTGATCATACAGAAAACTCCTTATACCGAGTTATATGCCAAAATCAAAAATACTTCCCAAGCAATAAGGAAAAATAGAAAATAAAATCGTAACTTTGACACCCTGTATCTCGCAAACTATCAACTTTTGGACTGAGGTATGTTTAGGTCAATTCACATATTTTTGTCTGTAGTATCTCCAGTTTCAAGATTCCCCAACCTTTCTCAGACATACTGTATTTGTCCACCACGTGCGCGGTCATCAATTTAGTTCCACACTTTTGGCGAGTAGATAATGTCTATAGCCTTCTACCAAACGCAAGTAAGCTTAGCTTTATGCATAGAGAAGTTGAGTCATTTATTTTAACAGTGAGTAGATCTGATCAAAAGAAATGTTTTTTTCCTTTAACATTTTTCTGGTAAAATTAAAGTATCACAGTTATAGCCCTTTAGAAGTTTGAGTACCGCCCTGTCTCAATAATAATATTATGTGCTCGTGTTTGGCAACAACGGATATAATCCGCCTTATCGGTTCATCGCATCGGAAACAAAAAAGCGAAAGAATTTGAAACGCTTATCACGATGTTTTTACTACAATTTTATTCAGTTGTATTCAGTCAATGTGTCAGTCGGTAACGCGTGAGTGAATAGTGGTGTTTGTTGCGTGGCTCAAACGAAATAAAAAATGGCACATGTTTACGAAAATGCTGAACTTGTGGACATGATTCTTATTTACGGGGGGGGGGGGTCTTTACAAAATGCTGCCGCGGCATCACGGATTTATGCGGATCGGTTTCCCAATCGAGTATAACCAACCCCTCGTGCCTTTGTTAATGTAGTACAAAGGACTCGTGAATCAGGTGACTTAACACCTCACAGGGGAGGGCATGCCGTTGCTCCAAGACCGCACGATCAAATTCAGGTCCGCACTGAAATACTTGTCGGGAGGATACTTAATAAAACAAGGTAACATTTTTTTTATTTTAACACACATATTTTGGTTTATCTTCCTTCTATACTAAGTGACATATAAATCCGAACACCCAGTTTAAATGGTTTTATTTTAATAAATGTTGGTGAATGTATTTATCTTACTGTAAATAACAAGTGAAAAAATGTTCAGCCTTATCAGTTGGACATTCCGGTTTTTATACTGCTTTTTTTAAATTCATTAACGCTCTAAAAATGAATATTTCAGCCGCAGTAAAGAATCAACGTTGGCGGATTTTGGTTCTTGACATCCTTTGCGATCGGTTACGATGCCTAGAGTACGGAGACCTGTATGATTTCGTCAACTTAGTGAGTTTGATAGGGGCCGTATAGTGGGACTTCGGGAAGCTGGACTTTCTTTTTGGGCAATTGCAGTTAGAGTGCAAAGAAGTGTAGACACTGTGGTTAGGTGTTGTCAGGCATGGCTTCGAGAAGGCCGTACGCAAAGAGCAAGGGGCACTGGACGCCGCGGTAGAACAACAGACCGTGAAGATCGCCGCCTAAGATTATTGGCCTTAAGGGACCGTTTCTCCACTACCAGGTCCATTGCAAATGAATGGTTTGCAGAACACGGAAGACCTATTGGCATGCGAAGTGTTTACCGACGAATGAGAAGTTTTGGCTTGTTTTCATACCGGCCACACTGGGTCCTCCCTTTAACTCGAGAACACCGACGTAATCGCCTTGAGTGGTGCAGACAACGGTCACTCTGGGATCAGGAATGGAACAGTATTTTCTTTAGTGACGAGTCTCGATTTTGTTTAGGCATGCACGATGGTCGTGCCAGGGTTAGAAGGCGACGTGGTGAAAGGAGGAATCCACAGTTTTTTGTTGAAAGACATGTTCATCACACTGTTGGAGTTATGGTTTGGGGTGCTATAGCTTATGGTTCCAGGTCACCTTTAATCTTCATCAGAGGTAACATGAACGCGCAGCGTTATATCCACGATGTTCTAGAACCCCATCTTTTACCCTATCTTGACACCCTGGCAGATCCAACTTTCCAACAAGATAATGCCCAACCACATGTTGCAAGAGTCACAATAGACTTCTTTCAACATAATGATGTCACATTGTTACCATGGCCACCAAGATCTCCCGACTTATCCCCAATTGAGCACGTGTGGGATATGATGGGTAGGAGATTGCTCAATTTGCAACGTCCTCCTCAGACTCTAGAAGCACTTCGAGAGGAGTTGGTGGTTGCCTGGAATGAGATACCACAGGAGGACATTGACCACCTGATCAGAAGCATGCCTAGGCGCGTTGGAGAATGCGTAGCACATCAGGGTGCATCCACAACATTCATTATCTGAAAATTAATGACTCAACTTCAAACAATGTCACATACCTGCCAGTTGAAATTGAGGAGTTCTGGCACCTATGATTTGATCTTCTGGTATGTTTGCAAACTTCGCTAGAATCTTTTTCATTCCCAAGAATTCTTGGGTTAAAGTTGATTCATTAGCGTTTCTCCAATATGACTGAAGATTGTTTTTACTGAAATCAGGAAATGGAAGCAATTCAAACACATCCCGCCATAATGTGAAACCAAAGTCAAGGTACCTTATGAAACTTATGAAAGGAAAATGGTATTTTCGTGTTTCGTAGTATCTCTGGCTGCATTTTTAGAAGTCTGAATTTTATATTGGGTAAGTAACTTTGAAAATCAGCGTTCATTGCAATGAAAAAATGTTACAAACTTTAACGATGGCCTCAGTGGTAGACTCTTCGGTCTCCTGATCGGTCACCGTGCTCTGCGCGGATTCGAATCGCGTCCCAAGAGAAATGTTTCTCTTGGCTATGGATATTGTGATTGTCCGTAGGTGGTAGACGGTCTCTGACTGTTGAACGCGGAGGTACCACTAGGCGGATCTCGTAGGTGGGGCCAGAATGTGTGCATGTTGCATAGCCCCACGATGCCCCATGGGTGTTTAGGCCTTAGACCTTCGTGGTAGGTCGAGTATAAAATACACCATGTACATAATGTACAACTATTTAAGTGAACAGATATGATAGTTATCGGTATAATTCGACTAAAAAAGGTTAAGGCAAGTCTAAAAGTGAAAAAAAGTTTTTGTTTTTTTTGAAAGTTTTTGAAGTGGATCAAACAATAATGATAGATACTTACGTTATAGAGTGAACAGCAATCTCCTGGCCATAATTGTACAAAGTATTAATTAATGAATAATCGGTATATTCGTGTGGTACGAAGAACGTACAAATAATTGGGTTCCCATCTGGATTTTGATAATTGCTGATAAGTGGCAGCCAAATATCATTGTGGATCTCTCGTTTCATAGCATCATCGGTGACGATACTGATCAGCTAGAAAAATTAAATTTCTCAAATTTTCAATGGAACAATTATTTGAAAATAAGTAATAGTTTAAAAAAACTAAAAAAAAACATGCTTTTACAGCTAACCGGACTAGAAAGTAGAAAATAATTTTTAATTACAAAGAGTTTATATTATACTTTTTATTTTAAACTGAATTATGTTAATAACTTAAATTTTATTATAATTTTATTTTGAGGTCATTAATTATGATTGATTGTTCGACCATCTACTACTGTAATATAAACCCTTTGTAATTAAAAATTATTTTCTACTTTTTAGTTCGGTCGCTGGTCGCCCCTCCTGTCACTGTCTCCGCGCCTAACAGCACCTTAACTTTCAAAGAAGACGATATCTGAATGTGTGGTATTGAAATGGCTTACGAATCATTTCGTAACCTAACCATTTCATTTAAAGCTTCACTCTTGCATGGGGTTTTCCCTGTTAACTTAGAGCAATCAAGTTATTCAATCCGAATACCGTCTAAAGATCTTACACGACATAAGCTTGCCCAGCAGCAAACAGTTGCGAGCCTAGATAAATGACTGGCAACATGCCCAATGAACAAGGTGAGAATACACTACCTTGAAAAAGTATCTGCCTCCGTTGTGCCGTGCCGAGTGCCCGAATCAACAAAGAGTAAGTCCGAAACTGTAGGCATGCACACATCGCGCGCTAGCTCTATCCCTCTTATTTCCCTACAGAGGATCTATAAAAGAATTTATCAATCCTCGTGGTCCTAATAAGGATAATAAAAAACTGTTATCAAATTATTGCATTTTTAACGGTCTTTGATATGCGTGCGAAATTTCATGTTGATCAAACTGGAAATTGGTGAAAAATATGCTCAAAGATTCCGTTACATGTGCTGATAAAAGCGTGTTAAAAAAATAAAAAAAGTTATATTACAATCTGCCTCCTGTGAGGATAGAACTCAAAACCCCTGGTTTACAAGACCAGTGCTCTGCGACTGAGCTACAGAGACTTGCAGTTTTAGTATTCGTAAAGCGGCACTTGAAGTCCGTGGATTTTTATTAACATATCTGCTTTTTACAGAATTTTACTTATAAGGATAATGGAAAACTGTTACCAATTATTACATTGACATCGGCCCTTGATACGTGTGCGAAGTTTCAAATTAATCAAGCTTCTTGAAATTAGTGAAAATTATGCTCAAAGATTTTGTTACTTACATATATACATACAGGTCAAGCTAATAAAACCGTGTTAAAAATAGAAAGCAGGGAGACAAGTTAATCGACTAGGCGTTTCCCCTTATCAGATTACATGGATAACAATGAAGTTGAACCAGTACCGGAAATAAATTCTGATTCGCTTTTCTTCATAATTTTATTCAAATAGGACTTCTTCCAACGATTCTGCATGTTGCTAAGCTCGATATTGCGTCAAAAATTGTTTATACTGTAGCGATTTTCTGGGTTCTTTTGGGTGTGGATTAAAACACTGGATTCCACAAAAAGAAATGCCCTAATTTATTTAACTTAATAGAACATTTATGTACACCACTATTTATGTCTGACTAATTCTTATGTCACCATTGACTGCACTATACTTCACTCCCCTCTGCTACTATACCGTATTCAGTACTCTCCGCCTCCATCTCCCGGCCGCCGAGTTATACAGGGTGTCCGCAAAGTTGGGGTTGTCCTTTTCAGAAACAACTACCCTTGAAATAACAAAGGCAATGTGTAGTGAAACGAGGGCGACCAAGTAAAAAAAAATAAAGGAAAAAGTACTCACTCTCCAGTTGACGAGAAGGGCTAAGTACGTCTCTGCCCAAAATCATACCGCTCCAACAGAAAATGAAATCAGCTAATGCGCTACCGAGCAGACGCAGGCGGTGGTGCAGACCACGAACAGGGGTAACAAATATGACGGCGTTGCCGCGTTTTCAGTTTTTAGGTAAACGTACTTTATAGGTATTGTTCGAAGTTATCGCCGTTTGATTCAAAAACACAGGTGCGTGCCCGACGTAGCCAAGCATCGGTGCAGGCTTTGAGAATGGAGTCCCTCCCCCGAATGAAAGCACCAGCTTGTTCAATTCTGAGACGAAGTTCGTCAACCGTATGCACTTCAGTTTTGTACACTAAGCGTTTCATTTCTCCCCAAAGAAAAAAATCACATGGTGTTAAGTCTGGAGATCGCGGAGGCCACGCTACGGGACCATTACGTCCGATCCACCTATTCGGAAATAATTCATTCAAAAACTCACGCACTTCACGTCTAAAATGGGGCGGTGCACCATCGTGCAGAAACCACATTGACTGTCTTACACTTAATGGTACATCTTCTAACAAGGAAGGCAAAATGTTCCGTAAAAAGTCTAGGTATTGCATCCCGTCCAATCGATTTGGGAGAATAAATGGTCCAATGAGCATACCGTTCACCATGCCAGCTCAAACATTCACCGAAAATGTTTGTTGAAAATGTGCCCGACGGACAGCGTGCGGATTTTCTACTGACCAAACATGAGTGTTGCGAAGGTTATTTACCCCATTGCGCGTGAACGTAGATTCGTCTGTCACCAATATGCACTTCAAAAAGTCCGGAGTATTGTCATGTTGATGCAACAACCACTCACAAAACCGCACTCTTGCTGGAAAATCGTCAGGTTGAAGGGCTTGTACACGTTGGACGTGAAACGGATACAGCCCCTCTTCACGCAGCGTTTGCCACACTCTAGTTTTTGATACTTGCACTTCTCTAGCCACGTCTGTAGTGCTTGTTGAGGGATTCTCGTCTACGCGATTCAGTAGTTCTTCCTCAACTTGCACCATTCGTGGTTGTCTAGGCCTCCCACTGTGCCCACCTCGAAATTCCTCCAAATGGCCCGTATCCCTGACTCTCTGGACCAGGTACACAAATCTGCGGGGCCTTGGATGATGTTGTCTAGGGAAACGATCTGCATACACTCGCGAAGCCTCTGTAGCATTTTGAAGACATTCGCCATGAATTAACAACATATCAACGAGTTCATGATTGGTGTATGAGTGTGCCATTATTATTTTTTTTAAACGCAATCGATTATACGGGTTCGTTTACCTCTACACGCGTGACCGTAACCGTCGATTGAAGGTTGCATACTGACCTGACACACTGACCCCGACCCAGTTCTGTCGTCGGGTTGAGCCAGTGACCTTGTACCACTCGGTGATGTCGCGGCTACAGCACGGTATTCAGATATTTTCGATGTTGCAGAGCTCTTTATCTCGGTTCCCTTAAGACATTGGTGTATATGGTACTAAGAAAAATTGCTTATGTTTTCAAGATCTACACGTCGTGTAAAGAAAAACCCCAACTTTGCGGACACCCTGTATATTGTCCCAATTGCTGCTTCGAGAAAGACCGGGAGAACCACAAAGCGACATCTAGAATATTTACTTCGCGTCGATCTAGAAGGCGATCCACTGTCACGGTCCTCACACACGCCGCCAAGCGGCTTGTGCGGTCGTGCTTCGCGAGATCGGCCATTATGCTCTGGCGAGTAGGAGACTCTCCAAACAGATGGCGCTATTTGTCACAATACAACATTTTTTAAACAAATTCAAGAAATTGTATTTTCTGCTGTGAAAAATGTTTTGTTCTTGGGATTTTCGGTAACATTCTGAGCAAGAAAGTTATCCATGAACTTTACTCTGAAGTTGAGAGCTTAACAACAAATCTCTGTATAATTAATTGGTGTAACAATATGTATAGCTGAATACACATTATAACATATTTCAATGAAAAGAGACACTAAAAATTTATATAAACGCATTAAATACTCGTTTTTGGTTCCTGAAAATTGTGTCACCCTCACTTTGCGCAATTGGAAATTTTCATGTAAGCGTAACACTTTCGTGATTTGACCTTAGTCAATACGAAGCAAATCAAGAATCAGTTTGAAACTAGTGCGATTTGGCAAGAATGCTTCAGCTGCTAACATAGTGACTGTAGATAACCTTTTGCCTGCGGTTCCAGTATTTACCCTGTTAAGTTTACAACTGTGTAAAAACAACGATTCTCAAATATAATACTGATGAATCACCCAGTATTATAATAATCAATGTATCTTAATTTTTTCGATGTCAGGTACGTTTTTATTACTACCCTGTCGTCACTCTTCTGACACTTCTCATGTCAATATTTTCCTTACTTTTCTTCGTTTTTTACTTTGTACTTTTTGTTATGTTCTTATAATATAAAATATTATAAACAATGAAAACAACAGCCGCGACTCTTAAAAAGAAACAGTTTCCAAACACAGCCGTTACTCTGAGGGTCTATGAGCTCTCAATCTATACGATTATTTTATTTCAAGACGGACGGAGCTGGAGCTTGTTATTTTTGATAAAGAACTATCGAATATAATTAGCTTATCACATATCATATAGTCCTGCAACATGAATATGGAAACAAAATAAGCTATTTTCCTTAGGGTCGTATCGTTAGTTGTTCCTACAGTAATTGTTGGACGCCCTTATGGCCTCCTTGATTTTCATAGTATTTTCTCTCATTCTGAAAGCCTTCGGTCTATCCAGTTTTTTACTCTTCGGTCGCAGCGTCAGCGCTCTCCTATTTGTGAGACTATGTTTTCTTTTTGAATTGTAAGAAATTTCAGGCTGATATAATAGATGATATAAATCAAAAGCTCGAATAATTTGATGCAAATAATTAGTAACATAACCTCAAAATAGAGACCTGACACCGAATTGTAGAAAACTATGTACATCAAGAAGGCCAGAAAGGCGTCCTACAATAATTGTTGGAACGACACTAAAAACATAAATACCGTATTTTCCCAACCATGTGTAGACGGAATATTACTCATAAACAAATACATTTTGCCAGAGCGGTCCGTAGGACCTTTGCTCTTGGTTGAAGTCTTGTAAGTCAGTAAGTCTGTCAGGTCTGTTTGCCCAGATACCAAACAAAGTCAGGGAGGTTATACATGACATTTGAGGGCACACTTCTAAAATACTGGCAATTATACAGGGTGTCCAAATTTTGACCTACCCATATCAAGGTTGTGATTTTTTAAATCAAATGCCTCAAATTTTATTGCATATTTGGATAAACCAATTCAAAAGAAGAAGATTGATATAACATACTATGGGGTTTTGGTGATTAGCTACTGAGATGTAAGGTATTTTGTCCAGAAAAACCGTCCCCTTCGGCAACCCCTCAATCCACCATTTTGAAATTTGGAGTGCTGAATTTTGTACCATAAAAACTTACATACCCCAGCTTTTATCTTATTTGTTACTTTTTGGAATTTTCATTTTTGCTTATACATTGTGGTCAAAAACGCGAATTGTACTTTTTCTCAAAAATTTCAAATGCATCACCCTGTATATTAGTGCAAGTTTGGATTCAATTTTTCATAAGCTTTTTTGTATAAGGTTTGATTCAGATAAAATCAGCACTCCAAATTTCTAAATGGTGGACTGAGGGGTTGCCGAAGTGGGTGGTTTTTCTAGACACCTTATATCTCAGTAGCTAATTACCAAAATCCCATAGTATGTTAAATCAATTTTCATCTTTTGAACTGGTTTATCCAAATATGCAATAAATTTGAGGCATTCCATTTGAAAAACAACTTTGATATGTAGGTCGAAATTGGGACTCCCTGTATAATGGCCAATATTTCAGAAATGTGCTCTCAAATGTCATGTATAACATCCCATAAATAGATTTACCCAAAATGTATTTGTTTATGAGTAATATTCCGTCCACACATGCATGGGCCACCCTGTATAGTAGTATCAAAGGTTCTCTGATAGGTATTGAGTTAGTAATAAAACATTTGGAACAGGACAACTCTTCCCATGAGAGTGACTAGGGCTTAAGGAAGCTGATGTCCTAATACAAGCGGGAACACTTCGGTTGTCAAATGGTTTATGTAAGTACTTGGAACTTGGAATGCGTCTCCAAGTACTACCTACTTGTAATTTAATATACAACAAGCCTAATGTCTTGCAGATGAGTGACAACTATTAATGGAACTCGACACAATTGCTAATAAAAGAAACGTCACTTACTTGGGGATAGTCGTCCAGGTTGGCTTTACCAATAAAAGATGGTGCATCCGAACATCTACAATTTTCCGAAATGGTACATCCCTTTGAAGGACATTCAGCTGCGTTTTCGTCCTTTTTACAAATCACTGGTCCAGCCGCGATAGCGCATAGTAACAGCAAGACTTTAAACATTTTCGCTAAATAAAATGATTTCTACTCCAAGTTTGATCGTTCATCGTTTATATAATATTTGCCTATCTTTTGATACGATCAAGTACCTACAGGGGGATAAGAGTTTCAAGGAATTTGTGCATGTAAGCCAGGTGGAATCATGATCATTTTATTAACTCTTACTAGAATGAATAACACAAAAGTGGGTACGACTCTTCTAAATTCAAAGAAACGCAGCTATCATTTTTCAAGCGCCTCTAAAATACTAGGAAACTGTTAAACGTACAGGTTCGACTACTTTTTTGTCTTCAGCAGAGGTGGATTCAGGGGGTGTCTTGGGGTACGGACCTCCCGAAATATCCGAGTTTAAAAAAACACGAACGTGTTTTTCAGCAATTGATGTGTATTCACAGTCTGGTGCAGTTTAATGTTTTAAACTTTCAGTTGGCGATAAACCCCCCCACTCACACAACTGCCTGAACATGCATTCATCATATGGACCACTTCAAAATATTTTCTAGTTCCACCCCTGGTCATTGATCCTAAAGTTCTGATCGCAATACTGCTATCGTGTTTTGTAATCAAAAATAATGTATCCTGAAGTTTTGTGTTATCTTTATTGTCGTTGAATAGGATCTGTTTGTCGCTTCTCTGACCATGGCCAACCGCATACAACGTTGTTTCATGCAAACATCAGAGTGGTAACACGTCTAGCCACGTTCAAGTATGGGCCAATAATAAGCGGCTCGTTAACCAGCGGAATACTGATTGTAAGGTGCCAGTGTCCAGGGCCTTGACATGATGGGACCCAAAAACGCTCAAACATAAATCAAACAACAAACAAAACTATTATTAAGTACAGCAAGTTGATAGACTGATGATGCAGCACTGACTGCTTTGATACTTTTAATCAAGCAAGAAGCTAAATAAATTATAATAATTTAGAAATTACTATTAATAATCAAAATAAAATTCTAGTTTCTGTAATCCAGATTCGATTTAGCAGTCATTTAGATCGGGGGAGGGGGTGACTGCCCCCTCAACGTCTATTGGCTACGCGCATGGCCCCCAGGGGCACATGACTTACGACGGCCCTGATGATTGCGACTTCGAACAAGCAACTTGAATGACACTTTAAGGACAGGTATCTTTCCATTATTTGTTTATCTATCACTTAGCATTACTTATAATATTCAGTTGTTGACTCGTAAATGTTTGCATTGGATATGGGTTATATCATTGATTAACGTATTCCTGGTTATACCCAAGATAAGCCCGTACCATGTAATGCCTAACTGCAAAATGTTGATATTCGTAGTCGAGCTGTATTTTTTGTAGGATAATACTTTGTAAGTGCTTTTTGTTTGTAATCGACTATCAACATTGACCGCAGAATATTTTTTAGATGAAAATACAAAGGAGAGTTTAATTTTATCACAAGTCCGAACAGGGCCGGTCCCACGGTGGTGAGCGCCTGCGAGCACGATTTTTGAATTTAAGATGCCCTATATTCTCACAATGCTATATGTCATCGATACAATTAATATAAAAAAGAAAAATAAAACGACCCAGTTTGAAGGATTTATTTTTTTAATGTCACATAAGAACGGTCACTGCAATACAGTAGGAGGTTAACACAACAGTAGTAATGCGTAAATTAACAAAGAGATTCTTAAATATTACCCAAAAAAGATACTATGAGTACGTAACTAATAATAAATTGATCAAAACACGACACGACTTGCTGTCACAGCTGCAAGCTCATCGGTTATCTCATTGTGATGAATGGTTTCACAGATTTTATTTTCAATTGAAATAATTATATCAGATTCAGTTTCGAGAAACTCCTCTCGCCACAAGCCACCGAAATTGCTAGGGTTACGAGTATTCTTAAGGCTATAAATAAATTTGGGAACAAGGACTGCAGATTTTTCTTTGTTATATGGTTTAAAATACCTACGGGAGAGTCTGAAATCTTATTGGAGTATGGAAAAATGAGAATTCTTTAGATACATTTTTTTCATGTTGAATTTGCAAAGCCAAATCCAAATCTATACATAACAGTTTGATTACATCGGACTCAAGATTTCGGAGATCACCCAAAAAAGACTGAATGGTTGTGTCCAAAATTGTAAAAGAAAAACAAATCTTAAATTTTTGCTTGGGATCCAAAACTGATTCATCTGCATTTTCGCTTCGGCTTTCGTTGCCTCAATAAAGGAAATGCTTGTTCAATATGTTTTTTTCTGCTTTTGCTACAGCCTCATCCATAACAATCTCGAAATATTCGTCTGATCTTCTTTCAGTAAAATATATAATAAGATTTTTTATTTCATTGTGGCATTCATTTAAAGTGGTGTTTGGATTCTGAATAATTTTACTTACTATACAGGGTGTTACAGAACTATGGGATCAAACTTGTAGGAGTTATTCAGTGTAACAGTAGAAAACGTTTGAGTATAGAGACCCATATCCGGTGCTTATATGTTGTTATCTTTAAAAACGTTAACAGATATTGCTTTTTGTAGCTGCATTCCATATCGCCTTAGTCGTGCTATCGTATTTGTGAAGTTTGCAAGAATTTAACAAAAATTAATTGTTGCTAAACTTTACCAATCAAGAATTGGCGGATATGCATTTGGCATGCGGAGCAACAAGCTGCAATGCACGAGCAGCAGCGCGGTTGTATCAAGAACGTTATCCCGAAAGACAGCATCCGGGTTTATTGTAATTCATCGGCAGCTCTCCGAGACAGGCATGTTTAAAAACAACATGCATGATTTTTCTTCTCTTAAAAAGTTGAAAAGCCCATCACTTGTAGTATCCAAAACTTTAAAAAACCCCAAAAAATGTTCCCTAATTTCAATTTCGTTTGAAGGACAATGAACGAAGCGAATTATGAAAGTAAGCTGTTCAACATGACTAGCATCTGAAGATTCATCCAAAATTATTGAGTAATATTTTGCTGTATTGGAGCAGTCCAAAACTTTATCTCTGAATATTTCTTGACAATGAATAAATTAATTCGTTTCGGAAGTGATTGTTCAGATAATGTGGACTTCGAATGTTGCTTAGGTGTTCCATCATAATCGGCTCAAATTTGCCTATCATTTCAACAAGTTTCAAAAAATTTCCATTATCTCATTCATAAAGATACGAGCCGTCACCTCTGAAAGCTAAATTTTGACCGGCCACAATACAAATCATTCGCCATCGCTGTTTTTCAATTTCATACTGTTTTTGTTGTCCCTTATCAATAGTGCTTTCTTTACTCAAACGCAGCTTTAACTCGTGCCATTTTTCAGCACATTTCATATGCTTCATACTATTTTCATGGCCAGAAACATTAACAGAAAGATGTCTCCAATTACAATAGCCATTGGTTAGTTTATGAGACAACGTGCTATAAACTTCACAAAAAATGCAGAATACAGCATTCATTCTTTTAGAATACATCAACAAGTCCCTATTAACTTTTTCGCCGTTTGGTAACTGCCTTGAATATTGAGTGAATGAGAATTTTCTAGCAGTTTCACAAACAGAAAAATTTTCCATGATTTGAATAGCGCCTTTTGTCACGATCGATTGAACTAGATGATGGAGGGATCAGCAATATCAATATCGGCGATGGACAGCTTCTGTATCTTCACTTACTGAGTTCAGAATGTGAATGGAGTGGAATCAGCATTTCAGATGTAGATAGTTGCCGATCGTCAATAAATAACCACTGGCTCAGCGGTTGGATTGGGAGACAGATTCGGCGATGAACAATTTATCAGCGATCCACTATGTTTTTCCCGCTGCGCGTCCATTTTCAGACTGCGTTTTTTATATTGAGCTCCAGATAATTTTTTCCTACTGCCTAAAGACCCCATCGGAAAGTAATTCTAAATTTTTCAATTATTGTTAGGGCCCTAGCACACCACGTTTTTTTTTTCAGGCGCCGTTGACGCTCGATTCACGATCGCACTTTAGTTGCGCTGCTTGACTTGAAAAAATAGATACATACATTAGGGCGTATGCACATAGAAAGCTGGCTACCGGCGCCGATCTACCAGCGCTTATCGGCGCTGGTCTGTTCCGGCAACCTCTACATAAAGCAAGCGGGTTTAAGCAGAAGCTCGCTGGCGTCTCTCTGTCTATGCTTTGTGTCTCTCTGAGCAGCGAGCAAAATGTCGAGCTCCTCAGATGAAGATATCTTTCTATTAGAAAATGTGTTTCTCAAAATGCGCAAACAAAGTGTACACCCCATAAATAGAAAAAGAAAAATTTACGGAGAATATCATCATTTATTTCAAGACATTAAAGCAGACAAACAAAGATTTTATAGATATACAAGAATGACTCCAGAAACATTTTACTACATTTTGGATAAAGTAGAACATCGATTGATAAAAAACTGGTGTAATTGGCATCAACAACCTATTCTCCCAGAAGAAAGACTTGTTGTTACCATTCGGTACGTATCAAACATTTTTAATTTAATTATCAGGGTATTCTGATAGGCCCTCAGCGAAAGACTGTAAATATGTGCTTATTGGCGCATGGAATGCTTTTGATACAGATTGAGTTGCGTATGATTCTGGTGTGTGAGGTGTGATTGGCGGTGAGTAGAATGATTGTGCTTCCGGTTGAGTTGCTTGTAATTCTGGTGTATGGCGTGGGATTGGTGTTGAGTGGAATGGCTGTGCTGCTGATTGGGTTGTGTATGGTTCTGGTGTCTGACGTGTAGACTGAATTGCATGTGGTTCCGTAGAGCAGCTAGAGAGAGTTGAAGGTGAGAGTCGCGGGAACTGGGACTGGTATGCATAAATGACAACTGTTCTTTGAATATCATTTCTAAACGAAAGCAACCGCTCTTGTGGAATTTTACGAATATGAGGCAAAAGACTTTTCAGAAACAATAGATGTTCATCGTCTTCAAGTTTTCTCGCTTTTTGTTCCAGGTATTCCAACTTTTTTCTTTCAATATCTAGCATACTTTGATTGAATGCGTTGGTTGTTTTTGTTTTGTTACGTGGAACTGAATTGGTGTCATTACTGTTTTCTTCTAGTGCATGATGTGTACTCGTATCATTGTCTTTACTGTCGTCGGAATTATTAGTCTGTTCTACAGATCTGCTAGATGAAGCACGTTTCAACGATTTGGTTAAATTTCCTGAAGAATTTCTTGCTTTGACAATATCTTTCAGGAACATTAGGGAATAATAATATGGCCATTTCGGCTCATACGAAGTCGAAGCTTCATCTCCAGATCGAGGAGCAGGAACTTTCCCATATTCAGTCGCGAACTGATCCCTTAAATATTTCCGTTTCTTCCTCAGTTTGTTTTCTGGAAAAAAACAGTCGTATTATTTCTTACAGGTATCTGGCAACAGGGGCAACATTTGCACATTTGGCTTCTGAATTTAGAATGGGTCTTTCCACAATAAAGGATATTATAGAAGAAACAACGAATGTATTGTGGGATGAATTACATCCAGTACACATGCCCATACCTACAAAGGAGGCTTTTCGTGCAATAGCAAATGACTTCAACAATATTTGGAATTTTCCAAATGTTTTAGGGGCAATCGACGGAAAGCATGTGCGCATACTCTGTCCAGATGGATCAGGGTCCATGTTTTACAATTACAAAAAATATTTTTCTGTCGTGTTACAAGCAGTCGCAGATGCAAACTATAAATTTATAACAATTGATATCGGCGGGTTTGGTAAACAAAGCGACGGTGGAACATTCAAGGCTTCAGAACTATACCAACGTTTAAGTACTGGGCAGATGGATATTCCAGAAGCAGAATATTTACCAGGAACAAATGTGAAAACACCATATGTTTTTCTAGGTGATGAAGCGTATCCTCTGCTGAGATACCTACTAAAACCTTTCGGAGGCAGAAATTTGCCTTCAGAACAACGCAACTTTAATAAACGTCTATCAAGAGCTAGAAAAACTGTAGAGTGTGCGTTTGGTATAGTAAATTCGAAATGGCGATTGCTTTCCAAATGTATTGAAACCAATATTGATGTAGCTGACCAAATCGTTAAGTATATATGTGTTTTACATAACACTATCATTGATAAAGAAGGTATCAACCGTAACTTAACTCCTGTTCATTTAGTACGAAGAAGGTGGAATAACTCAGGGCACGACTCAAATGAGGCAATGGATATCAGAAATATTTACGTCAATTATTTTTTACATAACTCACTAGCTTACAATAATTAAGTGTTTATTGTTAATAAATTCAATAAGTAAATAAACTCACCGTCTACATCCATCTCGGCACTTATTTCCCTCCAGCATTTATCCACCACGTATCTGTTTGAATGCCTTTTGTCTCTTTTATCCCAAACAGGTGGTTTACTAAAAACTAACGAAATCAGTATATCAATATCCATATTATTAAACGCGGTGTTGTTCCCTTGAAAATTAAGCCGCAAATGGCAGTTTACCAGCGCTTATCGGCGCAGGTCGGAACCGGTCAAAACTTGTCAGCGCCGTTCGGCGCTTATCGGCGCTGTTTCGACACAAAGTATAGAAACTGCCTGCGCCGGCTGCCTGCGCGCACCGGTTCCGATAAGCGCTGCTAGATCGGCGCCGGTAACCAGCTTTCTATGTGCATACGCCCTTAGTTGTGATCAATTCGCGCTTACAGCGCGTTCCGCTTGCGTGAAGAACACGTCGACGGCACCTGAAAACGTGGTGTGCAAAGGATCCTTAGATTGATTGACATCACGATACACATACACTGAAGATAGGATATTGCGCATGTGGGCGGAGCTTCGTGACGTCACCCGGAGAGTTGGCGGCTCGTGGTTACCAACGGCAGGATTGTCGTAACGTTTCTGCAGTTCTCGTGCGATTTGTTGGTGTTTTTTGGTGGTTTTGTGACCTGTTCTATTAGTTATCTATTCTTTATATAGCCTGTGTGGTCGATAAATTGTTAAAAATGAGGTGTGCTGTCGTTGGATGTAATTCCGAAAACCAGTCTAAACGGAATCCTTGCAAGGACATGAAGTTCTACAGATTTCCTCAAGACCCAAACCTTAACAAAAAATGGCTACATCTTACAAAAATAAAAGACAAAGTCAATGTAAAAAGCGCTAGGGTTTGCTCAAGGCATTTTTGTGAAAGTGCCTATAAGGTCAATTTAAAACATACTTTTTTGGGTTACACCTCTAAAGGATGATGCCATTCCTATGAAAAATTTACCCAAGTCTCTATCATCACCTGGACCATCTACATCTGTTGATGGGGAAAAGCGGAAAAGTGCTTACGAAAAAAGGCAACTTATCCCTAGAGTTTAAGTATCGAATAAGGTCATATATTTTGGGCAAAACGAAAGCGCATACTCAGACGAACTTCTGTTGAAGAGCAGCAACATTGACTGCCCTGAAAAATCTTTTTATTTATTTTTCAAGTCAAGGATGTTCTTCCGGACCAAGAACTGAATGAAAGCTTGAAAAACCAGAAAAACCGTGAAGGGAAATGGAGAAAAATTGTGGCTTACACTAAGTCATTTCCATTTATTGTTATGCCGCAGCTTACTGCAAAAAGACGATAACTCCATTTTTCTACTTCTATTTTCACACTTGCATGTAGTTAGTACTTATGTTCTGTGAAATAAGGATGAATAAACGTAGTGCAGTATTAACGTCATGAGCATGTTAATCCTGCTCCACAGAACATACTAAAATATAGGTAATGTAGAAAAACCTTGTTTTTCCAGTAAAGTGACGATACACGCTCTATTGTGGAGCTAGAAAGCCGTTTAAGGTATAGCCTGTGAGATAGGAATTACAAGGTTGAAATCTTTTATTTAAATCCGCCATTTTGTTTTGTATAAAATTTTAATGTAGATTTTGTCACTCGCACCGCTAAGACGAATCAAACGACACCTCATATGTGAAAATCCGTCCAGCCGTTTGGCCTGTAGGCGAAAATATGCACGTTATCCATATCAACCCAAATGATAATCACTCTCCACGTGACGTCATGCGCGCCGGCGGGCGAAAATCGAACAGCATAGCATTCGGCGCGATTGACATGTGCTAGTTTACTCTTTTACTTACTTGTTTGCAGAAGTATATTAGTCACCTCACAATAAAATTGACAATAAACACGCAAACACTGTAGGCCACTTAGCATTCCACTACTCGCATTTACTCCAGGGTACTGAGGGCTATTGACAAATGATATCTATCTCAGGGTACGAAACGGAAAAGTACTTTTGGAACGTGAACCAAATAACCACGTATTTGGCGCCACTATAAATTTGGCGCCTGCGTGCGGGGCATTCACTGCATGCCCGGTAGGACCGGCCCTGAGTGCGAACGGAAATCCAGTAAGAATCTCATTCGAATATTTCCCGTAAATATTCACATAAGTAAATGTATTACATCCATAATAAGATCCAATAGTTCTCCCTCTTTAAATGAAGTCATTTTGTATCATTATTGATCGAAACTTCCCAAAAAACTAAAACTACGACCCATCGCCTATAATTTCATATCCATTAAAGCGGATCAATAACATAATGCGTTTGAAATACGCGCTACGCAGTAGCATGTGGAGTGTATGACGCACGACAAATGACGAAGGCGGCCGAACCTAGAAGTGGCTGGGCTCTCAGCGTTGCCGGACTGTAGCAATCTTCTGCGTTCTATTGAAATAAGTTGTTGCCCTATCGAGTTCAGATTTCATTTCGGTTTTATTAAAAGCTGCACCTATTGTGATTTGACACATGCTATGGGAGTATGTGTCATGATATAATGTTGGCGTTTCGTCAGAATTCGAGCAATGATGCTAAAATACTGATCAAAGTAAATAAACCACAACCATGGGTACACGCAAGGGACGCCAAGGGGGGCGTTGCTTCCCCTGGGAATCCAGTTGAGCCTTAAAGTTTGCATACTTGGCACGATTTCACGTAAAATTTTGATGGTTTTTGGATTTGCCCCCACCCCATGGGAAGAGGTTTCCACAAAAAATTATCAATGAGGAAAATTCTAGCAGGCGCCCATACCCACAACCTAGTTAACTTTCATTACAGGGTGAAGCTTCTTTAGAAACATTTCAAACGTTTTATACCGCCAGGAGACAGTTACTTGATAGTTTACTGCTGGTGGGGTGAACAAGATGTGCTATCCAATAAAAGTCTTTTTTATTGATGATAAACATACTAGAACGGTACAAACTATTATTTCTTCTACATACACAACATTTAGAGTACAATAACAAACAGCGCATATAGGACTTCCATAATTCAGGTGATCTCAAGACAAACTTTGGAAATAATAATAAATCAAAATATTATAGAAAAATCTATATGATGAAAAAAACCTAGATAACGTAATATGGGTGAGGTTTGAGCATAGTCCAATGTAGATACCAAATATAGCGCAATTATACATATACCGTGTTCAATTGATTCCTGTTCATAAAACTGTTATGTTGTGTAAGAAATCTTGCAAAATACTCAACTGCTTTACAGTACTTTTGGAAACAAAGACCCAGTACAGAGATTACCCAAACTATCTGCGAAACTTTCTAGTAGGCTTGGCATCGTCGCACGTCACTATGTATCTGTCAGCTGCTTGCTTCAACAGCGGTGCAATGTTGCTTGCTTGGTAATTTTTAATTTCAAAGTTTTTAATTTGTTTGTGTGTGTGCGCTACCCGTTTGTGCAATCGCAACTTTTCCCGTATTCGTCCATGTGTCGTCCCTAGTGCCATCCCAAGGAACGTGACACATCGAGCTTTACAAGGTAAAATTAGGTTAGATTTTCAGACTCGACTCCGGTCCCGTTTGGGTTTTAGGTTAGAGGGGGGCGAATCTTTTGTGTTTCGGGGATTTGGACACGCCTTTTTGTTTTGGCTGGACGGTGCACTAGTACCTGTGCCCTTATCTAGTCAAAATAGGGTCAATTTTCTCGGTTACATGTATTTGGGTGTCGTGTTAAGCACGGTTTTTGTTTGGCTTCCTATTGTGTAGAACCAGAGTGGTTACGACACCATAATATCATTTTACGACGACTGATTTTATATTGTAAATGTTTATTCTAGTTTCAGTGAGGAAATTGCGAAATCTTGTTGGATTTTCCGTAATTCGCGGTTTAGCGTTTTCATGTTTTCAAGTTTGTTTGATCGTTAAAAGATGGCGCTTACGATAACGTTGTGAAAATAATTCTATGAAATTGGCCACATCATTTTAAAACGGAAAATTATATGCAAATGGCCCCTTACATCGCTATATGTGTACGAGGAATGTCCAATAAAGTCCAATAATATCATTATTAATTCATTTACCCCTTTCATCAATATTAAATAATACCTACATGTTTGAAACAGCTCACTAATCTCGTACATGTTGAACAACTTTTTGTAGTTTCATTTTGAAGTATTTTACGAGAAGCTTTCTTAATTTAGATATTCAGTATACCTAGAGTAAGCAGGGTTGCTATCAGTCCCGCTTTTTTTTCATGCGTCTGGCTTTTATTAGGCTTTTAGGTCTACGCGATATTAGAGTAATTTTTTCACTTGTCGCCAAGTAAAATACAGAAGATGTGTCAAAGTTGGACGAGGACTTGTAATATAATACATCAAAGTTTTCGTGTTATCCTCGTATTTCGGGTAAACTGGCATATTTTATCTTTGTTTCCCGAGTGGTTTTCTATTTGCAAAAGTTTAGCAATTATTTCTCTGAAACGGTAAATGGGCTTTATGCAAATTGCTATTTGTATTACAAGGGTTTCACTGTATCATTCCTGAAGATGGTAATTTATTAGACAGGATATATTGTGTACATTTTATCTCTTTTAGAAACATGGTATAGTCATTTCAAATCAAATCCAAGCGAATAAACAAAATTTCTGTGTTATGTGCCGCGGTTATAATATGGTGCAAGATGACACACGGGTTGATGACGTCAGTTAAACGAATCGCTTGAACGCGTTGGTTTTAACCGCGGTTTTGTTGCAAGTTGTTTATTTTAGAAAATTATTTTTATTACCACTTAATAATCGGTGCTTTTTCGTCTACAACGGTGCATGGAAAGTTTAAATAAGAAACCTTTCATAATATTCATGTGAGAAATGTTTTTTTTCAGAAAATTTTTATTAATGATGGCACCATGGCTTTGTAGCTATGATAACTTTCAATTCTCTAATGTTTTCCGCATGTCAAAGAAAACATTTATTGATTTAGCAGAAATGATGAAAAAGCGATGAAAAAAGATAGCAAAACCGTATACAGCCGGACATCATCCAGTGAGTTTATATGGCCATATTTTAATATTCTTGTGGTATATGGTTACACAGCATACTTTGTTAAGCATAGGAACTAGATTTAAAGTGCCCCCAACAACAGTAATGACTAATGAGGTGTTTTACTTTATGCTAAAACGGAAGTCAGCCTGTATCAAGTTTCCCAAAAATGAAGCTGAAGTACAATAACAATATCCAATACCCGGCAAAATTCTAACTTGTCACATTTCAAATAATAACTAGAAATATAAAATTACTCCTGAGTTGGATAAATACCACAATTTTGCGGTGATAACTATGACATATAACAGCTGATTCATGACGTCACGGATCTTATAACCAAACTGATAACCACACTAGCTTGAACGGATCGGTAAATACCA